TCCAAATACCAACTGAAATCGATATATCCATCGAGGTCAGGTGCGAAACGGATCGAGATGAAAATTTCCTCGAGATAATGAAAGGCGTATTCAATGCATCGTCCATCGCAAACGTGTTTGACCCATACAGCACTTCCAATGCTTCATCATAACTAGAGAAAGATGTTAGATGGGATTCGATCCGATAGAGGGCCACTCACCCGATTTGACAGCTTCTCAACCATTCCACGCCCTCGATTTTCGGCATTTTCTTGTTCTCCGCTGCTTCGTCCCTCCATGTTCTACAATGGTCGAACGATCGGTCCTCTGGGAAATCATTCGATTTGGCACAAACACAGTGCCACCAACACCACCGAGGTCCCTTGTGCTTTGATTGCGGACCGAATGGCGAAGGATCTTTCCAGGCATGTCGAATGTGTACTCGTCGTTCACCCATGAGCTCAAGATATATCATCCTTCGTATTTCCGGTGGTAGGCGAAAGAACATACTCCGAGGTTGTGGGTTTCGAGGTTGACTGCCAATTTCACTGGAGCGAGATGGTGGTACAGGGAGCTTCCATGGATTGAATATATCGCCGTCTACCTCGCAAGTGGAATCGGAGATTCCTATTGCCTCAGGCAACCATTCTTTGGGTGGAAAGCCAATAGGCTTCTTTTTTTTGCGCTTGAATATCTTCGAAAAGATATTTGGGGCCATTGTGATTTTCCGCCCGCGGTAACAGCAGGGGGTGTTATATTTGGCGGGGCGTGGACGTGTATCAAGAGTGCGTGGCAAACAGATCGGCGGGGCCTCTTGCCCAGGTGGTCTTAAACACTCGGGGTTTTTGGCGGATTCCCTTCTCACTGCTAGTGCACAGTGACAATCAAAATGCAGTATGTTTCAACCGTCAGAAACATCTAATTTTTCGATCGTGTTTCGTGTGTTGAGATTGAGTTTCCCCAGGCCTCTTGAAAGTAGCCCTGGAGCTTAGTTTACTTTATGCAATGAGCAAATAATGCCCTATATGTTTTGTCTTTACTTGATGGCAAGCACATACGACCACAGGGTGTGGAAAACAGGGCTTCCCGTCCGCTCAGCCGTACTTAAGCCACACGCCGGTGAGTTAGTAGTTGGGTGGGTGACCACCAGCGAATCCTCACTGTTGTATGTTTTTGCTTTTTGGGATCATTGTTTTCCAAAGCTTTTTTTTTACGTCCAATGTTGTTGTTTTTTTGATTTGAGATTCGAAATGTTTCCATCAGTACTTATTTAACAAAATCAAAGACGTCTCATCTCATGAAACGAAAGAAAAATAAAACCTGGCCAGAATGAGGAACCCGCCAGGAAAGATCAAAGTGCAGATCAAGAAACCCCGGAACGAGATGGTATGAGCCTCATCAAACCGTCTCGGGAGGCTATTTTTTAAGTCTGTGGAAACGCCCCGCCCGCATGTTGACGGGTATTTATTCAAGATGGTCCACAAAACGAAATTGCCCGGTCTGTAGAAGAATCAGGACCCACAAACTGACGCCCCAGGTTGGGGCTTTTTTTGGATCTAGTCTTTGGAATTGGGGAACCTTGAGACAAGACTGAATTCCACTCTACAGTATCCAGTCTGCAAGTTCTCGGCATTTACGTAGTAGGCACCAATGAATCGGTGATGGATTCGTCTGAAATACGCCATGATGTTAGACTGTGCTTGCTCGTTGGTTCATATGTGAATTCTAGCACTCTATCGAACGCAATGAATATCTTCAAATTCCATTTTATCATTGACTATGATTTTTTCATATCATCCCATTACTGCCATCTTAAGCCAAATTAATTCGTCCCTGGGTTTCTCACCGTGATGTCTCGGCCGTTGAATGCTGAATCGTGCGTATTCAGACTGCGTAGCGGAAAATTCCATAGATATATGGTTACCTTGTCCAACGAACTCTCTTTTTTGCCGCCCACATTGCATCACGTTGGGAAGTGGATGAACCTGACGTCAAACTTCGGTCTTGTTTTCCACTTGGAGCGTCACATACCGGCTTTATCGAACTTTTTTGTTGCTTAATGGTCTCTATAGTCGTCGCGCCTTCTCGGGACATCCGTTTTTTGGTTTTCTCCGAAGCATCCCCGAAAAAATCTGAATATCATATGGGTCTAGCCGCCCTGCCGATCGTCTCCACATAACGCTAAATGTATGAACTGAGTGCTGATTGTAGGATAGCGTATCCTCCCGGATGAGACTTTACCCTGAGATCTACCCCAGCGGATGTTTATTCGATACTCACGCCATGAATGGCACCGATTCTTCGCCAGCCAGATTCTTCGAGAGTAATACATATCTATCTGGTGAATTTTGAGGAGATGTGTTCAGTGAACGTTGTTTGTATAGAGGGATATATTGTAAAAGCCATATCAAGGATCTCTCAGAACTTGGCCATAGAGACTTAGAGGATGCGGGATTCTCAAGCGGGCGCATAGTGTAGGACCTCATGTGCTCTCTTCGGGTGTTTCAGCGGGCTTTCTCCCCAAATTCATCTACTAGGTACCTCTTTACGCCTCAGACCCACCGCTAGGCATCCCAGTTATTTCGGTTCTCGAGCCGGAATTAATCCTGATCTTGAATTCGACCGAGAGAGGCAGGTCATCCATGGATACGTCCATGGATTCGCTCTTTGAAGATCTCGTTGCATGTGGACACGATTCCCTTGACTAAAATTGGATCTCTCCTGAAATCAACGAAAGCTCTCCAGGTGCCGGTGAGCCTGCAGCAGCTTTTAAAGCCGCCATCGTCCCTTGATCAGGACGCATCTACTCTGCACTTTACATCATGGACAAGATCTCACTTGCGATCCACATTGTCCAATCTTTCTTGGCGATAGTCATACTCGGCTGCTCGATCTATGAAGTCACACAGACTCAGATACCGGGTGTTGATTTAGCTATATTTACAGTGAGTTTTGATGAAGCCCCGATGATGAAACGGAAGTGAGAATCTGACATTGCGCTCATCTGGACAGGCCATCGCCACCATTCTAGTGGCTGTTTACATATTCACCGCATCGTTCATCGCTCGCAGTCTTTACAAAATCTGGCTATTCATCGGGTCTCATGTGATACTCGGAATCCTATGGGTTGCAACTGCAGCTGCATTAGGCCATTCTGTGTCAGGCTGTGCCTCAAATGGGGATTCTAAGCACTGCTACAGAAGACGTGACTCAAGCGAAACCCACAGCTTGTCATCGGCTTTGATCGCATTGAGTGTTATCGACTGGTTAGTCCCCCCAATGGACCTTGATCTCATACCTACGTTTGATGATTCTGACATTTGATTTGAACGTCCCTAGCCTTCTTTCGGTCGCTGCTATTGGGATTAGCTTTCGGCAAAAACAGATGCGTCGTACGCAAACTCTTGCAACAGAATGATCACTGCCATTTGGGAAGGTACCGCCTGTGTCGCGAATCGTCAACGACGGAAAGCGGAACCAGCAGGAAGAAGTATGCGGGCCGTCAGACCTCGTGGCTACCTATGTACCTGCAAGGACGGTTGTGTCTGTCTAGCTCGCCTGCCGTCTTTCTCACGGTTGACCTCCCTGGTCAACTACGCGGCGGACTTCCAACAGCCGACTGGTGGGTCGGATGGGTCTGGAGCTGGTCATGTTTTCGCGTTGGTGTAAATTGATGGGCTCGAGTGCATCGCGGAGTATGCGCTGCTCGATCTTTTGGGCCGGGCCTGGGATGCGATGCGATGCGGGATCCGTGTACGGCTTCCAAGGTTGTTGTGTACCTGGCGGAGAATTCGGAGAGTCTAGCGGCTGCCCGGCTGTCGTGAGGACCCGAAGGCCCTGACTAGTCATTTCAAAGCAACGTCACAATCAGTGTGTTATATATTCAGAGACGTCGCCGGGGCGGGATAGAGGTATGAATCTAATGTCCACGGATATATGTCAGTTCCACAATGTAATCGAAACCTGGACAGAAAGCGAAGAGACAAACCTTGGAAAGGCGGAATGAAGCATATCTATGTACTTAGGTACTCAGGTAGACCTTGGAACGTTCCAAGATTGCTGATGGTAAGTTGGAAGTTAGCAAATCTCCAACTTTGGAAGTGTCCAAGGTTATAGTGCTACTAGGTATGTCAGCCAGAAAGAGCAGGAAAGATCCGAATGTTTTCCTGTGCTCAACTTTCACTTCGCTGGTACCACTCAATGTACACCCGTGACCCGTGGACCCCACTCACTTCCGACAGTGCAGACAAGCACCGTCAGGCTTGGCCGCCAGATCAACGGCCGCCAAGAACCGACGGAACATCGCCGAACCTGCAGCAGTGCATGCGGAATTCGAGTGTCGCGGAATCAGGGACCCGGGAAAGGTTTCCGAGTATCAAGACACTCTGTACTCTGTACTGTGTCAATACACAATACCGTGTCTCATTCTCCGCAGTGGAACATCGGAATTCCGGATTCGGGTCCAAGTCCCTTGGTTCACTCCCGCCAAGACTCCACCCTCGTTTGGCAGCGCCCGAGCCAATCAGAGGGCAGTGGCTGAACATGTGGCTTTACTATACATTCAGAACCGAGCCCCTTTTTTCCGTCTTTCTGAATCAGGAGAATGTTGCTGATCGCTATCTTGCGTGGATGTACTGAAACCAATGATTTAACGTTGCAATGGATATGGAGTGAGTGGTATTTGCCTTGTGATTTGTCTTGATTGGAGTTTATATGTACAGTGACTATCCACAGCGGCCGCACACCGAGCACGAATGCGTCTTTTTGAAAGTTGAAAGATTTCCTTGTTAGGAAAAGAAGTTGGAAGAGAAAGGAAAAAGAATGATGGAACGCTAAACATGACATGGAAAGAAAAAAGTGTAAAGAGTGAGAGGACCGTACCCTCCAAAAGACCCAAGAATGATAGATCGGCGAGAAATATGTTGAGTGAATGCGACGAAATGAAAGAGACTCTGAACCCAAGCAGAGGCCACCAGGGCATTACTTCAAGTGAGTCATAGTGTAGTCCAACAAAACTTGGATCATGCAGTAGTCATAGGAACACTGGTCATCGGCAGTTGTGGGGGAGCCTGGTCATCTTCCTCGAACATGAGCTTCTCCAACTTCTGCGCCATACGGGCGCAGAATGGGTCGACGTATTTCGTCCACATCGAAGCAATCAAGTATACCAATGCAATCCACGCCGGAATGCTAATTGCAACAACCCAGGGAGCGCGCAGGGGAATCCAATGCGGGTGGAGGGGCTCGCCATCATCGCCATAGATGGGGTTGCCTTTGTCGTCCACGATATCGCCATCCCAGGGCTGCCCGGTGATGCCGTAGAGCATCCAGCACAGTACTGTGCGGAGCAGAGTGCCGTGCACTAAGTAGACGGCGAAGCTCTGCTTTCCGAGCCATAGAAGAAGGCTGCTGGAGAGGAATTCCTTGGTGGAGGGAGAGATGTAGATGGCGAAGATGATCAGGTCGACACCGAGGGCGGAGTACCGCTTGCCGATGTTGACTTCTGGTGGGAAGATGTAGTGCGCGGCTTGGTACATGTAGTTGGACCATGTGGCCCATTCAGGGTGCTCTCCGGGGTATGAGCAGATGAAGAGGCCGATGGATAGCAATGTTAGCGCCACAATTTTGCGACCCCAGCTGTGGCGCTCGATGAATTCTTTGAAGCCCTTCTCGTAGGCTAGATCGCTGAGGAACATACCATAGACGGCCTGCATCTGGAAGGTTTCTGATAGAACTTTTAGCTTTGCAAAGGAATGTGAGGTGCACGGTGGACAAACCAGTATCTTTGGCGGGATCCTGGTGGAAGTACAAGTACATTCCCAGGTAGATCGCCAGGCGGAATCGGAATTTCACGAACATTGTCGCGCAGATCAGGACATAGACCAACATAGATGCCTTGAGCAACGGAAGCAAAGCCCACTGGTGGTCATCATACGCCATGTATCCCGTAGTCCAGACTTCCAGGAAAGTCTTGAAAAGACGCACGAACTCATCCCAGAATGTAGGCGCAAGATCAACGGCGGCGTACCGGCACCACCAGCAGTCCGAGCGATTAGCCACAACAAAGGCCCCGAATTGCGCCATGATCCACGAGATGATCAGCGCAATCGTAGCCGGGAAGATAAGACGAGGAGGGCGACGGAACGCGCTCTTCGCCACCGAGGTGAAAGAGCCCAGGAAATCACCATTGCGAGACTGCTTGAGTGGTTTCAGAGCGCAAACGTAGCCGGTCAAAAAAGCAAAAATCGTGACGCCCAATCGGCCTTGCCAAGGTATACGGAGGACGGGCCATTGCAGAATTCGGGGAGCGATGTCCACATCATCGCGGGGCGCAAAGAGGTCGTAGTCCCAGGCTCGGGCGAGATGAGTGAGCACGACTAGGAAAGAGGCGATTCCTCGGAGACCCTATGAGGTGTTAGTGTTGCCTCTTCAGTTCGTGCTCAGACGCGGCGCACATCGATCCATTTCACGCTTTTTCGCGGATCTCCTTTCACTGATGGATCTGCTGACTTCCAAGGCACGTTATCCAAGAGGCGAGAGTAGAGGTGTTGAGGCTGTATGTATTCCATGGCTGTTGCAGATGATAGGAAGGCCGAACGAGTCGGAGAAGCAACCTTAGGCGCCTAGCGAGTTGGTCGGATTGAAAACAAGAATGTGACCATGAAATTTGAGAAGTATTAAGCATGCAAACGCAGCTGACAACGAGTGGTGATCCAAGATAAAGACCGTGTATAGGCGAGTGTAGACTTCAAGACACCGACCTAGAAGAAGCACCGAGAGCAATGATTAAATCGGGGAAAGAAGCAAAATAGCAGACGGGGGTATATGTAAGGAAATCCGAGGCAGTTGACACGGACAATCAGGGCCAAGCCGAAAACAGTCAAAATGGGACATCTATGGGGTACGCAGTGGGCCTGCAATACCGACAGTTGATGTCGGTGGATCAGTTCCTGACAAGCCATTTCAGGACCCCGGATATTCAGGGAACCCGCTCGTTTACCGTATTCTATGTCCGTATTGTGACTCTCTTTACGAAATATCTTACTCTCAGACCTGAATACTGGGCCTACATTGACAAAACGGAAGGGGCAGCGTTTGTATGCCACTCTCCTAGCTTGTTCAAGGGGCACATGCAGTGTATCCAGACCATCTCCGTAATCCGTTGCAGATTGAAGCTATCCGGTGCATCTTCCCCTAAAAAAGCCATTCAGGCGAAGATGCTGACGACGCTCTATTTAATGATTGCACCCCCTGCCAATGAAGAATCGCGGCGCATTCCCCGTCAACCATGGCTAAAAGCCGCCTCAAATTGCGCCAGACCTTGGCGCCGATCGTCAAACATGTAGACTCGGAATCGAACGTGTTTCAATTTTGATCTTTGCTGGCCAACCAGGTGCGTTTGGGATTGATTGTCTGGATTTTGTGGGGTGTATATCTGACTGCCTATTTATGCCCAGGTGTACACCTGGGCTCTGTATGTACAGGGTTCTGCGTACGGTACAGAGTAAGGGACGGAATTTCAACTTGAACGTTATTTTACCCCTATATTTCCGCTGTGTACGAAAGCGAGAGGTAATCGCTTAATGTAGCCCTACGGAGTGCGTGAGTAGTTTATCTCGGACGCGTCGTCTCAATTGCACGACTTGGTGGGTAAATGGCGCCATTCTTCACATCCCACTTAAAGCCGAGGGTGAGAGTCTTCGGACATCAATTCCTAACAGACTATAGAATGAAAACTCGCATCTCATTATTTACGAATACGCCCGTATGGTGTATGCTGTACGACAGACTCCGTACCGCCACCCTGAATTATGCCCAGATGTCTATGCCACAGCCAATGGGGCTAGATTGTATGGCTTCAGCCATGTCCCAAGGAAATATGTGACCTCTCAGTCCCACCCGTCAGCGCTATTGAAAAAAGGTCGAGAAATGATGTGGACAAATTATCGCCGCCCTATGATGCACGTGAAGCGCATGAGGTCTTGGCGATCGGCGGACCCTGAAAACAGGCCTCGGATCAGCGTGGCCAAACCCCCCTGAATCCTGCCTGCATCTTTGAAGTTGTAGCCTGTTCTGCCAAGTTGGAGTTGCAGGTGCAAAAGTACATGTCACATCCCTATAAGGTTGACAAAGATCTGCTGTGCTGTAGGCGCTTGGCGACGAAAATCACCAGTTCCACTTTTGTCGGAAATCGGCAAGGTGTCCGAGCGGAGCCTGTAACTTGCATCTCGACTGTCAGCATTTTCCCACCTTGGAAATACGTACTTAATATTTCAAGGGGTACTCGGTAGTGATTCGGCACGGGCTGGGAACTATACAATTTTCCCGTAGCGGACAAGTCCATATGTAGCAATGTCTCAGCGTTACACCGTACGGTGACGGATTCTATGTCAAACGAGCTTGGCAGCAGAAAGCGACAGCCAATGCCGCGCCAAGATCACGCAATTTTGGGCCGGACACGTCCATTGCCCCTGATTCTGGGGACTTCTTAGGGGCTTCGAACGTGGATAGCCCCAGCCTTCTGTCCCCCGTACTCCGTATACTCCGTATGATCACTGCTTCAGAATGCGGGTCATACATTGCTTGCTGGCCTTCACGTTGGCCTTGACTTCGGCCACGATTCTCGAGAATGGCCAAGTGAGAGAGAACCCATACCCGGGTCAGGTGTCGGCCATTGACCTCGATGATTCGTGGAGGACCTACGAGCCTGATGCCCCGGAGATTTCCTACAAGGGTCGCTGGGATAGCAAGCACGTTTCCTGTATGTCTACGCCACACATCTTCACATTCCCCTTCCTATCATGCTAACAGTGATCAGGGTGGTCGTATGTCTCACTTTCTGTGCAGCTGCATTAGCTGACCGTTGATCTTAGCGCACCGGGACTTAAAGTTGAATTTTCCGGGGATAAAGTGCGTCTTGTCACGATCAACTTTATCTTCGGGTCCACAGGCTAATTTTTCTCTAGCTTGCTCTCAGCTTCGGCCAGAGTACCACCCCAGGCGTGCTGGTCGCCTATCGGTAAGGAGATCGTCTATGCCCCAGGCTCATCGGCTAAGGTTCAATAGCGTCGGATCGCTCGACTGGCAATTCTCCAACGTCACTGCCGACGCCACGTACCAGTTTGTTGGTCCCTGGTCCGAGCTGGCAGATGGCGAGGAAATTCCCGACAAGAATGTATTCGAGATGCGAGGTATGTAGTCCATTCTTATCATATCACGTTCGATTCGCTGACTGCATTCCAGTGACTAATTGGGGCTTTGGATAAGTGTGCACTATGGATTGACGATGCGCCCTGCTGACCTTGCACACAGTCCAAATTGCGGGTGTTGCTGTCGCTAGCGACGCTGCCTTATCACAGCCTCCGAAGTTTGAGAAAAAGATCGAGATCATCGGCGGCTCGTGAGTTTGATCCCTGTTCCGCGCCGCGAGAGGACCCTCCCACTAACTTTTCGCAGTCTTGCATCTGGGCAATTTGCAACGTATGAGACCCTTTCCTCTTGGTCTTTCCTCTTCGCGAATGGCCTTGGCAACGTCGAGTACGGAATAACAGTCAGTCCACATCGCCCACATCGCATGTTATTACCTTCATTCTAATCCATCATTCTAGGCATATCCCGGCGTTTGCCTTGCCGACCTTCAATGCTACGGAGGCGGCACACATGGTGTGGTACGATCATCATTCACCCTCTGACTCACCAATTCTAACAAAATCCTAGCAATGGTTCTGGCACCATGCCTCAGACCCTGGATCTCGCGCTTCGGCAGCGTACGGCGCCGAGCCTGAAGAGTGGGACGTTGTCGCAGAGCAGCCTGCCGATCTGGTAATTATCCAAATGGGTGGCAACGACCACCGCCATCCCAACGATATCCCAGGAAGGAATTACTACCACGCCTATGTCGATCTGGTAGATGACATCCACTCCGTCTGGCCTAATGCCGTTGTTATCCTCATGGTACGCAATGCCCCGTGTCATCACGCCCTGTGTTTCTATCATACTAACCTGCCCAGTCTCAATGGGGAACATTCATCAAGCAGAAGAAGCAGTACGTGGGCAGTACATACTACCTTGAAGAGACGAAGCAGGTCTACGAGCACTTCAAGGACCGTGGATTTGTCTACTACTTCCCCACGGAGGGTCTTTTGGCTCACAATGATATTAACCCCAAGAACCATCTTACCGATGTGGGGCATGTCAAAATTGCAAGCCATCTACTGCAGTGGGTTAAGTTGGTTCTCAGATGGAAGCTTGAGCCAACGAGTGAAGTCCAATCTGGAACCACTTATTGGAACGATCAGCAGGAGTATTGATTTGTGTTTGATCATTGTATTTAGACTACTGCATTAGAGCAGGCGTTTGATGGCTCGTTGTAAATTTAAAAGAACCTTCAGCGATAGAACCAATCATCGTAGGAACCGTGGAGTTTTTCTTTTGTTGCTTTTCTCGTAGTGTGTAGGCGCTTTCTTGTACCACGCCATTGATTCCACTAAGACCTGGGGTCAAGGAACGCTCGGAATGCGTCAATCGAGCTTCTCTTGGCCCGATTCCGGGGTATTTCTGGCTGGAGCAGATTCCCAGGGTTTGTGACTGTGATGAGTTCATCGCTGGGCGACATACCCCAGAAACGCAAAACAATGAATGTATTTTGAGATTAAGGTGCTCGGGATGCTCCGGGAGAGTGGTTCAACAAGACAAACATAGTCATGAAATGTGATGAGTCTGTGATCTGACTACTAGGAGAGCCAGGGAGACGGAAAGAAGTATTGATTCTGGGAGAGCGAGGAAGGGTTGATAAACTACTACTCTATGAAGGGCTGCAGTCATCTGACTGGCAAGATTTCGGCCATGTTTCCGAGTGTGGCAGCATCCATCCTATCCCAGATGTCTTGTCGATGTCCTTCAGGATCATCTGTCCGCAAAGCCAATTCCGAAAAGAATGGAACTTCGTAAGATTGGTTGTTCAGCCTTTTCCGTCGTATCGTACGCTGGACACTCCGCTGGGGGTGGAGTCATAGCTTCTGCCGTTGGCCATTTTGTAGCAAGGCCCATATACCACGTCTTTGCCATCTCGTTAAAAACGCGCTTTTTCTTCTCCGCCAACACGTAGAGCGCCTCACAACAGTTTGTGAACCTTGGAATACCTGCCGTATCTGGTCGAATTCGGTGTGACCGGAATGGAAATTGGGAATCGTTGGCACCAGCGGGGGATCCTCCCCAGCTCCATCTCGTCAGGACCCGGATCCGGGTCAACAATATCGATCTCCTGGGTCAATATCTGGTCAAGCATGTTACCGTCTTCCGGAGGATCGTCAATCCGATGGGATAAGACAGTGATATCCCGATATCCGACATGGTTCTGCCGGAGGAAATCAAGCCATTGAACAATCGCATGGCGGCGTACGCGGAAATCCTGGGTGAAGACGACGCATCTCGGGATTCTCGTCAGCGTTAGAAGAACGGAGCAGAATCACGTCTAACTCCGCAGGGAGGAGTCGGGAAGACGATCATGGTCATGTGCCATGAGTCTCGTGCTCTGAGAGAGGTCTCTCAGATATCTCGCCCTTTCTCTCTCTCTCCGCCCCCCCTTTTGGAGAATCAATCAGCTCCCTGCTCTCTCTTCCCGTGCTAACCAGTAGCTATCACAACAGAGTTTCCCTCTGAACAGCTTGTAAGCGACCAGTGTTTTTTCCGGGCCGACGCATTGACTGGTCATTTTTCAGTTGCTTCTCACATCTCCTAGCGCATCAGATGGTTAGAAGTATTCCGAAAGGTACTTTGTATGCAGGCTGACACTGTTGTTTTCTCGGGAGTTTCTGTTTGAAGTGCGGCTCGCTCCCGCACATGGAACCTTCGCCTTCCTCATCCTTGTCATTGAAAATGACAGCTGGGGTAGCTGCCGTACTGTGCACAAATTCCATCCTCACTATCACTTCCCCATCTCCAAAGGGGAATCCGTGTTGGCCACGGATCCTCCCAGACGGAAGCACCGACTCGATGGAAAGGGTGTGAGTGGGGGAAGTGAGGGAGAAAGGCAAAGTGGGTATTTGTAGTGTCGACAAGGGTATGGGTGATCTGAACTCTGCTGAGAGCAAAAAGCCAGAGTTGAGATTAACTGTCTACCCCTGAAAGATAGAAAGATGAAGGAGGGAAAAGCGAGGAGAGAGGAGAGAGTGAGCTATCATCGGGAACAACCAGGATCGCCTGGCCGGGGGTTCACAACTATGGGCTCTCGGTATCTATTGCTCATATCTATTCGATCCTTCAGATTAGCTTAGATCGGCTGCCGTTTTATATGTTTGCTATTTTTTGTGAGGGCCGTCTGGTCAAGTGACTGGTGTCCCTCACTGTTAGCAGTAGAATAGCTTCTCTCTCCCTTTCCCCTTCCTCCCTCACAATGGATTTGTCTATGGCTTCTTGCTTCCAGTCACAGTAGTCAGATCACCATTTCATAGGGTAGTTAGAGGCTTTGCCAACCGCATTGACCGTGTCTCTCCTCGTCAAATTAATTCAAGAGAAATTTATGATTTATTTCATTTCATATTAATTTCTACGATTCTTGGGTGTTGCAAGCGATAGTCCAGAGCTCTGGTGGTGAACCTTAGAAGCTCCACCATATACTCTTTCCCTTCTTTTTTCCTCCTCTCTACTGCTCCCTCGAAAGACTTCACCCTTCTTTCTCTTCCAAGCACTCTGCAGTCTGCATCAAATTAACCACATGAAAAGTCAAACTAGTTAGCCGATGAGGTGTCCCCGCCGATCCCACCACAGCTCGGTCAACTTCCGAAATATGCCTCTACCCCAGATCAGCCCCCGCAAGCTTGGCGATACCGACAGATGTCCCACTGCATTGCCAAGTCTATGGTTTACCAACGGTATTTGAGCCTGTACGCCACAGCCATATTCGTCGCACAAGAGCTCGGCAAATGTCCGTCGATCAGAAGCACTGTCCCAACCTACTCCACACCACCTGGACGGCGATATAACGCACGCTTTTGAAGCGGCTAGATACACCTTCTCTTGGCTGAAGGGCCTGATCACTCGGTGAGCTGGATTTTGGCCGTTTACTTCCGAGTGGCACTCGTGTGGCATGATGAGTCTGGCAGGGGAGATTGTGTTGAGCACTAGATGATTTACATTGAGCTTGAGCTTTGACTCATGGCCCCTGTTGACCCCGCGTGTAGGTCAGTTTTGGCCTCGGAAAACTTCCTTGTTGTAATATAAAAGGAGTCGATTTTGTGTGGCCACCTGCTTTTCGTTTCACTCGTCCTTCTCATAAACACAAGCAACACGAGCTCTTTTCAACAGGCGTGCTGTGATTTGAGCAAATATGGGTCTCTTCAGCCATCTGGGGTTGTCCGACCTCCCCAAAGAGATATTCAACTACCGTCTCTTTTGGTCTGTTGGTGTGTTCGGTATGTGATGACTCTAATAGCTCTAGTTACTGTCACTGACAGCATCGCAGGCATCCTCGGAGCGGGACGAGGAATCGATGAAGGCCTGGTCGGCGGCATGATCTCCCTCAAGAGCTTCAAGGATGAATTCCCATTGGAAGTCGGCACTGCCTCGGAGATCGCCAACCGCGAGTCCAACATCACAAGCATGGTCCAGCTCGGCTCCATAGGCGGCGCTCTGCTAGCTTTTATCCTGTGTGATCGAATCGGCCGAGTCAGATCCCTTCAAGCTCTGACGTTCCTCTGGGCTATCGGATTTGTCATTGTTGTCACTAGTTTTGGCAACATTGGGCAGATTCTCGCAGGTCGCTTGATCGCCGGACTCGGCGTTGGTATGACCACAGTGGTTGGTCCGACTTATCTAGCAGAGGTTGCCCCCAAGGAGATTAGAGGTATGCTGACCAACATCTTTGCCGGTGCCGTGTACCTGGGTGTGATGATTGCGTACTTTGCCAATTGGGGTTGTTCGGAGAACATATCCGACTCTTCTCGTTCGCAATGGGTGATTCCACAGGCAATTCACATTATGTTTGCTGGGTTAGTGATACCATCCTAGTTCCAAGTTCCATACTCACATTTTTGTTCTAATAGGGTCATTTTCATTGCTTCTTTGACTGTCTCAGAGAGCCCACGGTTCCTCGTCATGCGAGGGAAACACGAACAGGCTCTAAAGAATCTGTGTACCCTACGCCAACTACCTAGCGATCATCCCAGTATCATGTCCGAGATTCTAGACATCCGCGATCAACTAAATCACGAGCAGGAGAGCACCCGGGGATCCTCACTCTGGGGAAAGCTCAAAGAGCTCATCACAATCCCAGCTAACCGCTACCGCTTGATGCTTGGTGTCATGTCACAATTGCTTGGACAATGGTCTGGTGCCTCGGCGATCACCATCTACGCGACCAGCTTCTTCGCTGCACTGGGAAAAACCGGTCAAAGCGAGAAGCTATTTGCAACCTGTATTCTCGGGATCGTCAAATTCTGCTCCGCCTATATCTGCGCATTCTTCCTCATTGATTTCCTCGGTCGTCGTCGCTCCCTCTATACCGGGATCATCCTGCAAACTCTATCGATCTGTTATATTGCAATCTACATGGCCAAAGTCCCAGCCTCCGCTCACGTTTCAGAGACCAGTGAAATCGCTGGCTCTGCTAAGCGTGCAGGCATCGGCGCAATTGCGGCCATCTATATCTCCGGCTTTGGTTGGGCGATCGGCTGGAATTCGTTCCAGTATCTGGTTAACGCGGAGATTTACCCCAGTCGGTTGCGTGCCCTTGGCTCATCAATTGTCATGTGCATTCACTTTGCCAATCAATTCGGAAACACTAAAGCAGTCCCGAATATGGTGCTTGCCATGACGAACTACGGCTTTTTTGTCTTCTGCACGGCGGTTTGCGTTCTTGGTCTTCTATGGGTCTGGTTCTTTGTGCCTGAGACAGCTGGTAGAAGTCTCGAGTCGATGGAGGAGTTGTTTGCTCTGCCGTGGCATCAAATTGGTCGCCATGGTAAGTCTTTGTCTCCAGTCGGGGATGGCCTCTTTGGTGAGGACCAAGAGAAAGCTCGCGCTATTCATCAAGAGTAGCAATGCTTTGGACTGTCATGGTCATACCATTTGAATATAGGTTGATCTTACTGTGATCTAATCTTGGAAGGCTGGATATAGCGTATGAACTTCGATCTTGCCCTTTGATATTGCTTTACAGTACTCTTCTAGATCATTTACACCGACCTTTGAACTTTGTTAAAAGTATCTCAGTCAATGCAAGGCGTCCAACACAGCCTTACAGCACAGCCCTACAGAACAGGCCTGTGCGAAGGACGGAACTATGAATATCTGCCTCAGGCATCAGACATACCCAACTAGGCAAGAGCCGAGGCACTGCAGACGATCAATAATCGACGCCACGACGGTAATTCGCCAAGTCCGAGTGAGGCTTCCCAACCGATCCACTTGCCTCGAAGAGATTGGCGCTCAGGAAAGTTCCCAACGTGTTTGACGGCCGAATTTCCACTTCGGGCGCTGGCCGATGGAGATTTTTTTCTTCCAACATATAAGAAGACAATAACCTCGACTACTTCTAGAATAGTATCGACACTAAAAAAAGGCCTCTCTACTCATACCTCTCGGTGACTCCACAACAGACATGGCTCCACAACCAGTCCCATTCCCAGGCTTCACCCCGATATCTGATCGGGTATACATTCGCGACGGCAATGAGAAATCCAAGCCAGTCCCGGCCGACGAGCCAACGACTATTCTGATCTCCGGCTGGGGAGACGGCATGCCCAAGCACGTCACTAAATACTCCGAGGGGTACCATGAGCTCTATCCATCCGCTCGAATCATCGTCGTTCTGTCGCGCACCCTCCAGGCCTCGAATCAGCCCGAGGAAGACAGAATTCAGGCCATGATGCCAGTCGTCGATACCATCTTCCCCACTCCGACAGGCGATGGTGTTGAAGAACGCGTCCTCATCCATGCGATGTCCAACACGGGCGCGATCTTCGCCGCAGCCGCTGTCGTCGGTTACCAGCGTCGTCATGGCAAGGATAAGACTTTCCCGCATAAGTTGCTGGTCTGTGATTCCACGCCTGGAAGTTTGGACTTTGCTTCGCAGGTTGGTCGCTGGTCGCGGGCGATGGCGGTCGGCACGGCCAAGTTCTTCCCTTGGCCGTTCATCATCACCCAGGGACTGTGGTATATTTTCCTCTGGGCCAATTATGCTTGGGAGGTTCTCCGTGGCTCTGAGGCGTCTGGCGTCTGGGCCAATCGAGTCATGAATGATCAGTCGATCATTACTACCGAAGCAAACAGACTTTATCTGTACTCCAAGGAGGACGAGATTATTGGATGGAAGGATTTGGAAGAGAACGTGGCGCAGGTCAAAGCACAGGGCTACCCCGTCGAATTAGAGATGTTTGAAGGCTCACCGCATGTTGGACATATGAGGCTGCATCCGGAGCAGTATTGGAACAGGATCGCTGGTAGCTGGAAGCAGGCGATGGCCAAGGAGTGAATGTTCCGATCATTTTGTATTTATAATTAGCTAGACTATAGATAATAATTAGACCCATTACAGTGGAGAGATCTGCAAATCAGGCCTCCATTGGAGATGCCAACAACTTGGACTGTCAGACTGCATTGCTTAGGGCTGCTGAACACCTCATCTGCTCTATTTATACGCGCACTAATCCTGAATCGGTTTAGTGGGATCGAAGAACTTGAGATGTCGACAGATCGTGACATCCATTCAAATGCGATTATGGCGCCCTTGACCTTCGTGACCGGGAATCCTAATAAGGTGATTGAAGTCAATGCCATCGTAAGCAAGACAATCTCCATTCAGCCCCTTGCGCTTGACATCCCCGAAATACAAGGGACATTGGAAGAGATCGCGACGGACAAATGTCGACGCGCCTCTCATGTTGTGAGACAACCTGACACTTTGAAGGATACTATCGTTGACAGTTGGAAATCAGATTAATGGACCTGTTTTGATTGAAGACTCAGCCTTGGAGTTCCGGGCTATGAAAGGGCTTCCTGGTCCTTACATGTATGTGACTCACAGTCTGGCTATTTCGGGCGCTGACCTTTGCGAAGTAAATACTTCCTGGAATCATTGGGAAATGATGGACTGAACAAGTTGTTGGATCCTTATGAAGACAAACACGCAGAGGCTGTATGCACATTTGCATTTTCTTCAGGCCCAGACATGGATCCACTGGTCTTTCAGGGGAGATTAGAGGTAATTCGATATAAGCATCACACCATTGACTATGATGCCTTTGATGCTAATTTCATCTAGGGCAACATTGTTCCAGCCCGTGGCCCACCAGTATTTGGTATGTCTGGAAATATGCTCAAGTCATTGATGCCTGCTCATCGATATAACAGGATGGGAGCCTATATTCGAACATAACGGAGAAACTTTGGCTGAAATGGAGCATGATAAAAAGGTAGATATCCTAATCTGAAGGGCGAGGCGCATTGGTGAAACTAATTCAACACAGAACAAGTTATCCCACCGATACCAAGCACTGGTGAAGTTCCAGCAGTGGCTCAGCCATACCCAGTGATGACCATACATTACAACTGGTAGGCCTGCTGTCAACTCTGATCCCAACAATTCATATCAATCTTGAAAGACCCATGACGTTGGTCCTCGTCTCCAGAGAGCTGAAAATCGAACCGATCATAATGAAAATAGCGTACTATATCTAAGATGTCAAAAGATTTTCAGTGGTATCGCGTCCTTCTAGGATATTGCACACTGCATAGATCTGAAAGTTTACGCGGATGCATCGTGTTTGTTATTTAGATTCCTTCGTCAACTATATCAAATTACCAACGTCACGACCTAAACATGGATTTACCTCATAGAACCCACAGTGCTTCAATATGCTCAATCACGATCATCAGGATGGAAAACCAACGCCCGAACCTCAATACTCTCCCTCGCAGCCTCACCAACCGTCTCCGGATTCTCAAAAGCAGTATGAGGCACACGACGAGCCCTCCCATCAGTCTTCGAATCAAAGCATTTAATCAAAGTCACCAAATCCGGCGTCTGCCCATACCGATAATACCACTTAATATCAGGATTCGGCTTAACAGAATACGTCTCTCCTTCCCGGTTCGGGTAAATGAGCTTAATGCCCACGAGATCAGTATCTGGAACCGAGTGCGCATCAGCTACGGCGAGAGGATCCTTCAGAATCGTCTTAATGGGTCTCCAGACGTTGATGATTTGGTATCGGCCTTTGAGGAGCTCTGGGGCGTCATCGGGTAGGTGGAAGGGGACGCGACTCTTAGAGGCTTCGTAGGATTGGTCGATGTGGACTCGTTGGACGGGGCCGCGGAGGTCTTTGCCTGCTCTGCCGTCGTTGGGGGCGCGGCGGATGGTGTGGTCGAAGATATGGATGCGGGTTGCACCGGTGCTGTAATTGTTAGTTGGGTTTCTGTCGGGAGAGATGGTTGAGTACGTACGCGTCTTTCAACAGCTGCTCTGTCTCCGGGTAATAATCCCTCTTAATCTTCTCGTCGTCTAGGAAGTCCTTCTCTTGGCTTTCGTGGTAGTAGAGCTGGAATCCGTGCGTATCGAGAGCATAGTCCAGCTCATGGCCACTGATATCATGGACAGTAACCGAAAGGGGGGTATATGGCCTTTCGTACGTCTCCGGCTGTCCAACGTATGTGGGATGAGGAGGAGATCCGTCTTCATTTGCTTTGAAGAAATTCAGTGTCGTCTGTACGTGGTGCGGATTCTCGGGGGCGGGAACCTGGGGCTTCGATGCTAGCGCGGAGCCATGCGATCCAGGAAGTTGAACTGCTGCTGATGCCATGTTTGGTTTCGAGACTGATGCTTTGGTTTCTGCTGCAAACGATCTATTGTCGTCTTTATATGGTGAAGTTGATGCGGGGGAAGAGTGCCATTTGTCAGTCAACAGCACGCAATCCTCGTATTACATGGACAAATAGCTGATAAATGCATACAGGTTACCACCGGAAATACAACATGTGATGGAGACATTATTAATGAGCATTTGCGATTTATAATGCTCTCGAGGCATGGCGTAACATTTGCGAATATGCGCGCGAAGCCATGCCCTCATTGGAGATCTATAGGAGACCAACCAGGGAGCCCGTCACCGCTAGCCCTCTCATTGCGGCCTAAGAGGACCATTGATGGACGAGGCTACATTGAATCCTCAACTTCCCATGACAGAGGCTTTAAAGGGAAATGAAGTACAGCCAAGGCCATTGCAAATACCTGTGTTGTGACAAAGAACCCGAGATTTTCGTTGATGCATTAATGTTTAAGGAATGCAATAAGAAAGTATGTAGAATTACTGGACAGTTTGCAGTAAAAGAAAAAGGAAAAACATGGGAAAGTCATTTGTGCTATGGGGGTTTGATTCATACAATCACCATTTCGCTCGCAACGGTTCAAAGAGGATAATTTGACAGAGAAAAGAAAAAAAAAAAAGAAGGGCAAAGACGCATCATACACCGACACCAGAACAGAGATCGCGGAACGGGAAATAAGGAAAATCCAAACGACTGGCAAAACACAGCAAAGAAAATCAAAAAGGGCGTGGGGCATTCGAGAAACAAATAAAAGTAGTAATTGTGACAACACAACTTGACATCATAGACAGAAGAAGCGAAGGGAGAGCTTGAGTAGAGCTCAACGTTTTTCAATGGCTCAGAACATGAGCGAGCGAGTCTTCTGGCGACGAGCGTCGGCAGAGCCCATCTCGGGTTGGGAGTAGGTGTGTTTGTGGCGAGGGCGGGGGGACTGGGGCGCCGGCGCCCCGGACCCCGCAGAGGATGGAGGTCCCGTCAGAACACTGTTCCTGTCTCGCACGGGGGAGGGGGGAGCAGCGCTTGGAGCAGGGATTGAGCTGGCCGGACGACGCTCAGAGGCCTCACTCTTGGTTTCAGTCTTGGACTTCATGGCACGCTCGCGCTTGAGCACAAGATCGGCCCAGGGCTTGATGGACCCGCCACCAGAAGTAGAGCCCTTGCCAACGGCTTCAGACATTACTCGCAACCAGCCATCTTTTTCGGCGGGACTGTCCGCATAGAAGTCGATTACTTCGCCATTGCCGAATCGGATGCGGAATCCTTCTTCAACAAACATGTAGCCATCCTCCTCCTCCGCAAAGGCAGACTTGCGGCGTCCACCGTTCCTTGTGCTGGTCTCCTTCTGGAGGAGAGAGGATCGGTCATCGATCAGTTTTGAGGCTTTAGCTAGGTTGATCGTCGCGCGAGGCTGGCGGGTGGTTTCGTGATAAGCTGTCAGTTTGGAGCCCTGAAGCTTAAAGAAGCGACGTCGCCAGAACTATGATAACTTGTTAGGATGAAATTTACTGTACCAGGGGTCGAAGATACTTACCGGACAGTCTCCACCTTGCTGGGATAGGAAGCCTTCCCAAGAGCGAGCGGAGACACTCTCGGCATCACGCATCTCACGGATACACGCGTTCATGCTCTTCGGCATATCCTCATCCTTGCTACCCTTAGGTTTAGGCACAAATAGCAACTGGACTTCGAGTTTGCCAATCTTGTAGGGTGGACGGCGCTGTGTGTTCACGCTCGTCGCACTCTTCTTGCTCTTGACACTGCTCATTTGTTCTTCAACGGCCCATTCATTGAAGCAAGCAACATCGACGATGTGTGGGCGACCAAATGCCTGCTGTTCGTGATCGCTCAGTGCAACATAGGCACGACCGAAGCTGCCATCGCGCGCGACGAGGTTGCGAAGTCGGTCGTAGACAGGGGCATTGACATCCTTGGCCTTCTGCTGCTGGGACTGCATTTGCTGCTTGATGTCAAGTTCCTTGCGGCGTCGTGGAGACGCAAAGACTCGGCTGAGGGCCGAGGTCTTCTGGCGAGAGGGTGAGGCTTGGGGCTCTGGTGTTTGGAACTTGGACTCGTCGATCTTCATTTGCAGAGTCAATTGGAACTCCAGATCATTCTGGACTATGAGTTCGAACTCCTGGCCAATTGGAGCGGACTTGCCCATCTCCAACCATGATGTGGTAACACAATGCAGGCCGTTATCCAAAGTCAAGGCAAAGTAAGAGCGCTCGCCTATTGATTCAATCGCAGTTAGCAAATTGGCCTATGGTAGAAGTGTGCTTTGAGGGGTTCTTACCTCGGGGCAGAGGGAGATCACAATATTTGAGACCAACAACCTTGACGAATAAGCGGCCTCGCTCCTCGCCTTCTTCAAACGACTCTGAAATCGCTGGTTCGTTCTCTTCAATGGTCGCCGGAGCCTCCTGTACGGCACTAGCCTGTCCAGGAAGAGGGGGCACGCCACCAACTCCTGGGACGGGCTTCTTCTTGGGTATTCCGGTGGCCTTGATACTTGCGCGGCGGGGGCTGCCATTCCACGGCACTGTGGTCCAGGTTTGCTGGCTGGGCTTGCGCGGAGAAGATCCAGCTGAGCGGGTGCCCCGAGGGTCCTGTGCGGTTTGCTCCGGGGATGGCATAGGTTCTTCCTCGTTTCGACTGCTGGCGATGATGACCTTGGTGTTCTGTCTCATCAGGTATCCTCGCTGTTGGGTTCGGGCATTAGCTGGGGGTCTATTTCCTCTTTCGACGGGGTCCTTGGGGTGATTGCTTCGGGAAGACTCTGATTGGGAAAGAGCGAGGTGGAACGCTACCTTTTGGGTTTCAATGACACGGTCGAACTCCTTGTTAAGACCAGATCCAAGGCTCTCTTCCTGGATGCTGAAGGGGATGTCGAGTTGCATCAAGCTGCTCTGGCGCTGGGCGAAATCACCCGACAGCGCCAGCTTGGGAGGTGACTCAGTAGGCTTCTGGTCTTCATCGGAGTGAGATGATTCATTTGAGTGCTGTTTTGTCAATGGGGGAACTGGAGGGATATGCTGCCCACTGATCTTACGACGGGTGGCAGCCATCGATTGCATATCCGCAGGAGTAAGAGAGGGGCGAGTCTTCAGGCCAGCGCCTGGGGCCCTGATGGTAGCGACAGGGTCAGGCACAGACTCATCGGATGAGCTTTCATAGTGTTCGGTTTGCTCCTCCTCGGGGTCTTCTGGCTTGAGTTGTCCCTGCTCAGGGTTCTCTTCATCCCGGTCATCATATTCCTCGTCTTCATCGTCTTCTTCCACTGGGTGGCGGATGACAGAGTCGGGTGTCGAGGGCTCAGAGCCTTCCTCATCATGCATCACTGGGGTTACAGGACGTGCCAAGGCTTGGCTCACCGACGACATATCAAAAGATTTGTTGTCAGGCTCCGGCTGGTTCTCCTTGTTTTCACTGTCGTCCGTAAACTCAATTGGCTTTTCGACATCATGTTCAACGCGCGTGGGCGTAGTCTGGCCGGAGCCGTGGCTTTGGTTCTCATTGCCTGCCTGAGCGCGATCAGCCGCTTCAGCCGCTTCAGCGGCAGAGCGCAACGAGTAATTGCTGTCCTCGTCGTACTTGGCCCGCTGATCACGGGATGACAGGCTGTTGTCAGACGAGTTTTGGTAGTAACCTGAGATAGAGTAGAGGTCCTCTTCCTCTTCCTGGTCTTCTTGCTTCACGATTATGCTAGAGTCATCATTGTCGTCATTTTCCAAGGATGGAATGGGGACGTCAGGGTCGTAATGTTCATAAGGATTAGGGCTGGATGCAAGTTGGGATTCGTCGAAGCTGTCTTCTTCCTCGTAGCTGTCACCCTTGCGGATACCACGGAGAATCGAGTCGCGCGATATTCTTGGGGGAGAAAAGAAGATGTCCTTGTTTTCCTCATTGTCGCCGACGCCATTAGTTGGGGTTGGATCATCGTCCGGCTCAGGAAGCTCCAAGGGACCTTCGGTATTTTGGTCGTTGTCATGGTTCTCATCTGGGTTCTTCTCTTGGAGCATCATAAGACGAAGTCGATCCTCCAAAGAGACAGCACCGCCAATGTCTGATTTATTAAATGATGCAGCAGCCGGGTGTGCAGGAAGTCCACGCTGGCTGCCACTCCCCAGCTCGAACGCGGAGGACATGTTCCCTGCCGACGAAGGGCGCGCGCCCGACATACGGTTCAGCGATGGCAAAGGGGGAAGGGGACGGCGCTCGCCGTTAGAGTCCAGGGACTCCACACGCGTTCGTCGAGTGCCTCCGCCTTCGCGTGAGACTGGTCGCTCCTCGGCGTTATCATTTTCGACGTGATCAACGAACGAATCCTCCTCGTCGTGAGAGTCGGGGCTCATGGACCGCCAGTCTTCAGGCAGCACCACAGGGGTCTTTTCAATGTCTTCCAACGAAGCATCGAAGCTATCGTCACGTTCGAAGGATGACTCTTGGTCGAAGCTGATATCTCCCTCCTCTTCAGAGTCGTAGCTATTTTCGCGCGATCCAGAGGCGATTGAGGATGGATCGGGCGTTGTCATTACATATTCGTTAACTTGAGGGGGCGCATGATCGAATGTGACGCTCTTGGCATGTCTATGTCCCAAGCTTCCATTTTCGGACCAGATGTCATGCTGAGGGTCAAATCCTTTTCCAAATCGGCTACCCTTTGATAGTGATGATTTGCCTGGAGATCCTTGGTCTTTGCTTGGGGAAGGTGGGCGACCAAACTGGGCCATATCCTCGTGAAGTTGTGACTTGGCAATATTCATCTGACTATCTCGTTGGGGAGACCGCTCAGATGCCAATGGCCTATGTGGAAGAGTTACTGATGCCGGGTCGTATTCTTGACTTCCTTCCAGGAAACTGTGGTTCTTGACCTTGGACACGCGTTTCAGGTTCTCGAGTGATGCTCGCTTTGACGGGAAATATGATCCTTCGGGGTCATATGGCGCCTTGTTCTCGACTCCCTTGGAGAATGGTGAGGGAGAATCGCGGCCCTTCCAGAAGAGGCGTGGTGAAGCTTTGCTATTCAAGGATGAAACATCGTATGCGGGTGATTCCCCGTTGGGCATCTGCTATGATTGTTAGATTTGTGAGCTCGATGAGCAGTCGCACTCGCGGTACCTTGGTGACTTGGTTCCAGCTTGGCGAGTTGCGCCTCTGGGCCATGGGACTCACTTCGGAAAGCGGCCGCTGGCCAGATCCACTTCCCATCCTTATGATGGGTTTCGGTGACGGGTAGGGAAAAAATGTAGTCGTGATCGGTATTCAAGACACAATGTCTATTGTGTGTTAGTCCTTATCACCTAGGCACATCCAGATCGGCAGGTGGGTTCACGACTGATGACCCGAGGCGCGCCGTTGTCATGTATCATACCTTTGTTGATGTATGCCGAGATACGCGTGGACACTGTTTGCCAGCGCGCGGTGGGTTCGCTAAGAAAGCGTAAAGGTCGTGTCGATCGTGGCAGGAATGCTGCGTCCAAGGGCACCCAAACAAAGCAAAAAACGTCCAATGGCGAAATGTCTAGGGATAACGAAAGGATTGTGCCAACTCAGAGGAAGCCAAGGCAGAGCACAGCAAGAGAGGTGAAAACAGAGGAGTATGTAGAAACGAAACTTGATCTGTCCCATGGATTCAAGTGGATTGTTACCCCAAGCAGTCTGTTGTGCCGGGAGTTGTCATGACAACCGCGCATCAAACCGCTGACATAAGATGCGTTTCAGCGTCCGTGTTGCGTCAGGTGTCCACGGCACTAGTCCCCTTGCGGCTTAGCCGATATCAACATCTCGATTCTTCCTCGCATTCTAGATCCGGTTTTTGCATCCTCGACTACTGGACTAGCATATCGTGTTTATGGCTACTACGGCACTCCCCCGAGAAACACTATACCATGTACTATACACCAAATATACCTCTGGATCAACAGCTAACAGACAATCACCCTGATGATCTCTCCGGTAATACCGTTGTCGACCTGTCAGCCTAACCCAAAAGCCAATCCTGGAAAGTGGGGACCACTTCACGTTCGGTTTCATCTATACTGTCGATACATAAACAAAGCTCAGCTCGCCCATCCGTGCGGCTACCCCTCCTCTCTGGTTTGTCCCAATCGGGCAAGACACAACAACATACACTCCCAGTCCCCATTGACTCACATTCATTACTATGTAAACAGGCCTTGTTTATTCTGAAAAAGCGCAATTAGTCTGTGCTCTACTGGCTCTTCTTGCATATGTGAATTGGTATGCGACCATGCACAGGGCTTCGATATAGTCCCTCGCATGACACTCCCTCGCTTGGTCTATGCATGACTAGGTACGGACTATGCACATGTTGCCCGGCTAGCCGTTCCGGTCTTGGAAAGTGCTATTTTTACTCCGCTGTTTCCCTGGTGTATGGCTGCCCTCAACCCTTGGAACCTTCAAACCCCCTACCTGCATGGATGAATCGCCCTGGGGGTGAGTGTTAATCTTAGAACCTTGGACTTTACTTTCCGCGGAGCTGAACCATGATTTCGGGGAAATATAGTATATCAAGTCTGCACTGGTAACTCTTCTGTGGCTCTCCAGCTCAAACTTTGGAATGCAACCTTACATTTTACTTGGTCCTATTTTTCCAAGGTTCCAAGGCTGAAGGACTGGAGCTATCAATGTGGAACAAAGCCCGCTGTATGCTTACCTAGGTAGTAGCTGAGTCTAGATGCGCCGTACATAATGCCCTCTACGGATACTAGGTATCAACCCTCCAACCTTGGAAGCTACCTAGGTACAAAAATGGAATCTCGAGGTCCATGCATGTCACTCCAGCTCTAACTTGGAAGTTCCAAGACTTTCATTCATCCCCAGGTGGCATAGGTACAAATTCCAAGTATGTGCCTTAGCTCAGGGTGCATGGTTTTGTTAATGAAACATCCATGGATTTCGCAGCCTTTGAAGTGCCATTAATGGAGCCTTGAAACCTTCCTGGGTTTATCTCGGGCAAGTGCTAATGAGATAGAGTAAATCCAAGACTCCGAGGTCTGACATATATTTCACCAATTTTCTCCGCATAGCCTTTGAAACAACTTCCGGGTTGAAATGTTATCTCCCGTGGTCCAACCTTGGAGGATGTTGTGATAAGTCAAATTTAGATTTTATTGTACTCAACACAAGTCCAGTGGTGCAACTCTTGTACTACTACATCCAACGGTGCCAAACGAAAATCACATGACTTTACGTCAAAGATCGGCACTAGTCCCAAACAGGGATGGCGCATTGAATCATCGCAGAAAAAACAGCTGAACCTGTTCTGGCCTCTCCTTTTGCGATTCTCCAGATTTTCGTTTTTTTGCATCGTATTGCATTTGATTCGAGCAGGATGCCTCTGCCGATTCGCTCCTCGATATGCTTTTTGTGTCAGACTAAGGCCAGCCTGATGGCGCCGTCTATCCTGCCAGTGTCGGGACAGACCACGCGCGGCATGGCCACGGCCCGATTGCGTCGCAAGGCCTCTCGCATGGCCCTTTCACCCGATGTATCCAAGCAGTCATTGCCACCATCCACCAAACCCCGAAGGGAACGCGCTGGCCCCTTCGCTTCGATGAACCAAACGCAGGCACGATTTAGAGAGAATGAACGACCGCGCTCGCAAGCAGCCCTCAAGCGCTCGGGCGAGGACGGCAAGGCGGAAAAGAAGAAAGAGAGCCCCCTATACAAGGCCTTGAAGATGCAGGAAACCCTAACGCCTATACCCTACGGCCGACGTTCCTCTATTAAAACTCGGCTCGCCAACATCACGAGCTTCGATCACTTCCCCTTGCTCCCCGCTGTGCGACAGTCAATCTTCCTACAGGCTCTTCCGGGTTTAAGCGACGTCACCCCAACACCCATTCAAAGACTTGCCATCCCCGAGCTCTTGCAGGAGGAATCCAAGAAGAAGAAGAAAGTGAAGAAGGCAGGCGAAGAGGATTCGGAATACAATTTTGATCAATACCTTTTGGCAGCAGAGACCGGCTCTGGCAAGACATTGGCATATTTGCTTCCAGTCGTTGATGCTGTCAAGCGTGCGGAAGCAATCGAAGCCGAAGAGAACAAAATCATCGAGGAACACAAGGCACATGAGCGGGAAGAAAGAGCAAAGAAGGCGTTCAGCCTGGAGCCGGAGGAACCGCCGATGACCAACGCTGCTCGCCCTCGTGCCATCATTCTTGTTCCAACTTCGGAATTGGTATCCCAAGTAGGCGCGAAGCTGAAAGAACTGGCTCACACAGTCAAGTACCGTTCCGGCGAAATCGCTTCAACTTTCACCCCTCGTCGGATCCAGAACACTCTCTTCAACCCAGCCGGTATCGACATTCTCGTCTCAACACCTCATCTTCTCGGCTCTGTCGCCAAGACCAACCCCAACATCCTCAGCCGAGTCACTCACCTCGTCCTCGACGAAGCCGATTCCCTGATGGACAGATCTTTCATCCCCACGACCACCGAAATCATCGCCAAGGTCAACCCGTCCTTGAAGAAGCTGATCCTCTGCTCCGCTACTATCCCCCGCAGTCTTGATAACCAGCTTCGTAAGCGCTTCCCCGACATTCAGCGATTGACGACACCAAACTTGCACGCCATCCCTCGTCGTGTCCAGCTTGGTGTTGTGGATATTGAGAAGGAGCCGTACCGTGGAAACCGAGACCTGGCCTGCGCCGATGTTATCTGGTCTATCGGTAAGGCCGGTGACAGATATGAAGCCAGTGAGACTTGGGGACCCCTCAATGCCTACATGGAACAAAAGACCAAGAAGATTATTGTTTTCGTGAACGAGCGCGAGGAAGCAGAGGAGGTAACCAAGTTCCTTCAGTCCAAGGGCATTGACGCGCTTTCACTGTCGCGTGACACCGATTCCCGAAAGCAGCAGGAAACCCTGAACCAGTTCACAGAGGTCAAGCTTCCTCCCACGGCAGAGGAGATCATGCTCAACAAGAAGAAGAAACGTGCTGGTGGCAGCATCCCATTCGAAGCGCCTGATCGTGCCCCGGAGGCACCTTCTCGCCGTCTCGCAGACACCAAGGTTCTTGTCACCACAGATATCGCCTCGCGCGGTATCGACACACTCGCCGTGAAAACGGTGATTCTGTACCAGGTTCCCCACACCACCATCGACTTCATCCATCGTCTTGGTCGTCTTGGCCGCATGGGCAAGCGTGGCCGTGGTGTTGTCCTGGTGGGCAAGAAAGATCGCAAGGATATCGTTCGCGAGGTTCGCGAAGGAATGTTCCGTGGCCAGGCTCTGATCTAATTGGAGGTACATGCGGCGGCCACTTTGTATAAACCCTGTAACATACACGGCGTTGGTTTTAGAAACCGGGAGATGACTATACCCTCATGCAATAGTCATTGCATCTTCTAAGGAAATATGTACGATAAAATCATATATGACGAACTTAATTCTCCTCTTGTCTCTTTCTTTCGCAATCAAACATTAAACAGGTATCTGCTTGCCCAATTTACGCCAGAAGTCACATCTACTCTTCAACTCACCAAAGTCGACTTGCTTAAACCCATCATCCACAACAACGAACTCTTCGCCAGTCTTGAGCTCTGGCACACCCGGTTGCGAGGAATTGGTCACTTTGTGCGCGTTCGGATCCCCCGTCTGGAAGAAACTCGCAAACGCACCGGCATAGCCTTCATACACGACAGGATTCGTCTGTTGAACCGAGTTGATACGATTCCACTGCATAAGCGTTAGCATATGCGCGAGCCAAGGACTTTCAACGAAAGAAAAACTCACATAAATAGTATCACTTGCATGCTTCGCCGGAGAAATCGTATACTCTCCCAAATACCCCTTCTTCGAAGCGGCAGACGCAATCCAATAAGCCGGACACGCGAGGACAACATCCCGATAAACCAACCCAGCCCGCACATAAGACGTGTTATACTCTGTGGTCTCCGTAGTCCCCTGAGCCGGATAGTAAATAGACTCGACCTGGCCAATTTGCTTTTTCGACAGTCCAGGCACGAACCCAGTTAACCAGTCATGGAAACTTGCAGTGGAGGAATTGAATCCATTCCGATCTTCACTCGCTAACCCGGATGGAATGAAATTCTCTCCTTCATGGGTATTGTACATACCCCAAACGAACTGGGTATCCACACCACCACGATTGACCGTCTCTGTCAGTGTCTCGACTAGGAAATCTCCATCTATAACAGGTGCCCAGGTATACGAGCTCGTTGTCCAAGTATTAGATGCCGAGATAACGAGGTTCGCATCCCGGATCTTCTGCACGTCCACAGATTTTAGACAGGCTAGTGTCTTGTGTTCGTGCTTGTTCGTGCACCCGGTTAGATTGGCGAGTTGGATGTAAATCGCTTCTGCTTCTGGGGCGTTATATGCGTATGTCTTTGGCCAGAATGGTGAGCTGGCCAGGGCTTTTGAAAAAAGTTTGGGTTGGCCGTTTCGTCCGTTGGCGAGGACTTGGGCGACGACTGAGCCTGCTCCAGCTGATTGACCCCATACTGTTACGTTGTGGGGATCTCCGCCGAAATGGTGGATGTTCTTTTGGACCCATTTCAAGACATATTGTTGGTCTAGCAGGCCAGCGTTGAGGTCAGAAGTTGGGGAGTTTTTGATTGCCTTTCCTGGGAGGAAGCCGAAGGCGTTGACTCGGTAGTTTGAGTAGATGACGACGTAGTCGTTGATATTCGTTACATTGAGAATTGGGAATGATGATGGCGGCATTGTGAAGGCCGCGCTTCCCTGGATGAATGCACCGCCGTAGAATACCACCAAGACCGGTCTTTTGATACTTTTGGAAACATCCCATGGCCGTGAAAACAGGCCTAGATAGAGACAGTCCTCGGTGCCATTTACCGTGCGCTGAGGGCACATAACAAAGTCCTGGTTTGAATCATAGACCCCGGTGACTTTCAGTGGTGGCTGAGGAGCACGGAATCGATTCTCGCCCGTGGGTTCCGCGGCAAATGGTATCTTGCGGAAGTATGAGAGGTTGTATGTGGTGTCATACTGGCCTTGGAAGGATCCGTAGTCGAGGGAGACCAAAGGGTTCTCGTATGCATGGGCAGTGAGTCCCAGGCCAAGTAGGCCCAAGAAGGGACCGAATAACCTCATTCTCAAATTGATCGATTTGCAGTGCCAAGCATGAAGCTTTCAACTTACGGACGACCCCCGTTCCCAGGCCGTAGACCCTATATAACCATACAGGGTCAAGGCCCCATTTGGCCGGATCGATCTCGGTAGAACAAAACCCGAATCTTCCTACATGGCATGCAGTCAATTCAGCCACTGCCAGTACTATGCAGATAACCAGCCGCTCATTGGTGCAGTTATTGTTGCGGCCGGGGCGAAATGCGGGGGACACGGAGCAGTGAGTTCGGAGAGGATCATCCCGACATTTGTATATTTCATTAAGAAGTAAAGAGAAACTGCCAAATAACAATTCATCCCCTGAAAATGCATCCGAACACCAATCCCCATGCTAGGGAAACAAATATTGTCACACCCGAAACTCCATATCTCATAGATCCAATACTCTTTACATAGTCATACGAAGCTCTCTAGTGCGACGACGAGACGCTCTCGCGTCGCGCTGGGATTCATTTGCGTCGCTGTTCTCCGTTTCCGGAGTATGTGTGTCAGACAACTCCGGGGTAGGGGTGATGCCAAAGCTGACACCGCGGTCTCGCCGGCTGATGCGGGATTGTGCATCTGGGGACAAGAACCGGTGGATGGTGCGGTGATCCATGACTCGTTCGTCACCGTCAGGATTCTTGTCAGTGTAGGGCCATTGGTATCCGTAAAGCTTGGAGTGGCGTTCACAGCGGGGGCATTCACGTCGGGTCAGGTATGAGTTCGATTGTAGAAACCAGGAATCGCAGGTTTGACATTCGACCCATCGGTCATACTTCTGGGCGAGCAACCGTGATGTCTTGGTGTAGTCGCCGGGCACTCGAGCAACCTGCGAGTCACTCTCGACAGAATCGACAATGAACCGCCGCTTGGTGTAAGTCCTTTTCGTCCTGGGCTTTTCGGCTGTGGCTTCTGTTTCGTCTACTGCACAAGAGTCTGAGTCTGGCAATTCTTGTTTGGAAAGTTGGTCGAGGGAGTTTGTAGGAGACCGACCTTCTGGAGCAGCTTCGGATTCGATTGGTTCGGACGTGACTTCTTCGGCTTTGATCTTCGTTTCAATGTCGTCCACGGTCGTAGGCGAGGTCGACATCGATGAGCGATGGGATTCGTCAGCGTTGGAGGTAGGAGAATGACACTCAGGGACAGTTGGAGTTTGGCCGGGTTCTCCAGATGTACCATTTGCTGTGACATCTGCCTGTTTCGATTCTGCATCAACGGAGATCGGTGTTTGTGAGCCGGATGATGCGTTAGCAGTGAGTTCTGAGATCTCCCCCTTCAACTTGGCCACCTGGGGGGAGGTATGAGCCAATATGTTAGTTGGAATGAGAAGAGTTTCCGGGACAGGCGTGGCATCAGATTCAGGCGTAGGCACTGACTCCCCAGCTAATTCAGAAGCTGAGATCTCCTTGCGTAGTTTGGAAACCTGTCGCTGGAACTTTGCGCGCTTGCGCGGGGTAGAGTTGACAGTGGACGAGCTATCAGAATCGTCCGTCTGTGGGCTGCGACGACGTTTCCTGCTTGTCGCGTTGTCGTCGGCTGGCGCAGCATCAGATACTGGGCTGGACTCTTTACTATTCGCGTCCGAGTCGGCATTCTGTGACCACCCATTTCGTACCGCTCGTTCACATGTCATGCACAAGCATTCGCAGTTGTCAACACCAAAATAGTCTTCGCCGTAGGAGACTGTAATTTCCTCGCCCTCGTGGATATTGCGCGTAGCCACGACAGACATGCCCTCATTGCCCCGCGTTGTCAGACTACCATTGGCATCGCAGTCGTGGTTGGCGAATCGCGCGGGACCCAGGAAGAATGATGGGGTCTTGCGGCGACTGGACATCACAATGCTGAAGTCCTTGCGAGTCAGACCGAGATCCAGCTCCTCTTCGTGTGTCATTGACACGAGTGTTCCACTCAGGTATTTGATCTCCTCGCCCTTTTTGATGAACCTCCGTGCGCAGATGGCCGCCTCATGTTGTGTGATGATGTACCGGTTGGTGGTAGTGACCTCGAAGGGGGAGTCTGGAAGATACATCTGGATGTATTTGCGGAGGTGTCGGCGAAACCATTCCTTCTCTCGGGGGCTGCGGAGGTTGGTGATGTATTTCTTGAGGCCGGAGATATCCAGCAACTTGTTCTCCGCGGCGGGGAGATCCTTCTTGACAATCACATCGTGGAGGAGGATGCGCCCAATGTCGTCGTCGCGAATGCCTCGAGCCGGACTGTACTTGGTACGATTCTTGCGCGTGGTTGTCCAGAAATAGGCCTAGAAGTCAGACGGTTAGCGGACGGTGCGTCGTGTTGGATGGCAATGGCATACGTGGTCCACTAGCGCATCAGTTGCGACATCATCGTAGCTGGCTAGTTTGGCCAAAGTCAAGCGCTCGCGACGCTCAGCCGCAGGCGACGTTTTGCGCGCTCTTCTTGGAGGCATGGTGGCTTGCGAAGGAGTGGAGAGGAGAGAGGAAAGGTGTCATGGAATGCCGAGCAAGGGTGAGAGGAGATGGAGGGAGCAGGGTCAAGACAAAAGAGCGTGGGTGTAGGCCAAAGAGATCATGTCCGATGTCACCATTGAGGCTCGGAGACAGGAGAGGTTCCTCCGCAACGCTTGTTTTTAGGGGCGGAACCGCTGTCTTATCCGCGCATCTCGACGGGGCGCCTTTCGGCGGAATGTCATGCAATGCGCACCATTTTGAATTGCTACGGCATCTTGACTGTATTCTATACTTCTCTCGCTGTTCACCTGGCTATTGGTCCTAATTTACGCGGTTTTCCCATCTATGAGGTCAATTGACATGGCAAGATGGTACCTGCATAGTCTAAAGATAGATCCTGCCAGTATCAATTTAAACAAAGGACCGTGAATAACTTCGCAATGAAGAATATCCGAACTCCATATTCCCTAAAGTCAAGGCTGTCAAGTGGTCGATTGTATATCGATGCCCGGAATAACTAACATCCGAAAAGGGAAGTCCGCAGAAACAAATTGCGGACAAGCATGATCACCATCCAACCCACATCATGATTCAATTAAAGGTGAGCACCATGTGAAGCCGCGAGCTGGATCATACTGACCCCAATTCAGACACTATTAAGTTGTATCGACAACTCCGGCGCCTCGATCGTCGAGTGCGTCAACGTCCTGAAGAAGAAGCGGCCCGCGACTATCGGTCAGTCTCCGATCCAATCTCCACTACGAAGACAAAGAACGCGTATTAACCAGATGCTTTGTGCAGGTGACCGGATTGTCGTCGTCGTCCAGAAGCAGCGATCTGCAGGCTCCGAAGCCACCACCGCCGCAGCGCTTGCGAACAAGGTCCGTCGTGGTGATATCAGACATGCGGTCGTGGTGCGCGTGAAGAAGGAGCTGCAGCGACCAGATGGGTCATTGGTCCGCTTTGGTGACAATGCTTGCGTGCTCGTGAACAAGTCCGGGGATCCCATCGGAACACGAATGAACGGTTAGTGGTCTCGAGTCTCGGCCGTGGGCCTGGGCCTGCATATCGGATACTAACCTCTCGATAGGAGTCGTTGGACAGGAGCTACGGAACAAGAAATGGTCTAAGATCTTGTCTTTGGCCCCAGTTCACGTGTAATATATTTCGTTTCTACCGTTGGCAAAGCGTGTTGTGTTTGGCAGGATAAAATTTACTCCATTGTATCATAGAAACTCAAATGTTCAAAGATGATTTGTGCTTTTCTCTGTGTCCCGTCGCTAAACTCCAGTATGCAACCCAAATTCAATAAGTACCGCAAAACGCAACCATGAAGGGGGTATCGAGAAGAGAGACCACGAGAGCCATGCTCACATGTAGACATTACCGCATGCGCAGCAGACGTAGTAAAGTTTCTAGACGAGTCGCGATCAGTCAGTGCGTGATACAAGAGATATTTGGGCATCGCGGCTGAATTACCATTCCGGTCTCGGCGGATCTTTGTTGCGACTGGAAGAAGACAGCCTCCGTTTCGAGGCAACTGGGGCATGTTTTGTTCGCTCGTGGGAGCTGGCGGTGTCGTTAGTCTCATGTTGTAGGAAATGATCAGTGGGAACGGGTGAAGGCCGACGCCATGGGAAAATCCTGGGGGAGAACGGGACAACGGGAGAACGGGTCATAAAGCGTAAGATCCATGGGGTCCTGGGTGTGTCGGGAAGTGTTCAGAGGCGCGATGCGCAGACGAGCTTCGAATGATTCAAAACAGGCCTCTATCCCCGACGAGGGAGCACCTGTAACACCGTTTGACAGGGGTGTCGTCGCATAGGACACAAAAGCAAGTAGAATAACTAACCGTGGGGTCGGAGCCCACATCCTGGGTCACACCAGCCGTATCTCCCACTTGACTGTGGAGCTTGTTCTGGTATACACAGTAGGAGGTGGCCGGCTCGCCGACGTGACAGGTGCGGCAGGTGAACATGAGTTGATTGGTGGCACGGTCTTCCTTGGGATAGAGCAAGTTGGAGCTATCAGTCTGTTAGATCCTTGATCACAACGATGAGACCCTGGGCCTAGCTATGCCACGTTGCAAGGGAACTATTCAATCGTCGATCGAGACCAAAGGTGCGATCCCTCTCCGACTCTGCTGCGATAGGACCTGGCATTGGGACATTGGGGCACTGGAGTATTGGAATCTCATAGCTTACCACTCGCGGCAGAACTTGAAATGGATCTGCTTTCCCTGCTGGGACTCACCAGCGGCGGAAGGTGAGGGGCTGGACATGTTTGCGGGATCGAGGCTCGTTGGATATGACGGTGACAGGAGATAAGGAGGATTTAGATGTTCACGGCAGAGGGGAATCAAGAGCAGCAGGTAGGCTCAAAATTGTACAGGGAAATCAAGGAGATAGGTGCCAAAACGAGGAACAATGAAGTTATACCGCAAAGTCAAGGTCGACGAAGGATTCTACGATAGGACTAGCCCGCTCTGGCACGTGCACGGTGGCCAATCAACAGCCAGGGATCTTAAAGAGAGCATGGAATCCACGTGACAAATAGTTGAGTATTGAGAGCAGAATATCTCTGTCTCTGACTGCTTGTCCTATGAATCATTCCATACTTGATCAGCCCAGGTGAACAGTCCGCAGGAAGTGAGAGTCGTGTACTGTCGATCGTTGGACTGCGGAGCTTAGCTCTGTTTGCACTGTTTGCACGTCCCTCCCCCGCAGTTTCCATCCGCATAGATACATTTGCTGTTACAGACATTCACATTGCACTAGATCCTTGAGAACCCCATTCAATCCAACAATCAAAATGGTGCGCTATTGTCATGTTATTCAATCTCATCTCACACTAAACTGAATCGCAGGCTGAGACCGGTCTCCCTGACTCATGGGAAGTTCGTCACTCGAACTCCAAGAACCTTCCTTATTACTTCAATCCCAACACAAAAGAATCCCGCTGGGAGCCCCCTGCCGATACCGATACCGAGAAACTCAAAGTCTACATGGCACAGAACCACACCCCCGCTGCCCGTCCTGATCCCTCGGGTGAAGGCGAAGGCAAAATCCGCTGCAGCCACCTGCTCGTCAAGCACCGCGACAGCCGTCGTCCCAGCAGCTGGAGAGAAGCTGATATCACCCGCTCCAAGGAAGAGGCAATTGAGATTCTGAAGGGCCACGAGGCGCGCATTCAGTCCGGAGAGATCAGCCTGGGCGAACTCGCCGTTGCGGAGTCTGACTGCAGCAGTGCCCGCAAGAAGGGTGATCTGTAAGTCAACATACATTTGCCTATTCTGCGTCGCATACTAACCGAGTCAGGGGCTTCTTTGGCCGTAGCGAGATGCAGAAGGAATTCGAAGATGCGGCGTTTGCGCTCCAGCCCGGCCAGGTCAGCGGCGTCGTCGAGACTGCCTCTGGTGTCCACCTCATCGAACGGTATGTTGATTCCCCTCTGCCAGATAAAAAATGACTTTTCGGTCTCTGATAAATTCTACAGTGTTCAATAAACGGAACTCGTGATTCTATCTATCCTTCGCCCTACGCGAGGGAACTGGCGGGGTATTTTTGATCGCATTTACGCATTGGATCTTTGGTCTTGCCCTTCGGGAAGGGTTTCAAAAATTAACCGCAATGAATGGAATGCCGTTTCTATTTTCTTTGTATTCAGGCTATCTAGTCTCGGCTAGGACAATGGAATTGCAACAGACTCCTACCTCCAATAGGATTCGGTAAAAGCTTCCAGGTGAGAAAAGATGTACCTTACAATGTCATTGATGAGAGAAGCATAGAACCGCGAGACAATCCCTATTCATCGTGAGCCCATTGATACCCTTCCATTCAGCGACCTTGGAATAACTCGCCGACTCCCTTTTGGGAAAAGGCTAGTTCGACATCAATTGGATTCACTTCGCATTCTGCGGCGGGTCTCAAAACATGGACAATGGCCGACCCTAAATGAATCAATAACCTTATTCCGAGCGTCTATAGCTTTGTCCAAATGCCCTATTGTGGCCGCGGAGTGCTGATGCATGGAACACAATAGGTTTCCGAGTGACACAGCCAATAGCATATTGTTCAAACAATGGGAACACTTCGCTATTCGCCTTTCAATAGAAAGCATAGTTGCTATACTTCCCAATATGGGACGGAGCACACTATATCAACGCCCATTCCCCCCCAAGTCCTCCCTCCTTCCTCACCGTTCTCAACTTTCAAAATCCTGCTTTGCTCTGGATATCCAAAGCAAGTTCGCATCCAGCTCTTAGCTTCGTGCATACCACTTCATCAACTTCCTTACTTCCTTGCTTTAAGCATTATCTTGTCACCGGAAACCACTATGGCTTCCTTCTCTCTTCCAATTCGGCTCAGACCCAAGCTGTTCAACTTCGACGAGAAGCCCACGATCTTCGATTACGAACTCGACCCTGACGACTTCCAAGTCCCCTCGGGCATCCGCATTCCTCCACATGTGCGTCAAGACATATACGAGCTGGAATGCTACGCCCAAGATATGATCGACTACGTCAAGCGCCTTGTGAGCATGCGCGAAGACCGCTTCCTCTGGATTTGTCCTCATCCCAACTCCGAACAATACAAGCGACACGCCAGATCTGTGGAGCTTCTCTTCCTCTGGAAAGACCAGTGGAACATCAACGATCCCACCCTTTATGGCTCTGCCAAAATTCCCACAGCCGCCATCAGCATGGCTGCCGACAGAGTGGCGTACGAAATCGCAAGCCGTGAATACAAAGTGATGGTCGCTGAATTGCTCACCGCCGGCTTTCAGAAATGGAGAAAGGCCTGCAACAATGTCGTCTACAATGCACACCAACTCATGTGCAACCCGCGGAGCCTCCGCTTCAACAATGTGGGGGAGTTCAGTGCCTTCTCCCACTGGCACAAAGGCAGCTTCATGAGCGCCATGTGCCAGTGGGAGGGTCTCCTCGGGGACCTGAGTCTGCCGGAATACTCGGAGACTCTCGGAGAGCTCAGCGAGATGATTAGGGCTCGCGTTGAGAATGGGGAGAGCCTCGCGCGGAGACTCTCTGCCGGCCTGGAGTGAGCTGGCGGTGATTGTGGGGGGAGAGGGAGAGGGAGGGGGAGGGGGGAGGATGAACTGAATGGGATGGGGGGAGGGGGGATGTATTATTACTATGCCCATGGGGGCTGAGATCAATCTGACCGGCGAGTCAGATCAGCATGGCATTCATGTTTGTTTCTTTCTTCTGTGCAAGGCAGGCAGGTCCTGCCTTGCTTGATACCTGGCCATGGGGTTATCGGTTTGTTTGTTCACTCTTTGACAGAAAATCAATCAGACATTCATTTCACACTTTCTTGTAGAGTCAGTGTACACTGTAGAGTGATAGATCCGACTGTGACAACCTTGGAAGCTCAATTATATTCGTAAAATCCCATCTGTATATACTGAATACACAGCATGAACGTTTGCTACTTGATTAAATAAATTGATATCCTCTAAAGTTGCGGGCTCACTTCGCTGATGCCTGAGTACATTATCTATCAACTTTTTAAGCGTCGGGAGAAAACCATGGATCTAACTAACTCCTTATCTACCTAGGTACCCAGTATTGGTTATACCTAGGTACACTCTCCGACCTCTCGATTTCTTGGCCGCGCTTCCAACAGCCGCTCATCTACTTTCTTTCACATTCCCTTCCCTTTTCGAAGAATGGCTAGAGCCAAACGACGGCTGAGCCGGCTGATCATAGGCTCTCAAGATCAAGAAGACCAAGGCGCCGGCTGTGAACGGCCCGTCCCGAAAACAGGTGACTATATCCAATATCATTCCAATGTTCCCAAACTTCACTTTCCCGATTGCCCCCTCTAGAGCTTGATTTCAAAATGGGATCTCCTTTATCCAATGCCAAATGTTCAGGCATATTTTACATTTCAGGTTAATATCCGAGAGGTGTTGGCTAACAAGTGAACTTGTCCCTGAGATAGCTGCTTGATTTGAGTGACCAACTTTACAAAGAATTGGCAGTCCCCAAAACACGAAACTAGAATACCGGGGCCGCTGGGTTCGAGTAGAAGCATTAACGCATACAGCTCTACAGAAGTCAGCTCTTCAGCCGCAAGGAGTGGATTGATCAGTGCTCCCGCCGCCAGTCGAAGACGTAGCTTTGGAGGGCGACTATAAAGCTGTCCCACTGTTTGTCCCAGCTTGAGAGGATGACAACTTGCTATCCCATCCCTTGTCCGATAGTGGTTCGCTCGTCCATCCTATCACAGAAATGATGGTCCAGCAATTGAAGGCCCGAACTTACAGTGACGCTGGAAAGTAGATCACGCTGGCCTAGCGTTCCATGGGAGTGATCTTTGCCCTACTTACAACAGAACCCCAATGGAGAGCTGATAATCTCGCATACGACTTCGACAAGAGAGGTCGCATTCGACGCACGCGAGTACCACGTGCGCCAACATGCGTTATCCGGGCCCACAACGTCAATTGGCTTCCAGTGTATCATGACACATACGTTCTCACTGGTGGTTACAACACGAATGGCTGGCTGTTGCAGCACGCATACGACGACAGTATCAAAGCCCATTGGCTACGAGCAGGCCTTGTCATGGCCCCAGCTAAAGTCATCTCCAGTCCTCACTCAACGCCTTCTACATCCTCAGGCGACGAGATGGATCCGGAAGGTCTCGATACTTATCTCAAGACATTCACACCACATCCCATCAACCCTCACGACGTCACCAACACGTCGGAATTTTCCCACGTAGGAAGGTTATCAGCTCCGGCGATATGTTTTATCGGCTGTGATTGTCCATGATGTGGAGGTCTTGATAGTTGCAATTATGATTCTGCTTTATTACCTCCGACATTTACCTGTCTAGGTGGGCACTTTTCCTTCTTATAGCACGATAGGAGGTCTACGACGCTGTGGGCAGTGGCAGACAACTTTCCGGGTCAAGAAAGCTATAGTACTGTATGTATAAAACAGAAGCTGATTTATGAAGTGTTGAAATTGCTTGATCGCCGTAGAACTGAGGTCTGAAATGCCCTGACGACTCAGATTGATGCCTCAGGCTATGAGCTGGGGCTGTTTCCCCCGCCCGGGTGCTTGCTGCCCGGCCACGTCAGTTGCCTTTTTGGGCGTCCCGATCCTACCACACCGATATTCCTTCCTACCACACCTGAAAGAGCATGCAGTGCCTGTCGTTTGAGGTATCTACATTCCTAATCTGGCTAGGGGGGTGTCGTAGCAAGGATTTGGGGTGTGGTAAGATGGGGACCCTTTTTTTTAGTGTAGTTTGCCTAGGTGCTCAGCCTCGTGTGATATCCTTTTCGCCCCCTGCAGCTGATTCAAAAGGAAATCAACCCCTCATTCCACTCATCTTAGCCCTCTGCTTTCACGCAGTCCGACCGCAACCTTGCAAATGTCATATTCAAGATGAATCCCTCACCTTACTCAAATGATCAGTATACGGTTGGCTGGATCTCCGCCTTGAGCGATGAGTTCAAGGTAGCCATGGCTATGCTGGATGAGGAGCATGGCAGGCCGCAGTCAACACCTCGAGAAGACACCAACATGTATCATTTGGGCAAGATCGGCGCGCACAACGTTGCGATGGCTTGTTTACCGGGAGGGCAAACGGGAACTGGCCCAGCCGCTGTCGTGGCAGAGAACATGCGCCGCACCTTCAAAGGCATAAGATTTGCTCTCCTTGTGGGGATTGGAGGGGGTGTCCCAGGCAAGGGAAAAGATATCCGTTTGGGTGATGTTGTGGTGAGCTATCCCACTGGGACCTACACCGGAGTTGTACAATACGACTACGGGAAGCTCAAGGGCAATGGTCACATCCAAAGAAAAGACTGGTTCTCCCCGCCACCTAGCAAGTTTCTGTCTGCGGTTACTTCTCTTGAGGCATATCATACAAGACCCAAGAACCCGATCAACCGTATGCTGGACTTCCTCGACGAGCTGGGCGAGGACTACACATACCCTGAACCAGATGAGACTCCCGATCACTTGTACAAAGCGGATCATAATCACATTCCCGATGCTGGAACATGTGATTCCTGCAACCCAGAAGCACTGATTTCACGAAAACGCCGCAAAACCCCAAGCAAGCCATGTGTCCACCTTGGTATCATTGCGTCGGGAAGTATGGTGTTAAAAAGTGGAACCGAAAGAGACAAGATCAACCAGCGGTATGAGAACTAGATACTTTGCTTCGAAATGGAAGCGGCCGGCATGATGAACAACTTCCCGTGCCTGGTTATCCGAGGAATCAGCGACTACTCGGATTCTCACAAGAACGACGAATGGCGAAATCGCGCAATTGCCGTAGCCTCGGCTTACGCGAAAGAACTTCTTTCACTGATCGAGCCGTCTGATGTGGACATTTTGCCTCCAATAGCTGCCCGTGTGCTGGAGACCGGTAGGAAACCATTCCGCCTTGCACCATATGCTGAAGGGGAAACGCTGATTTTTTCAAACAGTTTCTATGAAACTGAAAAATCTTGACGAACACACAATAGCAAATACCCAACTGTTAGAACAGAGCACAAATGGTATTTATTCATATTCCGGTTCGCCTGTAAATTTTAGGTATTAACTACTAGCCAGAAAACCGACAAAAACAAGAGCAAGATGCACAAATGCAATTTGAAGCGTGGCTAAAACCACCAAACGTTCGAGAGACTCAACAGGATCAAATCAGAAAAAGACTATCAGGGACATGTGACTGGATCTGGTCAAATCCGATGTTCCTCCGCTGGAACAAGTCACCCCTTTCCTCGGCCCCAGACAGAGTCATTTGCATATACGGTCCACCCGGCAGCGGGAAGAGTATACTAGCCTCTGCCATCGTGGATCGACTGTGGACCGAAAAATTCTCCGCGTTATTCTTTGCGTTCTCCAGCATGAACTCTAATCAACAAAAGCCAAATGGCCTGATTCGCTCGCTTCTATGGCAATTGGTGAAAATTGTCATTCAGGAACAGAATACCTCGATTCTTTCCACTTTGATGCTGAGAGGTCAGCCTACGACATCCGACTTGTGGATAGGGCTCAGTGAGATGGCCGCGCTGGTCTCGGAACCGGTTTACTGCATCATCGACGGCATGGATGAAGGTTTGGACTCCCTCTCCGACTTGCTTCAAAGAATCCTTGCTTTCCTCGAGGCTCGCTCCAACTTCCGATTCATTTTGCTCGGTAGGCAGCATTCGTTCCACCAAACTGATTTTATCCAACACAAAATCGAGATACATCCTGCCTTGACAAGACATGATGTTGACCGAGTCATTGAAGCGGGGATCGACCGATCTGCTATCCTCAATAAACCTGAAATGCGCGAAAAGGTTCTCAAGTCACTTCAAGACCAGTCAGATGGGAATTTTCTATGGGTCAAACTGATGTTTGTGCACTTGGAAAAGTCGCTTCCATTGGCCCATGGGCTGAAGAGACTGAACAAATTGCCTCGCGACCTCGAATCGATTTACGAAGAATTCCTTCTCAGGCTTGCCAAGAACCTAGACTCAGACGAATTGAACGTTGCTCGAAAGCTCTTTGCGTTCATAGCTGTCTCGCAGAGACCATTGAGTATCATCGAAGCTCAGCATTTACTGGCCGTCGAAGCCTTACCAACTTGCACAGACAAAAGGCAGTCCATTCAGGAATGTCTCATCCCCGAACTGGATCGAAGGATTTCAGACCTCTGTGGCGATCTTATCAATATCGTGAACGGCAGTTTACAATTGGTACACTTCTCCGTGAAGGAGTTTTTGGTGAGACCCAAGAAACATTGGGCGAGCTATGGGAAACGTCGCAAAACCATGACGTTTCGGGTATCTCCACAAGATGCACACCGTTCTTTTGCGTCAGCTTGTATGGGGTACCTTGAAACATGTCTCGACGGCTCCCCTATACATGACCAGGACAATCTATCTGAGCTTGAACGATCTTATCCATTCCTGGGTTACTCGTCGACCTATATGCATACTCATATGTATCAGTCGGGATTTCCGACAGACGCTACGCTGAACAACATTCGGAATTTTCTGAGCTCAGACCAATGGATAGCTTGGATGGAAGTTCTTTTTCTGAGCTGCATCGAAGACAATTCTCTGTATTCTCAACTTGAGGAAGGCGAAAAACTCGTATCCTGGTTGGGTGACCAGCAGGAGGTATTTTCAGAAAAGGCCTCCAGCAGTCTCAAAGTTGCCCTTGAGAGACGAGCTCAAATATATGGACCCGGAGACTCACGGACTGAGCGGGTTGGTCTCTTTCTCCACCACTTAAAATGGATCTCCGTTTCACCCGCAGCCAAGGTTGAGGATTCTTCCGCTATCAGTACCCCAGACTCATCACGCAGCCTTCAGCAAATGATGCGATTGGTTAGAAAAGACGAGCCACTACCATTACAGCTGAAGGCCAATCTATTGTTACAAATGGTTGTCCATCTTCAAAAAGTCAAAAATCTTACAGTTTCAATGCAAATCCTCTTCCGAAGGATTCTGCAGCACTGTTCAACCATGCCTGTTTACGTCCTCCTACTCGTGGGCGAATTTTACGATGACAACAACAAGTTTGAACAAGCAATTGAGTTCTACTTGGTTGCTTTGAGGAAAATCGACCAGAAAGATGACCGAGTCAAGTTTGCCATTTTACACGCTATTGGTTGGGCATATCAAGAGCTTGGCCAGCATGAGAAAGCTCTTCAAAATATGATTGTCGCTAGCAAAGGTTGGCATAGAGTCCTTGGACCTGAGCATGAAGATACCCTGCAGAGTCTTCATGATATTGGTTATTCTTATGATAAACTTGGCCAATACACCGAGAGCTTGGAGTTTTATACAAAGGCTCTCGCTGGCCGGGAGAAAGTCCTTGGACCTGAGCATGAAGATACCTTGTGGAGTCTTCATAATATCGGTTTTGCTTATGATCAACTTGGCCAATACACCAAGAGCTTGGAGTGTTATACGAAGACTCTCGCTGGTCGGGAGAAAGTCCTTGGCCCTAAGCATAAAGACACCCTGGAGACTCTTCATAAAATCGGTTATACTCATAATAGACTTGGCCAATACACTAAGAGCTTGGAGTTTTATACGAAGGCTCTCGCTAGTCAGGAGAAAGTCCTTGGCCCTGAGCATGAAGATACCCTGCGGACTCTTCATAATATCGGTTGTACTTATGAACACCTTGAGCAATACACCAAGAGCTTGGAGTTTTATACGAAGGCTCTCGCTGGTCAGGAGAAAGTCCTTGGCCCTGAGCATGAAGATACCCTGCGGTGTCTTAATAATATCGGTGATGCTTATGAAGAGCTTGAGCAATTTACCCAGAGTTTGGAGTTTTATATGAAGGCCCTCGCTGGTCGGGAGAAAGTCTTTGGGTCTGGGCATGGAGATACTCTGACGACTCTTGGTTGTATTGGCCGGGTCTATTGCCGGCTTGGCCAGTATACCGAGAGCATGGAGTTTCTCAATAAATGTCTTGCTGGCTACGAGAATGTCTTTGGGCATGACCACGCGCACGCGGTGCAAACACGCGCCATGATTCAGTGGATACACGGGATGATCGAACAAGATAAAAAGGTACACCTCATTCTTCAACGCTCTAGTACTCCAAGACCTGGCGATCAAGAAGGTTATCAACCTACCCGCGAACCTGAGCAAGTATGAATGACACTCTCGTTGAAGGAAGGGGCGGAACTGTCCAATTTCAAGGTCCACGAATTGCCTGCTATCAAATATTACTTGCATGTTTTGTGATCTCGGACGAACTTCTCGGGCTCTCTTTGCCTGTAAAATTGGCGGATACACTCCTATACTGCTTGGTATAATCAAAAAAGCTAACCGTATCCATAGCCCAAAGATTTTGTAATTCCCGAGGTCCACCGGTCGTGTACTGGGAGTACCTAATCAGGGCTAGAGAAATCCATATACCCTTGCTCTACTTCAAGATGGGTAGGGCGTTTCCAGCTCTACAGTATGTGGAATTTAGGATTCAGTGAATTATCACATCTTCTCCATTAGGTGACTTTTACCTGTGATTTCAGGGTATAGAGTACAAAAATGTCGCCCCCGGGGGTTGATCATAGTCACGTGGGGGCATCAGCCCTAGAATGACTTTAAGGAATGAAAGAACAGGTGCCAAAGCTAGAGAAGTAGACTTGATGAGATTTAACCTGGAATAAAAAATTTGAGACGGAACAATACCTTAGTTCAAGAAGGTCCAAGAGCTATGGAACAAAGAAATTGATGGAGCAGCCATGGGCATACAATCTTTGTTTAATTTACAAAAGTCTTTCATATGAGCCTTTTGTCCTTCCCGTAGAGCAATAAATGAGGTCATTGATTAACATTAATTTTTCTTGACTCCAACAAGGGAAAAAATTGTATATCTAGGCAGAGCAGGAGCTGAGGGCTGGCATCTATAACTTCATTCCGACAGCCCCCTACTTAGGCTACCAAATTCTTCGACATCCGTATAATGTGTTTTTTCTGGGTAGTGAAATACACTCTTTGTGGTTGTATTTGCGATAAGGAAGTCTCGCCCTGTATCGAAAATTTCCATTGCTTTGGTCATCGGATGATAATGCTCGAGTCGCACACAGCAACCTGTGCAGACTGTTGGGCAAGAGGCGATAAGAGAGTCAAGAAAAACGAACCATATAAGAACGACGATATGTATTGGCGTGACTCTGGTCCGCGATGGGATTGCATCTCAAAAAGCGGACCAGGCAGGACTGACAGCGATACTGAAGATGATGTTTTCTTTGATGCCGTTGAGTCCCTGCCTCTTTTCCCCTCGCGACCCTCCACTCCGGCTTTATATGCTGAGCTTCACACATCCCCATGTCCAGTTTCAGAAGATAACTACTTCGACCTAGGTCGAGTTTGTGACCCGGTAAAGCTAACCTCTATCGGATGGGATTATCGAGCAAGGAGTCAACGCACACGACATATCAACACTGAATGGGAAAATGACTCAGATACTGACTCTTTCTATTCATGTCTAGAATACAACGGTGAAGAAAACCAGAGCTTCGAGTGTGGTAATATCTGCGAGGGAGCTTCCGAGCCTCAGCGGATCACAAAGCTTGGCATACCTAACACCAAGGATGGAAACTCACATTACAGTATTCTGGGGGCTTTCATCAGGGATAAAAGCCCGGTTGAGCTCCTTGAGGAAGAGTCCTTGGAATTTTACGGCATTAAAAGGGGCTATTAAGAGGATGATAGTTCAAATGTTGTGTGTGCTAGCATTTAAACCTTCATGGACTTGCAATGCATTGAAATTCTCACGATGTCAACTTTGGAATTATAGATTTTGAAATTTGCTTGCGCTGGAGAATTTGGGCATAAAAGTGGAAGCCAGATGACATATTGCTTTGAAAGACATACTAGCACCGACATGGCGATCAATCAAAACTAATAGTCCGGAGTAGAAATAGTAGAATAGCCTAGCATATGCTAGCATCCAATTGCAATGGATACCTTCGGGTTTAGTTAACAGAAGGAAGAAATAGAAAGAATAAAGCTGAAATTCAAATGGCTTCAGGTTGAGACCAAATTAAGTTTGGAATTCCTGGCAAAATACATAGATATGAGCTTCACAGACTAGTGTTGAGTCGTTCCAGGCGCGAAGTTATAGCGTCAATAACAGCAGACCTAAGGCACAGTTAGTCTTGGCAGTTCCATTGGAGGATTGGCAGGTTGGACTTACTCTCGTTCGACCATCCTCATCGCGTCCGCAACCTTGGCGCGCTGCAAACGCTGCGGCACCTTGGGCTGGCCACTGGGGGAAGCCGGGCTGCTAGGGTCGGGGGAGGGCATATTGCTAGAGATGGACTTGGTCTGGGCCATAAGATCTAAAGCAAGGCGTTTGACCTGAATGTGTGAGTAATGTGTGAGTACACCAACGGGGATAAACCTACAGTTTCAATTCGCGGAACGAGTTGGTGATCCTCTTCTTGATCGTTGTCCGGCCGCAAAGAGTCAGACAATGCCTTGACTTCTCGAACCCAGGACTTCTCCTTCTCGCTCAGCGGGCGACCACCGGAGTTCAGAACCTTCGAACGCAATGCCTCGTAGCGGCGGGTGAGTTCGCTTTGCTTGTCCTGGGCGGCTTGGAGTCTCTTGTCCAAAGCATTTCCAGACCGGACCCCCTCCTTCCGACTTCCATCTTCGCCAATCTCGCTTGTGACGCCCTTGACGCGCTCTGCAACGTCTGAAAGCTGCTTTAACTGGTCCTTCATTTCGCCCTGCAGTCGTTCGCATCGGCGGAAGAGGTCTGAGGCAGCACGCTCAAGGGCGTTGGTGTGCGCGGACAAAACACGGTGGGCAGTGGCTACGAGGTCCAATGTGGCGGGAGACAACCGGACTTGTTCCTTCAGCGTGTGGCGCTGGCGATGGGGAACGTGTTTCTCGATGAATGAGTCCAATGGAGAGGCGGCATAGAATACAGCGGGGACTTGGTATGGGGCCCGGCTGGGGGGCTGAGTCGGCATGCTCGGTGCCGGTGCCCGTTGCTCATAAATCGATTTGTCCAAAGCAACAGTAAGAGAGTTTTCCGGGGAGTTCATCAAGGCTGCATGAGGGCCGGATGGGTGGTAAGTGAGGAGCAGGTAGCCGAGGTCGAAGTCATCGAAAACCAACGACCCGGCGAGGTGATCATTTTGAGATGAGATATCAGCGTCGGGAACCTGCAAGATTCTCTCTCTCTTGGTGACGTTTCCGTCGCAGAGAACTTGAAGGCGGAAAGCGGAGCCTGCAGTGTCTTCGGTCTGCAATTCGGCTTCCAGTCGTTGGATCCAATCTGACAAGGAGAGGTAAACCACGTTCTTTGCGGTTGTGACAAAGAAAGAGTATCGGGAGTGAACATCCTTAGTGAAAGTGGGCCATGTGGTTGAATCCTGGGGATCTCTGATAGTATCCAAAGATTCCACCAAGACCAGGTCAGCAGGCTCGGAAAGAGGTGTTCGGAATGAGTTCTTTTTGGCCTTGGGAAGCCACTGTCCCTGGACGCCGTCAAGTTCTAGGCAAACATGGACGCGGCCGTTCGTGCTGGTGAGGGACAGAACTGTCGCCGAGAGCTTTTCTTGGTCTGCAGCTTCAACAGCCAGTTCCTCTTCCTCGCCCATCATAAGATCCTCGACGTTCAGACCGGCCGCAATAACAAGGATGTCGCAGAGATCCAGATCGTCAATTTCGTCGCCGGTTTCGAAACGGAATGGGCCCTGCAACCTAGGGATGGCACTGGGGTTGGCCGGGCGAGTAAATATCTCTGCGCCTGGGATGTTTCCGGCGCTGGAGGGCAAAACTAAGGACTCCTGCTCGTCGATTTCAGCCAGCCAATCGTACTGCTGGCGACAGGCAATCAATCCCTCGTCCGAGTCCTCGGGCTCCTGCTCCAAGACCCCAAGCTTTGGAACGATCGTCGCAGAAAGGGAGGGTATGGTTGTAGGGGGAGCCTGCCACTTGGAAGGCAACAGAGGACACAGCGCATACAAGTCGCCGGGCTTCATAGCCACCCACAAGGTCATAGGTGCCCATGCATCCTCTTTCTCGCTTCCACTGCCAGCAAAACACGCCGACGCAACCTCCATGTCGATGAAATCGGCCGAAAAGCCCTTGTTCTTGCCAAATCCAGAGGGAGCGAAATCCTGGTCACAGGAGGTTCCATCGACCAGCTTCTTCAGATCGATCGCCAAGCTCGGCTGGTCAAAGGACCAATGGTTATTGCGGTCCAGCTCCCAGACGCGCACAGCTGCATCCGCCGTTACGGTGACGAGACATCCTCCCAGGTTGCTGTGGAGACCTAGTGGGTGCCACAGCGCGGAAACCACCGGTGCCTCGGGAAGGACGTGGGTGGTAGGTCCCAAATGGTAGGTCTTTAGGCGAATGGAATCGGAGTTGGGCGAGGAAAGGTGGGAAGAGTCGGGGAGAACAGCAATATGGACTGTCTGCAGGGTGATGATCGCGAGAAAGGCGCCATTGGGGGAGGGGATGATCTGTTTGATCGGTGCATAAACGGGCACAGCGAGAACCTGCGTAGACGTTAACGATCACTCCCAAAGGGTTGTAGATTGATTTTGGCCTTTCGGTGTCCTCATACCCTATAGCCGGATGTCTCAGCATTATCGCTCTTCGCTTCAGGTTCCCCAGCAGATCCCTTCTTCTGCTTGGCCTGCTGTTCCCATTGATCTTTAAGTCGGGCAAGGTTTGACCACCGAATCTGGTTGTCGATCACAGCGAATACTTCATTCCCCCGCTTGGCGATTGTTCGCGTAGGTCCGCTGGCTGGAGTAGGCTTGAGTCCGTCTTGGGAGTCCTGTTCTGGGGTTTGGGTTGAACTGGACAAGAACTTTGCGCCTGGCGAGGGCCGGCACAGCCAAGCAGGCGCATAACTGTTGACCTTCGGCATGGCGATGTTGAAATAGTAGGTTGAAGAGTCGTAAGATGGTGTTCAAGGGGTTTCAGACCATATTCCACGGTCGGGAATAGCGAGAAATGGTGCAACGGGTAAGGAAGCAAAGTTGTTGATGCGAAGTGGAATTCCGGCGCCAAGATATTTTTGGGAGCTCCGAGCTTCTTTGCTCCCGTCAACGACTACATTGCACCCACACACATCTTCTGGATCTTTGCGCCATGAGCTTACTACCAGTCAACACCGTCGATCGGTTGGACCGACCGAGCGCATACTTCGGCAAGGTAAGTGCCCTTGATTGCGCTTTGCGGTGTCAGTTCGCAGGCTCAGTGATCGCCCGCAGAACAAGCGACGCAGATATAATGATGAGGAGGAGCAACAACAGCAAGAGAAGGCGGACGACAAATTGAAGACCGCAACAACCCTCTACGTGGGTAACCTGTACGCAACCATGTTATGATCCGGGACGCCGTCACTTCAGTTTACTCACCGATTCAAGCTCGTTCTATACTACCGAGGAACAAATCCATGAACTCTTTGCCAAGTGAGCAAGCTCCCAAGAATCTTTTGGGCTGTGGCTGACGTCAATTGCAGGTGTGGTGAGATCAAGCGACTGGTGATGGGTCTCGATCGATTCAACAAGACGCCCTGCGGTTTCTGCTTCGTCGAATACTACACTCACCAGGATGCGCTGGACTGCCTCAAGTATGTCGGAGGAACTAAGCTGGACGAGAGAATTATTCGAACAGATCTTGATCCCGGCTTTGAGGAAGGACGACAGTTTGGGTACGGAATCACGTTGGTTGATGCATGTGGACACGGTGAGCTAACATCATCACAGACGCGGCAAATCAGGTGGCCAAGTGCGCGATGAGTACCGCGAAGAATACGATCCGGGTCGTGGTGGATATGGCCGCGCTTACGACGAGCAACGCCAACGCGAGGAGGACGAGTACGGCGCCGGAAGGTAGGCCAGGACATAATGGAAAAGTACTGGCTTGGACAATCAATGGCGTTACTTCACGGGAGGTGAATCAATTAGCAGAAACAGGAAATGTCTATTCACCAAACAACCTATTTACAAGTGTCTCTTCCCGCCTTCCTCATTTTCTATTGCTTCAGTTTGTTTCGCTTCAGCACGGCTGCTTGGACCTGTTGAAGCCACCAGGCATGGATTCTGGCGTCCCCTGTCAGCTCCGGGTGGAAGCTGGTGCCGAAGACATTGCCCTGCCGCACTGCCACAATGTCTCCAACCTCCTTATCCGGGTCTCCGTCTTGACCTTCCGTGGCTGAACGGGCTGCCGGTCCGACTAATGTGGCCAGAACCTCGACTTCATCTGCCGTCGCGGCTTGCGCCACCGAATCCCGCACCTTTCGAGAGGGCGCCACGATCACGTCCTCCTGCTGGGTTTCTTCCGTCTGCACACCCTCGTGGTGTGGGAGGATCTTTTCGACAATCGGGGCTCGAATGAAAACGGATGGGAAAGGCTGTGCGTCTGCGCCCAGGAATGGCAGATCCAATGGGCCTTGGAAGCTTTCTGTCTGTCGGCCAAAGTGATTGCGGTTCACGCGAACATCCAATCCTCCGATCAACTCTTGTCCACCCTTCTTGGTCTTGTTGGCGGACTCGGCGAGCAAGATAAGCCCGGCGCAGGTACCCCACGTTGGTTTGCGATCCACTCTGCGCATCATGTTAGATTGGATTTCGTGCGCTGATCGGGGTCACCTACTTGACGAATTCTCGCAACGGCTCAAGCAGATTGGATCTTGCCGCCACCAAAGACATGGTAGTACTCTCTCCTCCGGGTAAGACAAGACCGTCGCATGTTGACAGCTCTTGTGGCGTCCGTACTTCAATGAAGTGCCATTCGGACGGTGAGGCTGTTTCGGTGGCCTTTTTCAGTAGTTGTATATGTTCAAAGAATGCGCCTTGTAGGGCCAACACTCCAACGGTAATAGTCATCTTGAGAGAAGTGAATTGGAGAATCTACTTTGCCTCGTGGCGATGACTCTTTTGGATGCACGTGACTCGACGTTTCCCGGCGGGGAACTTATCGCCACGTGAGCTCTTATCTCGCTATCTAATCGGCGTCGGAACCGTGGAAGCTCGTCGGTCTCGTCGGCCGACCTCGGGAGGGGCTCGGATGTGTCCACGGGTGGTGTTCAGGTCTGTGTTTTCTTTACTTGCGCAGTGGGCTTACTTTCTATTCTCAGGAATCCAACCTCACTGAACATCTTCGATGGATCATGTCCGCAATATGTCTTATCTTCACGTGCTGATATTGAGATAAACTGATAAGATCGCATCGTGTCCAGGTGGGCTGCAGGTGGTGCTGTGTTCCACTCAGCTCAGCTCAGCTCTACATGTATGAGCGCATGCAATAACAGGAATTTGGAAAACTTTCAGACATTCGACACTCGGAGCTTCACCAATTAAAAGTTCCACCGATCCTTTGGTCAAGATTCGGCCAATAACGTCCCATATAGGCAGTTATGGAGGACAATTGCATCACCCACGAAGATGCCTCCAAAGCACCAAACTCAGAGAAGGTTGATCAATCAATGGTCCACCAGCCAACTTTGATACGGTGGTATATTGATACTAGGGACTGGGAAGACAAGGGTTTCGACCTTCCACTGGTCCACACTCTGACCCAGTCTGACCAAGAAGCTGTCAAGAGGTACTATCACGCCTCAGACAAACGCATGTCCCTGGCCTCACAGCTCTTGAAATATTATTTTGTACACCAAACGACAGGTGCTAGCTGGGATGAAATCGAGATTCAGCGCACTCCGGCTCCCGAAAAACGGCCATTCTACGATGCAAATGTTGATTTCAATGTCAGCCATCAAGCTGGTATCACTTTATTGGCAGGCACACGGGCTAGCAAAAATATCACTTCCGGGGGAACCTCTGCACCACGCGTCGGTGTCGATATTGCCTGTGCGGATGAGCCCTCTCGTCGTCGCGCCGACCGGCCTCCAAAGACCCTTGCCGATTTGGCGACTTTTGTGGACGTCTTCGCTGAAGTCCTCTCTTATAAGGAACTTGAAACTATCAAAAGTCCCCTCGGTACTATTCGCATGGCGTACGAACATGGTCTGACTACCATTAACCCGAATGACACCAATGAAGAGCTTCTCGCGGGCTACGGGCTACGACTCTTCTACTCGATCTGGGCTTTGAAAGAGGCATATCTGAAAATGACCGGAGATGGCCTCATAGCCTCCTGGATTAAAGAGCTAGAATTTTCAAACGTCGTTGCCCCAGCTCCTGCTATACGAGACTCGTACAAGTCCGAGCCTACCATTCAGCCTGCCTTTGCTATTGCCCCTTCTGTGCAGAGATGGAGTTCACCATACAGCGATGTCAAAGTCACTTTGAAGGGAAAACCTGTCGACCACGTGCGAATGCAGCTAGTCGCTTTCGAAGGCGATTACATCGTCGCCACAGCTGCTTCCGGCTCCAATGTCGGCGCTGTGCACATTGATGTCGTCAACAAAGATAATCACCATATGCCTGGATATATCAACGTCGTTGATCCCACCCATGGATCGAGGAATATTCGCATCGCACCCGTTGCAGGGCGAGACGTCGGGGACCGAGATCCTTGGCGCGTTCACTCGGCAATTAGCGACCCTTGGCTGCCCATGCAGGAGGTTGATATTGACGTCGATATCCGGCCCTGTGCTGAGGGGCGCTGCAGCCACCCGCTAAACCCCCACTCGGTCTTCGCGTATGTACATCCCCAAGTCACTCCACCAGGACCAATAGCTAACCCTCGATTTCGCATCAAAGAAATATAGATCTGGAGGCGGCTGGGCTTTCGCCCCTTGGGATTTGATGCGTCATGATGATGAATGGGTTATCTCTTTACGCCTCAGGCTTTGCATTCCATCAATATACCAGCGGGTTTTTGAAGCGATGATCCCCCGTTTTGCATTTTTTTGATGCATTTTTGGCAATGTGATTGTGGAATGATGCATTATGTAGTCGACGAAAGCGGGTGTGAACTAACGAAGTCTTTGAATTAACCTTGAAAGTTCAGACTTCAATGCTGTTTTTTCTTTGTACTAGGTATGAGCTCCTCTGGTGTCGGTCTCGATGCTTTGCTGAAAATCTTCCGAAGTCCCGAGTGTCTTCTAATGCGGACGTTGCCCTGTACAAGGCCTTTCAATGCTGGCGACTTGATATCTAGGTAAAAATGGCTATTATTAGTGCGTGTCAATCATCATTTCGAAGTCTATCATAGAGAAGAACCTGGAAAGAAAACGGGGAAGCTTGCTGGATCGACATTATGACCTACCTATATAGCAACCGTACTCATTTCCGTCCTCCAGTATTCAACCTTGAATTTGGTCGATCATCGCCAGGAAACCCGGCCTGGACTTTCATTGGACCTGCCCATCTGCTGCTTTGTTCCACGAAAACACCCAGAAAAGCCAGGACATCTGAAGCGGCAACAGGCGTGGAAAAAAGCAGCGGATGGCCAGGTCCAATGAAAGTCCAGGCCTGGGTTTCCTGGCGATGATCGACCTAAATACTGAAGGACGGGGTTCCCCAGTCAGGAGATTTCAGGTGCTGGAGTTTGGTCTTTGCAAGGCTCCAAGGTTGATGGAGGCTATCATGGAAGGTTACATGACAGGTGGGAAGTTTGTAGGGAGAATAGTGGGCCACGTTCGCATTTTATACAAACGTACTTCCCAATCGGGAAGGTGTTTGCTCATATCACCCGTGGACGTGTTCATGGGGTCTCGTGTCGGACTGAGCCTTGAATCAACTCAGTCAACAGTTGAGTGTCTGTCAAGGCATCCTGTACCAAAGTATAACTCACCAGGTACTAGGTAGATGCCATCATGGATTTACCTAGACAGACACTTGGTAATAGCGGAGGATCATCACGATAATACCTACATTCCAATGGTAAATATTCCTCGGAATCTGAACGCTTGTTCGTACACCAAGCAGCAGCCGGTCTTTATTTATGGACGGTCTTCCAGGATTGGATGGGAAGTTGTATCATGTCTATTTTCCTGAGCGTATCCATAAGGGAATAGAAGAAAAGCCGATTCGTGTCATGCGTTCGCGCTAAAAATATACATTTCGATTACAGGAAAAGAGGTAAAGCCCCGAAAAGCAGGGGGCTGTAACAAGGTCTAGTGCATCGAGCTCCAAATCAGCGGAGAAGCCGGAGAACAGGTCCAGGGACTCCAAATTCGGGGGTGCACGGGTCTATTTGCCCAAGGACACGGACTGGGAGAGAGCCAGTCATTTCCCTGGTGGATACGCGGTGATTGTGAAATCGATCCGCTTCGAGAGCATAAATGAAGGTTCGCCAAAGTACCATTCCATAAAAAATCCAGATGCTCAAGGCGCACCTGTGAGAAGCGACAGGTTCGTTGTTGCTTTTAGATATCAACGGCGCTGGAGACGCCGGTGGCGCGGGCGGCATCAACTTCGCTTTTTTGCGCCTGAGACATGGAAGCAAGGGTCGCTAACATCGAGGCACGTGTGGACTGCGTTAGGTTGTCTACATCACCCGAGGACAAATCTTTGGTTTGGATGGGAGGCAGAACTATTAAGAATGGTTAGTGTTATCGGTGATAAATCTTGACAGATGTATGAGCCAACCTTTGATCTTGATGGTGCCGGCGTTAAACCGCCAGGAACGGGGCGACAGAATGTGGGAGTAGTTCTCCGTCACGATTGGCACGACTGGCACACCGGCCTTGACAGCCAGATGGAAAGCACCCTTCTTGAAAGGAAGGAGTGTAGGCTCGTCAGAATAGCTTCGAGTTCCCTCCGCAAAAATGAAGACACTTTGACGGTGGTCGCGCATCTCGGCAGCAGCACCATCGAAAGCCTTCAGGGCAGTCTCCCGGTTGGCACGGTCAATGAAGACAGTGCGAGAAAGAGACATGAACCAGCCCAGGAAAGGGATGTTGCGCAGAGACTTCTTGGCAGTTACACTGCAGTATGGAGGGAAGACGCAGCCAAGCATAAGTACATCGAGCTCGGTCTGGTGGTTGCCAATGAAGACAGCCGGGCGGGTGGTGAGGTGTTCTTGACCCTCAACAATCTCGAACTTGACACCGGTGGTGAAGCGCATCACCCACTTGAAGCCACGTCCCACTGCCCATTGTGAAATGCGTCCGTAACCCACTAATCGCAGGCAGGCCGAGGCGATTACGCCGTATGCTGCCACCACAAGGAGGGAGCCATAGGAAGCGAGACACCGAGCGACGAAGGCGGCGCGAGGCACTTTCTGCCCGATGGCAAAGAGTGAGACTGTGACGACCACGAATGAGCTGACACCGGAGACAATGTATGAGCCGAAAGACATGGTGACAATTGTTGGGGGGTGAAGAAGCGAGCTGAATGCGATTAGAAAGTGAATCTCACAGCTTGAGGACGGTACATACTTGACTGATATGGGCAAACCCCGGCCCACAGAGGTATCTAGCGATAGGAATCAAAAAGCGAAGTGGAACAGCAGATCAAGGCCAAGATCAAGACTCCATGACTGTGGAGAAGAGCAAGTCGGAGACGAAACGTTGAATCGTTTTTCTGCCCCGATGCCGACTCACCGCCCTCGATGCGCAGATGACGCTGTCAGCCGAACAAGGTCTTTGCGGGGAGCGGGGGATATGTGTATTCACGGGATATTGACTACGAGAACTGGGCAGGTGAATGTGCAGAGTATCCTTCGGGCTGGAAATGCACAGGGAGATCAACACTTGGGGACTACATAAAGTTTTATCTGAATGGAGTTCATCAACATATACTCCGACAGATGTAGCCACCAATCTCATGATGCATGGGAAAAATCCATTCAACTAATGTACAATACACCTGGATGCCAGATCTCGATCTGGAAAACAAAACGCCGCTCTGATGCTGTGCAAAGAGGCCCGTAAACGCCGCGTTCATGAAAGAGGGCAAAAGGGCCCGCTAGAAAGACCTGGAGCGTCACAGGTCTACGCTATGTCCTCGTCCTCCATATCGTCATCGTCCAATGACTCCATTGCGTCCTTGATGTATTGTGCAGCCTGAGAATGGTTAGATGTGAAAATTTCTTGAGGGTCTTCCAAGCATACCTTAGGATCCAAGTTCAAGGCCGCGGTGAAATGCTTCACAGCGGAGGACCTGTCGTGGAGCATTTTGTGCAGCTTACCAAGCAGGTAGTGCACGTTTGCTTCATTTGGTGCCATGTCCTTGAGGGCATTCAACTCGACCAAGGCAAGGTGGTACTCCCGTAGTTGCATGAGCACACGGGCCTTGCGGAATTTAGCTAGGACCGAGTTCGGAGCTATGTAGGAGGCTCGGCTGTAATGAGCCAGGGCGTCCTGGGGATTTTTCCTTTTCTCCAAGACCAAGCCAATGCAGCAAATGAGCACTGCGTTCGTTGGGTTAATGTTGGCTGCATTACGGAAGTGCTGCTCGGCGAAGTCCCATTTGCCCATCTTATCATACACGGTACCAAGTCCATACCACGCATTGTAGTGTCGGTTGTCCGCATTGATACCATCACGATAAGCTGCCTGAGCCTTGTCGTATTCTTCATTGGCGACGTACTCGTGCCCTTGTAGCGTAAAGGCGTAGGCAAATTCTGGATCAATCATTGTCGCACGCTTGAAGCACTTCAATGCTTGATCGTGATCCCGCTGGTGAGAGAAAGAATTACCAATGGCACACCATGCCTGAGGGGACAACCGATCAGTCTCAAGCAGCCGGTGCGCCAGGTAAGCCAATTCAATCTCATTCTTCAAATGCCACAGGACAGTTGAGTAGATTTCCATGTCCTCAATGCGCGAGGGGGCTAGTTTCTGGACTCGGGCGAAATATTTCGCAGCGTCGGTGTAGTTTGCCTGCTCGAAATGGGCCCGGCCAAGTTGAGAAAGCACCCACGGTGTTTCACGTTGCCCTGTTGAGAGGCTATTGAAGGAGACAATGGCTTCGTGGCACTTGTACCGGCTCAATGCAAAATGCCCCGAGGCCAGTTTGTTGAACAGACCGAGGAGCCAATCTAAAGCCTCCATGTCTCTTGTTTGTTCGGCGTTCTTGGGCAATGGAGGAATGGGATAATAGTTTTGTGTTGGCCCATTACGATGCTCTTTACCATCGTTGTCGGGTGTTTCAATGGGTTTCCGATTGCCACTTACGACACGGCCAACTGTGGGCACAGTGCCTGTGCGCGGCTTCGTGGGTACCCCTCGTAGCTTCTTCATTTCGCGACCATCCCTCCCAGTGAGTGGGCCATTTGAAAGCTTGCTGGTGGTGGGTTTGATCTGATTGAATAGGCGAACGCTTCGGCGCTGGGGCGCACCCGGTTCAGTGGGTTGTGATGGGGGAAGGGGATGCGCGACCTGTCCAGAAACTGTACGCTTGCGATCGCCAAATCGTGAGGTGAGGGTTGGTTCCCTCTCGATCGGTGCTGATGGTTGACCATCTGGCTCCGTTCGTGTCTTGTGCCTTGGTCTGATACCCGTTGGACGCATCCGAGGCGGGGCCTGCCCTGTATGATCAAGGCTCATCGTCTGAATCGTGCGTGTTTTGCGGTTCGGGGCTAATGGTGCATCCCATGTAGAATCTGGGTCAGTGACTCCGTTGGCGATGCGGAATTCTTCAGAACCACTGCTTTGTCCGCCTGGTGTCTCCATTCCGTCTTGGAAAACTGGCTGTGCGATTGTCGGAACATTACCAGAGTTTCCATTTAGCTTTTGCCAAAGAGAAGAGCTCCCGTAAGTTGTCTCGGGCTCGGCACGGGATGCAGACACCATGAATGGGTCAGATTCGGGGTTCCCAGGAGGCTGCATAGACCCGGGGGTATCTTCAGACCCAAGGTTATCAGACCCGGTATCTGCTTCTTCGGGCAGTGAAGAGATGATTGCAAGCAGTTCTGGACTCAGTTGGTAGATATTTGGTACTCGAATATTGACACCTGCGCCGAAGTCAGAGAGGCCCGTGGCAATGGAAGAATAAAAAACATACCAGTCTCACACAGTCCCGTGAATGCATCCCACATGAAGGGATTCAGTTTGAGTGACTCGACATAGCAGTCCACTGCTTTTGTAAGATCCTTGTGCGCGTGCCAAAGTTTGGCTTGCAGGCAGTACACGGCTGCTGCATCGGGAAGGTGCTGTCGTCGGGTTTCGCTGTGTTTATCTGTGACTTTTTAGCATCTGAGCTTGACTTGAATTATGGCTGTCAGAGCTTACTCCAGTTGTTCTTGGAGATCCAGAGATTTTTGCTGTCCTCCAGAGCCCCCACACCCTCCAAGTGCTTTCCCAAGTCGAGACACGTTTGGGCATACACGTAGGCGCAGCCGGCATGCAGTCCGCGCGAGCCTGAGACCTGGCTGACATCAAACGCAGCTTTCACTTCTCCATTGTGTAGGTGACAGAGGGCGAGCAGATATTGAGCCTCAAATGATCGCGGTTCCAAGGCATAAAGGCGCGCGGCGAGGAAGAGTGCATTTCGAATTAGATTATTGTCAAGGTTGTAGTAAATGAGATGCCGTAGCTGGCTGGCAACATGTCCCGGGGACAGGGCCATAGTGAGGGGTCCGTGGGCACGTTATGCGACAGCGTCGGTTATTGAGGGAGATCGCGTAGGTTTCGGGTGAAAGGTCAAGGTAAAGATGCGATTGTGAAGGTCGTTCTTCTGGGGATCGGGTCACATTAAGGTCCAGCGCCTTTGTCGGTTTCTTTGAAGACGCGGGGAGGAAACAACGCGATCGAGTGGGTTACAGCGCGAGCAAAGCCAACAGCACCTAGGAGACATGGGCAAGATCTCATTCAACCCCTTCTCACGTCTGTCTGGATGTAGTGGTAGGTCTCGGTGCGCTTGCGGGCGTGGAACGTGGAATGTAAACCCCAGCCGGAAACGGCAAGAGAATAGACGACAGAGGGCAAGTGAAGTGAGGTCTGATTACGTCATCTGCAGACGCAGAATGAGTCTTTCAAAGTGTCCAGGGCATATCCACCGGTTTGAAGAAGAAAAGAAGAAGTCCAAGAAGTGCTTTGGGTCGTCGAGCTTAGCCACTCTTTCTGTTATTTTGGTCGCCGGTGGAGTCGGTTCTGCCGGTTGGCGGTGAATGTTGTGGAGGGCAACAATCGTCCGATGTGCAGCTGTCATGCGTGTCCCCTCTCTGTCTTGGACCTCCGATCTGGATCTGCAAGATTGGATTCTGCAAAAGAATTGGATTTTATCTGCCTCAAGGAACTACTGGCTTGAAAGTGATTCTCCTTGGCCTTGATTTGTGAGATATTGAACTACATTCAGTCATGGCTCAGGTATGTGTCCCGGAACCTAAAGGCTTAAGCTTCAGATCAGCTTTGGTATTGGGCCTTATGTGAGTAGAGGTATCTGACGATGTACCAGAAAGCTGCAAAGTCCCTGGCCACCCGCAATGGCGCGGTCCTCAGCCGCACTCACCTCATTTCTGCCGCATTGCACCTGCTCTTCCTCCTGTTGCACTTCAGCTTCCAGCGCCCTCGCTCCCTGAAGCCTTACTTCTTCTTGGCAGTGCCAACACTGGCCATCGAATATTACCTGGACCGCATGGGTCGGCCCCGTTATAATGAGGATGGCTCCCTCCGTTCCGCGGGTGAGGATCTCAATGCCACCGGCCTGACTGAGTACATGTGGGATGTCCTGTACTGGACACAGGGCTGTATTGTCGCTGTTTGTCTCTTCAATGACCGTGCCTGGTGGTTATGGACCGTGATCCCACTGTACTCCGTATATGCCGCTTATACTACGGTCATGGGTGTCAAAAAGGGATTCGCGGGAATGACCGGTGGTGGTGGCGGCGAAGACGCTGATGCCCCAAAGAGCAAGACGCAAATGAAGAAGGAAAAGAGGGGCTCTACTATGAAGTACAGGTGATCATAATGGGTGTGAATATGTACAAAGCAAGCAAGTTTGGGGTGGGAGCTCAAAAGCCGCTGTTGTCAGGCATTGATTTCTTTGGTATCTAATTGTCTTTTCCAAATCGACCGCAGTGCAACTGCTCAATCCCATCCCATCAACTACCTTATCCTCAGACACCTGGGTAAATTGCAATGTTGCCCTGGTTCTCGGAACCGCAGTAATTTGACTGGCGCAACCTCGGAAGCGCTGCTGTTTGGTCGAGGTGATGACCAGCATGCTCATCTGCCACCTGGGCATTGCCAAGGTTCAAGTTACCTAGGTATGTTGACGCATGAATATACCTACCTAGGTATGGACATGTGGAGATAAAGCTGGTTTAGGCCTTCCTGGATTGAAGGATATATGACTACCTGCATTTAATTTATCCAGGTACTAGGTACAAGCCCTGGAGGTACAGCCCTGGAACCACCGTGGACCTGTGCAAAGGACAGTACCTACCTACTAGTAGCCCATAACACGTTTCAACCTTGGAAGGTTGTTTAGATACAGGGGAGTAGCGTTTGGAATATTGTCCAGCTACTACCGAGACAGTGATGTGATCATTGAACTGTGGCATTTTGAAAAACAGAACCTTGGAAGGGTAGGAAAACATTCACTCATTATGTACTCAACATATATCACTTAACCGAAGACACATATTCCGACCAGGAAGCGACTGTTGACAAAGCAAGATGATAACATAGAGACCGAAAGGACAAGGAGAGCTGTGCATGCTCAATTGATGAGCGAAGTGCTAGGTATCGTGACATACTATGTGGGGAATACTGCATTGGATGCCGTTCAAGGTGCATCGAATGCACAGGGTTCAAAGCTAAGCATTTGGGCCTGAAAGGGATTGAGAAACTCTCAATGGAGGTGATGACATGTCGAAGTCTATCATAGCTCATCTCTGTATGAGGAAGCAGCACTTTTCACGCTGCTAGTGGCCTCATCAGCGTGGGACGAAGCTGTCTCGGCTGCTTCAGACGCAACACTGCTAGCACTAGCGGCTAGATCAGCCAACTGGGATTTCGCGCTTTCAATGGCCCCAGAAAGACGAGCCGTGGCACTTTCGACCGAACCGGGCTCTTCGCCATAGATGGCTGCACGGGCCTTTGACTGAATGTCGTCAATGGCCTCCTTGGCCACATCAATGTAACCGGCCTCCTTGCCGTACACAGCGCTGCTGACTTGGGCAGCTGCTGTAGAGTAGGCATCGGTTGCAGTATCTGTGGCTTTTTCAAAAGATCCCTTAGGTGTTCCGTAGATACCAACTTTGGCAGCGTCAACAGCAGCATGAATTTGGTCGTTGACCTGCTGCATGATATCGTCCACACTGGGAACTTCAGATGCAACAGCAGAAGCGGCCGATGTGGCGGCTTCATATCCCTCACTGATATAGCTAGAGGCAGAAGACACAGCAGCAGCCGGGTAAGGGGTCTCGTATGCGGCATGAAGTTTGCTGAGTACACTCTCTGTGAAGGAGGGTTGCTTGCCCACGATAAGCTCCGACACGAGCTCCTGGACTGCCTCGAATTGAGAAGCCCCAGTGTTGATTACTTGCTGAGCATAGGGCGTGGGTGCACCATAGATCTGCTCACTGGCCTTTGACACAAGTGCTTCCCAGTTCTCGGACGCCTGGCTAGATAGTGATTCAACGGGCCCGGGTGTGGTACCGTAGACAGCGGCACTCGCCGAGACCGAAGCCAGGGAGAGCGATGCGGAAGCCGCGGAAAGAGCAGCGTTGTATCTGGAGGAAGCGTCATCGATAATACTTTGCGCTTTCCCATCATCGGCAGACGAGATGACCGAGCTAGCTGATGCAACGACTGCGGCTAGGCTGGCAGAAGCCAAAGAAGAAACGTGCTCGTACTGAGAGCCAGCCTCTGAGATAAGTCCTTCGAAGCTTCTGGGGGCGGTTGTTGGGGTTGGGGAGCTGTACACGGCATTTGACGCTGTTGAGACAAAAGCCGTGAAGTGGTCATGGGCCAAGCCGACAGCTTCATAATAGCGGCGCTGTGCATCTAGAACAAACGGTTCTAGAACAGCCGAGCTGGCCGTGGCCGCGGGCTGTTGGACCTGGGCGAGCTGCTCAGATGCCAGGCTAAGACCTTGGCTCAACCGAGATGAGGCGATGGAAGAGATCTGGGCCAGAGGTCCGGCAGCCGACGGGGTCGGGGTAACCCGAACAGCGTTGATGTTTGATTCTAGTTTCTCGGTAGCATACTGAAGGGATCCTGAGTATGCCGATTCGATGGATGCCAGAAGTTGGGCGTGGGCAGGTGCACTTGATTGTGCCATTTGTCCAAGGACTTGAGACTTGGCAATATCATAGAGAATCTTAGCTTGGGCAGTGGAGTCAGAGAACGCCAAGCTGGCCTCGCCAACCAAAGATTGAACGACGGGCGTCGGTGTACCATAAATCACTGACGAGGCACTGTGGACATGAAACTCCAATTAGTAAAATGATTGGATGTGGATACGTGGTGGGATCAAGTGTATAGTTTAGACAGTGGTAGGGACCGAGAAGGTTGTATGTACTACTTACGCTGCGACAGCTTCGCTGTACTTTTCGGAAGCAGCACTCGAAATCTTCTCACCAGGGCTCAAAGGAGTGCCATAGAGAATACCAGAGGCAGCGGCCAAGGCATGAGCGTACTGATCACCAACCAAAGCGGCTGCTTGCTCCCCAACTGTAGGGGTTACTGATGCGCCATAGATGGCTTCACTGACAGCACTGCTTGCTTCGGCATAAGTATCACTGGCCTTGCTCGCCAACCCGTGAAAAGCGTCTTTGTCGTCCTCGCCATCAAGAATGGGCACTTGATGGGTGTTTACTTCGGCGGCCGCGACACCAAAGGCAGGTCTTACGGAGGGCTGCTCTTCCACGACAACGTCATCAGCCATGGACCCATCATCTTCGTTGTCATACTGATCAGCCTCAACATCAACAGATGGCTCGGAGTCATGAGTCTCCTCCGGAGCCTCAAAAGCAGTCGCTGACTCTGAGTCCGAGTTTGACTCAGACGAGTCGGTTTCAGATGTAGCCTCCTCAGTCTCCTCGACTTCCACCGGAGGTTGGGGTCTTGGCGGCTCCCCAGTTCTTGTCGAAAAATCATCGCTGACTTCACGAGCAGCAATCTTCCAGAGGCCGACGTCCTTCAATCGGACAAGCTCCTTAGCAGCTTCTTCAGCATCATGCATGCCGCTGTCCATGATATCGTTCACCACATTTCTGGCTTCCGATACGGAGCTGTGGTTGACTCCAACCTGCCGGATCTCACTGCGCCATTCTTCAAGCTGGGCCTTAAGAGCATGGTACTTGGCCCAATCCTTGTATGTAACACCATCATTCCAGGCCCAGCGCATTCCAATTTCCTGCAACCCCAGGTCGCGAATGCTGTCCAGAACAGCTAGGGTGGAATCCACGGCCGCGGTGACTCGACGGACAAGCTCATCTTCAAAAGAGACGGACCATTCTCGCAACACGTGGGCACGATCTCTGACTGACATGGCAGAGTTTCGGATATCCTGGACTAGCAGACTGGCAGTGGCTTCCTCGACAAGTCCGTCGGCTTCCTCTGGCATTGACTCCGCAAGTTCGTTGATACGTTGCCTAATTGAGGAAATTTGCTCAGAAGAGACCGATTGAAGTGCAGTAGCCAGACTCTTGCCATGGCTATTGGCACTGTTTGCGACCAGAGCAGAGACAATCTCTACAATGCGTTCCTCAAGGTCCTCAACGCCCTTGTCTGCAGCGATGGAGAATTTCCTCTGCCACCGCTCGAGATCGGAATCAATTTTTTCACGAGCTTGCTCTGCTTCCTCGGTGGGAGACCATGTGGGCTTGGCGGGTGCTTCGGTGGTAGAGGTGGAAGTCACAGTGCTCGTAGCCCGTGTCTCTTCAGACTTAGTGACTGACGTGGTAGCGGCCTGGACGGTCGAGGTGCTGAGGAAGGGATTAGTAAAGTTTAAGGTGTTCTGGATGGTTCTGGATTAATTACCTGTCTAGCTCTTCGACAACGGCACGAAGACGCTTGCCCTCTCTGTAACTTGCCAAACGCTGGCCAATCTTGACCAACTGCGGCTCAACCTGCTCCGAGTAAAGACCGGTGACATGGGGCCATACTGAGCTATTGGCAAAGTACACCACAGATGACCAAGTATACTGCGCACCGGGCATGACGTGGGTTACCATAACATCATGGCTCGTGGAATATGCCTTTCCGATGTATGGCTTGGAATGGGTGTAGAAAGGTACCAAATGGTCCCAGTAAACCGCGAGCGCAGCAGCATTAGCCTTTTGATAGTACGGCGAGACAACAGCGACACCCTGCTGGATATATGGATCCACCTCAGCCAAGTATAGCTGATGAACTTTATCTTGAGCTACCTGCACCCGAGGTGTAACTTGGATATGCCATTGCTGAGCTCCGTAAACGCGTGCTTGTTGCAAGGCCGGGGCGCCATACTTTTCATATCCTGATTTCGCAACTTTTGATGCTGGTGTGTACACCCGGTGATTCAAGATGTCCACGTAGGGGCGGGCTTGATCAACATAAGGCGCAGCATAGATGTCATAGTAGGGTGTAACATAAGGCTCGACGTGTGAGCGAGCAACCAGATAAGGCTTACAGACTCGAGGAGATGCTTCCGTGAGATCTGCGATATTGGAAGGGCATTGGAAGAACGGCGAGACCAGCGCGTACCAGATGCAAAGTCTAAAGAATGGACATGTTAGTATGTGCAACAAACATCGCATGAGCAGCACTCGCCTCACGACCAGTCCAGTGGTCCACCGCACAATTCCCTTCTTTCGTCGCGTTTGGACATTTGCTGTGTTATTCGATTTGGTGGTTTCCGCCACCTGTCCATTCTCTGCAACAACCATGCTGTCTGTGGTTTACCCGCACGAGGCCACGCGGTGTGCGAAACAGTGATTCGGCCGTAGGTTGCCCAGGGCTTCCTATCCACGCTTGATTCAAGTCGGCGTGACCGAGACTACCGCATCGGAGAAAATATCACTGCCGTTTCGAGTACGGAGTAGTGGGTGTCAGATTGGAGCTTGAGATAAGTTACCAGCAGAGCTGTCGATGGAATGCTCGCGTCGGTCTTGGCACTAGACTTTCACGGGCCGCGGTCAGACTCTATGTGATACCGAGGAAAGTGATTCTGAGGATCTTTAGAGCAGATCCAGAGATTATTGGGAGGGAAACACACACAATATTAAAGTGAGAGCAAGGGCCCTCGCAATATGACACAATCAGGGACGATTGTGTTGGAGGCTGTGAGGTCATCGGTGGCTGTCTGTACTGCATATACATCAATACTCGAATATTACGATCAGTGCGCTGCCATCTGGGTCGTACTGTATGTAATCTAGATACGGCACATGGCTGACATAAGACGGGTCGGGCTGGGAAGGAAGCAGGTCGAAACGATCGCTTTTACAACTCTTAGGATCTGCAAGCTTGACAAGGTTGGTCCTATCATATGCTGTGGCAATCGTGGTGGGTTTGATCTGTTATACTGACCGTCTCTTCCAGCTTGCCTCGGACTGCCCGCCAACCCCACGCCCGCATATGTTTACACCTCCCGCCCAAGAGTTTAAGAACATGGTGAACATTTAATACCAACACCACTGTTCATTCGAGGCGAATCTCACAATGGAGGGAACGGACAGCCATCTCCATCACCATGTGGATCCGAGCGCGTTCCCCGACGTAATGAATGACCCGGCTTACGACGAAAGGGAAAAGGGTTTCGACGACTTGGATACTTGTCGCATATGTCACGGCGAGGCAACGGCCGAGGAGCCACTGTTCTATCCCTGCAAGTGCAGTGGTAGCATCAAATTCGTACACCAAGTCTGCCTGGTGGAATGGCTGTCTCACTCGCAGAAGAAACACTGCGAGCTCTGCAAGACCCCATTCCGGTTTACCAAGCTTTACGACCCGAACATGCCCCAGAGCCTACCCGCACCCTTGTTTGTGAAGCAAGCCTTGATTCAATGCTTCCGGACCTTGTTGACGTGGATGCGATTCATTCTTGTCGCTTTTGTCTGGCTAGGATGGCTACCGTGGTCCATGCGCGCAATCTGGCGAGCATTGTTCTGGCTTGCGGATGGTCGCTGGTCCGCGACTGAACAGGCTGCACAAGCTGCCAAGGGAGGGCTGAATCAACTAGCCACAAACGGCAGTGCAAATGCTGCCGCGACTAACTCGATCTCAACAATTGCCAGTGCGGCGACTTCATCAACACCCGCACCATCTGCATCCTCAATCATCGGCCTCGCTTCCGGGGAACCGATGATGCTTACCGTGATAAAGAAGATTGTTCCTTCTCTATTCATGCCTGCATTTACTTCCAGTGCCGGACAAGGGAGCGCTGAGATGAACTCCACGGCTAGCTCAACTAAACCACGATACCCCTCCTGGCTTTCGGACGTGAAATTCTTGACCACGCTGACGCCGTATCCCACGATTAACAACATGATAATAGACACATTGGAAGGACAGCTGATAACGCTCCTTGTGGTCGTCGCATTCATTCTGCTTTTCCTCATTCGAGAGTGGGTTGTTCAGCAGCAGCCCATGGCAAACATTGCCGAAGGAGAGCGCGAGGCAGCTCTTCAGCTAATTGCGAATGCAAACAACCGTATTAATGAGCGGTTCAACGAAGAAGGTGGATTTGGGGATCCCGCGCCACTTCCTGCGCAGCCTGAAAATCAAGCCCACGCTGTGCACGCCGATGCTCATGAGCTGGAAGATGATCATTTACCTGGCTATGCCCCTGCGTCCCCAGCTCCATCGTGGACTGACTCCGAGGATGGACTTCTTGACTTTGAGACAGAATCGAGAGAGCATGCTTTGGACCACGAAGATGAAGCAGAGGGTTCTGCTCCAACAGCTCGGGCTTTGGCCTTCCGAGACCTAGTGGCTCGTACTCATGGCGACCATGATGAGATGTTGCGTATCCTTCGAGAGGAGGCCCACGGCGACGATCTTGACTGGATCGTCAATGCCATGACTGGAGCCACCATTGACCGGGATGCACCAGCAGGACCATTAAATCAACCTCGCGACACAGATGGTGTACTCGAAGCTCCCGATAACGGCGAAGGAAGTGCCAATGCTCACCTCGAGGCTGAGTCTGCTCAAGCAGAGCCAACAGACGGACAAGCTACCCCTGTTGTCATTGAGCAACCACACGATCGACCCCCACGCGCTCTTTCAGAGCGAATCATTGATTGGTTCTGGGGTGACATCACACGTTGGGAGCGCGACACAGAGGAACCGGTACCCGAGGACGAAGAGCACATTGTTCAAGACCCAGCTCTAGAAGACCCCTTCGTGCCTTTGCCAAACAGGGTGGTAGATGAGCCAGGCGATGCTGAAGCTGACGCTGCCGCGGCCGCAGAAGCTGGGCTGGATCCCAACGACCTGGAGGCAGCTGACGGCGATGACTTCGAAGGGATCATGGACCTTATTGGCATGCAAGGCCCCATTTTCGGGCTGTTCCAGAACGGTGTTTTCTGTGCCCTTCTTATCGCCTTTACAGTGGCCATCGGCATCTGGCTTCCTTATCTCTGGGGTAAAATTGCCCTCGTGCTGCTCGCCAACCCTCTGGAACTTCTTGTTGGCGTCCCTCTCACAGCCGCGGAAGTCGTTGCCGACGTCGTCCTTGATACCCTCATCGGCGTCGTTGGTTACGTGATGTACTCGTTCAGCTTTGTGTTCAAGATTATCTTGAGTCCGCTCGGCGGTCTTGTCCCGTTGGGCGAATGGATCCCGCAAGACAACTCAGTCACCAGTGCATCGCTTTCCCTCATTGATGCCAGCAGCCGCCGACTGAACAAGGTGATCAAGGCATTCCTGGTGTTTCACGAATCTGATATCCCCATGTTCTCAGTCCTCTCCCACCAAGCTCTTAAGCTGCACCAGGCTCGTCTTGCCGCCATAGCTCACTCCATCTACGTCACCGCAAAGTTCATCGTGCATGACATCCCATTGCGAATCGTAACCCTTGGTGTACCAGGGGCGTTGAAGTTCGAATTCGATACTAGCTATCTCAAGCATTACACCGCTCAAGTTCAACAACAATTTGTTGACTTTGCCAATTCATCGCTCTTCGCCCTTCCCGGAAAGAGGTTGATGAGCGCAAGCGCCGCTAAAGCCGCCTCAGCGGGAACGCCCGTTGATTATGAGTTGGCTGCATGGGACTCCAAGGATCGCGCCATCGCTATCCTGATGGGCTATGTTCTCGCGTCGATGATCGGCCTTCTCTATCTACGGATTTCTGGGCTGCTTGCTGGGGCAAATCGTGGACAGAGAATTGAGGGCGTGGTTGCCGAAGTTCTGATTCAAGCTGGTGGGGTGATGAAGGTCATTCTCATCATCGGAATTGAGATGATTGTCTTCCCTCTTTATTGTGGCAGTCTTCTCGATCTAGCTTTGCTTCCTCTCTTCTCCGAAGCTACGGTGGTCTCTCGTCTTGCCTTCACGGCTTCGTCCCCTCTCACATCACTCTTCGTGCACTGGTTCGTCGGCACTTGCTACATGTTCCACTTTGCCTTGTTTGTTTCCATGTGCCGAAAGATCCTGAGAAGTGGTGTTCTCTGTAAGTTTCAAACATTTTTCATTTTGTTTCGTGCGCTAATTGGTCGGGTACAGACTTCATCCGCGATCCTGATGATCCGACTTTCCACCCAATCCGGGACGTTCTTGAGCGAAGTATCACCACCCAACTTCGCAAGATTGGGTTCAGCGCTCTTGTCTATGGTGCACTAGTCATCGTCTGTCTTGGAGGTGTTGTCTGGGGCTTACATTTTACCCTTGATAATGTGCTCCCGATCCACTGGTCGGCCAGTGCGCCGATGCTCGAGTTCCCAGTTGACCTCCTGTTTTACAATTTTGTGCTGCCAGTGGTCATCCAGTCCTTTAAACCTTCGGATGGATTGCACGAGCTGTACGACTGGTGGTTCCACAAATGCGCCCACTTCCTACGCCTCAGCAACTTCTTCTTCCCCGAACGACACATCGAGGAGGAAGGATACCATGTACGAAAGTCATGGTGGGGCGTTCTGTCAAGAAGCAAGGGAGATTACAACAATCCTGTTATCGGCGCCGATCAACAAGCTGCAGCCGAGCAGGGGAATCATGATGCCTATTTCGTCCGCGATGGCCGCTACGTCCGAGCACCTGGCTCCGATCAAGTCCGTATTCCAAAAGGCAACCGCGTGTTCTTGGATGTCACGGAGAACAACGAGCGTGTTGACGGAAAGCCTGATCTTGCCGATGGACTTCATGGCCGGACTAGTAACATGTTTACTAAAGTTTACATCCCCCCCTCCTTCCGCACTCGTATCGCTGCTTTCATTCTTCTGATCTGGTTGTTTGCCGCTACCACTGGGGTAGGCATCACTATTGTTCCCCTCATCATTGGCCGGAAGATCATCATGTCCTACTCATCCAACGAGGCCCCGGTGAACGATGTCTATGCCTTCTCTAGCGGTCTTTGTGTGGTCGGTGCGTTAGCCTATATGGCATACCATTCGCGCAGTGCTTTCAATGCCGCGCGCGCCCACTCAGGTCTCTACCTTCGCTCTCCACTTCAAGCCGGACAAGTGACACTGGAAGCTGCGATGCACGTCGCTCGGCTTCTATACATCGTTACCGTTGCCGTTCTCATACTCCCATCGCTCTTCGCGCTTCTTACTGAACTCTACATTCTGATTCCTGCTCATACTCTGTTCGGTGACGGAGAATCCCACGTGGTGCACGTGGTCCAAGATTGGGCACTTGGGGTTCTGTATGTCCAGATGGCCCTCAAGTTGACCGTCTGGCAGCCTCATTCCTGGGCCGCTGCTGTCCTTAACGGTATCACCCGGGATGGCGTACTGCATCCCCGAGCGGGCCTTGCTACCCGAGCGCTGGTTATCCCTTTTTTCCTCTTCACCATCCTGGCCGTCACATTGCCCCTGTCCTTTGGTGTGATTGTGCGCTGGTCCTTCTTCTATTCCAGCGCTGGAGTGGAGCCCAACATCTATCGTTACGCATATCCAGCCACGCTACTGGCCGTGCTGTCGGTATGGCTTTCCCACTTGGTTCTTCGCCGAGTGGCCGCTTGGCGTACCAATATCCGCGATGAGGTGTATCTCATTGGTGAACGCTTGCACAATTTCAGTGAGAAGCGGGCGCGGGATGTCGGCGTTTCGCGAGTGATGACTGGATGACGGAATGATACAGTTGACTTCTCTGAGTAGCTGGCAGAGAGAACCAAAAAGTCTTTAATTCACAGCTTTAGTGTAGCATATCAATATGACCATGGAGTCTGCATGAGTTCTACGATTTAGATATATGCTGCCTGAGGCATCTAAGTGACATAATCTGTACTGTGGTAACCGTATTACCGTAATCTATCTTTAGATACTTGCTGCCTGCGAACAGCCCCACCTCCAGCCGCCGACGAACGCTGATTGGTTAGGCAACAGGATTCCCTCGATCTCCCCGTCTGGTTATCGCATCGCCATCAAGGCATCCTTCAATCTACAGTGTCAATTCATTTCTCGCCAGATGGGTTCTTTGCTCTTCACAGACACCCAACATGGACTCATGAAATTCACCCTTCCTGCGCCGTGTCTTTAATGCTTGATATTCTAGCTCGTGATCCTTATCTCTCTCCGCAATCGAGATGTCAGTCCTGCGACATGGTGGAGGGGGCGGCTTCCTCCAACGGCGCCTTACGAAATTATACACCGACACGAAAACCTCTTGCGAAAGTGTGACCACGGCCTCCAAGGCCCTCGATGACCCGGAACTTGTTGCTCTCCACGGGAGTTTCCAGAAACAGAGAGATCGTTTGCTGTCATGGGGTCTCGATTGGAGCGACGCAAGCGCGGCGCAACCCAACGACATTGACGAGTCTCTGACAGCCGCAGGATTCAGCGATGTTGTCGAGAGTGTGATGTCATCCATCCAAGAGCTCCTCAATGACGCCGAACGAGTCCAACACGTGGATGCGCCGATGCTACCCTCGAAAGAACGCAAGGTTGACCTCCCGTCAAAGGATACCCTGGGGAACACACCTTTGAAGACACAATGGACGGAGGAGGACATTACCCGCTCGAAATCCATCCTTAACGAACTTACCGGCTGTATTGATACCCTTTACGACCTGTCGCGCTCTCGCCGAACGATGGCCTCAAGCATGTCATCCAGCAGAAACAGCGCGCGCCGCCAACGACCTAATCTCAACTCTCCCTACGAGTCCTCCCATGGCTCTTTCTCCGAATCCAAGGAGAAAGTTCAAAGCCCGAAGCAGATGTTCGACCCTTTCGCCTACTCGCCTGCGACCCCGCATCGCGACTCGACCAACCCTTTCCTCCCAAGAAACCGCCTGCTCGTCGACCGCTCGGCCCTCCAGCTTTATGGAGCCGCCCACGAAAACTCTCCGCCGCCATATGAACCTGTGGCGGCATCTGCAAACTCAAGGGCTATTGGACGCCTGAAGTCTTCTGCGTCGCCGTTTCTTGCATCGACTAAAGAGTCGCATGTCTCGGTGCTGGTTGAGTTCATGCCGATTTTGGCAGAGTCTAGGATGGACAACAAAAGTTCGCGCATGGAAAAGCTACAGCAATCCCTCGACCAATTATTGCAGAATGCTAGGATCTCCCATTTGGGACTGATGCGATTTTTGGGATACTCTATCGACCAGTCCAATGCTCGCTATGCATTCCTTTATCAGATGCCCGTGGACTACTTCCCATTCTTGCAAAATCCTAGTGATTTACTGAAAGAGCTGAAGCCTAAACCATTGGTCGCGCTTCTCCCATCGGCAGACGAGCACAGGGAGAACCGAGTACCAAACCTTGACACTCGGTTTCGCCTGGCCTACGATCTTTTGATGTCGGCGCTTCATTTGCGAAGCCAGAATGCTGTCCATGGAAACATCAACAGCAGTAATGTCATTTTCTTCCCCGGCCGAAGTGATGCAAGTGACGACGAAAGTGGCCTTGCGCCTGACCTCCGCCGGCCCTATCTCACCTCTCCTGCAAGGTTCTCCGGGGATGGGCCAACGCCGGAGCCACTGTCCTCGGCGATGTATCGCCACCCAGAGGACAAGAGATCCGTTGAAGACGACGGCGCATGGGCTTACGATCTCTACTCCCTCGGTCTGATCCTACTCGAAATTGGACTTTGGGCGCCGGTCGGGCGGCTTTGGAAGATGAAATATGACCGCACATGGTTCAAGCACCGCGTAGAAGATCTCTACGTCAAGAAGCTTGGCCCGAAGTGCGGCGGTGCCTATCTTCAAGCCGTTCAACTTTGTCTCGATGCCCCCAACTTCCACCTTTCTACGCAGCCCATGACAGACCTCGGCCTTCGTGTGCCACAAATTTACCACTACCCAGTGCTTGACCTTTCGGATCCTGATGGCACATTCTCCTTCTCCATGAACTTCATGTACACCATCTGCAAGATTCTCTGGTCGTGTTGCCGTATCGATATCTTCTCGGCGCCCTCGGCCGAGGAGTTGGACGATTGCCTCCCCCTGGCACTCGTTCCAACACCTGAACCGGTGACCATCCAGGACAAGGTCAACGCGTACAAATCTTCGAAGCGTGAAATGGCTTCCAACCTTGACAAGCAACTCCCCAGTGTGCCCACCACCGAGTGGGGTGTTGTCAATGAGCCGAAAGCATACGAACCCCCACAAAAGAAGCGTACTGTCAAAAGACTTCCCCACTTGGAGATTCCAGACGAACATCTGCAAGAGTGGAACTTCCACATGATGCCTCGATTAAGTCGCCTCCTCCAAAAGATCCTGAAAGAATCATCCGAGTCATGCGGAGTCAATCTCATCATGACTGGAGAATCGACCGAGAGTGCCAAAACAACGATCTGCATCACCTGCGGAAGTGTGAAGAAAGTGAGAATGGCACTCAAGAAACACTTTGCTCTTGGTCGGGATGATTGGGACCTGATTGTCTTGCGTGGAGACATTGAGCGGTCTAAGGTGCCTCGCAATCGACGTCGCCGCCCGGCCAAGGCTCGACCTAATGTCTCGAATGAGACGCCCTTTCGCCAAAGAGAGCTCAACCCTTGCCACCAGCAGCGACCTCTTTGTGGGGCGTCCATCGGTGCGTTCCAGAATGAAGAGCACCTGCCTCCCGTGTCTTATGGCGGCGCAATCTTCGTTGACGGGATGCCATATGGTCTTACTGTGCACCATATGCTGGAAGCACCTAGTGAAGACGAGGGCCAAGGCAATTCCCTCGCAGACCCAAGCCAAGATGCCCCTTCTAGGTCAGCGGGCAATTGGCACGGGGATACTCCCCAATATTCCAACCCGGAATTTATGTACACCTATTCTGAGCAAGAGTCGCCGGAGTCAGGCCTTGAGTTTGAATTATCGGACCTGGAGGATGGCGATGACGGGTCATTGTCTCAAGGGCTCGAGTCCGGCTACGATGAATATTGGCTCTCGGATGATGATTCGTCGGACGACGACTCTCTAGGCCCCGATGACGATGACGATGACGCTGCATCGATTGGAGATACGGCCGGCGTTGAGCCGGGCGAAGAACCTCGCCTCCTGGTCACCCAACCAGCCATTGACGACGTTCATGATGATTTTTTTCCATCGCCGGAAGACCGCGATGATGAGCACTTAGCATCCCACTCCCTTGGCTACGTCCATGCATCCTCGGGCGTCCGGCGCTGGACCCGAAAGGGTCTCAAACACGAGATCGACTGGGCGCTTATAAAAGTGGACGAGGCCCGCATGGATCCTCGCAATATCATTCTCGACACGACCAGGTCCAGCATCGCTCGTCCGGGTCGACCAGTTCCCCCGCAGCCTATCTTCTTGAATCAAGTGGCTCAGATGGAGGAGCTGGGTGGCCTGCAGGTCCACTGCTGCGGCCGGACGAGTGGGCTGCAAACCGGACAGATCTCCAAGGCGATGACTCTGGTCAAACTGTATGGACGGCATTCCTTCTCGACCAGCTTTTGCGTCCATGGAAACTTCGGAGGTAAGCGGTGCTCAGCGGTGTTGTTATGTCTATATGATCCCTAATTAGATACCCTTTGTTGTTTGTCACCTGTCTAAGCTGGTAACCAGCACATTAAACCCACGCTCGTATCGAGTAAGGCATTGGACACTAAAGCTAATTTCTCCTACGACAGCCCCCGGCGACTCCGGCGCATGGGTCTTTGATCGACCGACCGGTCGCGTCTGCGGCCACGTCCTGGCCTGGTCAGCCAAGAGCAACACCACCTACATCTCGCCGATGGAGGTGACCTTCGACGACATCGCTCGCACCCTCAACGCCACCCGCGTCTCCCTCCCCGGCGATCCCGCCACCCTCGGCTACGTCCACCCTTCCTCCCCTTCTGGCCCTTACCGATATCAACCTCAACGACTTCCGGGGGATTTCGGCCATCTGGCGCTGGGAGGTTCCCCAGGCCCACCGTTGCCACCTCATCCCCAGCCTTACCCGCACCCCCACGGGCGCCCGGACTACGGGCGTCCCCCACCCCCTCCACCCCCTCCGGGCTCCTATCGCGGGCCCGTGCCTCCCATCCCGCCGTCCCTGCTCACCGGCCCACGCAATGCCGAGCGTCAACTTGCCTGATCTTGTATACTGGTTGATGTGTTGATGTGTTGACGCGCCTGGTCTGGATGGGAGGTTTATGATCGATTCATGTTTATGTCAATACCCTGGACCTTGGATGTCTTTTTTTTAAACCTGTTTTTTGGCCTGTATCTTGGGATACAGAAAGGGCACTTTCTCGGAATAACGAAGTAGCCCACTCTATTATATTTTCTACAGGTCGACGTGATACACCGTGTTGAGGGAGTTGATGCATCGCCGTTTCGGATTTTGAGCGATGGATTTAGCCCATAGATCAATAATTGTAATGCCGTTAACAATTCCAGAGGTCTACCTGTGAAACCCGAGGTCTAATCCGGGGTATCCTAAGTACTAGTACAGTAATGTATGCAGTCAAGTTCAAAAAACAAGATCTACAGCTGATCAACTATGCGAAATGAGAAATGACGATAAAAAAGCCTAACAAAAATCCAGGAACGAAGGCGACCGGAATTTGAGTCCAACATCAAACGTCTAACAGTCCAGCAGTTTCATCTTCTCGTTTTAGGGCTGGTTCATCTCGAATTTGCGCCTCGCCCCATCATTGGGCGTTGGGTGTCGATCCTTCGAGGATTTGGTCTCTCAACTTTTGCACCAGCACCCTATATAATATAATTCCTTTCTCAGCATGTTTTCTTCTCCAGGCTGGCCTGGATTCTGTTTTAATATTTAATTTTTTTCTTTCCCTGTATCATGTCCAACGTGCACCAGGTCCTCATTAAGACTCAGCAGGCCGAGTTGCATCGTGGCTGTCATCCATATCATCCTGGTTGGCAAACGGCCTATGGATATGTTCCGTCCGAGGCTGCGGGCATTGTCTTCTGTGCCTTGTTCGGGGCCTCGCTGCTGGTCCATGTTGTACAGTTCTCGTGGAAACGGATGTGGTGGCTCTGTGTCTTCCCCGTTGGGTCTTTAGGTATGGAATATCGAAGCACTTGGCAATTGGCAGTTCGAGCACTAACAATCCATAGTCGAATTGATTGGCTGGGCAGGGAGAACATGGTCTTCGAAATGTGTTTATAATCAAAATGCATTCCTGATGCAGATCTCAACATTGATCATTGGTGAGTTCACCGGACGTGCAATGCAACACTCGCTGATCGTGCTTAGCCCCGACGTTCTTCACGGCTGGAATTTATATCCTGCTCGGTCGGTTCATTTCCATCTTCGGTCGTCAGTCCTCTGTCCTCTCGCCCAAGGCGTATCTGTGGATCTTCTGTACGTGCGATATCATCTCGTTGGTCGTCCAGGCAGTAGGAGGTGGTCTGGCCTCGTCGGCATTCGCCAAAGAAGGCGGCAACACGGATCCAGGATCGAATACGATGGTCGGAGGTGTGATCTTCCAGCTTGCCTCGATTACGGTCTTCGTCATCTGTGCGGCGGACTTCTTACGCCGGGTGAGCAAGATGGGTGTGCTGCGCACAGCCTCGGTGTCGTTCATCCTCTTGATGTTGGCAATGGTCATCTCGGTCCTGTGTATCTATGTTCGCAGTATCTACCGGACTATCGAGTTGCTGCAGGGGTGGAGAGGGTACCTTATCACACATGAGTTGTACTTTATTGTGCTGGATGGTGTGATGATGGTTGTCGCTTCGGCGATCTTCAACGTCGTCAGTCCGGCTTTCTTGCTGGACTCGGTCAAGGTGGCGACGTTGCAGGACGATCGATCTGCCACTGAGTTGACGGAGCCGAAGCCGGAGTATGAGAGAGAAAGCTCCTCGTGGATTTAAATCGTGGTTGGGACGGGTCGTGCCCTGGTGGTTGATATACTTGCGCGTGCAATGTCATGATAGCATGTTTGATTTGTCTAGCGATACAAACAACTCTGCCTTTCCTTGGATTATGTGTCCTTGAGACACTCTGGCTCGGCAATAGTAACGATGATTGTTCCATCCTCCGTGCCTTCGTAGGCGCCGTAACATACCAAACTCATATCCCGCAATGGCCTTGTAGCAATAATCAGACCCCACTGGATATAACCGTCAACATCAATATATGAGCCTCAGCCACCCGCTGAACAAAGCTTCGAACCGAGCCGTATATCACACTTCAGCTTGCTCTTTCTGCGCCTCAGGCGCCGATCTTCCAGGTGTCATAGTTTCAAGAGGAATCGCATTCGTCGGCGATGTCAGGTCGTCAAGCATGATCGATGTAGCCAGACATGCAGTGAATGTGCTGCAGCGAACAACGTCAGCAAGAATACTTCCATCTCATCTCAACCACTTACGCCAACATCATCGCCATTACTTCCATGATCTTACCCAGCAGCTTGCTTCCAGACGTACCAGATTCCGCATTCACATAGTATATGAGAATCGACAAGGCAATCCAGAGGATCGTGTCGATGAGGTAAAAGATCGCACAGGCTCTACTGCTCTTCCACCATTTATATCCGCTCGCCCCCAGGCATTCAGCGTGGTAGATCTGGGACATCACTGCCTTGACAAGCTTGGGTCGTGGTTAGCAAAGAGAGGCATGGAAGGGATATATGATGGCTTACCATGCCCAAGCTCCACCAACCTGACGCCATCGCTTTCGGGGTGTCCGACATGTTAACGCGTACGAAACTGAACATGCTGAAAAACAGCAGCATGAAAAATATTATGACCAGTGTCATTGCCTGGAATGGGTTGAAATTCGGCATGTTGAAGGTGTGATGATAGATTTGCGCTAAGATAGTTGTGATGAGAGACCAGAGACCAGAGACCAGAGACCAGAGACGAGAGATGAGAGATGAGAGATGAGCTGAGCGACCCTCGAGGTGGAAAGAGTAGGTTGGTCTCCGAGGTTCGCCGCTACCCGATCGAGCGTCAATAACGACATCATACACGACATCACATATAACCTTGGAAGACATCAGATCTCTGCACTGGGTGATTGATATGGAGAAAGGTTGAACAAAAAGACTACTCGTTCTACTTCGCATTCGTGTTAGTTGCCTAACATGGAAATGATCGCCCACGACATGGGCTCTGCTATCATGCTTCCTACAGCCCAAGTGTACACCGAGCTCTGTCATGGTCCTGGAATCGAATTGGTCCTTTTGGTATACAAGTGCCTGTGTCGGGGTTGTATTATCATACTATCTTCCAAAACCTTGGCCTGGATGGAGGATGCTACAACTGATACACCCTAAAGACAGCCGTTAGTAGTGATAGCGAAATCATCATCGTCATGAATGGGCATCCGGGTACTGTGCTGAACACAGCTTCGCAGATGTGTCTATACCCCAGGTCCGCCATTTGCTTCTGCTTCTTCCTCGTCCTCGTAGTCGTCATGCTCGTCCACGCTCTCCCACTCATCGCCTTCTAGATCGGATTCGTCCAACCCCGCCTGGTCTCCAAGCATGCTCAGCAGCTGTAGGAGTCCGGCTTGGGTGCGCCAGGAGTCTTCTCCGGGCAGACTCCGACGAAGGTCATCTTCGACTTCGGGATCCTCGGGTGCAGCCTTGGTTGAGGCTGACCCGGACTTGGTGGATAGATCAGGGGCCAGGCTAACGATGCGGATGGCTTTTGTGGGGAAGACGCGGGGAGGGTTGGTGCCTACTTGTGGGGGATGTCCGCGTGGCGCGTTCGAATCCCTCCAGCCAAGAGTCTGGGGTATTGTTAGTTTCCTTCACGTTTTGTTGAATGTGTTTGGGGAAAGAACGTACAGTATAAGTGGTCATGATGGCATCATCAGCCAATGCCATATAGCTGATCGGGACAGCTAGTTGCGGAGCAGAGCTTGTCAAAAGCGCGTATGAAGCCCGAGTGGGCTTCTCCGCATCTTGGATGCGGTCGTTGTCATCGAGTGCGACGACGTAAATGCGATCCTGAACTTCGAACATGATTCGATGGTTACGGATCGATAACCAACCACCCAGGTCAAAGCTTGACCCATCTGACTCGCACTCTAGAATTGAGCTGGTAGCCTCGAGACCGGCTCGGTCTCGAAGAGCCTTGCGGAAATCAGAGCAGATAAAGACTCGTCCCGCGCGCGAGAAGCCCACAAAGAGATTGCCGTGCAGCATTCCCGCTCCCCAGTCGTCTTGCCCGTGTCGAACATGCTCTGGGTCTTCGGGCGGAGGAAGTGGGCCTTTCTTGATGTCGATGGGGGCCAGACAGTCCCTCCTGGGAGCTCCAGTGGGAGAGAAACTATGCGTTGGGCCTAGGCGGGCGGCTCCCGCTAGGGCTGCACCTGCGGACATGGAATTTGCCGGAGGTGGGCGAACGTTGTATTTGTCCGACACTTGCGATGGCTGGAGAGTGCCAAGGCATGCGCCGGATTCTTTATCGTAGGCGAAGTAGCCCTTTTTGCCCATTGAGTAGATCACAACATCCTCGCTTTGGTCCAGATGCCCGATACCTTCGGACTCGATCTTCAGGCGGGTTTTCAGCTGAGGTGGTCGTTGAGTCATATCGTATACAAAGCCCTGTCCTTCATTTGAAACGACACAGAGCGTCCAGTAGGACAATTGGAATCCTCTGGTTTGGCAATCGTGATGCAGAATGCCAATGCGCTGGAATTCTCCGCGCTTGGTACCCGGCTGATCTGTCTGCCAGACCTCAATTGAATCGCCCACGCTGTCAAACACAACCATACCATCTTGATACTCCAGATGCGCATAGGGACGGACAGCATCTTTATCGCTGTCCAGCATTGAAGGGAGCTGCCATAAGATCTCGCCGGTATCCATATCGCTAACGTTCAATCCACCAGCGTGGGAGCTGGACACGAAAAAGCGGCGTTTGAAATCAGCCCGGAATCTCCAGACAGGATCATTGCCAATTTGCAAGACCGATTCCTGGCTAATGGGGCGTGGATCGGCCCAATTGCGGGCGAGTAGCGTTTGACGCTTGCACAGGTCCTTCCATGATTCCGTGCCTTTGAAGTAATTGGCGAAGCTGTGGGATCCGGAAAGGAATGAGAAATCACGGGAACCGCCCGGGGGCTGAGCAGTCTTTGACTCGGCGGTGTAGATGACTTCTTGGTGCGTAAAGTCGATAAATTCGTGCCAAGCCTTCGATGCTGCCGTCAGGGACGCGAGGGCGGAAACCGGGGTGAAATGCAAAATTTGCAGAATGATCTCTGGCGGGAGGACCGTGAGAGGGTCCGCTAGTGTGTCGATGGCCATATTGGAGATTTGTTGCAGGAAGAACCGCTGGTGGGGGAGTCAATCTTTTGCTCCTCCACGATGACGTAGCCACCATGTGACTCGGGGTTTAAGCTTAAATGGACATGTCTGCATTCGGTCATTTGTATATTTAGGTACACCTATAGATCGAGATATCACGGGCAATCGTGAGCGCAGATCTTTTAAGTTTGATGGGTGTGGCATGCACACTGCAGGTTGCCGCTGTAAATATGTGACTGACACATTCCTAGAGCCTGTGAGCATAACCTTAACCACAATTTTGGAATTTGAGTGCATGAATCCCATTAGAATGCTTTCATCTATTCTATCTTAACGCAAATTCTATAAACACATAGAGAAATCGGCATGTATCACTCTTCTGACTGCCGTGTCCAATCGGAACTCCAGGGTTCCTGCCATTATATACATACACCATAACGAGGTCACATTTAACAATTCCAACGCTGGAATCGATGCTTGCGATTTAACAGAACAGCAGGAGTATCAATTTATCATCTGTTTCTTTGTTCCCTCTGAAGTTCTCCTTCTCAAAAGCATCATGGAGGTACCTCTCCAGGAGCTTCAGTCGTACCATTCACACTCCCCAGCGGATGATATTTCCACACCAGAAAAAGCAGAAATACAGACCTTGATAAATTTGCTGCATATGGAAAAGCATCCTGAGGGGGGATATTTTGTCGAAACCGACCGAGACAAGCGCCAGATGACCTTGGAAGCTGGCCATTTCCAGCCGCCGCAGTACTCGTCCAATGCAGGAGAAACGCGCTCTCTCAGCACAAGTATTTTCTACCTCCTTACTCCGAATAACTCAATCGGTGCGCTCCATCGTAATGCGAGTCGCACTGTGCATACTCTTCATCACGGTAAAGGGATCTATGTGATTTTGAAACCCGATAACGATCAAGAGGCCCAGCAGGCCCAGGTGGAAACTTTCAAAGTTGGCCGTGACATTACACAGGGAGAGAGATTGCAGTGGATAGTCGATGGTGGTAACTACAAGGCCAGTTTCTTGGTTTCCGACGGGACTGAGGTATCGAGTTTGCTCATCAGTGAGGTAAGTTTGCTCTGCAAGCTTGTGTTTGGGTTCTTGTATAGACCGCGGCTAATGAGGAGCAGACGGTAATTCCAGGCTTTGATTTCAAAGACCACGATTTTCTGACTCTGGGTGACCTGAGGTATATGGCGAAAGAAGAAGACATGAAATACCTAGCATGGCTGCTGAAAGAGGCATAACACCGAGATCATGACGGGAATGACCAGTAGAGGTAGATCGGAGTTAATGCAATGCGCAATGCTTGATTGAGATTCCGCGCTAACTCCGAGCTTCATCGGAGTATCCATTTTGAAAGCAATTCGAAAGCAGGCAATTCATTCGATCCGGATAATTTTCCGCCTCGTATTGACGACTTCTGTACTCCATCCAAGATCAGTGGCATTTCATGTTTACTGTTGAGTCACGATATCCCGACGCGGAAACTGATTCCCGCGTGGCTTCGCTGATATATAACGAACTGCGGGGAGCTTCAAGGTCCTCGAACTCGACTTCCATCCACATATCAACATCCTCAAAATGATTTCCGGAATTGCACACATCAACCTCACGATCCCTCGGGGGACATTGGAGCAGGCCGAGGAATTCTACGGCACCACCCTGGGACTCACTTCGGCGCCGGTACCGGAGCTGCAAGTAGGCACGATTCTATGGTATGCACTGATCCTGAGCTTGGCCTGGGCGATATCTAATTCCTCACAGGTTCAATATTGGCTCTAGCGGGCAGCAAATACATATCTCGTTTGGTACTACTGATCCCAGCGGTACTCGGCACCCTTGCTTTAAGCTGCCTTCGCCTAAGGACCTGGAAGAGACTAAGGCCAGTATCTATGATCACCATGTAAGAGGGGGGCCTGCGGCTCCAATGGCTGCTGATAAGCCTGGCGAAATGGACTCTGGTAGGTGACTTGATGATTGCTGGGATACCGAGACATACTGATGATATCAGGTACCCAAGGAAAGGAATATCCCACACGATTCTTTGCTCGTGACTATGCGGGGAATCTGCTCGAGTTCACCCTGTAGACTTTGCCTATTGTTAATGAAAGATCATTTCAGGATCTGGGACTAATCGGGTTGGATATGAGCTCGCTCGAAGTACTTGACCAGACCCAACCTTGGGGACAGCGCCATATTTTGATATCCGCCAATATTGTGCTACATCCAGCAGATTTGTATACTAGCATCTGGACCTCGGAAGAGAAAATGGCACATACACTGATTTGATGTAAACTTGGCATTGGTCTTGACGTTCCTAGCACGAAGCGCCGGATAACTTGGCATATAACCTCGAGCGCTCATTAAGAATAATTTCATGCAGGCTAATGATGATGCTATGAATAAAAGTCACACTGACGCCATGCGAGAGGCAGGAACAATAAAAGCGATGATAGCAACCGAAAAGAAGATGAATGTCGCTGGCACAATTCCGCGCATCACCCGACAGATGTACCGATAGATTTTGAAAAAAAAGAGCCCATTGTACACGCCGAAATGGACCATTACAAGGGCCAGAGAGAAACAGGGGATGAGAGAAGGTAGTGAAGCGTGAGAGGGAATGGCATGGATGCAATTAGAAGTCGTCAATGAACACCGATCATTCACCGTAATGTCTCGTTGCGTCCAGCGCAAACGGCGGAAGGAATGCCGTACAGAAAGAAGCAGTTGTAGAAATTAAAGACATAACGTGATCATAGTCCCTGGAAGAACGGGCATGCCTCGATGATTTCCTCATCCTCGTTGGCAAAGTCCCATCCCACAATGCGGGGGTCCACACTGGCACAGATGATTTTCCTGGCGTCGAACTGGAGCTTGAAGACCCTCGCGGTTGAATGGGGGACAACTGCGGGTCTGCGTGGGTGGACGTGGTGATGATGGTGGTGGGCTGGAAGGGGATTGGGTAATGTCGCGTTGGCGAGTACAGGGGTTGCTTGAGCCTGGTTGTGGTGGTTGGCGGGTCCAGCTTGAGCGGGGGTCGCATTGGGACCATGGGCATTGGGGCCATGGGCATTGGGGCCATGGGCATTGGCCATCATAATTTGGATGCTTTGTTGGGTGGCTTGTAATTGCTGAGCTTGCAATTGCTGAGCTTGAGCGGCGACAGTGGTGCGGGCCACTTGACTGAGATTGTCGCAGGCGGCATTGGTCACGGCTTCGTGTTGTCTCAGTTGATGGGCTTGTGTCCATTTGCCATCGCCGTCTTTGTGCCAGATAACGATGGTCTCATCGTAAGATCCGGACACGATGCGAGCCCAGTTGCTGCCCCCACCGCCAGGGGGGATCTTGGCCCCCAAAGCAGTGATGTCGCGAGGATCCCGTGATCCATTGGTATTGCCTCGATAGCCATGTCGTCGTCGTTGCTCCCGGCGGCCTAGATCCACCCCCTGACCAGATTCCTGGGCGGCAAAGAATTCATTTTCCACGGCCTGTGCTTCTTGGCGAAGGATTTCATCGGCACCGGGTGGATCGCCAAATCCTGCTTGAAGAGTACGGACAAGGTTACTGTGCGCCCGAAGGCAAGCCACCTCGGCACCGGAGGCGTGATCATATACGCGAACCGTGTTGTCGTTGCTGCCGCTGATGATTCTGCGGCTGTCAAACTCAACGCAGGCAATCCCCTTCTCGTGGCCCATCAGAGTCTTTGTGCAAGCGCCAGTGCGAATATTCCAGACCTTGATCATGCGATCTCCAGATGCAGTCACAATGTCATCGCCGTGTATCTGCATGGCGTTCACGGCTGCAGCATGTCCTTGGACAGTCATCAACAACGAGTAGGGCTTCAGAGCTTTAATCTGGTCATTGGCAATGCCAGCTTCGATCATGCTTGGTGAGACTTCCTTGAGATCAATGATGTATGATGGATAGGTCGCTCCAGTTCCTCGGGACATCTGTGGATAGTCGTCGCTGTTGGGCAGCAGATCCCGGCGGTTCCAAACCTTCACACTGCGGTCTTTTGAGCAGGTAACAAGGAAGCGTTTGTCGAATTTGAGATTCAGCACTGAATCAGCATGTGCCTTCTCAATTTGGTGAATCATCTCGCCGGTAGAAAACTTCCAGATAATGACAGTCTTGTCGCTGCTGCCGGAGATGATGATATCTTCCTTGGGACTAGGGTCGAATTGGAGACACAGGACGGACTTCGCATGTCCCTCCAGCGGAGCATGCCGCAATCGTCTGGTCGTGAGGTTCCAGACTCGCACGGTCTTATCCCGACTTCCGCTGACCAGCCAGTTACCTTCAAACTGAATAGCGTATACACACTCGCTGTGGGCCTCGTCTGGGTAGGAAGGGTCCGGCAGTTGGAAATTGGTGTATCGGCCTTGGTGCCAATTTGCTTCGAGGCGCCGCCGCTGTTTGTATAGGTGAGTCCAGTTTATTTGAGCGTTGCCGTTCGGGTATCGCAGGAGAAGAGAAGATTGTAAAGGTGGGCAGAGAGGTGATGAGGGCACCGAAAGGGAATTCGGCATGGATAAGTCAGAGTCATCGAATGAATCTGGAGTGCGATCATTTTCATCGGTCATATGATGATCCCCTTCGTCGTCGGGTTCAGGCACAGGGCCACCAAATACAGTGGAATGCTGACGTTTGCCGCTCCGTGAGTCAAGCCATGTAGGGGGTACACGCTTTTTCTGTCGAGGCTCGCCAAGGTCCGGTTCCGGTTGTCGCAGACGGGATTTTCGCGTTTGGGGCGAGACTGGCTCAAACTGTTCCTCCTCGAATGCACGAATCGCCGGTAAATTCGTTCGCCAGCCCTCATTGGCATATAGGAACCTCCATAGGCCTGAGTCCAGGATTCGATCACGCCATGAACGAGATGCCAGTGTCGCATCTAGGAGAGTTCGAGGTTCAAGGTAGGAGAAGATTTCGAACGTGATTTCGGGCGGCAGCTTGACGACGGGATCCATGTGGAGACGGGGGTTCAATCGGTCCACCACTGCGACGATGCTTGAGGTTCGGAGAGATCGAAGAAGACTATACGCGAGCTCTAGGCGATGGGGTTAGCAGGGGGGTAAACAAAGCGGTGAGGGAAGGCGCAATGCCTCATGACGAGGCGTTCGGTGCGCGACAAAGAATCACCACAATAAAGGGACATCTTACCAGCTCTACCGGCTTCGCTCAAGGCAAGCACCCAGTTTGGAAGTGCCATACCATTGTCCGAACCTAGATCTTTATCCGCCTGGCTTCGGGTATCGTCCGAGTACCCTTCATCTAGTTTAGACGAGGGTGACAAGGATGGCGCGGGGGATTCGGAGACGTTGGTCTGCAGTTGCAGGGTCGGGGAGATCAGGGCATCAGGCATCGGCTCTCCCTCCATTGATGCGGGTTTTCAACGAGAGACTAGGTGGTGAATCGTGCCGATGGCAACCGCGCGGCGCGAGATCCGCGAAACCGGAATAGCCAGCCGTTCGGAGAATGAAAAGCAAGCGCAAAGTGGTGTTTCGGGAGAGGGGAGAGACGCGGAGAGAAAAGGTATGGAGGTATGGGCTTCGCACGTCACGTCACGTCGGATCCACCCAGGCAGAGTCGATCGTCCTCTTTTTTCGCCGATTTTCCCACGGTTTTCACGGGTTAGAGATTCGTTCTCCAGGAGTTCGTTCGACTCGAGAACCCCTCGATACAACCTGGAATGGATGTGAGTCACGTGGGGTCGAGTCTACGAGGTGGCGTTGACCCGGCAGTGTGCATGTAAAACATTTTGTATTCAGCGTCTAACTGTCTCGTCTAAGATGTCCAGGGTGGATTGGAGGCAGCGGTGGTTTGGACCTCGGGAGCCCATGGTCATGGCCATTAGCACCGCACTCTCGGGTGGTCAGTCCACCTGGGTAGAGCCAACTACTTATGAAACATAGTACATGTATATATGCAAACCGTGCTCCAAGTCGCCGGCATCTTGATTTCTGCGTTCTTTGCCTTTGTATTGCTCACCGGCTTATGTTCCTTGATCGCTGCAGAATTACTGGTTTGGGCATTGGTAAAATCGACTCCCAGCGGTGACGCCACAATCTATCTCAATGCCTCCATCCTGGCAACCCGGGGTGAGAGGGCCATCTGTTAGCGAGTGGCAAAGGAAGTGATTGTCAGCTCCATCTAGCCCCAGGACTGGTCGATATACCTTGCTTATTTTATGCAAGAATGGTGGAACGGTGGTGCCTTGCTCGACAAACATGCGAGTCGACCAAATCCAACTGACCGAACATTGTGAGAGGTTGGGTAGATGGCGTACTATGACGACTCGAGAAGATTCCATGAAAGAAACCGCTTTTATCCATCCAATCTCAGCATGGGTGGGATCGAGCCAACTGTTGGTTAAAGCAGGTCAAGTGCCCCGTGCTGTAAGATCGCAAGCGGGCCCGTGGGCCCCAGGTGTTTTATTCCCAGTGGCGGCTGAACAAGTCATGACCGTGATCATCCGGGATAGACATAGGTGCATCAGACAGGTCGAGTGGATGGACCGTGTAGAGTGCGGCGAGACGTACCCCGGTCCATCGAGATCGAGTTCCCCATTCCCTGCATAGTTTAGGGCCCATGGGGGTGGTTGCATGTCTAGGGTGTGGCTGAGCTGGCTGGGAGAAATGTGCACATCAAGTTGCGCCTCCCCCGATCACCGAGATACATAGTCCTGTAAGATCTCGATCCCCAGAAGTTGTCGAGATCAAGATTGTCGAGGTTGTCCAGGTGTATACATCGCGAGTTGCCCCTCTCCACATCCCACCGCCCGATGGAACACACGCTAAGCTGCTTTGGGTAATTGAAACTCCTTCGGCTCACCCTCTCTCCTTTCCTCCTCCATCAGCATTCATCTGTCACTTTGCTTTCGTTGCTCCATCAGCTCTTCGGGGCCTTGCTCTTCTCTGTCTGTATCTTGGTTGCGCCCCATTTTGGGTCCCCTCGGATTTCTTCATTGCCATCTCCTGGCGGTGTATTTCGCAACCGCCTCCCCTCCCCCCGACCCCGAATTTACTTTCACTCACTCGCTTGCCCGGCTGCAGCGACCACTCATATTCTCAAACTCTCACTCCATTGATTGGATCGGCTGCAGGTCGGAACATATTCCTTGAGTCTCTCCTTTTCTTCTCAAGTGACGGTGACCACTCGATATCCCGCGCTTTCGAACAAACGTACCCACCTACCGTCTCGCTGGTTAGACTTGTGGTGCTTCCTGTCAAAGACTAGGCAAACTGGACCGTGACTTGCCAGTGGAACAAATATCACTGTCTCGAATATTGAAAGTCGAATTGCGACGTTTAGCCTACAACCCACCCAGGGAATCCATGATCTTCACCTCCCATCTCCCGACGCTTGGCGATCTCTCCGCATACATACTTCCCGGGTCTGCTGTGCAGATTGGACATTGAGTCTGGCTGGTCTATCTCTATCTAAATTTGACCGAGGAACTTGGACATGATTGAATCAACGATGAGCGGCGCTCCGGTCGCCGAAGATAACATTATCAATCGGCGTGGTGGGGAGTCTATCTATCAAAGCTGTGTCAACCTGAAACGGAGACTCTCCGAGGTTCCCAACTTTGAGCCATACCTGCAAGAAATGGACGAGGATGACGCTCTAAGAGGAAACACCGATCCGGTGGCCTCTTTGTGGAACTGTCTTCGGAATGGCTACCCTCTGTTAAGCATTTACAATGCATCTGGCCCCGATGATAAGCTGGAAATCGACCCGAGCAAGGTCACAGAGGGAAAGCGTCCCAAGGCAGCAACCTTCAAGTTCCTCCAGGCCTGCCTGCAGGATCTGGCGTTTCCGCAGCAAGACTGCTTTTTGATCACCGATCTTTACGGTGAAAGTACAACAGGGTTTATCAAGGTGATCAAGATGGTGAACCGCGTTGTGGACATTCTCGAAATGCAAGGCCAGTTGAAGGAACCCGAAGTTACAGAGACACCCACCGGGGCCAAGGCCCACGTGAAGCTCACCAAACGGGAGCACATTCTCAAGGAGCTTCTGGAAACGGAGCGTGACTATGTTCACCATTTGCAAAACCTCCAAGCGCTTAAGAAGGAACTGGAGGAAACAGGCGCTTTAACAGGCGACGCTAGCCATCAGATTTTCCTCAACCTAAACAACCTGCTTGACTTCGCCCAACGATTCTTGATTCGCATGGAACAACACTATGCCCTGCCTGAGGAATTACAGAACTGGGGTCAGCTATTCTTCTCCCACGAAGATGCCCTGCGACAGTATGAACCATTCATTGCCAACCAGATGCGCTGTGATGAAGTATGCATGCAGGAATGGGACAAAATTAAAAACGCGCCTCGCCATGTGGATCTGCAACAAATGGTTGCGCAGCCCAAAACACTGAATGGTTTCTTCGTGAAACCTTTCCAGCGCTTGACTCGATACCCGCTAATGCTCTCGGTAAGGCGACCCATTGAATGTACTGTCTCAGAACTGCTACTAATGAATTTCTCAGGAGCTGCGCAAGCAACTAGAAGATACCCAGATGCAGGAGGATATAACTCATGCCATCGATTGTATCCAACAGGTGCTTGATTATGCCAACGAGGCTATCCACAAAGAACATCTTGCTGCAGCAGTGGTCGATCTTTCTGAGCGTGTGGATGACTGGAAGGCTTTGAAGATGGATACTTTTGGAACGCTCCTCCGATTCGGCACATTCCAGGTCGTGAAGGGCGATAGTGGCAAGGATAACGAAAGAGAGGTTCGATTTTGATCCCCTGCGCTCAGGCGTGAACAAAGGGCACCTTGCTAATCTCACCTGCAGTACCACATCTACCTCTTCGAGCGTATTTTACTGTGCTGCAAAGATATTAACCCCAATAAGCAGAAGACCAAACTCATGATGCAGAAAGATCGACCATCTCTGAACGCGAAAGGCAAAGCTCGTCTGCAATTGAAGGGTCGGATCTACATGGCCAACGTCACAGATATTGTCTGCCTTCAAAAGCCTGGTAAGCATGGACCGTCGAGTACGTGGGTCTGGGGAGACAACAATCTGACTGGATGCTGTAGGACTTTATCGAATCCAGATCTTCTGGAAAGGAGACCCGGGCGTGGTGGATAATTTCATCATCCGTTATGCCAATGAAGATACCATGCGCAATTGGTATAAGGACATTGACACCCAGCGTGCGATCCAGGCGGAGCGTCGTACTTTGCGCAACACCGGTACATCTGACAGCGAGTTCACCTACATGGAAGGCATGGGCAACATGCCCAACCCGTACCAGCAAGAGTACGATACCGATGACCCCAGCAAAGACCAGTTCTCTTCTGAATTCACCATGAGCCGGAATGCATCCAGCACTAGCCTTCGGACTCGGTCTGCCACCGGTGGCAGCACCAGCTCTGTGCCCCACCCTAACGGCCGGCCACGCTATACGGGCAACGACCCAACGCTCTCTGTCCATACTCAGTTCTCTGGAAATGGCAGCATGTCACCTGGTGACCGGAACATGAACTCCTACTTTTCACCCACTGAAACTCCATCCACGCGGTCAAGTTCTCAATCCGGATTCTCCTTTGGCCGCCAGAACACCAACTCCAGCTCTACATCCATGGTCTGGAATGAGGAGTCCAATCGATACACCGCGCCAGCGTTGTCTCGTGTGGCCTCGCGAGAAGGTTCCACCTCTGGGGGATATTTCCCCCCTCAGGCCAACGGTCGCGGTGCTCAGCGTCCATCATTGCCTCCGCTCACAGGCTCCCAGGCCGCTCATGCTGCTAATGGCATGGCTCAACGGATGCGATCGGCCAGTAGCCCCGACATTCACCACCACAACAATTCTTCCGAGTCCCGTCGTTACATGGGAGTTCATACTATGCAAACTGTCGACAATGTCCCAGTTCCACCGATTCCTGCACACATGGCCAACATGAAAGCGCCTGTCAACCGCAGCCAGAACAACTCACCCACCAGTTCGCTTCCTCTTCGGACCCAGCCATCCCTGCACACGACGCACTTCAATGATCCCGAATATAACGACCCTCGTCACTCCGGGCAGCTTTCGGACCATGCCACCTCTCCATTGACCCAAGAGCCCGAGGGAGGCGACGGATACATGCCTACCCAACTCAAGGCCAAGGTCAACTTTGAGGATAATTACGTTACGCTGGTGATTGCCACCAACATCTTGTTCCGGTCCTTGACGGACCGGGTGGACGCCAAGTTGGCTCGGTTTACCGATCGATCCATTGGGAACAAGACGGTCCGCCTGCGCTACCGCGACGAGGACGGTGATTTCGTGACGATCGACAGTGACGAGGCTGTCCAGCTCGCGTTTATGGAATGGAAAGAGCAGCATCGCGATATGCTTGCCAAGGGCTTGGTGGGAGAGATCCAACTCTACTGTCAGGTGGTGGACTAGAGGTCTGTTTTTGCGTTTGTTTTGAATTAATACCCTACCCTCGAAGATTTTCAACCACTTGCATCTGATTTCCGAGCCGGTGAGATACTATCTCCCAATTGACTTGAGCATCTGCATAATGATATGTTTACGGCCTGAATGTTGAACGATCGGGATGCCGAGAGTAGTGCAGCCGAGAGAAAGGCTTGGCAATGAGTAGTACTAGACCGTGGACTTTATTCTCTAGACTATATAACTACTGTACTCGTATTTCTCTGTAGTCGATCATGGGAATAGCGGTCAACTAACCCCTCAATCGGCTAAGCACGGTGTGTCGAGGATTCGGTGATTTCGTCGAATCGTCGCCCAGTATTTCACAGGCAACTCGTCATGGCAAAACAAACACACAAACCGGGAAAAAAACCTCGCCCGGCTTGACCTTCCCTCCTAACATCTGCATAGTATTCTTATCCTGAGACCCAGGTATCGACATGTCGTTCTCCGGCCGCCGCCTTAGTCTCCTGCGCCCCTCTGACAACCGCCGCTCTTCCGCAGCCAAGGACCTCTCCACCAACGGTACGTGCAGTGGCACCTAACGCAACCCCCGGCCTAAACCCCTTGCTAGAGCTTCACTCCGAAACGCACCGGCAGTTCCGTGCCGCCCACGAAGGCCACCGTCCTCACGCCGGTCTCGATGCGTCCCGCGCCTCCACCGGTGTAGTCTGGTGCACGGAGCGTGCTTCCGAACATGGCTACGCCGAAGATCCCTCCGGCTGGGCCAATCTAGGCCAGGGTGCTCCAGAGGCTGACGACGAGATCGAGGGCAGCTTCCCTCGTCCCACGTCGATCCCTATCGCCTCTGCGTCGCGGGAGTACGGCCCGACCGCCGGTATCAAGCCGCTGCGTGCCGCTGTCGCTCGTCTGTACAATGATCACTATCGCCAGGGCAAGGAGAGCCAGTATACATGGGAGAATGTCTGCATTGTTCCCGGTGGTCGCGCCGGGTTGATTCGCATTGCTGCGATCCTGGGTAACTCGTACCTGTCCTTCCCTATTCCCGACTACTCGGCGTACTCCGAGATGCTGAGCTTGTTCAAGAATGTCAGTTTGATATGATAGAGGGGAAGTGCGGGGCGGACATGAGCTAACGGATATCAGATTGCTCCTATTCCTATTCCCCTCTCGGCCGACGACCACTACCATATTCACCCCAATAAGATCGCTGAGGAAATCGCCCGCGGCACCCAGGTTCTTTTGACCTCTAACCCGCGCAATCCTACCGGACATTTCGTGTCCGAGGAGGAGCTTATCGAGATCCAGGATCTCTGCCGTGACCGCGCCACTCTCATCCTGGATGAGTTCTACGGTGGTTATAACTACACGACTGATTGCGATGGATCGACAATCAGTGGTGCTGCCAACGTTGTCGACGTCGACAAGGATGGTAAGAGTCCCATTCCTCACCTCACTCGCAGCGCTGACCCGTGCAGACGTCCTCCTCATCGACGGTATGACCAAGCGCTTCCGTCTCCCAGGCTGGCGCATCGCGTGGGTCGTCGGACCCAAGGAATTCGTCAACGCCCTCGGCTCCGCAGGCTCCTACCTAGACGGTGGAGCCAACGTTCCCTTCCAGGAAGCCGCTATCCCCATGCTCGAGCCCAAGCTGGTACACACAGAGATGCGGGCACTGCAGTCGCACTTCCGCGAGAAGCGCGACTACGTCCTGAAGCGTCTGCACGAGATTGGATTCCGGGTCCAGGACGTGCCCCAGGCCACTTTCTACGTCTGGTTGGATCTGACTTCTCTGGACCCCCCTCTGCCTCCCCAGGCTAATATCTCGGACGGATTGAACTTCTTCAATGCCCTCCTCACTGAGAAGGTCATTGTTGTGCCTGGTATCTTCTTCGACTTGAACCCGGCTAAGCGTCGTGATCTCTTCGATAGTCCTTGCCACCACTTCGTGCGTCTCAGCTACGGTCCTAAGATGGATGTGCTGAAGATGGGTCTGGATGGCATCGAGCGTGTCATTAACCGTGCGCGCGAGCTGGGTGTCTCCAAGTGGGAGGATGAGGTTGCGATTTCGGATGATTAGATTTAGAGCTTGGATATCAATTGGATCTAGGTAGCCCTGGGTGCTACGACAGGACCCTTTGCGGAGTCCAACGGTTGGCTGTGGACCTCTGACATACAGTAGAGGGAATCCTTCGTATGCAGATGAGATCTAGAGGGGCCCCTTACATATGCATGCCATGAAATAAGATTGATCCACAGCGTTTGGATATAGAGGTCGCGGTGGCTGAGGGTGAATACTCCGGAATACGGGGTAACATCAACAATCTCCTACGACCTACTTAGATAGGCAATATCTGCATCGATATCAACCTGCCTGAAGCAGTATCCCGATGAAGTCTCGAATCTATACTCGTTTAATGTTTCCCGAAAGGGTTTAGCCGCCGCCTGTCATCACGGGCTGTCTCATTGGCGTCTCTTCCTTTTCGTTTCGTTTCTTTTCTTTTCTTGTTTCACCTCCCACGTTTCAGGGTGGATCTCGCAATTCGCCCTCGCTCTGACATGCCGATCTAAAGACAATCTCGAACGGGCCAGGAACTTTCGCGAGTCAGAGATGCCTCCAGATCTCCAGGCCAAGACTCTCCACTTGCTCGGCTGTGGATAGGCGACGGTAATTTTGACGTATTGGGCATTCGGCCTGAGCCGCACGCCGAGTCGTGCTACATTCCCATTGTCGATCTCTCGTATCAAACTTGCCGTTGGGGATTGTGTTTGAGTCTCCGGTGTGTACGGAGTATTGTAGAGTACGGAGTACTCTACACCACACTACTGGTCTTTTAATATCCTCGCAGTCTGGCATTTTCGAGCCAGGATTCCACGGAATATCCGAGCAGACGTCTACAGGACTCATATAGTACTCCATATAGTACTCCGACAGTATCGCAGCGCAAAGGCCGCAAAGAGCCATGGCCTCCGCCCCATCCCATAAAGCTTGTTTCATTGCTCCGGGCAGATCGGTCTAAGCTGAAAGAAGATATTGGTCGGCGTACCTCGGTGTATCGAGCATTGACAGGTTACATTGCACTTCCCACTTTGCCAACTAACTAGTACATAGTTGACTCCCAACTACCGGGTTCAGGGTGTATGGTACTGTACCTGGTATGGGGTGATACCAATACAATACCATCTCCCGCACCCACCAGTCGCTGCGCCGTGGGTCGGCCCAAGCTCCTTGAGCTCGAATGTCAAATGTCAGTTTGTTTAGTATGTTGATGTTTATATTTCCCCTGAGAGTGTAGATCATTGGATAGATCTGTTCCCAACGCACTCGAAGGTTTACTAGTTCACACTTGCAGCTATCTGTCGTGTGACTGGTAATACGAGTGATTTTCTTGAGACAATGTCTACCCCCACTCCGCGTCAACGGGAGCTCTCGGCGCCTACCTAGTACCTTAGTGCGCGATTTCCTGGGAAAACCAGAGAGACGCGGAAAGGAAAAAGCAAGAAAAAATGAGAGAAAAAGAAACGTGATTCTTTCAGCCGTGTCGTCATCAGAGCCTTACATGGACACGTAACTGGAGTGTCTACGGAGTACAGGCAGAGGGAACATCCTTGACCGGGCATTCCGACCTGGCCATTCACAGGCCAGAGGATATATTCTGCGCGCCCATTTATTCCCTGCTTTCCCCTTGGATCGCCGTTGGGAATATCCCCACATGGACCTCGCTTCGAGCTTACACGTTGTATGCGGTGGGAATGATTGGTCGATCGATGCTAGATGGGGAAACCTCTGCGGCTATGCTAAGATACTAGGTAGCTAGGAGTACAGTACTGGAGCTTGGGAACGAGATTGAAATCTCTGTGTCCAGTACAGGACTAGTAAGTAGGACAGTCTCTCCGAGTCCTGGTACAAAACAGAGGACAGCCCTGGAGAGGATAGACAGATAGTATAGAGTACTAAAGTAAAGTACGGAGTAGAGTCTGTGAATAATATCCTATATTAAACGGCGCGAGTCAATAGACTAAGAGTGGGTGTAGACTTGGCTTGGGGGCCAAATAGTGAACCTCGGTTCGATGGCTGAAATCGAAATGAAATATACTAGTTACCAGTGACTAGTAACAGATACAACAATAACAAAATAATAGAATGGAGCCTGGCGGGATCGACCGGCACCCCATTATTCCCACACCGAACTCCCTCTGATCTGGCGAAATTAAAACAGGTTCCCGCCTGCATACACAACGGACGTTTGAGATTGCCCCTCGTATACCCAGAACCTACACCATGGCGCATGTCTCAGCAGTCTCTATATACATACTATACTAGTATTCTCTAGTACTGTACAGACGATTTCCTCGCCACCGGAGTCACCAGGAAGTGTTTCCAAGTTGGAGTGCAACATTCCGGTCGATCAACGGTGTATGCAGCTGCGCGCCCTAGTACTAGCGTAGTAACCCAGAGATCCCATCAGAAATGAAATGTTGCATCGGGAACTCGGCTCGAACCGCACATCCAATGGCGATTGTTGATCAGAAACATCCCAGGACATACTTCCCTAGTCCTACTACTCCGTACAGAGTATAGAGTTAGTACTCCGTACAGAGTACAGAGTACGCTGCTATACGGAAGACGGATTATAGTACATTTCAGGCCAACCAGCCTTGGCACTTGGCATCCATGGGGCCACCAGCAAGGGGGAAAAGGAAAGAGAAAAGAGAAAAAAAAATTACGCCACGAGTCATGCATGCCATGCATTTTTCGGATCGCACGCCAATCTGGGCATGGTGAGGCATTCCACCTTTGCGCGGGCTAGCTACACTGGGTTTGGTCAGGGCTGGGCAGGAAGTCTCCGACCGAGAGGGTATACGGAGAGTAAGCAGTTGGGTGGTGGACCGGGTCTAGGCTGGGAGGGCGAGGGATGGAGAAAACAAGCGTGGAATGGCTTGCGCTGTCCGGGGATATCGGGCGGATTGGCCGAGGATCAATTCTGGATCTGATGTTCCAACCTTGGAAGGTTGAATGTTGGATACCCGTATTCCGTAGTACGGAAACTGCTGGATGTATGAAAGATCGAACTGATAAGTTGAATAGATCTGAATCTGAATCTGAATCTCAAGCTGAATCTGAATCTGCTGAACCCAGAGGTGAAAAATAGACAACCAATCCACGCTGAGAATATAACAAAACCCCAAGGCGGGTATATCACGCAAACGCCACAGCCACTCTTTCCAAAAGGGACCATATATAGAGGAACATGAGATGAAAACGAAGGCTCGAACGGGGATAAGGGAAAGAAAGGCCCGAACATGCGATGTGGCGCACACAGCCGGGAAGGAAAGTCGTCACGGGCATTAAACACACAGAGATCTAGAAGTCTAGAAGTCTCTTAGCCTACTCCCAGAAAACCCCAGTCAGTCCCCACCGGTTGGTTTAAGATCCTGGGGCCGGGGGGTTTGTACGCATAGTTAGGGTGGTATGAAACCATGATCGGCTCCTGAGTCATCTGCGCTTGCTGGGGTTGCGGTTGCGCTGCTGGTGGTTGGCTCTGAAATTGCGCTTGTTCATATGCGGGGATGTAGTTGGTGCGCGGACTTTGCTCGTATCGTTGCTGTTGCTGTTGCTGATGTTGCTGCTGCTGCTGTTGTTGCTGAATCATCTGCATGTATTGCTGTTGTTGTTGTTGTTGCTGCTGCTGCTGCTGTTGATGCTGCTGCTGCTGTTGTTGATGCTGCTGCTGCTGCTGTTGCTGATGATGCACATGTGGATGAGGGTGTTGCGGATGCGGTGGATGTTGAGCATGCATATGAATCGGGGAATTGACGACCGGGATGGCTTGCGGTAAGATGGGCGCGGCTTCATGCACCGGGACCGCGCCCATGGGGACACTCTGCGGGGAGTAGAACTCGTGGGTCGGGGTGGCAGCTTGTTGATAATAATTCTGCTGGGCCATCATGTACTGCTCATTAGACATTGAGACCGGGACCGGCGTCTGGTGATAGGAGTGCTCGGAGCTGGCCTCCTCGGAAGACGGTCGGGTCATGCTGCCGGGCGGGTGGGAGCGATGTTGGTGTTTCGTGAGGGTGGTCTTGCGACAGAAGCTACGGTTCCCACACGAAAATTAGAGGCTGTTAGGTGCTGGCCGGGGTGACATACCTTCGTTCGCAGGTGGGCTCATGGCAGATGTACGGGCGCTTCCCGGTGTGGATCCGGCGATGGCGGGCCAGACTCGAGGACTGGAGGGTCAGAGCGGACTTTGATGGCGGGTGGATGACTTACATCGGAGAATGCTTTCTGGCAGCCTTCATGGTCGCAGACGTGGGGTTTCTCCCCTGTGTGCGTCCGCGAGTGCACGGTTAAGGCGCTGCGCTGGATGAAACTCTTGTTGCATTCTGCGACGGTGCAATGGTAGGGACGCTCATTGGTGTGGATGCGATAATGGCGACAGAGGTCGGACTTGCGATTGAAGGACTGACGGGTTAGATAGGATCGACAGTCGACGGGGGGTCTTACCTTTCCACACTGCTCCCATGAGCAGTTAAAATCGCGTCCGCTGCCAGGCGCCATGGTGAGGGTGAAAGAGAAAGAGGGGAGGAAGAGGGGGCTCAAGTAATCAGTATTATTATATATCCAGAATATTAATGTTTTTTTCTACTTTGGCTACTTTGGCTACTTTGGCTACTTTTGTGACTGTACAGGTACCTCCCCACATTACCGTATCGAAATTACCATACAGCATTACCCTCTCTTTTCTCTTTTCTTTTCTTTTCTTCTTTTCTTTTCTTCTTCTCTTCTTGTCTTATTCTTATCCTCCTTTTCTCTTGTTCTCTTATTAATAAACACAATCAACCTGGAACAATTTGAACCACTCCAGGGTACTAGTACAATCTTACACAAGATCATCTCATTCCCAACTGCACTCGGGGGCTCGGGAAACTCTGAGCCAAGCGGCCGAGCTTGTCCGCGCTGACATCGCCAACTCGAGTCCAGACGTCCGTTAATGCCCCGTGTCCCCGCAATAAAAGTCAAAAGGCACAATTCGTTCCCGACTGCAAGGGACTTCTTATGACGCGGCATAATAGAGATGGCAAGTCATATCCATATCAGACTGTACGTAGTGGGCCAATCCTAGTACCTAGCCGTATAAGAGATCAGAATACGGCAGACGGGAATGGCTTGCCCAACCGGGATCCACAAGGTTGGGGCTGTTCCCGTCTCTCCACTGCCCGCGGAGATGTAGTCTGTACTATACGGACTGGATTTTTCACGGTTTCTCGGCTGGATTGGAAATGTCAGTGGCGAACATGAACATCGGATGCACTCGGGTAGCGGCGGTTGGCCCGGAGTATGAAGAGCGTGATAACCGTCACTGAACGTGGCAATTCATGGGCGATCGGGACATTTACATATAGTACTCTACTCCGTATGTACTCACTATCCAGGACTCTATCCAGTACTCTGTGGCAAGCGCCACAGACCCGGGCACTGCGGCTTTTTCGTCGTGATCGACAAGCCCTACACACAGTGGCCAAATACCCTGAGCTGATTCCCGCAGAGCCGTCGGGATGTACATTTCCGTTTCCAATGACAGTGCACGCAGAAGATATCCGATAAACAATGACAGGGAACAGAAGGAAAACGATAAACATGAGAATCACCAATTCCAGACACCAGTTGACCTCGGAATCACAAATTAACTCCAAGTATACGAATGCCCCAAGGCAACATGGAACGCCCACAGCCACCGATGTACTAGGCAAATCAGCCATTGAGGTAATCGAGCATAACCCAGCCATCACGCGAATCGAAAGAACAAATCACAATCCCCAGGGCGCAAAGACAAAAGACCGAAGCTTAACCAGCCCAACCTAGTAATGCATATGCGTACGTGGACACAAAATCGCCGAGTTCAAATGAACCTAAACATCTCCAGAGCTCCACTGCCGATCAAGCAGTTTCACAAAGCTCTTGGTGGAGATTTGCCCCGGCTTTCTGCGTCGGGGTTGTTTCCGATGGCTTTTGCCTACTTCACATGGAGACGCCACATACGATGTTTCCATTCTTGTTCATGGCTGATTTTCCTCGACAGGGAATGCTTGACGCGGAAGCAAATAAATTGGTGTGCTCGCAGTTGCATATGCGTTTTGGAACATGACTCGACTGCTATTCCTAGAGAATCCGTGATTGGTCTGGCGAGAGCTCAAAACAGGGATGCTGGGGCCAAGAGGAAACCTTGGGTGATGAGGTGCAGTACTATACTCGTCCTATTCGAGAACTGGGTATAGTACGAAATTGGCTGATTTCTAATCTCGTCTCTTACCCTACGGTAATACCTGGCAAGCCCACATGTCACTCTAATTAAATCTCCGACGCGCGCATGGCGATTCATTTTTTGAATGTGATCTCAAATCGCTTGCCACTGGCTTGGCCAGATATGGCGAAACTCATGAATGTCGGTCAGTCGGGGTTTGCCTCGTATCGCCAAGCGGCATCTTACCGGCCAAGACTATCACCAACTGCCCCCCCTTGCAGGCATTGGCTCACAGCGTTATCTGTTGCAAGCTATAGTATGAGTAAGATGGAGCTACTCCAGACTCACGTTAGCCTGTCAGCCCTTACCAGAAACGGGGAAAGCCACGCGCTGGACAGGGGAGTAAATTTCGCCCTTAATTGTCCGGTATGGGTTTCGTATACGCGCTAGAGGCCATGTCGGCTTTTGCTTGCTGATTGGGGAATCTGGCGCACCATGACGATGCTCTTGGGAATGGTCTGCAGCTCCGGGTCGGCAATCGGGCATGCTTGCGTGTGTCTCTGGGGGATCTCGGAATTGCAAGGCGGGGGAAGAGGGGTTGAGCTGTCGATGGCACATACTATATTCATACCTAGGTATCTTTCCAAGTCATTCGGAACATTACTAGTCAATTGCAAGAAGTGGTATCTTCCGTGTAATCCTCATATAACGTACACCCGAAATAGAAAGGATGATGACTACCAACTCGTCAATCCGCGCTCCCGATCAAACCCGGCGCGCAATTGCTTCTCGGGCTTGAGCAACTTGCCCTGAAGTACTGTATACCGAATGATATTCTCGCACTCTTCCGGCCGCACGCGCGCCAGCCAGATCCCCTGCGCGGCGCCCTCGTCTTCCTCCCCGCGCTTGTACCAATCAAAGTCCCGGCGGCGATACACAATCACGTTGGCGGAGTACTTGTGTCCGCCGACGTGACTGATGAAGTAGATGCCCACGCCGCCGGGTCGGGTATCGTCCATATCACGGTAGAGGCCGAGCGGACGCAGATGGCGCTCGAACTCGCGGCGCAGAAGAGGCGCCGATTGTCCGCAGCGAGCGTCGCGGGTGCGCTGCGAGCAGAGAAGGATCACCGCAGCATGGGGACTGGGGTGTGACTTGAGGGATGTGATGGAGGTAGCGGCGGGGTGCGGTAGGTCGGGGGTTTCGGCGGGGGCCTCGTTTTCCTTCCCGGAGGAGCCCAGCGGGGTGGTGGTGGTGAGGGATTTGTTGACGAAGTTCTCGATCAGGTCTGGTGCGAGCTGTGGTGTGACCTGCTCGACAACGGTGAAGCTGGGCAGGAGGAGGACGTCTGTCGGCTGCTTGCCGGCGTCGGCCATGTGGTATTCGTCCGGAACGGGCATATTGGAAGCTGATAGCTTGAGTCTCTGCGAGGCGAAATGGTTAGCTCTGATCTATGCCGACGTGGTACTGAAAAAATCGTGAAGCCTTGATCTTACCCCGTTGCTGGGTTCCAGCCCGCCTTTCTCAATTGCCTCCATGACGCTGCCTGTCTCGTCCGCGACATCTCGCACCCAATCTGATTTGCCCGTTGCGACTAGTATATGCGTTGACCAGCCCTTGACTTGGCCATATAATTCGTCTTCATGATCGACATCGAATTTGGCGGGGTATTTGACCGTGCATGTTGCGCAGTCATGTAGACAGTCCTCGCCGTCTACCGCGGGGTCGACATTGGAAAAGAGCTTGTCGCTCGAGGAGATAGTCTGAAACCCCTCCTTGGCGAGGGCCTTGTCGCCCACGGCATCGGTGGTGATGTCGGATCTGGAGGACGCGAGCGAAGCGTTGGACGAGTTGAAGAGGGAGGAAGCCCCCCGGCGGAAGAGATGCATCTGGAGTATATAGTAATCGGTGTCTGTGCCAGAAATGCCAATCCGAGAAGAAAGAAGAGCGGGATGAGCTTGGTCCCCGGCGCGGTCAAAAACTATCGATCTTATCAATCATTTTGCAGCCGATGCCAAGAATTCTCAACTTCCGTGACTAAGTCCCCCACTTTCCCGAGTCCGTTCTAATTCCCGAGGTCCTCAAATGGTATCGCTTCTATAAGTAATATTCTAATGTACACGTGAGTGGTCACACATAGGTATATGGCAGGTCCGTCGGAGAGCGAGGCTGCGCCAGGCGGATAACACTTCCTCCGGAACTGGCAGATTGGGCCGAATACACTCGCCGGAGAGACCGCGTGGATGGCGTGCGTCGGGGGTCTCGTGGCGCAAATCCACTGTTGAAAGATAACCCCGAGACAGGGCTCTGTAACGCGGTGTCGTATCCGGACTGGGTTTCCCAAGTGGAGGCATTAGACGGTCGCAGACTATTACTGCGCACGGGCACCAGATTTCCATCAAGACCATAATGCTCGACCGTGTCGGTTTCCCCCTCCTCATCCGACGGCCCAATGAAAGACTCGCTTTCGGCGCATCGGTAACTGGCGCTATCGCGGATCTCCTCAATGATAGGCGGTGCAAGCGATGTCATACCCCTGAGGATCTCCGCAAAGAGGTGCATCAAATCACGAAATTCTCCCTCGTGAAGCTCACGCGGTGAGAACCGCGCAGCTTCGTACAGGGACAGAAATTCCACACCTAGTTCGGGTGGGTAGATAGCACCCAGGGACGTCAGGTGTCGAATGTATTCGCGCAGGCCCATCGAAGCCGGGCGTTGAAGCACCTCTACAACACGTGTATCTGGGAGTGATTGTGTGGTGAGGTCGCTGGACAGACCAAACGGGTCCGGAGGTGTAGGAGATAATGCATCCGCCGGGGCGAGTGAGACAGCTTTGGCCTCGATCAAACTGGGTAGCTCCTGAATGACCACACGGTACGGTAGATCCGGCAAGTCGGGCGAGGCAGGCGATGACCAACCGGGATGTTCGACATGGCCCCATGGAGGTCTGTCCGAATCAATGAGAAGTGATTTGTACCTCCGGAAGTTGTCTTCGTCGGTCGACACGTCGCGGGGACGGGCTTGATAGGCGATGACTGCGCTCCGGGCGAGTCCCTCCTTCACTAGTCGTCTGACACTCTTGTTCACATCTTCTTTCTCCACGGGAATCCAGGCCTTGGGGATTCCAGTCAATGCATTCCGATTAGTGTAGATGCGCGTCGCGTAGATGAGCGCTGCGAGGATAAAAGTGATTATGTATGCGCCGGTGATGAAAAAGATGTTGGTGAGTCGGTTCGTCTCGTAGCATTGGTAAATGGCATCTGCTGGTGTGAGAAGGATGAGACAGACCAGGATGAGTGCAAAGAAGAAGAATCCGGTAGTGTTGAGAAAGCGCTCAATCCTGACTGCCATAGCTCCCCATGGGCCGTCTGTACGGCATCTGGTATGGGATCAGATCGCCATGGAGGAAGTGGATGAGAGAGAAAGAGAGCGAGAGACACGGGAAAGAACGACGGGGCCTGCGGAGAGCGATAACGATAAGATTATACTCTGTCACGTGCGAAGCAGTTCGTGCGGCCCCGGTCATTTTTGTTTTTGTTCCGCAAGCTTTTATCGTCCGGTGCATTTGCTTCTCGATACCCGACGTGGTACAAGCTGTGATATAAGGCTCTGCTCAATTTCAAGGTCAACTCAAGACTCTCCCCACTACAATTGGCTTCGAGAGCCGAGCACCGAGTGCCCGCATTCTCCGTGAAGAACCCCTATCTCCGATATCAATCCGCCGCAACACTCTCAGAATGGACCAGCCCACGAGGGAACAGTCAAACATGCTGTACATGCTGGTGACAGGGGCGAACAGGCAAGATCCCATCAATTGGCACAGCCAATCCGACTTAAGTACTGACAATCGCACAGCGGCCTCGGATTCTCGATCTGCTGTCGACTGGCCGACGAATTCCTCTCCTCCCACCCCGAATCCGAATCCCTGACTATAATCTTCACAACGCGAAGCGCCCGCAAAGCTCAAGATACCATCCGCGGCCTCAAGGCTCATCTGAGCGAAACCGCCCCGGCCAGCGCAGCCCGCGTTCATTTCGAGCCTGAGAGCGTCGACCTTGGAGACCTTGTTTCTGTGCGCGCCCTTTCCAGAAGACTCGTCCACTCCCTCCCCAGACTCGACGCCATTGTCCTAAATGCCGGAATAGGCGGTTGGTCCGGCATCAGCTGGCCCAAGGCTATCTGGGGCGTCTGCACCGATCTCGTTCACCAGGTTACTTGGCCCTCTTACAAGCTTGCACCAGTGGGCGTGTTGACGGCGAAACAAACAAAGACCGAAGAGGAGCCTGCGCTCGGATCGATTTTCTGCGCTAATGTCTTCGGTCACTATATGCTAGCGCACAATGTGACTCCACTGCTTAAGCGCGCTCATATCAATGGGCCTGGCCGTGTGGTCTGGGTATCCAGTATTGAAGGGACTTACAAGTTCTTTAAGATTGATGATATCCAGGGCTTGCGCACGGATGCTCCTTACGAATCTTCCAAGGCTCTGACTGATATTCTCGCCTTGACTTCTAATCTCCCCAGTACGGCACCCTGGTCCGTGGAAAGCTTCTTGGAGTCCGAAACCGAACTCAACACCCATGCCATACACACCGACGCCCCTACTGCTTCCCCGCGCTCATATCTCTCGCATCCTGGTATTTGCGCGACCTCTATCGTTCCTTTGATTCTTCCATTGGCCTGGGCAATGATTGCTTCATTCTGGGTCGCGCGCATCCTAGGATCACCCTGGCATCCTCTTTCCACGTACCTCGGTGCCTGTGCGCCTGTGTTCCTTGCATTAGCGCCCCAGGCCATGCTGGAGGCTGCAGAGGAGCCTTATCACCAGGCTGGTGGGGGACGGGCGAAATGGGGCTCGTCTTGCACCCGGTCCGGTGTCGAGAGTCCGGCTTCTACTGAGGTGGACGGATGGGGACACGGTGGTGTGGTTGGAACGCCTGTGGTTGAAGCTGATCGGCTTCGCCGTCGCAAGCGGGGCGCGGAATATCTGACGCGGGAGAAGAAGGAAGATTTTGAAGAGCTTGGGCGTCAATGCTGGAAGCAGATGGAGGAGCTGAGGGTGCAATGGGATGAGATCTTGGACCAAGCCGAGGCTCGATCTTGAATGTGCTTGGACTGGCTAACACGGAGCAGTTGAATGCTGGTCGAAATGCACTGGTCAATATTTATGATAATATGTAAAATAACTCTTAATGGCAACATAAATCATCGGTGTTGTGACCAGACCAGGAAGACCCTATTCCAACCTGCGAGGAAGACGATTGATGCACTACTCAAGCCCGCAGCCTTGAGAAGGCCCTTCTCTGGCCTACATCCATATCCAGCAATGATCAAGACTCGTCAGAGGAATGATTTGTTTTTGATTGCCTCCCATTATTTACATCGACAAGACCCGCCCCACGCCCATAATCTCATTAAAACAGTAAAGGCCTGATTTCTTTGCCCGGTTGCCAGAAAACCAACAGAAATCGAACGGAAAGATTCGGAGAAAAAAGTAGAGAAACAAGAGAACCAAACGGCCAGAACGCAAAGTAGCGGGGCAGGGACGCAAGTCTCAATATGTAGCAATAAAACGGGGATAGCTTGGAAGATAGAAAGACTAAAAGGGGTTATTTCTTGCAAAACAGCCGACATCGCGCGCGGTCACCATCTAGGTTTTCGAATGCATCGATCGATCGGAAAACGAAAGGAAGGATATTGCGGAGGGGGTATGGGCGGATATAAGCCCACGCGGAACGAGGCGAAAAGCAAGCTGACAGAAGAGAAGATAACGCAATAAACGACTCCGGTTCTATGCATCAAGGGCGGGAAGGGGATGGTATCGGCACGAAAGTTGGAGGTATTTCAAATGACATAGCGACGTGAAGAAGGAGGAAGGAGGATTACATGATGATGGCGGGAACTGTTGAAGTCGAGTTAGCATTGTTTTGTGAGTATCGGTAGGGGGGTTCAAAGCTTACCATCAATGTTCTGCTTGATGCTCTTGTGTGGCAGGATGGAGCCACCGTTGACATAGACTTCGTCGGCGATGGTGACATCGTCTCCGAGCACGGTGACATTCTCCAGACGCGCCCAGCGGCCCACAGAGCTGTTCCAGCCAACAATGGTGGATTTGATCCAAGCATGGTCCTTGACCTTGCAGTTCTCCATCACGACACAACGTTGTAGACGGACACCGTCGCCAATTACGACATTAGGGCCAATCACCACGTTGGGGCCAATGCGGCAGTTCTTGCCAATCTTGGCGGAGGGGTCAACCATGACATTTCCACCGTAAACGTATGGCTCGGAGTGAGGGGCAAGCATCTCGGGCTTGCGCTTCGCCAGGGAAGACAGGTACAGACAGGTACCGCTCAGGAAGTCCTTGGGCTGACCCACGTCCATCCAGAAGCCCGGGAGATCGAAGGAGTGGAGCTCGCCCGCCGCACAGATGGCGGGGAAGGTCTCCTGCTCGATGGAGGTAGGGCGCAGCTCAATGCGCTCCAGCACACTGGGGTTGAGGATATAGATACCGGCGTTGATGCGGTTGCCGACGAATTCGACAGGCTTTTCCACAAAGCGGTCGATGCGTGTGGGGTGGTCGGGCTTGTGAACGACGACACCGTACTTGGAGGGCTCATCGACCTTGGTGACCACGATGGTGCCCTCGTTGCCGTGCTTCCTGTGGAAATCGGCGAGATCCTTAAAGGGGTAGTCGCAGATGACGTCCGAGTTCAGGACAAAGAACGGCGAGTCGTCCTTGCCGAGAATCTTCTCCGCCAGCTTGAGCGGGCCAGCCGTGCCCAGCGGTTCGGACTCGACGGAGAACTCAATGTTGACTCCGTATTGCTCCTCGTACTTCTTGAGTGCCGAGACCATCACATCGGGGCGGTAGTTCACGGCGAGGACGATATCGGTGACACCTGCAGCGGCCAAGCTCTCGACTTGGTGCAGGATCATCGGCCGGTTTCCGAACTCCACCAGGGGCTTGGGGAGGGTGAGCGTCTGTTAAGTATTAGCATTGCCCATTGACGGGCCGGTCAAGATTATTGGGGCACAATCCAATGGACAGAGGATCGCGGGATCGACGACTTACCAGAGGACGCAGACGGGTCCCGAACCCTCCAACAAGAATGAGAGCTATGTAGGGGTTAGCGGCGAGTGCGGGGGAGGGCATTGGAGACCAGACATACCCTTCATAGTGAATTGATTAAAGCAAGTAGGTTTCAGAATAAAAAAAGGAAAAAAGGAGAGGCTCAAGGAGCAAAAGGAGAGAGAGAGAGATACTCTGTATTTAGGGAACACTCTGGCCGTTGATTTATTTTCGTCCCAGTGGGGGCACGTGAGTCGCCGTGATTGGCGGGGCTCTGCTTGCGGGAAAAAGGGGGGTACCTGGAGGTACACGCCGACAGTATGGGACAACCACAGTTCAGACAAGTACCTGGCCAGGTACCTGCCATTGACAGCAGCTCAATATCCAGCCCTGGAGGGCCCAGGGCTCCCTCCATGACTTGGGGAATCTACTCCGTCTGGACATTCCAATTGCTAGATGCGGGGAAGAATGCATCGCCTGTTCCGGGTGGCGAGCCTATACCGTCCGATGCTATCACATGGCTTGCAGGACTCAACGGGGGGATACGAGACCTCCAGGTGGTGAGATCGATCATGGGATGTCGCCCCTGAAAGTTGAAAGCCCTGGTGTGCAGGATTACGTATCTAGGTTCCACTCAGCCCATAGTGCTTTGGGGTCAGTATCTCCGTCGAATTGCTTGAATCTGGGAGACTACTCCATATAGGAGAGAGCAGGAGTACTCTGTACTGTACGGAGTAGTACTGTAGTGAGTGGTGAAGAGACCGGGAATCATCAACTTCCCCTTTTCCAGTCTCTGGTCTGACCGCCTGCCCTATTCGCATCTCTATCTGAGCGAATGAGCATTCTTGGATGCATCCGGCTATTTTGTACATAGCTGCAGCTATGCTCATTTCGTACAGACTAGCACATGCTGTCCTAGTCCTGCAATTATGGTCTCTACAACTGCCATGGAATATGCTCAGCCCGTGCGGCAAGGTCGTGGGGCCGAGACATTAAGGATCGGCTTGGCCGATCTGTTTCACTGGTCTTGGCAGATTCATCAGGTTTGACCCATAATTGGATCTAAGTACCATTCCATAGCTCCAGTTCAAGGCCTAAAGTCCTATTCGTTCTACTAGTGCACACGAATTCGCCTGGGCCATGGTCCGCCACATATGTACTAACTAGTACAGTGTATGATGCAATTCAACTGTCCAGGTGGTGTTGTTGTCCACCTAACTACTCCGTGTACTACTGGAGATAAAATTGTGTGCGTCCACGGGTACGGATGGTCTACTAGGTAAAGCCTATAGTAGATTATAGTATGAGTCTGAACCATTCATTCTGACCATTCGAATCATTATCCGGACCCTATGTATTGGTCCTTTGAGCATCAGCTTACACCTGGCATGGTCCGATATCCTGCCCTAACTGGTGGGGCCAGATCCATAGGCAGAATCTTCTGCGTGGGCCTCAACAAGAACAGCACGTATCCATTGCTGCCTATTAGAACAGGGCTAGATTTTATCAATCCAATGACATCTCAGGTTTAATGGTAGATTTTGTCCATTTCCTCAACGTATTTGGCGTGGTTCGCTAGTAGTTCCAGGAGCCGCTCCATTGGGTTCAGCTCGTTTTCAACCTGCACACTGGAATGGCTGGAATAAAGATTGGAAATGGCGTTGCATTCCAAGGTTAACAGCATGTCTCCTGTTCAGTCAGTCCATTGGTTGTCATCCATCTGGGTGTGATTCAATGCGCCCATATTGTACTGTACATAGAGACGGATCTCGGGAGTGAAACAACCCTGGAGATCTGCTACGAGTAGTACTGAGATCCACGGGTATCGGGGAGAAATGTGAGACACTGATCCAGCACTCAAGTGCTGGAGCTGTGGGCTGTCCTAGTAAGACCCGAAACAACCTTGGAACCCACGGCCCTGGAGGTATGGGGTACTAGTGCCACCTGGGCAGGCCTATCTAGACAGAACGTCATGACAAGCTAGAATCAACTGTCTACCTAGGCGCACTCAACCTTGGAAGTTATATACATTTCTGCACTGCTCACAAAGCTCAGACTTGCCTTTAAACGCTTCACCAATCCCCCCTCCCAACATCCGTCCTTGAGCTCACTTGACATCGAACGGCACGTTCCCATCTGTATCGAGGTTTTCTTTCCTTGGGCTACACGCCGCGCAAAGACTGCGGTTGCTCTTGAACGGACCGAGTGACCAGCGATACGGCAACGCACCATTCGAGCCAAAATGACCATCAAGGAACAGAATGCTGAGCTCGGAGATGAGGATTTCAGAAGTATCTGTTTCCATATTCTGTCATCATCGCCAGCAAAGCAGAGAAAATAGACCGAGATTCAAGCCCTCAAAATTGCAAGGGATGAAAATCTCAAGTCAAAGCATCAGTACCCTTTGACCTTCCCGTCTCCATCTTCGCCGTCCTAGCTCCAAACTGAATGGCCCGCTTCTTCTCCCGCGCCACACGCTCCATACCCAGTCTCAGGGCAACGAGCCTCAGCGCCAGCTTCTCACAATCGATGCCTTCCGTGGCACCAGGAAGTCCAAACCCGCACTTCTCCCACACAGGCGCAGACACAACCCAAGACACGAATTCCTCGTCCAAAAATGGGAACCGCGTTTCACGACCCCAGTGCGAGAGAACCCGATCATCCCGCCCGAGGTTCCGCGAACCCAGCCGGCTCACGTCGAGATCAATCTCGGCGATCAAGGCCTCGAAGCCTCCGCGAGCGAAGGCTGCGCCATGTCGACCGTAGCCGGCAAAGAGCTCGTCTGCCCCGAGACCGGAGAGGAGAACGCGTGCGGTACTCGTGTACAAGGGGCCGGAGGGCACGAGCGGATCTGTAGTTGCTGAGCCCTGGCCGCGGGAAGCGAAGTAGAGAGCGCAAGCAATCGACATGTCCATTTCGGTGTTGTGGGGCCTCATGAGGCGTTTGACGAGATCCCTATGGGAAAGACATTCGGAATAAGGGATGTCGATGGCGACGAAGCGCCAAATGCGACCTGGGCAGGTCTTTTGGAGTTCGGCGTGGGCTGAGCGGCCGGTCATCCGGTCTGGACAGTTTTCGTAGATTGAGAGGGGAGATGGTGTTTTTTGATTGAGTTTCGCTGCTGCTGCGACCCGGGGATTCTCAAATGCCACGTTGAGAAGGTCGATGGGTTCATTTGGTGGGAGGATCTCGTGTGAGAGCCTTGCTAGGAGAGTGCAGTCTAGGCCGCCGGAAAAGAGAACGGCAGTCTTTGCACTTTGATCTGTGATGTAGTTGGGGGGTTCCGGGATGTTTTGGATCCGCAGCTCCAGTGATTGGCGGAGTTTGGACTGCAGCTCTATGACAAACGGGGAGTCGGTTGTCAATACTGGAGGGTCCTCTGGTAGCGAGGTGTTCATTGGTTCGATGTGTTGTTTCTGCGCTCCATGTCAGTTGCCCGCTGCCTGGCATAGGTGGGAGACATACAAGAAGACCAGAGCCCCATGGCATAGTCTTACTCTGGAACGACTGGGGGTTCAGGGTATGATCTAGATCAATGGTGTAAACCCCATCGGTGCCAACTTCTTGGAAGCAATCCACCGATGCACTGTCGCAAATACTGCATATCTTCAGGTTGCCCTCGTGGTCAACTCCCTGGACAAGAGATCGTCTACCCAAACAATCCCTACTGTAGTAAAGCTTCGAGTTCACCGCATCGTAAAAGACAAAGGCGAATGGTCCGGAGATGCTTGAGATTGCTTCGGCTATCCCATTGACCGCATCATGTTTCACTGCCTGCAGAAATAAGTTGAAGACGCGCTCAGTATCATTGCCCTGTACACGCTCGCCTTGGATCTTCCATGCTTCTCCGTTCCAGCAGAGAACGGACTGGGATTCAGAGTCTACGAGTGGCTGTGTGTACACATGGTCGCCTCTCAACGACAGCACGGTGGACGTGAAAGTGAGCTGGCAGGCAAGGGTTACTCCATGGGCCTGGATGTCCTTCTGCACCGTATGCGTTGTGTAACTGTCCGGTCCTCGCTTCTGTAGCAAGCCGCTGGTCTCCTGTGTTGGAGACGCGCCACCAGGCGCGCTCAATGAGAAGAAAATCCCACACATTGCAAGCCTGCGTCGAGGAAGACGATATCACTAGAAATGTGCAGGTGTTTTCTTTAGCGTCTTAGTCATGTCTTGGCGATCCCGACCAGAGACCGGAAATCGTTCCTTTTGATCGAGATTGTCATAGTTGAGGGCGAGAGCAAGGAACTTCTCGAATGGAACGAGTGTGGTCATAATCCAATTTCGCCCTGCCAAGACTGTCCATCCCGGTTTCAGGAGAGTCGAAGTGCACACCTACACACATCGGGACAAGATGATTCCACACAGGAGTACAGCTTTGTTGTCGGTGATTGTGTTTGTTGCGCTGTTGCTATTCATCTTTTCTTCTTCTCCGGTTCCCACTGTTACCGAAGGCGAAGAGGTCTCAGGCCCGGCCAAGTTCGTGCCCAGACCCAAGCTATCGTCTCTAGCCAATTTCCACCTGCCATCCTTCCGCCCTCCCTCCCACGAGCAGCCGGAAGAACAAAAGAACAGTACCCACGGCGAGTCAAAATGGTACAGCACATTGGAGTGGCTGAACCCCTTTTCGTCCGCCATCACCTTGGATGAGAACCGTTCCGTCCTACCCCCTGTGGCCGACCGTCGACCGATCTACACCTACTACAATGCGAAATACAATCCCAACAAAGCGAGCGCGAAAGACCTGAAGGAGCTACAGAATGCCGATGCAGAGCTGCTGCTCGCATGGCGCCGCGCCTGGTATGCGCAGGGCTTCAAGCCCGTCGTGTTGACCCCCGGGGATGCAATGCTGAACCCGAACTACGAGGTTGTCCAGAAGCTGAAGCTTTCGCCTAAGACGGAGAACGAGGTGTTTGGATGGTTGGCGTGGGGACACATGGGCACTGGCTTGCTGTCCGATTTCCACTGCTTCCCGATGGCGCGCTACGACGATAACATGCTATCATATCTTCGTCGAGGAAGTGTGCCCGAGTCGATCACTCGATTCGACAACCTCAAGAACGCACTCTTTGCCGGCGAGAAGACACGCATTGACGCTGTCATCCAGAGCGCAGTTTTGAAGCTCGATGATAAGACCACCTCCTTTGTGGACCTGATGGAGGCCGACTCCTTCAAGGTTGAATCCCCAAGTGCCCTGGCCTTCTACAAGTCTGCTGCTGTCACTTCCCACTACCCGATCGTGCATGAAAAGATCAGCCAGAGCCCTGCAGCCGGTCAGCGGGCCCTGGTCCAGCTGATCAATGGCCATCTGCACAACCATTTCCAGACCGCTTTCCCCGCTGGACTGGCTGTTCTGAAGCCATTCCCTCAGCACACCACAGCTCTGGTGGAGCCGGCACTTCGACTGGCCAAGGCCCTCATCCAGTGCCCCGAGTCGCCGATGCCCGACTCCTGCCCGCCCAATGAGCCCGAATGTCGTCCCTGCGGCTCTGCCAAATCGCCCATGCGGATCAGTCAACCCTCCTCGTTCAAGAACACCACCTTCCTCTTCACCATTGGCACTCTTCCCCACCCATACACCCTCGTTTCTCTCCAAAAGCACTCAGAGGAGATCACCACGCCTCAGATCCGCCGGGAGACCGAGCGTGATGCGTGGCTCTCCGAGGTGACCAAGGATCACCTTGGTCCTGAACTGGGCTCCTCATACCGAGGAGTGATCTTCAAGCAGGTCGTCGCCGCCCCGGATGCCGTGGGTACCTCTCTGTGGATGACCGTGGAGTCTCTCCCCGCCGCAGCAGGCCAGAGCCTCCCGAACGAACTCTTGGATGAGTTTGAGTGGCAGTTCGGATTCAAGATTCCCCGTGGGGGCAAGATCGATCCGGCGACTGAGAACGACAAGGATTCTGCGAAGAGCGCCCAGGATCACACTCCCAGCGACCAAGGCGTTGGGAAAGAATACGAGCTGATCCAGAAGGCTCGTGAAGTGATCAAGAACAAGGAAACCAACCGTATCAACATCAAGGATGTTGTTGAGGCTTGGAACCTTGCCGACACGGAAGTCTGGCGCTTTGTCAAGGCCTACCGGTAATGTTTACTCTGCCCTCTGTTCGCACCTCTACTGACCATAATCTACAGTGCCCGCAGTCTCGTTGAACGTCAGAAGTGGGAGGAGGAAGAGAAACCATTTGCTGGCTCGCGATCATAGATTTCATTTACTGTCTACTGTAGCATATAATTCGAGACATGACCCATTTTTCCCCAAAACACGGTGTACACACGCAAGGGCTACTAGTACAACTACCTAGTAGTGTATGCAACGATCTACAAGATCAGGCAAACATTACTAATGGGGCAGACCAATAGGCGCCAAGACTGTCGGACAGTGGCGATCCCCGCAGCGATAACATTGTGGGGCGGAGGAGAGAGCTCATCTCATCCGTCACATTACACTTGACCTTCAACTTCATCTCACAGCTTTAGGCAAGTCGTTGCGGAACATTCTTTATAAAACATGCGAATTCGCTGAAATCCTTTGCCCATCATCACACCATGGCGCCGGGAATCCTAGAGACCGACTACACAGGCTCAGGCGATAAGGCGAGCCTGGCCACTCTCACCGAAGATTGGGATGATACGATTCGATTCTACCTGAATGGAACTAAGGTAGCGGTGGACACCATCAACCCGGAGGTCACTCTTTTGGAATACCTTCGTGGCATCGGGTTGACAGGCACAAAGCTTGGATGTGCCGAGGGAGGTTGTGGTGCTTGTACAGTGGTGAGTGGTGGCTCTGAGGATATATAGATCTCAGGAATGGGAAAGAATGAGCTAACTAGAGCTTCATAGGTTGTCTCTCATATCAATCCCACCACAAAACAAATCTACCATGCCTCTGTGAACGCCTGTATTGCTCCACTGGTGAGCATCGATGGTAAACATGTCATCACAGTTGAGGGTATTGGCAATGTCAAAGATCCCCACGCGATTCAACAGCGAATTGCAGTCGGAAATGGAAGTCAATGTGGCTTCTGTACTCCTGGAATTGTGATGGTAAGAGCGACCCTCGGACATGCACCTCATGTGACTAACACAGTTACAGTCTCTCTATGCTCTGCTGCGAAACAACCCCTCACCCTCGGAGCACGACGTAGAAGAAGCGTTTGATGGAAATCTTTGCCGTTGCACCGGCTATCGACCAATTCTAGATGCTGCCCAGAGCTTCAATGCGAATAACAACTGCGGCAAGGCTTCCTCGAATGGAGGATCAGGCTGCTGCATGGAAAAGAACGGCTCGGGTGGTGGATGCTGTAAGGGATCTTCCAACGGAAAGGAGATCGAAACTGTCGACTACAAGTTCCCTGCGCCGAACTTCAAACCCTACAGTCCAGACACAGAGTTGATTTTCCCAGCCGCTCTGCGAAAATACGAATACCGACCACTGGCCTATGGCAACAAAAAGAAGAAGTGGTATCGCCCCGTGACTGTGCAACAACTCTTACAGATCAAAAACGTGCACCCTGATGCAAAGTTGATCGGCGGAAGCACGGAGACACAGATTGAGATCAAATTCAAGGCCATGCGCTACGCGGCCTCGGTATACCTCGGCGATATACCCGAATTGCGACAGTTCACCTTGCACGACGACTACTTGGAAATCGGTGCTAATGTTTCTCTAACGGACCTCGAGCACATCTGTGACCAGGCTGTTGAGAAGTATGGAGATGCACGGGGCCAACCCTTCAAGGCAATCAAGAAGCAACTACTCTATTTCGCTGGGCGACAAATTCGAAACGTTGCTTCTCCTGCGGGTAACTTGGCTACTGCCTCGCCTATCTCTGATCTGAACCCAGTCCTAGTGGCTACCAATACTATCCTCGTGGCTAAGTCTCTGGACGGAGAGACCGAGATCCCCATGACTGAATTCTTCCAAGGGTATCGAAAGACCGCCCTAGCTCCTAATGCAATCATCGCCAGTTTGCGTATCCCAGCGGCGCAGACCCAAAAGGAGTACATGCGAGCTTACAAGCAGTCCAAGAGGAAGGACGACGACATTGCTATTGTCAACTCTGCACTTCGTGTGACGTTGTCTGATACCAACGACGTGATCAGCGCCAACCTTGTGTTCGGTGGTATGGCAGCCATGACCGTATCGGCCAAGAATGCCGAGGCATTTGTGGTTGGCAAGAAGTTCACAAACCCTGCAACTCTAGAGGGTGTCATGAGTGCACTGGAGCAGGACTTCGATCTGCCCTTTGGAGTTCCCGGTGGCATGGCCAGTTACCGAAAGTCACTGGCGATGGGCTTCTTCTACAGATTCTATTACGACGTGCTGTCGGGACTTGATGTCCAGGCATCAGATCTGGATCCCGACGTAGTGGCCGAGATTGAGCGAGCCATTTCATCCGGACAAAAGGATAACGAATCATCCGTCGCATATCAAAAGAATATTCTTGGCAGAGCGACGCCGCACGTTGCGGCGTTGAAGCAATCCACCGGCGAGGCTCAATATACCGATGATATCCCCGTGCAGATGAACGAGCTCTTTGCGTGCATGGTGCTCTCAACCAAGGCACACGCCAAGATTGTTAGCGTGGACGCATCTGCGGCGCTGGATATTCCCGGTGTCGCAGAGTATGTCGATCATAATGATCTTCCCAATCCGCAAGCGAACTGGTGGGGAGCGCCTAACGCCGATGAGCTATTCTTCGCTGTTGATGAAGTCACTACGGCTGGTCAGCCGATCGGTGTCGTTCTGGCCACTTCGGCCAAGATCGCCGAGGAGGGCATGAGGGCTGTCAAGGTGGTCTACGAAGACCTACCTTGTATTTTGACCATGGAGGAAGCCATCGAAGCACAATCCTTCTTCGAACACTATCGGTATATCAAATGCGGAGATACCGAGGAGGCATTCAAGCAAGCCGATCATGTCTTCACCGGAGTGTCGCGAATGGGAGGCCAAGAGCACTTCTACCTGGAGACTCAAGCTTGCGTGGCAATTCCAAAGCCCGAGGATGGTGAAATGGAGGTCTGGAGTGGTACACAGAACCCGACTGAAACGTGAGTTGAAGCATATTGTGCTACCGTCAAATATATATTGAAGCTAACTTTTGACAGACAAGCCTATGTCGCCCAAGTAACAGGCGTAGCTGCCAACAAGGTCGTTTCGCGTGTCAAACGACTTGGTGGTGGATTTGGCGGTAAAGAGACACGATCAGTCCAGCTGGCTGGTATTTGTGCTACTGCTGCGGCGAAGACAAAACGACCTGTTCGCTGTATGCTCAATCGTGATGAAGATATCTTGACCTCCGGCCAGCGCCATCCATTCCTCTGTCACTGGAAGGTCGGAGTGACCAAAGAAGGCAAGATCATTGCACTGGATGCAGATGTATTTGCCAACGGCGGCCACACCCAGGATCTCTCGGGTGCTGTGGTGGAGCGCAGTCTGTCGCACATCGACGGCGTGTACAAGATCCCGAACATGCATGTGCGCGGCCGCATCTGCAAGACCAACACCGTCTCCAACACGGCGTTCCGTGGATTTGGCGGACCCCAAGGTCTGTTCTTCGCCGAGTGTTATGTCTCGCAAATTGCAGACCACTTGGATATTCCAGTCGAGGATATCAGAAGAATCAACATGTATCAGCCTGAGGAGAAGACGCATTTCAACCAGACTCTCAAGGATTGGTATGTGCCGTTGATGTACAAACAGGTGATTGAGGAGAGCTCCTACAACGAGCGGAAAAAGGCCGTCGAGGAATACAATGCGACACACAAGTGGTCTAAACGAGGAATGGCCATCGTGCCCACCAAATTCGGCATTTCCTTCACAGCTCTCTTCTTGAACCAAGCAGGAGCCTTGGTCCACATCTATCATGACGGCAGTGTCCTCGTAGCACACGGTGGTGTCGAGATGGGCCAAGGCCTACACACCAAGATGATCATGATCGCAGCCGAAGCACTCCAAGTCCCCCAGTCAAGCGTATTCATCTCCGAAACCGCCACAAACACAGTCGCCAACACCTCATCAACCGCGGCATCGGCAAGCTCCGACCTCAACGGCTACGCCATCTTCAACGCCTGCGAACAACTCAACGAGCGTCTCCGTCCCTTCCGAGAGAAGATGCCCAACGCAACCATGAAAGAGCTCGCTCATGCCGCCTACTTCGACCGCACCAATCTCTCAGCGCAAGGATACTACCGCACCCCGGACATCGGCTACGTCTGGGGCGAAAACAGCGGGCAGATGTTCTTCTACTTCACACAAGGCGTCACAGCCGCCGAAGTCCAAATCGACACATTGACCGGCGACTGGACGCCCCTCCGCGCCGACCTCAAGATGGACGTAGGCCGCTCCATCAACCCCTCAGTAGACTATGGTCAAATCGAAGGAGCCTACGTCCAAGGCCAAGGACTCTTCACAACAGAAGAAAGCCTCTGGCACCGCGCCTCGGGTCAAATCTTCACCCGCGGTCCGGGCAACTACAAGATCCCCGGATTCCGTGATATTCCCCAGATCTTCAACGTGAGTCTTCTCAAGGACGTGGAGTGGCGGAATTTGCGCACTATCCAGCGCTCGCGGGGTGTTGGTGAACCGCCCTTGTTTATGGGTAGTGCGGTCTTCTTCGCTATTCGGGATGCTTTGAAGGCTGCGCGGAAGCAGTGGAATGTTACTGATGTGTTGTCTTTGGAGGCACCGGCTACGCCGGAGCGGATTCGGATTAGCTGTGCTGATCCTATTATTGAGCGGGCTAGAGTGCAGCCTAAGGAGGGTGAGAAGAGCTTCTTTGTTGCCATTTAAATGCCATTGTGGCTGTTTACGACGATATGCAATTTGGCGTTTTGGATTATCAGATACAGATCTATATCCATGGATCAGATTTCTTTGAGATACCTACCTAGGTAGTATACAATCTTTGGTATCAACCCTCTGATCAACCTTGAATCACACCCATACTAGGTAGACACCTGGCAGGCATCAGATAAAACATAGATCCTACATACATCTAGTAGACCAGCTTTAGGGCTGGAGAAATCCAAGGTTCCCCAGCTGAGCACTACATTAGGTACAGTGGAACTTGGAAGTACTCCGTACAGAGTCACTGATATCTCTAATTGGACCCGTGGATACATCTCAGTGCCATCTGGATCCACTTGGGCATCAGCCTCAGATTCTCTTCAATATGATTGGCGTGGTCTTGGGCACCGAACTAATGCGCAAGCAATCACATCTGGATAATCACCTTACGACACGTGTTTCCGTCGAAGCAATGATCAGTCTACGATTACTCCGTAGAGTCTGAAATACTCTGACCGACTCTTTGTCGATATATGCTCTAAATATGGAACCAATTCTCCGTAGAGTCTCTGCGAATATTGACCATCTCGAGAGCTTGATCAAACTCTACGACAGTACAAAGGACATCAGACTTTCAGAATCACTCGAGCTTATTCGACCTCATCTCTCCCTTATTCCCCGCATCCTCGATACATGCAAAGGCAACCTCGAAACGCGAATAGCGTCGATCCTGGAAGATGACTATAGAATCTCAAAGTCAACCCTCGAATTTTGCTGTATGAAAGCAGGAAGTTTGAACGAAGCTCTCCAGAAGCTCGTACCCAGTCAAAGCGATTCAATGCCACAACAAAATTGGGGTATCCGCCGTGAATTTACCGAAGTATACAAGGTCGAACATCTTATGCTAAGTATTGCCGAAAACATCCGGCGCCTTGTCAAGCATCATGGGATCAAGTTGTCCGATCAGAGTCAACATGCTGAGCTGGAAGCTATTATCGATGAGATGAAGTCTGTCATCTCCGGATCGGATGGAGATGACATTCGCGATGGACAACAGTACAATACGAAGACACCAAATTTCGGTAAGACCCATCTACTTCAGTTATTAAGCCGGCATTTCAGGATATTTGATCGCCTATGCAATTGATCGGGGTTTGGTGTCTCATATCATCCCCATTCGCATCAGAACTATCCGATTTACCTCCCAATGTGTTCACTATTTTGCCTTCTGTTCCATACTGAAGATATCCGCTGACGCTCACATATAGTGGAAACAAGACAGGAAGAGGACTCTGTTTTTCGCGGACCCGTTGGTGTCCATTTCGACCAAGCGCCGTATCTGTCCCAAGAACTATTCGTCGGCCGTGGCTCTGAGCTTGATGAAATGGCTAAAGTCTTGCACCCTACCCATGAGCCCCAAAAGCGAAGAACTTTAGTGCTCGGTGGGATACGCGGTATAGGCAAAAGTCAGCTTGCCTTCGCTTATGCACTGTCGCGATCTAAATCTTGTAGCTCGGTGTTATGGCTGGATGCAACGTCTGAGGCCACATTGAATAACAGTTTTCGTCGGGTTGCCATCCTGATCTTCGATCAAAATTCCACCGTCTTGGATGACAAGAGAATAGTTGAGGGTGTACATCGTTGGTTATCTGATCCGAAAAATACCCGATGGCTTTTGATTTTTGATGGCTATGACGAACAGTTCACCATCAGCGACTATTATCCCCCTAAATCTCACGGGGCTATTATAGTCACTACTCGACAGCCAGACCTGGTTCCTAGTAGTACCCACATCCTTCATATCAAAGCTTTCCACAACATTAAGGATAGCCTCGCGGTGTTACAAACCCGCTCGAAGCGGCAGAACACTACAACAGGTATGTCACCATACAATGCTTCTAGGATGAACTAACGGCAACTGTATATCCATATGCAAAGCATGTCGCAACACGAGTAGGAGGCATCCCCCTTGCTTTGGTGACTGTTGGGGCATATCTTCAGCGAAGTCCCGTGAGCTTCCAAGGGTACCTGCAGCAGTATGAGAAAGCATGGGCATCAAGTGGCTTGCAAGATGATCCGGAGTGTTTACTCAAGACCATGCCAGATGTGTCTGACAATCTCTATGAAGAAGCCAACTCGGAGTACCAGGAGGAGTACCAAAGCGACATATCGAACCCACCATCTGTTTTTTCTGTACAGAGTTTGCTATCAAGTGCTCTAACAACAGATACCCACTTCAGTGCCAATGAACTCAGCACCGCACTCGATGAACTCGTTGGCATATTTATGGACGACATAGAATTGGCACCACTGTATTCAGAAGCCATTGTCGCGAGGCGTATCACCTTGGCACGTTTCGTGCGAAACTTCAGACGACTTCTCAAGGGCTTTGCGGTGGATTTGAAAGAAGAATCACAGGAAGCAGTTTATATTGATCTTGCTAATTTCATCTCGTCTCGAGCTGGCCTCATATCCGATAAAATGGGAAGAAATCTTGAACAGAAGTTCTCACAACCAGGCAACACATCTATACGTTTACAGGACACACAGGCGAAAGGCGAATTCCAATATTCTCTGGACAAAGAATTGCATAATGAGAGCAGTGATGATGAGGACGGGCATGAGCCGGAGCGAGCCTTGGATGAAAAGTTCGCCGCGTTGGTATCCCATGGCCGCGGCTTCATTGAAGCAAGCACTGCCCTGCATAAGCTACGCGAGGGATTCAAGGAATTCGTTATACCAACAATAAAGAACAAAGAGCCTGGGGCTAAGCACTTTCATAAAGCTCAATCTTGGCTTCACAAATGGACCTATTTCAGGGCTCTAGGCGGGCTCAGGTATGAGGCGCAACGGCTGATGAAAGTTCTTCAATTCTTCAAATGGCTCCTCTCTGAAATTGAATTGCTGGAGAAAGCTGTTCCCGAAAATCATCAGCGATTCAGGTGGACGAATGTATGTTTCTTTGCTAAGCTACCCCAACCGTTGCTAATGTATAACAGAGGCGCGGCAAACAGCTCTATGATGACTACGTTGAACACAAGCCCGGCGCACTCAAAAAGCTGCAAGACTATTTGACTTCAACCACAGTTCCAGCCGATCCAAGGAACGTCAGCCCTACCAACAGTCAAGGACAGCCTTCTCGCGCTGCGTCCATGTACACCCCCAGCCCCAGTTCTCTCTCCATAGGCGTATCTACTTCCAACGACACCACAATTCAACCAACACATCCTGCCAGCAATATCCGTACTGGAATCACTCAAAATACCAGCCCAGGCGGATCATCAGCTGGTCCACTCCTGCTTCTCTCCTGCATAGAAAGAAGGGGCCACCCCGTCGAACTATACCAAGAGGTTGTCACCAACATCACAGATGACCGAGAACTTTTCCATTCATTAAACAGAGCATACCATAGTCGCAGGACCAAGTTCAAATCATTCTGGTCATTGCGGACACTGCACGGCATCCATTTCATGAAGGTATGTTTGAAATAACCAAATCGAAGCCCTAATTCTATCCTTATCAATTCCATGGCTAACTGTAGCCAGTTCGGATACGGAGGTCACGGCCTCATCGATGTCCGCTGCCACCCCGAGCCCTGCATACTCGGTAATCCCTGCTCATGCATCCCACCCAAGGAACGAGTCTTCCCACAAAGCAAAGAATACGCATGCTCGCCGACCCCCTCCGACCTCTCACCACCAATTGGCCCCAAAGCAATGATGGACTTTTTAAAAGATTAAAAGACCCCGATAGCCGAGTCGCAGGCGCAGACTGGATTCTGCAGCAACTGCCGAAAAAGATGGGGGCACAACTGGATCTAAATAAAGCGGATATGTCACAGGCGTGGGGGATCTTTTACCGGGAGGATTGGGATTGGATGCGCATTTGGATTGTGCTGGGCATTGCTTTTTTCCCACCGAGTCTGTTGTTTGGGATTCTGTGGGGGATTCTGAGGCAGGATATTCAGGGGGCTTTTGGGGTGGCTAGTTGGTGGATGGCGGGGGCGACTATTGCGATTGGGATTGTTGGGACTTGTACTTAGACGATTTATGTGAATTATCGGCCCTGGAGGTATTATGTATACAGTTTTGAAGAATCATGGGCTGCCTGGATCCCAGCGATAGTGTTCATCGAGCTGGAGTGGATCTGCTGAAAGCGACATGGCAAATACTGGGACAGCTACTTACTGGCTGGCACCGGAAAAGAGAGTAGAGAGTGATGATTCTAAAGAGAAGCAACTGAGAAGGACCTGAGAAGAGAAGAGAGCTACGTCTGAACTGAGCTGAGAGGGTATATGACCCTCCATCTCGACAGAAGTGACAAAGCATGATATAAAGTCAACCCCAGGGCAGTATATCCCAGTTAGAATCAATCACAATTCCCAGCAACCGGCCCGAAGGAATGATTTCCAACTTAGCTGCCGCAGACCTTTCCCAACTTCGCTCCCTCAACATCTCCAGGGCTGCATCCGTGAACCAGAAATCCCTGACAACGTTGTCGACTTGTTACCAAATCTCAAGGGGCCTTCCCTTGATCTCGACCAAAAGAGGCATAATCCTGCCGGTGCTACCAAATTCCAGACTTGGAAGCATGTTACGATGCCCGTCACCCTTCCAAGCGACGGCTTCTCTCGCGAAGCCAACCCTTACAACGGGCGTTCCACTACTACAATCATGCTACGACCGACTCCTCGCTTACATGGCCTCAACTCGGCCATGGTCGGGCCCGCGGGCCAAGCTCGCGCTGACTATGGACACATCCTAGTGGACGCATGAGTACATACCCAGTAGCCTTGAAGAAGGTGCTCCGGTACACCGGAAACGCCCCAATGGGTCTGAAGGACCTGGCAGTGGAAAGAACAGGCAGAGATTTGAGCTCTTGGCTTTCCGTTACAGAGATATTCATTGTTTGCAAATCAAAGAACCAGTTCGCCTTAGCCTTCGAAATTTCCAAGCACTGGTATCCCACAAGAGGCATGTAGTGTCATCAGTTTTGACATGCATCTCGCTTACGTTGTGATGTGGAATGTATTAACGGGACTACAGGGTGAAACCTTAGAAAATTTAAATCATGGATCTACTAAGCACAAGTGAATAGATGATTGAGAATCAATTTGAATTGTGAAAAACCATAAACCATATTAAGATAGCCACGAGTCAATCCCAGTGGGAGACAATCAGAACCGGCCGAAAAACAAAAAAGCATTAAAGCAAATAGCCAGAAAGGGTACACGAAGAAAGAAATAATGTCTCAAAAACTTTTCCAAGATCAGACGAAACGGTGCGAGTTCCGACAAAAGGAAGCAAGATCCGACGAAAAGGACCAAAATCATCTGATCTCTGTGAGACGTCGAGAGTAGGCTTTGCCCATCACCCGCGCGCCCACAATACCCGAGGGTCAATGTAAAACCAAAGTAAAATAGAAAGAAAATGCAACCAAAGTGAAATCACTGATAGCTGTTTTGGATCTGAAGCTGAGCCTTGAGGTTGGCGATCTCAGCATCACGAGCAGCAATGATGTCGTTGAGTTCTTCAATGCGACGCTCCGAATCGGCCTGGCGCTCCATCTTCTTGGCACGGGACTTGCGCGCCGCCTCGGTGTTACGAGCGCGCTTGGCGGCGACAGGGTCGTTGGGATCGAAGTCCACGGGCGACAGGCTCTTGCGGGCGCGGGCATTCACACCAGAGATGGTGGAGTGCTTGGTGCCGCCGGTCGCGGGGACGGGGGACGAGGCCATGGATGAAGCGGGACGCTTGGTGCCGGCGGTGGCGGGGGCGGGAGACGAGGCCATAGAAGCGGGGCGCTTGAGAGGGAGGCGCGGGGCAGTCTGGACCTTGAGGTCAGGCTTCTTGGGCTCATGGTGCAGGGCAGCGGCGACATCGAGGTTGTCGAGGTTGTCGAAGTTGGCCATGTCGAAGGCGTTCAGATCGGGAACGCCTTCGAAGAGAGAGGGCCAGTTGTCGCTCGTGAGCACGTCCCGTTCTTCGAACATGGGCGACGCGTTCTGGCTGAAGGTGCCGGGCGATTCGAAGGAGGGAGTGCTCAGATCAGTGAAGGTGCCGGAGGGGGGCACGGACGTGTCCATCATCAGATCCCGGGGCGAGATAGTGCCTGGGGGTCCGGTGGGGACAGGTCCGGCCTCATCCAGAGCGCCGAAGGCGAGGGGCGAGTCCATGCTGGCGGGGAAACCAGTGGTAGACATGTCTGCGTTCAGATCAAAGAGACCAGCTGAAAGTGGGTTAGCGATGGGATCGGAGTACGGTGAGATGTAAGGTAAATTACCTTCCATGGTGAAGTTGGGAGTTGACATGACACGACGTGTTGGTTGCGTGTTTAGATGGTTTTGTTGACCGTTGAAAAGCGGGATAGGAGGGCGATTAGGGTTGGTGTTTGGAGAGGTGGAAGGCACAGAAGCCGTGTGTTGGCGGGAGTGCTTGAGCGTGGGGTGGGACCAATAAGAGGGGGACCGGGCAAGCTGGGTGACTCTAGGATCAGAGCTAGAGTACTGCTGCTGGAGATGACGTTGCAACTGCAGACTGAAGGAGTGTCGTCGGGGGTTGTTCTGCGCCAAAAATGGCTGGAGTGCAGATGGTCTATGGGTTGCTTTCACTGGCACACGCGCGCGGGGCTGCGGGTGAGGGGAGGGATAGAGCACAAAGTCCTCGTGTACACTGTTGCTGTTGTTGTTCTGATTGGAAGCCAAGGGCTGTGGTTGCGGGGGCGAGGGAAGCCATGTTTGCGGTTGATAATCCGTGGTGAACGACGTAAAGTCGATCGGGGCAAAGTTGTTGGGGGAAGAACTTGAGCTACGCGATGCGATGCTGAAGTTCAGAGGTCCTGGGACAGGAGGCTCTGAAGGGGGTTGAGTAGAGAGAAAAGGGTGGGTTCCGGTTGGAGAAATGATGTCGTCCTCAGTTGAGAAAGACTGGTCTTGAGACGGGATGCTTATTGGGCACCCATTGTGACGATGATGATAATAAAGATGTTTCTGGTGTGTTAACAATATGGCGGTTTTGAAAAAAAAAAGGGAAGATGGGAAAAAGAGAAGTCAGGCAACCGGCGGGGGATCAGGCACTTCTTAACCGTTCTGTGTGCGTGAGCCCCGCTGACCAATCGGGTCCCCGAGCCGCATGGGGGGGAGGTCTGTGCAGGTCACGGGGTGTGAGTCACAGTCCGGTTCGAGGCGTTGATTGGCTATGCCCCAGGCATCCTTGGTACATCCTGCGATACCTGCCTATCCGCCTGCATTTCCTGCGCAAGACAGGTATCTTGCAGGTACTATCACTGGATCTGCACTCTGACATTCCTCCAGGGCTCTCCGTCCTTTGCTTATTTCCTCCATGATACGGGGATAGCCGAGTCTGCCTGGCTCTACAGGACTACTCTGAGTACTCCTGAGTAGCATACTGGACTACTGGTGCGAGACCTCGCGGAATACAGCCTTTCTTCCGGTTGAGGATAATGCGCCAGATCCACACCTTTCCCGATTCTGTCCCCGCGGTGGGCTGTGTCCATGCACTGCATCCTATGAAACGCCCATCCGTCTGTTAGCCTACCCGAAGGGCGTAAAATTGACTTTGCGAACATTTTGGGATGTGCAGAAAAATCTGCTCCCATTCCGGTTCTGCTTATTGGTGAGTCCGGAAGACTTCGGATCGGGATGATCTTTATTACAGAGTATGCTCCAGTTTGGAATATATGATCTAATGAAATTCGGACTGTACAGTACTGAGTAGTACGGAGTAGAATGCTGACGGGAAAAGCCTGCTGACGTAGATGTCGGTCGAGACTCGGGCTCCATTGATAGCCTAGTGGAGTGGATTAGTGGTCGAATTATGTACTCAATTTCACTCACTCAATTTTGAAACTTCAGGCTGACATACTATATACTATACTACAGTTCCCATATGGCCACATATTCCGGACAGGACAGTACTATTTACCTAGGTATACAGTATAGATGCACTCCGGATGGATCTGACTTGGCTTGACGGGTGACTTGCATAAGGGCCTGCAGCGGTTTCCACCGGACCCATCGGAGATCGGATGTGCATACTGCTACAACTACGAAGTACTGGACGAAATGTGGAAACAAAGACTGAGATTCTATTAAGTATTACCTGTCACACGGCGTGCCGCCACGGGCGGAACATAAACCAGCCGCTCGCGACAACGCTAGACAACATCGGGTCAATTTGGGTTGCAAGACAGAAACCAGGTCCAACTTGGCACAAAAGCACCCATCCTCCCCACAGGGTATCAAACGTAAAAGCAAGAAACCAAAAAAGCAGAGTGGTATCAATCTAGGCGGGCGGCACAACCGCGTAACGCGTGAACACGTCGCGAATATTCACAGCTCGCGAAGCGTGGAACGTAAGGAACGAACCGCAGTCCGAAGGCTGCTGGCGTCGTGAGGCGCCAATGGTATTATTTTTGGTGGAAAAAGGGAGTATAAAACAAAAAAAAAAGCAAGAAAGCGAAAGCGGGTATCTCATTGCCACCATCACAGTCCAAGGGGTGCTTGGGAGGTACTGCGGATAGGGACAGTGGCGAGGCAAAAGCACAAAAGAACTGGAGCGAAATGGTATCAAGGCAGGACATCAGGGCTGGACAAGCCCGTCAGGGATGGCGCGAGCGGGCGATGGATAGGACATGTCCCACCATCGTTCGAACTCGACGACACGTCTCCGAGGAGACTCAGTTCATGCGGCAGCCTGGACAGGGGTGGAGGCGGGAACGTTGACGTTCTTGGCCTCCTCGGTGGCCTCGGCGGGGGCAGCGGCGGTCTCGGGGACGGCAGCCTCCTCAGCGGTCTCCTTGGCGGGGACAGCGGGGGCGGCCTCCTCAGCCTTGTCAGCCTTGGCCTCGGTCTCGGCGGCGGCGACCTCCTCCTTGTCGAGCTTGACAGCCTTGCTGGGCTTGCGGAACAGACCGCCGAGCTTGTTGGACTTGGCCTTGGTCTCCTTGGCCTCACCGTCGGTGCCCTCGTTGTCGGAGGACTCCTTCTTCTCCTTCTTCATGCCAAGGTTGCCGAAGAAAGAAGTGCGACGCTTCTCCTTGGGGGTGGAGACGGTCTCGGCAGGAGTCTCAGCGGGGGTCTCGACGGTGGGCTCGGTGGCAGCCTCAGTGGTCTCAGCAGGGGCAGCGGTCTCCTCAACGGGGTTCTCGAGCTGGGGAGCAGTGCTGGCAACGGGAGTCTCCTCGGTGGCGGGAGCGGTGGCCTCCTTCTCGGACTTCTCCTGGGAAGGGCTGGCGACCTTCTGGAAGAAGTTGCCGAAGATGGAAGCGCGCTTGGCCTTCTTCTCCTCCTTCTTCTCGTTCTTCTTCTCTTCCTTGGTCTCCTCCTTGGGGGCCTCGGTCTCAGCAGGGGTCTCAGCAGCGGGCTCGGCAGCCTTGACCTCCTCGGTGGCCTCGGCGGGAGCAGCAGCGACGACAGGGGCGGCCTCAGTGGTCTCGGTAGCAGCAGGAGTAGCCTCGACGGTGGTCTCGGTGGTGGGCTCAGTGGCCTTGGCCTCCTCGGCGGCGGGAGTCTCCTCCTTGGCCTCGGTCTTCTCCTCCTTCTTCTCCTCGGCGTCCTTCTTGCCCATGAGAGCACCGAAGATGCTGGTGCGCTTGCGGGACTGGGAGCGGCTCTTGGCAGCGGCCTTCTCCTCCTTCTTCTCCTCCTTGGCCTCCTCCTTGGGGGCTTCGGTGGCCTCGGCGGGGGTCTCTTCCTTCTTCTCCTCGGCCTTCTTGGCGGGAGCAGCGGTGGCGGCGGGCTTGGTGAGCTTCTCGAGCTCAGCCTTGTAGCCCTCGCTGGAGACAATGGACTCCTTCTCGGCCTTGGCCTCGGTGGCCTTGGACTCGAGAGCGGCAACCCAGCTGTCACGCTCGGCAGCGGTGGAGGCCTGGAAAGTGTGCTTCTGGCCAGCAACCTTGAAGAGGAACTCGTTGGGGCCCTCCTTGGTCACATCAGAAACTTCGGCCTAGCGGTGAGTTAGTACAATATCTCTGCAGTCCATTTACTGAACTACTCACCAGGTTGAAGATGCCAGCGGGGGTGGCCTTGTCCTCGGCGCGCTTGGTGAAGAAAAGCAGACCCTTGCCGGTCTGGCTGGCCCAGGCGGCGATGGGGTTGGCAACGCTGGACTTCTCGTTCTGGTGGAAGACGGAGAGCTGCTTGCTCTCAACAGCTTCCTCGTTGAAGTAGAAGAAGCGCTTGGCGAAACGGAAACCCCTACTTTCGGTCAGATCTCTCTTCCATCCAATCTTGATGATGCGCCACTTACTTGACCAGGCCGGGGGCCTTGTATCCCAGAGTTCCCTCAGTGGCGGGCTTAACCTCCTCCTTGGTGGGCTCAGCAGCCTCGGTGTTCTCAACGGCGGGGGTTGCAGTGGTCTCCTCGGCGGCCTCAGTCTCCTTGGGAGCCTCAGTGGCCTCGGTGGCGGGGGTCTCCACGACGGGCTCGGTGGCCGGGACGACCGCGGGGGTCTCCTCAACAGTCTTCTGGACGTCAGACATGATTAATGGTATTAAAGGTGAATATTAGTGAAGCTGCGCTTCGTAGGAAAAGAAACTTGGGGTATCTCGAAAGGAAAAGCAAAAGAAATAAGAGCACTAAGCTCGGGTATCACGAAGTAGGGGTATTTTGCTTTGTGGGAGAAGGAATGGAAGGAGAGAAAAGGGGGGGAGGGGGGAAGAAAAAAGAGTCAGAGAGGGCGCTTGTTGATGGGCGCGTTGCTCCCAAAGAGGCAAGGACCTGCAGGGAGCCCAGAGCTGTGTGGATCTAACGCTCAGGGGTTATTTTTTTTTTATTTTACTGTTATTATTTTGTTATTTTCATTCGATTCCTGTTTTTACTATTACTATTTCTCTACTATACTCCTATACTCCTATCTTGTTTGAGGTTGAGTATGCCTTCCAAGGTTCTGTATAGTACTCTGGATACTGTATAGTAGCACCCAGAGTAGCACAACATCACCTGGCCTCCATTTTGCCTTTTGTTTTTAGTGAAACATCAATCTAGCAAGACCAAGTTCTTTGTCTAGCTCGGCGCTAGGCGTGATCTGACTCCATTTCGGTTATCCATTTATCATGCGAAAAATCTCTGCAAATGGGCATCACACCATCTACAATTAAGGGCCGTTTTAACACGTTTCAAGCCATTTCTGTTAGTCCATCTGCACGACAGAGAATGTGATGCATCGTCATGGCGGGGTCTAGTCATCCGACCTGGTACGAAGTACATACTTCGTATCCAACTCACTCGTACTCCGAGTATGTTTTAAAGTACTCCTCTGTACTGGGCAGAAAGTATAGAGTACTTGTACTCTGGTACTCCCGTAAAGTTACACCAGTTGACTTTCTTTGGCTGAGTAGTCCATATTCCAAGGTTGATACGTATGGACTTGGTGTCCAGATGTATGTACATGTACAGTATACTAGTACTTACATCCCTCGAAGGGGTATCCCATCCCTGTGTATGTACTTTGTGATCAGCCCAGGATAACCTCGTTGCGCTTCCAATGCTTTAGGTTCTGCAGAATGGTTGGCTCTGGCATCAGAATCTCATGACCCGATATCAACTCTATGAGTGGCGTGAGCAACCCTCCACCAACCAGCAGTCATGCAGCCCCTCCATCTCGATTTTGGTATCGGCGCGTCAGATCCTTTCTTTTCTTTCGTTTCGTGCTTTTCTTTCTTTTGCCGTTATCGCCAGGATCCCATGATGTTTCGTCTCTGCCCAATCCCAGGCACGTTGGGTACGGCGCTTGCCTCTTTACGTGATGGACGCATCATTCATGCGATCCTCAAGGTTCCCACGAGTCCTGTATTCCGTACGACCTAACAGTATTCTCTTCTGTGGATCAAAGAACATTCCTTATTCAGAGAGCTCCGTACACAAGCTCGTATCCACAAGGCTCAAATTGCCCCTAATTAACCCCTATACATGCTTAGGTTCGAACTAATAAATCAGGGACAATAGTCCCCACTAGACCACGAACACGATTCCGTGTCTCATCGAATAGGGGTCGAACAAAGAGCTTCGACAACAATCTGACACCGTTTGAGATAAATCCACGGTTCGTTGCAGGCTATCTACTATACACGAAACATGCAATAATGAGAACGGCGGTAGAGAGTCGGTGAGCCTAAGCAAGCCACTATCGAGCACCGAGAAATGAGTGCAAATTCACGAAGATTTGGATCTGCATGTATACTCCTCCGTTGATCACCATGAGGCCCCGACACCGGCTGCCAGAATGTGACCATCGGAGCATTTCCAGTAATGATAGCCAATACAGACGGGCCACTGCTCGGGAGTCCTTAACACCCTATCAGAGGCCCCTTTTCCACCCGTTAGGGCGACCATTGACAAACCCTGCCGTGGTCCTTTTTTGCGCTGGTCTCGGCCTGGGTTCCGCTGCCCGCTGTGAATGGCTCTTGGCCGACGCTCGACGATCTTGGGCGGTTGATCCTTCTCCCTCCATGCCGTCGTTGACACCATGCATGGCACCTGCATAGCGGGAGACCTTCTGTTTCGCAGGTCGCAGGGTACTCCGTGGTACGCCGTTCCTTCGACAGGATGACCGGCGTATGTGTACAGTAAGTACTATACAGTACTAGTAAGGAGTACTGTACTGATCCTGGGCCTTACTACCCAAATCTCAGTCGGATGGCTTCTCCGCTAAGAAAAGTTAACACGAAGTGTTTCGCTTTGCGGGCGAATAGACCCGAACAGCCCCTTGCCAGGTTTATCGTGCCAAGAGCCATGCGGTGTACACAGAGGGCGGATTTCCCGTCCACCTAAGCTTCCGACCCTTAGCGTCTACTAGATCGAGCTTTGGTCACAGACGTAACCATGGACCATTTTGATGAGGATGAGCAGTTGAATATCGTACAGTAGATGAACGGGACAAGTGTCCTCTCCTTTGTACTGTATAGACTGTCCTACTCATGGTGTACTAACCCGGACAACATCCGAATCAAGCTCAGATTCAAAGGTTTTGCAGGAACCACAATACAAAGTTGTGGAATAGGGGAGGCTCCACACAAGCTCGGGTATGGAGCCTGGTAAACAAGGAGGTTCAATTATTGGTCTGTGTGCGATAGAGCCCATTCTGTATACAGCCAGAGTATGGATTCGAGCAGCCCTGGAGATGCAAGGTACGGACTTTGCACTGTAATGTGCCCAGTGTGCCCAGGTGCAGGTACAAGCAGTGGACGGCGTAAAGGACACATCGCCTGGCACCTGATACTTGCAGTCCTGAGGCCTGAGGCCTCGATGCTTCCAAAACTCGACCAATCAGAAGCTCGAACCAAACCTCGCTTAGCACTAGCGTCATTTTCCAACCGCATAAATACTGCCTCCTCCCCCCAGACTTCCTCTTCTTTTCTTTCTTCTTCATACTTACCTTGTTTGGGTGTCCGCGATCAAAAAGGCGGTTCACCACAGATTCGTCCCTGCATTGCACAGCGCGGCGGAACAGTTTGTTCAACGGCCTTCGGGTCATTGACAGGCGTATTCTTTGGCACCCTCCATTCGTGGAATCCTTTTCATCAATCCTTGAGCCATCGGCTCGAGCTTGGAGAAGGGGTTATTTTGTACCTTGTAGTCTCTGTAGCAGTCTTTGTCCCTGTCAGGGATGTCCACCAAGCTCCGAGGTCTCGTATGCTCTCACTTGGGCTTCACTTCACCTTGAGCTGCCACTGTACACCAACATCAAGCTCCACCCATGCCTCCAGTCTAGCTCTCAGAATACATTCACTGCGGTCACCTACGCACATGTAGTACATGTAACCTTTTATCCCCTGCGTACGAGTATCCCGTAGTTCGTAGCGGGTCTCCCGATCTGATATGACGTTGACCCAGACTTTGCCACAACTGTGGCGACAAGCTCCCAGCTCCCAGCTCCAACCCCCAATACTCACGATCATCCACTAGCACACTCTACAGAGTCTACTCCTCACAGCCTGCATCACATCTGCCCAGGCCATCTGCATATCAGACACCAACCTCACCCCAGCCTCGCACTCGCGATACCAAACCCACACCATGCCCGTCCCTACAGCCGACCTTTTTGACAAGCAACAAGACAACCAAACCAATGGCACCGGCCCCTCCAATCCAACCGTGTCCACCACAGAGTCAAGCAGTCAACCTACCAATGACAGCTACTTCAGTGCTGGGTCGGGTAGCTCGACACAAAATGCCGAGGCCAGTCGCGCTTTGACGAGGGAAGAGGCCGATCGCCTGTACGAAGAGCGCATGGAGGAAGAGTATGCAAAGAGGGATGGTGGGGCTTGAATATCGATCAGTATGGCGATCATCGTTGATGTCTTACGTTGAGATGCGGTTTCTATCATTCTTCACTTGTTTTCTCTGCTCTCGGCAGGGGTTTGCGACTCTCCAATCAATGCCAAGGTCCATGTTCATATACAGCTCGCTGTAGAATCTATTCTTCGTAGAAGGCATCTTGGTCAGCCCGGAACTCCCATGTTGGCTCGATTGGGTTGCGCGTCTCTACCTAGGTATTGTATACCAAACCTTCAAATCAATAGATGTCTGGGTAAATTACTTGGTAACGGGGTGTCTGGGCACTCAAATGAAAAACTTGGTCGCAATAGCAGCAGTAGTCTATGCAAAAGTACCTTGTGTTGATATAGTTTCGCACCGCTTGTTGTGCTGGGTAACGGATCGGGTTGAGGATATATAACACTTGGAGAACCAGTACACCATGTTACCTCCCGAGTCTTTCCCGAGGTCTTCAGGAAGCACATGATCCAGTTATTATACTAGGTATTACTCACTCTCATATACTATGAGCTGGTCTGGCAGATATTCACCGAGACTATTGCGTTTCCTGAAACAAGGCCTCGTAGCAGCATGTATGCGACTGCCAAGAAATCACGTGTCAGTGGCTGATGCGGCCAACCTGGAACTCAGCCAAGTGAACTCGAGAGCAAAGGAGCGTCGGTATCCAGCAGAACCCCGACTCTGCGTCCCTCTTTGAGTCATTATTTGACAGTCACTCTTTCCGCATATTGTTACCCGTCTACGTCCATCGGTAGCCTTGCACCATGGCTCCGCAAGACACCTTCTTCCGCTCGTCGGACATGAGCTTGACCCAGCTCTACATCGCCAACGAGATCGGAAGAGAGGTCGTCAGTGCACTGGGTGAAGTTGGCCAGGTTCAGTTCCGAGATGTAAGTGGCGCACAGCGCACAGGGCTTGATGAGAACTCGCTGACTTGAGTAGTTGAACCCGGACACGAATGCTTTCCAACGGACCTTTACCAAGGAAATCCGTCGCCTGGACAACGTCGAGAGACAGCTTCGCTACTTCCACGAGCAGATCGAAAAAGCCAACATCCCTCTGCGGTCCTCGCACGAGTTTTCTGATACTCTGGCTGCCCCCTTGGCGTCGGAGATCGATGAGCTGTCCGATCGCAGCGAGAGCCTCGAACAGCGCATCGCCTCATTGAACGAGAGCTATGAGACACTGCAGGAACGTGAGGTCGAGTTGACCGAATGGCGATGGGTGCTTAGAGAAGCTGGTGGATTCTTCGACCGGGTGAGTGGACATGACTGAATCCATTCGCAACTAAGCTAACTGAGCAGGCTCACACCCAAACCGAGGACATCCGCCAATCCTTCGACAACGATGAAGCTCCTCTGCTTCGTGATGTGGAACACCACGCCCCCCGCCAGAACGGAGACACCCAGGCCCAGAGCTTCTCAGAGATGAACATTGGTTTTGTTGCGGGTGTCATCCCCCGGGAGAAGATCGGAACCCTCGAGCGTGTGCTCTGGCGCACTCTGCGTGGTAACCTGTACATGAACCAGTCTGAGATCCCGGAGCCCATCATCGACCCATCGACCAACGAGCCGGTCTACAAGAATGTTTTCGTCATCTTCGCCCACGGCAAGAACATCCTCACCAAGATCCGCAAGCTGTCCGAGGGTCTCCAGGCTTCGTTGTACGGTGTCGATGAGAACAGCGAGCTGCGAAGAGACCAGATCCACGAAGTGAACACCCGCCTCGGCGACGTTGGCAGCGTGCTGCGCAACACCAAGAGCACACTCGATGCGGAGCTTTCGCAGATCGCTCGCTCCCTGGCTGCGTGGATGATTATCGTCAAGAAGGAAAAGGCCGTGTACGCCACGCTGAACAAGTTCTCCTACGACCAAGCGCGGAAGACGCTGATCGCGGAAGCTTGGTGTCCGACCAACTCGCTGGCTCTGATCAAGTCGACCTTGCAGGATGTGAACGACCGTGCTGGTCTGACTGTTCCCACTATCGTCAACCAGATTCGCACCAACAAGACCCCTCCGACTTACGTGCGGACCAACAAGTTCACCGAGGCTTTCCAGACCATCGTCGATGCCTACGGTATTGCCAAGTACTCCGAAGTCAACCCTGGTCTGTACACGGTGGTCACCTTCCCGTTCCTGTTCGCGGTCATGTTCGGTGACTGCGGTCACGGTTTCCTCATGACGATGGCTGCTTCTGCCATGATCTTCTGGGAGAAGAAGCTTCACCGGACCAAGCTGGACGAGCTGACATACATGGCATTCTACGGACGATACATCATGCTGATGATGGGTCTGTTTTCGATCTACACTGGTTTCATCTACAACGATATCTTCTCCAAATCCTTCACTATCTTCCCCAGTCAGTGGCAATGGCCCGCTGACATCAAGGCTGGCCAGATGGTTGAAGCGACCTTGAAGGAGGGCTACCGCTTCCCCTTCGGTCTGGACTGGAACTGGCACGAGGCCGACAACTCTCTGCTCTTCTCCAACAGTATGAAGATGAAGATGAGTGTCCTTCTTGGATGGAGCCACATGACCTACGCCCTTTGCTTGCAGTATGTCAATGGACGCCACTTCAAGTCCAAGGTTGACATCTGGGGTAACTTCGTTCCCGGAATGCTGTTCTTCCAGTCTATCTTTGGTTACCTCGTCCTCACCATTCTCTACAAGTGGTCCGTGAACTGGCAGGAGGTGGGAGTCAACCCTCCCAACCTCCTCAACATGCTTATCTTCATGTTCCTGAGCCCTGGTTCCGTCTCCGCCGAGGAACAACTGTACCCCGGCCAGGGCACCGTCCAGGTCATCCTGCTTCTCATCGCAGTGGCCCAGGTGCCCGTGATGCTGTTCCTGAAGCCCTTCTGGCTGCGCCACGAGCACAACAAGGCCCGATCCCTGGGCTACCGTGGCCTCGGTGAGCACTCCCGTGTCAGCGCTCTGGACGAGGATGGTGATGAAACCGCGCTTCTGGACGGTCGCACCAGCGACGAGGGTGTGGCCATGCTCGCCCAGGACATGGGCGATGGCGAAGAGCACGAGGAGTTCGACTTTGGCGACATCATGATCCACCAGGTCATCCACACCATTGAATTCTGTCTCAACTGTATCTCCCACACGGCCTCGTACCTCCGTCTCTGGGCTCTGTCGCTTGCCCACCAGCAGCTCTCCATCGTTCTCTGGACCATGACCATTGGCAGTGCCTTTGAGCAGGAATCCCCCGTGACGCGTGTGATCATGATCGTGGTCAGCTTCTACCTCTGGTTTGTGCTGACGATCTGTATTCTCTGTGTGATGGAGGGCACCAGTGCCATGTTGCACTCCCTCCGTCTTCACTGGGTTGAGGCTATGAGCAAGCACTTTGTCGGTGAGGGAATTCCCTTTATGCCGTTCAGCTTCAAGACCCTCCTGGAGGAGGACCCTGTTGACTAGTCGTTTCTTTTCTTTTGTCGACATTGTACTGTAAAGGGTTTAGATTATACATTATCTACCAATTGAGTCCCACCGGTAGATCAGGATCCACCTATATTTATAGACCGGACTATGTGTGCTCCCAATCACCCCTGCTCCGTATCCTTAATGCCTCACCCCTGACTGAACTTTTCATGTCCGCATGACTGTCGGGTGGGGTTCAGGGAATTGATTTCTCCGCCGATCCCGAGGCCGAGGATATACAGATCGGATCTAGACCCTGATCAGTCCGCCTTCACAGCTCTGGAGTTGAAGTGGTCAAGACCCGAGATCAATGGACCATGAGCTAACCAGCAGAACAAGATTGGTCAATTGCAGATCAAGAACCAGCACAAAACAAGAAACATAACAAGAAAACAAGAAGAAGAAGAAGAGCAACGGTTGGCGGGCGAAGTCGGGGGGAAAATCGGAGCGGGTCACGCGGGGCAGGTATGACGAAAACCCCCAGTCACTACTTCTACCGGTTTACTCCTCTGACGTTCAAATACTGCCCTTTACTCTACTTCTTTTTCTACTTCCACTTCTTCCTCTTCTGCCTCTACTGCCTCTACTACTATCTCTCCCTCTCCCTCTCCTCCTCCTTAATACCACACATAATGTCTTCATCTGCCCCTCCCGTCGGTGCGGAGAACATCAACACGGATATCGTGACCCTCTCCCGCTTCTTCACTGAAGAGCAGATCAAATACCCCGAAGCCTCGGGAGACTTCACCCTGCTCTGCCATGCTCTCCAATTCTCCTTCAAGTCAATTGCCTACTACATCCGTCGGGCCTCCCTCATCAACCTCACCGGTCTAGCCGGTTCCTCCAACACAACCGGCGACGACCAAAAAAAGCTCGATGTGATCGGTAACGACATCTTCATCTCCGCCATGCGCGGCTCCGGCAAGTGTCGAATCGTCGTCTCCGAAGAAGAAGAGGAAGTCATCAAGTTCGACGAGCACCCCAACGCCCGCTATGCCGTCGTCTGCGACCCCATCGACGGCTCCTCCAACCTCGACGCCGGTGTCTCCGTCGGCACCATCTTCGGTATCTTCCAGCTCCCCGACGAAGTCCTCGGCCCCAACAAGTCCGTCGGCCCTGAAGACCTCCTTCACCCGGGTACCAGCCTCGTCGCCTCCGGCTTCACCATGTACGGTGCCTCCGCCCAGCTCGTCATCACCATGCGCGGTGGCGGCGTCAATGGCTTCACCCTCGAGAACTCTCTCGGTGAATTCATCCTCACACACCCCAACATGCAGATGCCCCCAACTCGCTCCATCTACTCTGTCAACGAGGGTAACAGCAAGTACTGGGACGAGTGGTGCAACGCCTACTTCCACAGCCTCAAGTACCCCGAGGATGGCGGCAAGCCCTACTCTGCTCGTTACATCGGTTCCATGGTCGCTGATGCTTACCGTACCTTGCTGTACGGTGGTGTCTTTGCTTACCCCGCCGACTCGAAGAGTCCCAAGGGTAAGCTGCGTATTCTGTACGAGTGTGCGCCCATGGCCATGTTGTTCGAGAATGCTGGCGGTCTTGCTGTCAACTCTCGGATGGAGCGTTTGATGGAGGTGGTTCCTGAGCACATTCACGATAAGAGTGGTGTCTTCCTCGGTTCCAAGGATGAGGTCCAGAAGATCATTGATATGTACAACAAGTACCACAAATAAGCTAGTCGCCAAGGCGAAAATATATGATACCATTTAGTCACGACCAATTTTTTTCTATGTATCTAGGTATACTTCAAGGTTGCGCAGTAGATGGCCGCTTAGGGCTAAACTTGGAATTTCTTGTGTCACCAAGCCTATTTTCACTTCAACTCGTGTCACAATTTCCGATTTTCCAACCTTGGAATACACGCTTGGATATTTCAAGTAATAAACTGGTCTATTCCAAGGTGTAGGATCCCCACTTCCAAGATTGGGCAGTGAACAACAAGATAGGGTAGCAAGATATATCTGACTCGGCGCGTGGGGCGGTATGATATAATGCGAAAACGCCCATGCAATGCAGATCCGTAGATAGTCAATGAGGTCGTAAGTACCTGGTACAGACCTAGGTATGTTGCAGACAGTCGTAGATACCCAGTAATTCATTCCAACGTTCAGGCGCAATCCCGAGTTGGCATTCGAAGGGGGGACGTTGAAACATGCTAGCGCTAAGGAATCTCTACCACAGGAAAACCGACATACCACACCCTTCACTTGGGGAGAAAATGCTGAATCGACAATCAATTCCGATATCTACTACGAATGACCTATCTCACTAAGGCACCGCCCGATCTGGCCCCATCCCTTGCGCCGTATTCTTGATAGTATGCAAGAACATAGACGGGAAGCAATGACGACCGAAACGGTCCTCGGAAAGCTAAATCACATTAGCCGCGATCACCAGCATCGTCAAAGGAAACTAACCGTTTTCCCACCATCATGCTCCGCAGTCCGGAATCCCAACCACCGTCGATACAGGTTCTCCGCACTGTGTGTCGTAAACATGTACGAAAGACGGTACGTGATGTGGTCGAGGATATGGTCGAAATTCCAAATACTATCCGGACCTCCGTTGATATTCTCCGGCGGGCCGGGGTTATAGATGCGCGCCAGCTCCTGAGGCGTCCATTGACCATCCGCGTAAATGGGGTGAGGGACGAAAACGGCCTTGAGGCTATGGAAGAGCGCCCACGATGCACCTGTCATTTCGGACGCGAGACCTAATCCCTTCGTGGCTTGGGCATGGTGGATCAGATCTAGTAGACGCTTGGAGTATCGACCCATTGTGATGACTGCCGCGCGCCGTGGTGTGTTCTCGCCATACTTGAAGTTCCAGATCTTGTCCGGGAATGTCCAGGATGTGTCTTTTGGGTTGAAGATCGGGAGGAAGGTTAGGAAGTCGGCTTCTTCGCCTACGCCCCAGGTGTAGTTGTCTTTGTCTGGATGCGATACTGGAGGGTCGGGACCTAGAGGCCGGATACCGGTGCCGATCACTGGTCCCCAGATTGTGTCGTCGGAGCGGTCGGCTAGGCTTTCGTGTACCATTTGTGTGAATTGACTCCAGTTGCCGTGGGCGCCTGGCGTGTAGAAGTACGCGTTCCGCTCCCAGAGGTATTTCCGCGGTTGTTCTCTTGCGAATGATATCGCGCGGTCCATGAAGTGATAGCTGTGGCCTGTGTGTCGGCCGTCCATTTCAAGCTGCCAGTAGTAGTCGAAGTGCGGATACAGCTGGGAGAAGATCTGCAGTGGCTGGTGGTGTTGCAGCTGGGGAGTGTGCTCTTCGATCTTGGGATACCACGCCTCCAAGAGTTTATTGTTGAAGAACAGTGCCATATTACGGAATTCCTCTGGGATCGAATCTCTCAAGCGTTGAATGGTCTTGCTGTCCGAGAAGATCGGCATCTCGTTGTCCTTGACGTGAATCAGGACATAGATCTGATACTCGCCTCCGGAATGCAGTGAGAGCTCCATGATCAACGCCCGCAGGTACTCGCGATGATGTGATTTCCAATTGAGGCCGTTCCATGCTCGAATCAGAACCACCGAGCGAGGATGGAACCGCTTCACACCTACCTCCAGCGGCTCCCACTGCTTGCGAGGAACCTCCGGAAGATCGAAAGCCAGTGGGTTATGCTTGCTCGAGTTGACTGTAGCGATGGACTCGTACCTATCAGCATTCTTCTCCAGACAAAGATACTGCAGCCGGTTCCAATCGACCTCGTGCCATGGCACTTGCGGCGGGCGTGTAAAACCGGGTACTTCGTCCTCGCTATCACCATCGAACCCATATGCCCCGAAGCGCGAGTACCGATCAGCACAGACAGCGCCATCTAAGCCGATAGCCTCGTGGGATCCGAATCGAGGCTCTGGGAACCCGGCCTGCTGGCCCTTGTAGACTTGCATCATATCTTCCATCGATTTGCGATTCAGATCACGACCCCGCGGACCCAGGCACGTCTTGAAACTGCCGTGGAATTGCTTCCTCCATGCGCGGCTGTTGTAGTCTGGATATGGATCGTAGATGAAAGGCATTGGGTGGGAAGCGTTGACCGATGTGATGCTGGTTAGGGTTGAAGTGCCGCCCAGAAAGAACCGCTGATCTCTAACTGACTTCAGTATGTATACCTCTCATAGCTCTTTAGATCTTACCTGCGATCATGAGCCATTCCCATCCCCACTAGGTCCGCCGAGTCTCCATCAACCACCTCTTCCAGAGATGGCATTACCACATGCTGATACTGCCCGGGACGCAGAATCCGAGGACTTCGAAAACAGTTCTGGATTATCTGCTTGAGACTCAGTTCGGGGTGATTGGACAGGAAGACATAAGTCTGGATGATGAGGATGATGCAGGCGAGGTAGCCACAGCGGCGCAGCCAGGTGCCTCGGCGACTGCCCAAAGAGATTGATCTGGGATGGAACTTGGGAGCCATTTCATAGACTCTCCCAGAGGGGGCTGTTCAGTTTCATGCTTTTGAAGGTGCACAGGAAAAGAGCAACGAGAGCAAAGAGAAGAGATGGGAAGTTGCCGTCATCACTACGCGGTGTTGACATGAGATTTGCTACCGATGATGTAGCACTGCCCTTCGTCGCATTCACACCCTCGTTATCATATATCTAATATGGACTCATTTGCATGCTTTCTAGGTCTCAATTGCTTTCCGCTATGTGCCATTCTACATCAGCGCATCTCCCATCGCTAGAAGATCTTAGTGGCAATAGGTTACAACAGAACAATCCATAAGAGAACCCAGAGAACTATGAGTGAGCAAATGGCATCTCGAAGGTGAGGCTATAGCTGGGCAAGTCCTCTGGATAATGCAAAGCCCGAGCATAGAGGTAATATGCGTATTGTATCGAAATCCAGGGAGGATTACTAGCCCTGTTCCAAGCCCATGAAAGGTAAAAAAGAGCCAAAAAGCCTTGAAAGTCTCAAAGTACGCGATAGAGGCCTGATAAAACATTTCCGAGGCCCAGGAATCCTTTGTGCTATAATTTGCAGCTCTCTAGGCCGAGCTTCTTCTTGACTTATTTGAATAGTGGTATCTGACTCACTACTTGAAATATCGTATAAAAATATGAAGAAAAGCAGCTAATGATAATTGCTCAAATCGCAATTATGCCGAGAAAAATACAAGGTCAAGGCAGTGCTGCACCATGATCCACCAGTATTTGGATCACATCTGAATGACCATTAGATGTCGCTGCTTGGAGTGCATTGCCATAATGGCCCCCTTGTGCGTTGGGGTCCGCTCCTTGATCTAACAGCATTCGAACCACGTCTGCATAACCATTGACTGAAGCTGCTTGGAGTGCATTGCCATAATAACCCCCTTGTGCGTTAAGGTCAGCACCATTATCTATCATGAATCTGGCCATGCTTCCATGGCCATTGACTGTAGCTGCTTGGAGTGCATTGCCATAGTGACCTCCTTGTGCGTTAAGGTCAGCACCGTTATCTATCATCACTCTGGTTATCCATGCATGACCATTGAAGGAGGCTGCTTGAAGTGCATTGCCATAATGCCCCCCTTGTGCGTTGAGATCAGCACCATGATGTAACAGCATTATGACCACGTCTGCATAGTCATTGCATGATGCTCTTTGAAGTAATTCGAAATCGCCCTTCAGAATGCCTTCTTTGAGGAGTGTGATCACTTCGACAACCGCCGGAAGCCGCCTTTCCACTGCAGATGTGAGACAGCGATAATGGAACTGAGGGTAATCCAATGCGGGCTTCAAACCCAGGTGTCCGAATTTCGGGAGAGTCTTCAACCAGTGTCCTAATAGAGATAGGGAAGCATGGTTGTCTCTCAACAATTGAAACAGCAAGGATATTTCGGTTGAAACGGTCGAGGCACATACAAACCGTAAATATGAGAGCGAATATCGCAGTATGTAAGAGAGGAGCGGGAATCCAGCGAGCCATTCCACCAACTCGTCGTAATCCTGGTTGTCCCAGCTTGTGATAGCTTTAGACTGTGGCTGACAGGCAATAAGGCAGAGATAGCGAATGCAGCATGAGGAGATTTCCGCATCGCCTCTTTCCTGGGTGACGTGGAAAGGAGGTCCAGCTCCGCCTGGTAATAGCAGATATTCACGAACGCTTAGATGTAGCAGCTGGACAAATCCTTCTCTGATTTCAATCAAGGGCCCACAGCATGCGTTGATGCGAGATTGGATATCGGATACACGTGTGCGTCTCAGGAATCCAGGGCTTGGGTCGAATGTACCTGGAGAAGATGGAATTGCCACCGCATCTTGAAACTCCTCCAACTTTAGGGGTCTTTCTGCAAAGACTACCCAAGCGAGCATCTTGGCACCTTTCTCAAGGAGTCCAGGTAAACCTCGATTGGTTTTGCTTTTGTCAACCAGCCGCTGTATGATGAGGGAATAGAATTCCCCAAGGTCGATGGGAAGCCTTCGAAGGCATGTTTCCAGTTCCTCCTGACTGGGCCCTGTTAATGCAAGTTCATTTAACTCCCTGAAGACAAGCGCAACCCAAAGAAAGACCCCTTCTGCATGTTTTGTCATATAGTCCAGAGCAAACTGGAAGTCAATGGTGCTCAAGCCGGGCTGTCTTTTTACCTCTCGCAAACCCGATTGAATGAGATTTTGAATGTCCTTGCAGTTTTTCTGCTCCAAAACAATACTATCCCATTTAGTATGATCAATCTCCCCGACAGGCAGTGGCCTGCTTGCAACCAGACACTTGAAGGTACGATCGGACTTGGAAGAGCAAATCTCCTCCAGCAGGCATAATCTCTCGGGTCTTCCACGATCGCTGGACTCATCCATGGCATCAACTAGAATGTAGATCCTGGATTCCGCAGGTGAAGATTGAAGGGATGGTAGACTGGAGAAAATGTCCTTCAATTCCTGATGCGGCCATTCGAAGTTGGACTTAGCTCTTAGTCTCCTATAAGCGGATTGAAAGAGAAGAAAGAGGCTAGCGTCTTGATTGAGAAGTTGGAAAAGCAAAGATTGGAGCATCAGCGTGTGATTCGTCTCTTTCGTGCCTCCTCTCAAGGAGTAGAAAAAGTCCGCGATGAGAACCCTCGGCGGGTTGTAGGGGTCAAGTTCACCGTGTTGAGACATTTGATGCTCCAGTTTCTTCATCTCGAGTATGTGTTTAGCTAACGTAGACTTGCCACTGCCAGGCTTGCCACGAATCAAAAGTAAGGAGGAGTGTGGACTTTTCTCCCAATTCTGGAATGCTTCATCATCTGCGAGCCATTTGCCGGTGCCGGCGATGGCTTGCTCCACTCGATCTCTCCGAGCACTGAGCTCATCAAATCTCAAAGATCGTAGACACTCTGGCATTCAACGATAAGCAATTGCTAAATTGAGGCGGTGCATGAGCTTACCTTGGCGCTCTTTATCTCTCTGGATGTTTGGGAGACCTTGGAGTTGGCTCGCTATATCAGGAAATGCCTTCGATGTCAGTAGGATCTTGAAATCAATTGCCTCCTCAGCAAGCATGTCCTGGTGCAAATGATACAGTTGATCAAGGAACAATCGACGTGTCTCCTGGTCTGCAATTTCATCAACCCCATCGACGATGATGATTACCTGGTGAATGGGCAAAGCGACTATGGACTTAAAGAGGATTCTCCACAAGACATGAAGGTGTGGCTCAGAAGCGGATGGAGTGTCAGTGCGACTAAGTATCTCTTGCAGCTGAGGATGACAAGTCACTTGTTCGCAGCGTTCTTTATTTCCGTCCAAAAGTTGCACAATCAGAGTGCTGAGAATCCGTGCAACCTGGAAGGAAGCCGTTTGAGCGAAGTTACCGACAGGCGAGCGGCAAATGGAAAATGCGATGTCCCTGTGACCATTGTAGGGGCGAGTCTGCTCGAGATGAGCCCAAAGACAGAATGCTAGTGCCGTTTTCCCATCCCCGGGTTTTCCTGACAGCCAAAGGATTTCAGAATTTCTTCCAATCCATTGATCATATTCTGGGCTTTCAAAAAACCAACCAAAGCCATTGCGCGTAGCAGTGTAGTTGTGCCTTTCAGGATCTATGACCAGCGTACCAAGGGCCGAAATGTACTCAGAGATGGAATTTCTTGCTGTCGATGATTAGATCAAACACAACATGTATTGACTCTACCTACAATCGTTGGCCAGTTGAACAATGACACGAGAAAATGTTCTGTAATCCTGCGTTCGACCTGCGAATTTGCACATGGTGGAATGATTGCCATTGAGGGGATACACCTCCTCATTAGGCACATACAGCCTCGCCGAATTCTCGGTAACGATCTGTGGTATGGTGTCAGGGAATTCAACTTGGGCAACAATGGACAATTTACTTACTACACTGTTGAGAAATTTCATCTTTTCGGTTTCGACAAATGTGCGAATTGGAACATCTGCCCCCAGAAATGTGAAAGAGTTTGAAATATCCCCAAGTTTGCGCGAATCTTTCTTTAACTCTTTGAGTAGAGCCGAGTTCGTGCTTGCTCCCAGGGAGGCAGCCTTCAACATGTCGGCGCACATTGCACCGTAGGTAGCAGAATCTGAGCCTTGGTGTGGGGTTCCCATGAATATGATTCCTTTGAGACTATTGAGCAAGGCCAAGCAGTCCGGTTGGTGATTTCGTCGTTGATCTGCAAATTCGAGTGCCTTGCGGATCAATTAGCTGGATATCTACTGGGGTGTCAGAATCAATGGCAATTTTACCTGTTTGACAACAATACCACCAAGACTGTGAGACACAAAGATAACAGGACGAAATTTTTGGCTTTTCGATGCGCGTTCACGTCTGATGAGCGAAAGGAGTTGCTCAGCAAACGTGCTAATATCAGCAACCGATTTGCTCAGTGCGACTGCAGAGTTGTACCCAAAGGACAAGATCCTGGCATTGGGAATATCAGATGGTAAGAGATCTTTGAGCCAAACGCAGGGGTTCTCGCCATCAGAAGCCCAGGTTTGCTCGTAGTGACCTCCAAGCCCATGAACCGCGATAATATCGACGCAGCATTCAGAGTTCTCTGCTTGGAATTCGAACAATCCATACTTCTCTGGGGTGATCGACTTCTTGGATTTACCGAAGAACTTGCGCATGGTCTACTTGGTGTTCCGGGCTGTGGAGCCGGCGCCTAATAGGGGGTCTGATTCTTACCGACGTCAACTTGTTGATATATGAACTCGAAAAGGATTTCTTGGAAACACAATGGACGGTCCCTACTGAACTTGAGATAAAGTTCTTGATCAGGCATATGAGAATCAAATTCCTAATGGGCCAGCGACGTTTAAAGCGGGGTGATGAGATGGGGCTGAGCATCTGCACAGCGTTGCAGCCCATCACATCGACCAACGAATTGTAGAGCAACACGTCCGGGGCGGTCACGTTATAAGCGCCTTCAAGCGCTGCGAGTGAATGAGATGAGAGAGCCGCACTACTTCTAGACAATACTTACCTAGGTATAGGGTATCGTATGAGTAGCTCTATATGTTCCCCTTTGTTTCTCTCTCTCTCAGCTTATACCAGACTTAAACCAATGCCCTCAGAATCATGCCTCGAAGACTAAGAGCTTGCTGCCTGACACGGCCGATTAGATTGAAGTTATCAATTTGGGGTAAATCAAATCCGAGCATAGACAACCTGAATGTAACTGAGGTCTACTGATAGGGCTGGACAAGTCCACTTAAGATTGGCCGACAGTTGCCGACAGTACCTAGGTAGCAACCTCGAAATTATCTAGGCATGCAGGACGCGAAACAACCATGCTCTGCGTACCCCAAATAATTAATCCGAATATCCAAATAATATACAGCGAATGCCTGAATGAAGTTCACCTGAAGGATTCACATTCCTCGGCAAATCCGTCGAATCAGCGCTTGGCGAAGGCTTGATAGATCGGGAATAGCTTCGTATTGCGCCTTAACGCGATGGCGTGCTTTTTCAATTGCCGTGCTCATCCCAAGGCTATTTATCACGTCTCATGCTGAATTTGACACAATCACACCGTTTCAGCCATGTCCGAAAAAGTCGCCATTGCAGCTGAAAAGGCACTCAGCCCTAAATCGGAGACACAGGAGGTATCTCCGCCGGCACGCCAGAAATGGTACGAATGGTTCGCGCCGACAGATACACCCGCTGAGCGACGATTGATCCTCAAGCTCGATGGGCTGATCATCGTCTTCGTTTTCCTGGCGTACTGGGCGAAAGTGCTAGATTCGTCGGCAACGAGTACCGCCTATGTCAGTGGTATGAAGGAGGATCTGAGCTTGTATGGGAATCAGTTGAACTATTTACAGACAGTCTACATGTAAGGGATCTTTCAGACAAGCGAAAGAAAATAGGAACTCGCGCTGATTCATGGAATACAGGGTTGGCTTCATCACGATGCAGATCCCCTTGACTTTGCTGGTGAGGATCCTCACTACCGATTGAAGCTCCAGTTCTAAAGTATCGCTCTAGATGACCCGTTGTCCGGTGAACTATTTCCTCCCAGCTGCGGATCTACTCTGGGGTGTCTTTACCTTGGCGCAGTACAAAGCCAACAACGTCACCCAGCTCTACGCCCTGCGTTTCTTCGTCGGAGCTCTGGGTGGTTTCTTCTTCCCAGCCGTCCAATGGTACCTAGGCAGCTGGTACAAAAGCTCAGAGCTATCCCGTCGTGGCGCCATTTTCTTCATTGCCAGCCAAGTGGGCAGCATGAGCTCCGGGTATATCCAAGCCGGAGCGTATGCCAGACTAGATGGTCGGTATGGAATTGAAGGCTGGAGATGGCTGTATATCATTTGTGAGTCTCTCCCCTAACACCCTAATAGTTCCATGAACCCAGCTGAGTTTGATAGGCTTCGCTTGCACAATCCCAATCGCACTCTTAGGCCTCTGCCTACTTCCCAGCACGCCGGATACGTGCACTTCGCGATTCCTGAGCGCCGATGAGATTCGTCTCGCGCAGGAGCGCATGGCATCCGAGAACCGCGAGGCCAGACAGCCATTCACCAGAGCCAAAGTCTGGGAGATTCTGAAAAGCTGGCGATTGTGGGTTCTGGTGACTTTTGCTTTCTTCTTCTCGCAGGCCGACGGCGTATCCTCGAATAGTGGTCTATCTCTTTGGCTCAAAGCCGAGGGATACTCAGTTGAAGGGATCAACACCATTACGACGGTGTCGCCGGCTGTCACTATCGTGGCGTCGGTAGTTTGCGCCGTCCTCTCAGATGTCTACGATGCCAAGGCTAGTTTGATTGCTGTGACGGCCCTGCTGAACATCTTTGCATGCGTCGTGCTGGCGATCTGGAATGTTCCTGTAGGACTGAAGTTCTTCGCCTTCTTCCTGTCCGGTACGGCTGATGGGATTGCGGCTATCATATATGCTTGGGCGAATGAGATCTGTTCGCATAGTGCTGAAGAGCGTGCTATTGTGATCAGCGCTATGAATACCATCGGCAATACCTTTGGAGCTTGGATTCCGTTGTTGTAAGTGAGGAGGATCCCCGTATCGCGCATCCGCTAACATTCCCCAGTGTGTGGAAGACCGTCGATGCACCGAGGTATTTGATCGGATACAACTGGACCATCGCGCTCGACGTGTGTATGCTAGTCATGCTGGCGGTTCTTGTTCAATTCTGGGCCCGCGAGAAGAAACGCTCCCTGGCATAGACAGTCTAGTCCTCAAAGACAAGGGCAAATGAAATATGAATCCAGGTAATGTTGAATGCGACACTAAGATCTATTAACAAATCGTGAGAATTAAGCATAAAAAGAAAAACTATCGCTGGGTACATAGCGCACAAGGACCAAAAAGGCCACAAAACTTGGCCTGAACGCAGAAAGTAAACCTATGTATGTAAATGGACCAGACCAAGAGACTGGTAAGTCGTGAGATGGAGTTTCGTGTAACGATCACGTCCAAATAAAGGCGGCCCGTCTCATGAAATCGTTAGGCATAGGCAAGGACATTCTTTCTCTATCCTCGGGCATTATACTTCTCGTTGAAAGCATTAACGGCTGTAAATGTGTTAGCTTAATTCATCCGTTCGAATCATCCAGCACTTACCGACAGCGATCTGCCTGTACAGCCAATTGCGCGAGCTCTCATCCTGGACGGGAATGAAGGGTCCGTTAGCACCACCCTTCAGGGTGATGCTCATTCCAGTGCGCTCTTTGGAGATGGTTTGGATATCCGTGAGACGGATGTCCCATTCGGTGTAGAGCTTCTTCGTGCGCACAAGCATGATGCGAGCGTAGGTCAACAGAACCAGCATGTCACGACCGGGAAGCTCCAGGTGAGCAATGTAGTCCTCGTTGAAATACTTGCCATCATCGGTGGTCTTGAGCCAGAATTGACCGAGGGCTTCGCGCTGTGAATACGGACGCACGATGCCATCGGTGCCAATGAAGCGAGTGAGTCGGACGCGATCAAGGCCCTCGGCATCGAAAACGGTAGTGGTGTTGCGAACACCCTCTGCAAGATCTAAACTCGAATGTCAGTGAAAAGTGCCAAAAGGAAACAAAAGGAAACAAAAATCATAGCCGGACTTACTGGAGGCAAGATCAAATGCTCCAATAGCAGGCTTGGTCGCCAAGCCAAGAACTCCCTTTCCAACACCCTTGAAGAATCCCTGGATACCCTCTTTCTCGGCACCTTGTAGTGGATGGCGTGCTAAGCCACCAATTCCACTCGCCAGACTTGTAGCAAACGCATTGCCACCAGCCGTGATCCCGTAGAGAGCGTGCTTGGGGCGGTTGCGGACCTTCGACATGCGGCGCTGGTTCTGGAACTCTTTGTCAAGGGTTGCAGCAGCGAGACCCTTGGACATACTTCCCGTGAGCTTAGCCATACTGTCAGAGAATCCGAAGACGGATTTCTTGACAAAGCTGGTGGCACCCTTCGCGATACCGATGCCTAGCTCTTGAGGTCGGTCGGTCATGACCAAGCCTTGGTAAGGCTCATAGAAGATAGCAGCGACACCAGAGCTGACATTGTTGAACAAACCGACAGGGTTACCCAAGAAATCAGCTGAACCGAGAATGATGTGGATCTGGCGCAGGAACTCTTGCGTATAGTGGGCACGAATGTTACCAACCAGTCTTGGGAACGAGACACGAGCATTCTCAAGCATCAGCGCGTTGAGACGGACGGGTGCATCGTTGACGTTACCCATGGACATTGTCATGACGTTGACAAAGAACATCAAGGGGTTCGAAGGCTGCATGGCATCCTCCACATTGACGCGCTCAGTGCGCATGAAAGATATATCCATTTGCATTGGCTGGAGGTGGAGAAGCTCGAAATAGACATCCTGTCCGTTGTCCGATTGTTGCGGCTCGGGAATGTTGAGGTCCTCATCGCACAGCTTGCCCTCCTGCTCTTCAGTCCAGGAAGCACCAGGAATCTTGACAAAGTCAAGCATGGCGAAAACGAAATCTTCGTCCAATTCAAGCGTCATCTGCTGTAGAAGCAGAGTTGCGTACTTGATGTAGAGAACACCATACGAGTCATCCTTGACTCGCGTGACCATTGCATGGAAGATCGGGTGAGCTTCCATCTCCTTGCCGGTCTTTGGAACAACACTGGGGTAGAGCAGGATAGGGAAGATGCCACCGTAGAGTTGGTTGTCAATCTGGATCCACTTGATCGTGGTATTGAGGGTCTGGTAAAGTCTAGACTCTCTGAACTTGATCTCGATCTCACGGAACGTGAGGTAGAGAAGTTCCTTCAGGTTCTGGTTGATCAACGAGATACCAATTCCTCCCAAACGGAGCTGAGCCTTAAAGTTGACGTCTGAGTTCATTTCCTTGACCTCGAAGCCTGTGTTTGTGCCGGTCTGCGACGATTGTCCTCTCTGCTGCTTGTACATACTCTTCGACGGCTTGAAGTTGGATAGCACAAGACTCTGAGTAGGACCATCGGCTGCGATGTTGATATCGATGATCTTCTGGTATCCACCTGGCTGCGAAGGCGGGATGCGCATCGGAATCAGATTTCCTATCTCGGCAAGCTTGATGTGGCGCTCCTTTCCTTGGCAAGTCAGCACAAGAGATTTATTCTTCGTGGCTGGGTAATCCCATGCGTAAGGCATGATGCTTCGCGGTGGGATTCGGTATCGGATTGGCCTCCAGCCACTGGTATGGTCATCTTCATCTTCGTCTTCCACATTCGGGTTGGCTTGGTAGAAAATGAACTCCGTGTCACTCTCGTTGCGCATGGAGAACGGCCAGTTCCGGGATTCGATGCTGAAGTGCAAGAACAGTGTTGCGCCTTCCAAGATGATGTCAACCTTGATCAGCTTTTGTCGCTGATTCGCCTTGGCCAATTTGACATGGACGGTGCCGACATCGGCGATGCTGAAAGGAGACGACCATTGGTTGTTCACTCCTGGGAAGCAGAGACACAGTTGCTTTTCTGCGACCTGACGAAGGAAATGAAGTGGGACCAACTGCCCACTTTGGATCTGGTGGACATTGGACGAGCCTGGCTCACGCACAAGAAGATCCTCGTTGAGCTTGCTCTTCAAGATGAACCGTGGGGCAAGGGTCACTACCTTGGTGAGCTTGTATTTGCCCTCGCCTTCAGCAACAGAGACTCCTGAGTGGAACTCGGATCTGCCTTGGCGATCGGGGAAAATAACCTCAAAGGTGCTACCAATAGCTTCGAAACTCTGCGGTTTGCTCCACGATGAATCGCCGACCTTCAAGATAGATCGGTTCCTCTGATCTTCGTTGGAGTACGAGTACATGTACGGGAGTGCCCGGCCTTCGTCTCTTGGATCCACTCTGAGTCCTTGTCCAGCAGCGTTTCTTGCAGACTGGAGGAACGCCTTGCTCTGGATGTCCATGGGAAGACCCGTTTTGTTGAGAATGAGGTATGGACTGTAGACGGAAACCTTGAAAGCACCACCACTGTTGGGGATATTGAAGTAGTGAAGCTGCAACTTCAGCTGGAGACCCCGCTCATCCTTGAGGGACAAGGTATGCTCTCTGCGGTAGTCCTGAGCATTGCCATTGACTATAGCAAACTCGCTCTGGCGGAACACGGTGTCTTCCAGGTCAATGCTGAGAAGAAGTAGATGGGAGAGTTCCACGACGTGGACTGGGCTGACACCGCCCTTGCGCAGGAAATTGGTCCAATCCTTCTTGGTGTTCTTGTCGTAGATGCGGTACTTAAAGTCATAAGGTAGAAGGTTCTGAATCTCGACGGGGGCGAAGATTCGAACTCTCATATAAGGATATACTCCTGTAAGTGAATCCTTGTTGTCGTATGTTGCATTGACTTGGAAATAGAAGGGAGGGGCTTGCTGTCCGCTTTCACCAACACATTTGACAGTGCGTGTGGGTCGCTTGATCAGGTCCTTCCAGAACAACTGCTCGTTTGACCAGTCATATCCAAAGCCCTGATCGGGTCGAAGAACAACGGAGTGGAGGTATGCTGATCCGACGGGTGCAGGACGAGCGTCACCAGGGAGGATTTTCTCAATCTTCAGAAGATGACCGTCTCCGGGACTGAAGACACCCAATTCCACTGGAATCTGTGTATTGTTCTCAATGAGAAGCGGCGAGCGGAACGTGATGTACTTCACGTTGTCAGGACCCAGCGTGACTTCTACTAGAAGCCTGTGGAGAACATTCTCCTGCTTTGGCTTCAAGGCGTAGACGGTCTCGCCCTCCCGGACAACGGGAATGCGGTTGATGCTGTCAAAGCCACTGCCTTCGAGTTTCACACCTACAACTCCGCCGTGGCCTTCAGGGGTCAATGTCTCACGGACAGCGGTAGAATCCTCGAAGCGCCAGGGAGATTCCTCGCCATCAGACAGCTTTGCTGCTGGGCCATCTTCTCCTGCACTGACATCGGCCCAGACCCGAAGGTCAAACCCGGTGTAGTTGCGGATGCGGTATGGAGCGTCAGCTCCTCTCGGCTTGGAAAGAACATCCTCGTCCGTAGAGAGGAACTGGAAGGACTTTGATGCGAGCGCAATAGTGGCAGATGTGACAGTGAGCTCCATAGTCTTGTGAGAGTAGACGTCGAAAGAAAACACATCTGGGTTGACTTCCTTCGCCATGTGGAACCCGAGCTGCCAGGGCTCAATCAATGGTTCCCATGCCGACTTGGAGAAGTTGTATACATTCAAGAATGTCTCGAAGTTGGTATCGGCATTCAATGTAGATGACCAATCGCGCACATCCACATTGAACTTCTTGACACTCCAATCAAGCAGAGGAAGATCGTGCAAATCACCGATCAGAATGACTCTGACGCCGTCGATCTTGGCAGATAGCTCTTCCCTCTTGAGGATGACGGAGCTTTGTGGCGCATGTGTCTGGCCGGCGTGCCCAAGGCTTTGACTCAAGCGGCGCGTCCTGTTGGCGATAGTGTGAGACGCCTTGCTGGCAGAACGGGCCCTGGTAGTGCTCTTCGCGTCCCCAATCTTCTTCACTTCGCCACTTTCGATCTGCTGGGAATTTTGAGCCCTCATCTCGGAAGCCTTGTTGACGATCTGGATTGCCATGAGAATATCTCTGAGAGACAAGCGGAGGACCAGGGGCTCAAGGTGGACTTCAATCGAAGTCAAAGCAGAGCCCTTTTCTTGGTTTCGGCTATCCACGGACATTTCAAGTGTGAAGTCATCCAGAATGCGAAGTCGTGAAGTTTCGAACTTGTCCATGCGGCACAAGAACATGCCAACCTTTTGAATCTGCAGCGTGGAAACATTTTGGTGAGAAATCAGGACTTCCTTGGTACCCAGAACAATAGCCTCGGAGTGAGGGATGGCAGGGTTTGCCACCATGATGACTTGAGCATCGACAAGATTGACTCGGAATGACACTGTCATGCCCGCACCTTGATTGCCCGAAGAGCCCTCGGTAATAGCTTTATCAGAGCTTGCGGCTGTGACAGATCCTGTCTCGGAGTCCTCTGTTTCGCTCTCTTCCACCTCAACCGGTTCTTCAGATGCAAACGCAGATTGACTGAAAGCCTGCAAAGCGGACAGATAATCAAGGGCAAACATGATGCGAGGGCTATCAATAGTCAGCATGGCAATCATATGTCTTTCTTGTCCTCCAGACATAGATACGCTGGCCATGAACTGTTGCTGAACATCATTGTTGATCAAAGACATGATGTTCCTGAACTTGTTGGAGTCTTGCTTGCGGCTATCACGAATGGAGAAAGAGTGGATAAGAAGCTCCGACTCCAATGACCCATCGGTCAACATGCGTAGCTTCACTCGGGTATCGTTGAGAGAGAACTTGGAAAGACTGGCGTCTTCCAGTTGACCGACAGGTTGGTTGTCGTTGGCCAAGATCAGTTCCAGACCGACACTGTCGACCTTGAAGATCATGTCCAGGCGAACCCATGTTTCCTTCTCGCCAGTAGAGGCATCCGAGCCGTCTAGGGTGGTTTGAGTGGCCTCCCTTGTGGGCTCTGTTACGGAGGAAGGCAGAGACTCCATAGCCTCAAGCTCTTGTTGCTCGGCATCAGTCGCGAAAGCGCCTGGTATCGACTTAGACAGCTCCAACAGGAACTTAAGTTGGCTCTGGGAGATGCGTAGGTTGATGGGAGACAAGGAACCCTCAATCTCCATATCTGGACGAGGGTTATTGGCTTGATGCTCCAAGTAGCAGATGCTAAAGTCCAGATTCACTTTCTGGATCATCTCCAACTCTTCGGTGGTGCCATCTTCGAAATGGAATTTGGAGGTAAGGCGAATGTTGCGAACTCCAGTGGAGATCACATTGACAGCGGGGCTGTCCTTTCCGTCATCCATGGGCACAAACTCATTTTTAACATAGATCTCACCAAGATGAGCGGTGATCGTGTCGCGAGGGCGATCATCCAGCATCACGCGAGGGAAGACCACAATGGGTGTCTTAACCACAACGTCAAGCCGCATCCGCGATGCGTTTTCCTGCATATGAGTGGCCTGGTTGGCTGCAGCTTGGCGGGCTGCATTGAAAATGGCTTGCATTTTGCCAAACTTGACGAGGAAATTGATGATCTTGCGATATGGCTCCTCCATGAAGTTGATTTTGATTGAGCCGGAACGTAGATAGACTTCGGAGTCGTAGCCGGGGTATGTGTCACTTTCTGGATCGAAGGTCTCATACTTGAAATCTGCGAAATTCTCTCCCTCGATGGTAAGGAGTCGTCGAATATCGGAGTCCTCTGAGGCGCCTTGATTGACATCGTCAACCAACGTCAAACTGCCGATCCGAGACTGGATGAGCATAGAGGCTCCAACGAGGAATATTCCCACGTCGGCAGTATTCAAACTCAAGGTTGCCAGACGCACCCCATCATTATTGAGAATCAATGCGATACTCTTGAGGTTGGCCCTGATGCGAAGTTTTCCGGCAGCTTGAGGCTTTTCTTCAATCGCCTCAACCCGGTCTTTAGGCTCAATGACCTCGGCGGGTTGTTGAGGGTTCGTGAATGTGAGGAGGATGAAGTCTAGGAGGGTAAGAAGTGTCTTTCTCGTCACAACAAGGTTGATAGTCGAGACTGCTATGTCAAGGTTCATAGCGACGCCTTCGTATGTGGACTCAAATTCAGGAGACTCAGGTTTGACGCGCACCATCTTCAATTGGAAGAGGTCCTTGTCTTCATCGGCATTGAATCCCTTTGATGAGACAATCCTCTTGAACTCGGGAATCGGATTTTCCTCGATGTAATCGTCCACACTCAATGATTTCAGAACAACCTCAGCGACCATGTCATATGGGCGCATGTAGAAATCCAGCTCGAAGCCTTCAGCTACCAGCTCAACAAGCAAATGATCTCTCTGCAAGTCATGGGGATCGGCACGCGAGAGTGATCCACGGAGACGACCAACAGTGAATTTGAACTCAAAGTCCCGGCGGTGAATCGCAGGCGAGCTCGTTTGGTCGCTCTTCCTTTCCACTTCTTCAACATCGTCTTCGTCATCAACAACAGGAAGGTCTCGTTGGACTGGTGGCTGGAAGGACGACGACCGAGGTCGCGTCACGGCTTCCTCCTTTGCCGCTGCATCGGATTTGTTGTCGAATTGTGGAATCGCGATGTCGATAAGTTTCATCAGTCCCTTGTATTTGGTGTCTGACATCGACGCATGAAGTTCGGGCAAATGTCCAGATATCCGTGTGCGCGTGAGCTGGGTCACCTTGGGAACAATGCACATCTCCAATGCCAGATCCACGTTGATACGATCAATGATATGGAAATTTCTGGATTCGACGTCGGTGTTGAGCTGAGCTTTGGTGGCTTCAACGCCAGGTCCGATAAGAACTTGGGTTGAGTCAAGTTTGATGAGGAACCGATCGTAAAGGAGATGTTCGAGCTGCTTGTAATCTTCCTCTTCGTATTGCCGCTTCTGCTTAGACTGAAGGTCGCGCATTGCCTGTCGGTCGACCAGCTCGCTGTTGACACTGGCATGACCAGCATCGAGAATCAGGCAGAGGGAGCTTGGCTGCGTGATACTTTCGGGAACAATGATCAGAGGCGCATGAACATCAAATTGGGCATCCACCTTCTTGTGTTCCTCCAAGGCAAACTCCAGGCCAGCCCGTGTTTGCTGTCGAAGACCCTCCACAGTCGCACCTGCGGTGTCCAAAAGTGCACCAATAGACTCCATGTGTCTCTCAGGAGGCTCGAAGAATTTGACGATCTCGACGAGGAATCGAGGGTTGTAGATGACTTCGATACTCTTTAGCTTAACTTTGACAGCGGTGTCCGCATCGCTTTCGAGTGGATTTTGTTCCAGTTGTAAATGGAACAAGCTACCTTCATCATTCATGTCTGCGGTAGATTGATCCAAGGTCAAACTCTTTTGATCTTCGGTAGAGTCGAGAGAGTCCTTGACTTTGACGATTTGAGGATAAAGGGTGCCAACAGTAGTACCATCGTACATCTTCAAGCCTCCCAGGTCGAGATCAAGGAGATAGGAGTCAGGGCGCTGGAGAGCTTTGGCCCGGAAGTTATCGAAAACTAGCTTCATGACTTCATTCGCTGCTCCATGGGGCTCCTGGACAAGGGTGAAGCTGCCGGCTCGGAGACTCCAATTGACTTCGAGCTTGACCCATTCCCGAGGCAGATCGACGCTCTCGGTGATGGCTTTCTTCTCGTCCCAGTCGATGGCATTGTAGAGCTCTTGTCGCTGCTCTTCTGTCATGGCTGTTTCCTCGGATTCTTCCTTCTTGGCGCCCCAGAACCAGTCTGACCAAGACTGTTGTTCGGCGGGCTTCTTGACACCCACGTTTTCCTTTCGTAGCTGGTTTCGTGCGAGTGATCGCCAGAATCGAATATCCTCGTAGCTGAGTTTCGCTTCGAGCCTTTCCATTTCTTTGCTCTCCTCGGGTGTGAAGGCTTCTTCCTTCTTACGTTTCTTGAACAGGGCGATGTACGCAATTCGATCATCTCTGCGCTCCTTGATGTAGTCCCAGGTCCAACGTCTGTTGCGTTCATGGATCTTGCTAAGGACTGCTTCTCCAGCAAACCTCATCCACGCCCGTGGATCCTCCTTGGGAGAGGCTTTAGGTTGAATCTTCTTGTACTCTTGGTGACGAATGAAGTAATGGAACAAGTCAACCAACATCAAAGCATCGCGATACTGCTTATCGTCCAAAACAAAGCCAAGTTCGTCGAAGAGTAACCGGGCCTTGATTGCAGGCGTGTCGTATTTGCCGGATTTGTTCATCTCCAAACCAGCACGGCCACTGACAGGGCGTAGCATGAATTGGTTACCTTCGTCCTGATCAATGGCAGTTCTCAACTTCTCCATCAAATCTTCACGACTGATCCCCTGAGCCTCAGCTCCGATGTCAGATCCACGTCCAGTTCCCAGAAGTTTGGCATCTGTATTCCAGTAAACCGAGAGCGCCCCAAGGACTGCGAGCTTGTGCGTGACACTGGAGTCGGATTGGATGAAAGTCGGATTCCAATCCCCGTCCGTGCTGACTGCACTCAATTCCTTGAGAGTCACACCGAGGGCGAATGGATGACCAGGTGAAGCAATTGAGTCTTCATAACGGAAGTGCACGTTCTTGATGGAGATCTGCAAGTTATCCACCACCGCTGTGATCATGCTCTGCGTGAAGCTCTGATTGCGACGCTGCTCCTCCTGGCTCATTCCTTCGGCGTTGCGCTCACGCAGAAGCTCGGCGCTTTCGATCCGTTCCATTTTCAGAGCGTTTGCACGCCTCTCCTCTTCCACTGGGTCATAATCTGCGTCTTCTCTTGGCGCCGCCAACAGGAAAACATCTTCAATATCGACCTTCACTGGCTTGCCTCGTAGATTTGACCAGGGGATGGATAGTGTGAGCTCGCCAAGGTGACCTTCGACGACGTTGAGAGGTAGGTGGAGCTGATCGAGCGCTTCGCGACGTAATTCGAGGTTCCGTAGCTTGACGTCGCCCGACCAGATCCCGATGTTGAGTTGTGTCGCATCAAAATTCTTGACGTAAATTCCTAGGAACCGATTAAGCAGGTTGGCGACTACTCCTTCCAGCATTGTTGCGGCGGTGGGCCGTAAACCGGGCCTGGTGTTCGGGCTCTAAGGCCGGGATGAATGGCGCTTCACCAATGCGTGTTGGTCCGGATATTTGGCAGTCTGCAATCAGTTTCTCTAGTCAGCAAGTGTTCGGGAATTACTTCCTATCCACTGGCATGCATGAACTTGGGCTTACTTTTGGTGTCGTTGTGAGTGGGCAGACATCCAGTCCATGCGGCGGAGCGGGCTGGGAAAGCGCGCACGATACCGTAGGAAACCCGAGAGTGGGAATTGATGTACTCGGGTGAGTTAGGTGTTGAAAAGTATTGCTGGATGGAAAATGTGAGGTTGGGTATCCAAGCCAAGCTAATGGCCCTGATTGCGTGGGGAAGAGAGGTTGTCTGTTACGCAAAGGGTAGGGAGTACACGGTACGGATGGGGTACGAGCTCGTTCCGCGAACGACGGGTGTCATATCCGCCTTCCAAGTATTGGGCTGGTATTCAGTAAATGAGGCTACAAGGACAATACGACGATTGGGGGCCAGTTTCAGCCTTGAATTTGACTGCCTGGGAGTGAAGATCTTCTCGCACGAGGGAATCGAGGCCATCACTTTGCGTACGGTATTAAATACCCTGTTTACCCCAAGGGTGACGTAGTAGGGCAGCAGCCCCCAGCTCTGTCTCACGTGACCTTGAATCACGGGAGCCCCGGTTTGCTGCCTCAGGCCAGATATGCATTTGAGGTCGCTGCGGCCCGCCCGAATATCAAACCACACCTCATCACTCGGTCACTTCATTTCTGGATATTCTTATTTGCTCCCTCCCGGAAACTCTACGCCCTCGACTTTGAGATCAAGTCATTTTCCGGGTGTATACCCTTAATCTCCACTCTTCAATCCCATCTGCAGGTTTTTGGAAGGCCAATTGCGTGAGTCGACACCTCAATCCGGCCGCACCCGAAGCTTTTCTTCTTCCGCAACTTGCTGACCCGACGACCTCGAAAAGCCGTGACATCCCCCACCATGATGTACCGCACCACCGCTGCCCGCTCCGCGCTCCGCGCGCTCCAGAGCTCCAATGCCTCCGTGGCTCGCTCCACTCTGGGTAACCAGATCTTCAAGGCCCAGATGACCTCGTCTGCCCGCAATGCGATCCGTCCTTCCGTCTCCCCCAGCTTCGCGATCGCCGCTCGCAAGCCCGTCACCACCGCCCTTGTGCGCCACTCTTCCTCTTCCGCCAAGGTAAGAGATGCCGCAGGAGCCCCCCGCATGCGTGTATACATGGCTAATTGAACCAGGACGACGACGATGTCGATGTCATGGCCGGTATGAAGTCCGAGGCTGTAGGTATCCCTCCCTATGTTTAATCGGCACGGTATGCTAAACGCAATCGGCATTGTAGAAAGTCATCAAGGAGACTTTCAGCCTGAACCAGGTCCCCAAGGAGGCCCTGTACCTCGGTATGGCTGGTGTTGTTCCCTACGTCGCCACCTCCCTCCAAACCGCCTTCCTTACCTACGAGATCAGCCGCGCTGCTTCTCTCGGTGACGGTCTGATCTTCTCCGGCCAGTCCGCTGAGCTCATGCTGCACATGCTCGAGCCCATCCAGGTTGGCTACGGCGCTGTCGTGAGTAACCCAAGCTCTGCTGTATCTCAATTGTCGTCGCTAATTGTCCGGTCAGATCCTCTCCTTCCTCGGTGCCGTCCACTGGGGTCTTGAGTGGGCTGGCTATGGCGGCAAGTTCGGCTACCGCCGCTACGCCGCTGGTGTTGTCGCCCCCGCTGTCGCCTGGCCTACTCTGCTCTTCCCCACTGAGTACGCCCTGATCAGTCAGTTCCTGGCTTTCACCTTCCTGTACTACAACGATGCCCGCGCTGCCGCCGCTGGCCGCGCTCCCCACTGGTACGGCATGTACCGCTTCGTGCTGACCTTCGTCGTCGGTGCCTCCATCGTTGCTACCCTGATCAGCCACGAGAAGGTCCAGCAGGTCGTCACCTCCGAGCACACCATCAAGGACAAGATCAACGCTCTGATCTTCCTGCAGAAGAAGGAGAAGGAGGAGGCCGATGCTCGCCGCCGTGGTGAGATCGAGGAGACCGACTAAATTCGCCTTCCCAGACCTGGGCGTTCATCCCTCCAAGACTGATCCATGTTTGCATTACCCGTGATTTCCTGTAGAATATACGCAGAACGCACTAGGGCGGCCACTGAAAGTTTCTTTTGTTCCACCAAAGTGTCCATACTTGAAGACGCTAGAGTTTTTGTCCAACCATCTTTTTTGTCCCTGAAGTCGGCATCTGCGAAGAGTCAGTAGCTTGTATGAATTCCTTGGAATTGACCGGAAGAAATGAGGACCCTCGTGTCTGACTTGTATCAGATGCATTGCAGTGAGCATCAAAGCGGGTGTGCCCGCAATGCCCACAACGCAAGTGGGTCCAAACCCATCAAGTCTACATTCACTTGGCGGATTGTGATGATGAGATGGAGCAGCCTGGTTTTTTTTTACTAACGCTAATGTCCTAGATATACCGGATTTTGGCAGCCCGATTTACTAATTCTCATCCAGGATATCTGTACAGACCCTCATCGCTGCTAATCAAGATGGCTGAGAGGTACAGCAGTTGATTCTTGCCCTAGTCCGGCTTCGCCAGACTTTCAACGGTGAGGGTTCCCACGACAGCCTTCAAAATTCTATCGATATCCGTCAAAACAGCATGGAAAATTGCTTAGATTATATTCCTGCCTTGACCGAGAAAGGCCATACGGCTCTCGCCTCGTCTGCAGACATCTGCCCAGCAACGCTTTCAATATACATGGCCAACAATTGCTCCTTCTGTTTCCTCTTCTCATTCACATCCAATCCTGGTGCGATCCACCCCTCTGCATCAGTGCCAAGACACTCTTGTGCGAGTGACTGAATCTGATTCCAAGCCTCATACTCAGAGAATTGGCGCCTGTGCGCATCGACCTGCTCCTGCGTAAAGGACACAGGGCACTCTCCAGAAAATCCAAGGTCTGACCAACTATGAAAGAGTTCTATCAAGCATGCACGAAGTGGGAGAACGCCAACCTCGCAGACTTCTCCGCATCGAAGGAATAACTCCCGAAAGACACGAGGCACGGTCATGGCTCTGTAAGCCGGCTTATTCTCAAGCACAGTTGAGACCTCATAAGCCTTTGCCAACTTTGCTTGGAGCCATTCGCTCCTCGCAAGCATTTTGCCATCCTCATCTAGGGTATCGAAATCATCGCGCACTTTCACTTCAACCATGCCCTCTTCGTAATCGCTGTTTTGTGGTGGCCTCAGAAAAACTGGCCATTTGGCTTGTAGAAATGCAGGGAGAACGGAAATTGACTGGAAGTCGATTAGACACGTTATTCTTGAACACTCGTCTGGGGCAACAAAGATTTTTCCATGTGAAGGTCGGTATGCCATAAAGTAGGCCGTGAAGCTTCCCCTTTCAAGATTTCGTTCGAGTCTAAGAGTTGCATGATACTCTCTGTTGCCTGTAAGAGCTCGGTTTGCTCTTCGATATCTCCCCTATAAAACATGGTTTGATCTTGCTGGCCGCTCTTTGGTATTCGTAACAATTCGCGCCTTGCAATAGAAACTCCAAGGGATGACACCGAGTACCCTAGGAAAAGTCAGCATATGACCTTGGAACTGTGCAAATATTCAGGGTACTCACAAGGTCCCTTATCAAAGTCCAGGCTTGGATCTGGATTATATCTCCGGTCACAAGAAGGTCCAATACAGAAAGATGGATCGAGTTCATCAAGGGGCTGATTTGGTTGTTCTATATCCGATCCAAGATACAGTCCTCCATAAGCAGGGAATCTCATGGCTGAGAATTGAGCCTCGAGCTTGGCCAATTTTCTGATCAATTGGAGCTGATCAAACTCTGTCATACTGCCCCAGACTTGGAACAGTGGAACACCGGCAGCTTTCTGACTATTTCCGTGGTATTAGCCTCTCGAAGTCGAATAAAGTCAATATAACGTACTGTATTCGAGAGCACCGACTTCACCAGCTGTCGTTAAGGTGGGTGGGCCAGCAATGTGACATGGGATTTTTGCTATGACTTCTGATCCATTTTCTTTTTCCATCAAAAATGCCTTACTGAACCCTCCTTCCATTTTGTCAATAGCTGTGACTTGACTGTGTTTCCCGCTTACTGTTGCAGTTGTATTGCAAAGCCCATCCAGATCGAATTGGACATATCTTCTGCTTAGCTGGTATTCTTCATCGACAAGGAAATGGCCATTAGTATAAGCAAAAAGCTCCGCGTGTGTAATTGATGCACCTATTTGCACAGTCAGAACTGAAGGAAGCCGACTTTACACCAAGCCCCTTTCTCTTCTTACCTCGACATGTCACCGCTAAAGACGATCCAGCTCCACCATATCGAGATGTCCCAAAATTCCTCAACGCTTTCAGCATATTGAGATTAAAATCAATGTAGAGATCTGTTACACTCGGAGAAACAGTTGACAACAGGGGTGCCGACAAGAGCACCTATCAGACATTCCGCCGCCCCGGGGGGCTGGGCCCGGGCGGGCATAGTGATTGCTGACTAAAAAGGTGTCTAGTGCCCCCCGGCCGGGCGCCGGGGCCAGGCCGGGGCCCTAAACGCTGGGCATGTATGGAACAGGGGTGCGGCGGCAATAATTTTGGAACCAGGCGGTTAACAGAAGTAACCCATTCGCAGGAGTTGCGACTGTTCACCGTCGCTTCTTATGCTACTTTACTCCGTAAACCACCACCCAAATATTTTGATGCATTTTATCAGATCTTCGAGAAATCGACGTGACAAGAGTATCCCTTGCCTGCGAGCTGTGCCGGACTAAGTGAGCCCGTGTGATTATAATCATGATATGTGGATAGGAAATCTAATGTGATGGTGACCAGCCCAGATGTGGCCCATGTGAGAAATGCATTGAGTAATATAAAACTTGGAATAAGTGTATTTATGAAGAGAATAAGCTTAACTTCATTTATGGTGCAAGGGTAGACCATAGACTTAGCTTTCACCCACTCAGAAGCAATGCAGGCCTCTTAGAGAATACTAGTAGGAGTTATTACAAGTACAAATAACCATTCTAGACGACTCAGTGAGTATATGAAGCTAGAAGGTGGCTTGGTTCGTGTTACTTTGGCATATTTAGATATGCCTAGACAGCATCTTAGCAATATAGTGATTCCGTAACTAGGTAGCTATCTGAGCTTTATCACAGAGCCCCTTAAGTGAAGTGAAATCTTTCACTTGAGTTGTGTTGTGAACACCTGGTCAAGTAACCATGGTTCCCTATAGCTTGCTCTCTTCCTCTCTTCGCTTTTCCCTTTCTCTCTCTTATCCCCTAGAGAATCAATCTCTCTTTTCCGTCCTCCTGGCTCTCCTAGTAGTCAGATCAAGATGGCCATGGATTGATAGACGACAAACGACTTCCGAGGATAACTCAGAAATCTTATTGAATACAGAGAGTTACTCACATCTTCAAAGAGCCCGGGTCAGTAGGATTGGATCTCAACACCTGAAGCTCAGAAGGGTGTGGCTGTTCACTATGGAAATCCAAGAACCTTACAACGAGGCGATTGTCAGTCTTCACCAGGCCCTGATGGGCTCGACAAAGAAGCAGTGAACGCCGTCCCGCAAGTTCTTTCTCACCAGCCGACGGATGTGTGGGAATTTGGGCAATCAAGAGGAGTCTGCATGTTCGATGTTCTACCTACACGGACATTAGCGCTCGGAAGTGAAGAATCTGGCTATATATCTACTAACCTACTGCACAGTGTCACACCAAACACTGAAGCACCAGCACAGGAAAACATAGGAATCATCCCCGTGGATTGGCGGCGACTCAACACCAGCTGTCAAATTTCCATTTCACTTGATTTTCCATTTTATCTTCACTTCTGTCCTCAGCTTCTGATCTAGCTACAATTCCTTACCATCATCACCACATCCACAATGACAGCCCTAACAGACCAAGACGCCTTCGAGGGGCAGCTTCGCACAAAGCTCCACGCACATGCCCAAACTGTCAGCAAAGCGCAGCAAACCAGCCCCGCAAACCTTCAACATTTGAAATCTCGGCTCTGCCCGATATCCAAGATGACAAATGGGTCCCTCCCGACCCAGCGTACCGCCTGTCAGACCTACAGGCGTATTACGCTCTCAAAAACCTATCTGCGAAGGAATGTTACAGACGATGGCCGCGTGACTTTGACTCCAACGGAACAGTCCGGGCATAGGGCTTGGGAGCAAAGGAAAACGGGCATACCGATACCAATCGGAAGTATCGCCCATAGGGCGATACGGTGCTGCCACTCCTCTGGCTGGCGAGTTGCGACAAGAGCAACTGACGACACCAATTGAGGTGTCCATGGGTTCCTCGCCACACACAGTTACCGGTCCGCCAGCCGCTGCTCAGTCGGATGCGAATGCAGACAGTCCATCAGAGCCCCTGCAAGGCGCAACATTGGCCATACAATCCTCTGAGGCGTCGATGGTTGAACCAGAGCCTCAATGTTGAAGGTAAGAACTTCATCTCACTTTCCCTACCTATTCTTCTCACTCCCACCTGCCACATTATCATCTGTTATGAATCATGTGATTCCTGCTCTTTACATATTTGTAGTCTAGTGCTCTATCCCCCCCTCTCTACTCACTCTCTCAATCTATGGCCTTTCAGCCTATCGATTCCTGATTAGCCTCCCTAGAGGTTACGAGCGCCTCTACCTTCTAGGCAGATCCTTCTTACGAGGCCCCTAGCTCTGAGCATCAACATCTGTGCTTCCTCACTGGGGAGGGACTCGTTATGGCAGAGGGCCAGAGCCCCGTCGGCAGCAAAACTACCTCAGCAGTCAAGGAATGGCTGGATCGTACACGCTTGCCTGATGAGTTACAGTTCCGGACCATCATGCCTAGCTAGCTCTGTGCATCTGAAGGAGTTTCAACAAGAGCTCGATTGAGGCTTGCGCCGACACCAGCTGGACCAAATGCACGGCAAAGATAGAGAGGCGAAGAGACTGAACCAGCCCTGTTCTCACCCTTTTCTCACCTCTTCAGCCTGCTCTGATGATCTCGCCTTTTAAGCTTGACAGCAGGCATTCAGTCACTTATTCTGACCTGTTTATTCCCTACCAAGTGGAGACACCGACTACGGAGGACAAATGTCGGAACACAACAGTGCGACTGACGATCTTCATCGCTAGCAGTTCCACCTGTCACGGAGGAGCGTCTGCCACCAAAGTCAGTAGCGGCCAACGACTTCAATTCTGATGGCGACATGCGGGTCGGCCGCAGATGGCACTTCGTCGTACCTACGACAAATGGATTGCCCCTGACTCCGCGTTCCGTCTGTCAGACCTGCAGGTCTACTACGCGCTGAAAAACTTGCCCGCCAAACAGTGCTATCGCCGCTGGCCTCGAGATTTCGACTCGAATGGCACAGTCCGTGCCCCAGCTAGCCGCACGAACGAGGACCCCATCGCTTAGGTTTGGGCACATGGCATCCTGTGGATCCCTGTCGTCAAAGAAACGATTCCCCTCTGCGGTCGTACATGTGCCCGCATGTGTACCACTCTGGTACTCAAATCTGACTCAAACATGAAACTAGCTAGCTCCATGTTCAGTGTCGTGACTTATTTCCCGATGACCACAATATCACGAAGTATTCGCAGGCTCGCTGCGGTCTTCGACGTGGCGAAGACGCTTCCCACATTTCTTTGCTTTCAGTCAACGCCGTCAAACCACGGGCTAGAGAGACCCTCGTCACCTTGAGGCTTTGAGGAAGCTGATGGAGAACTTGTTCCAAGGCCATGAGCCTGACTCGGGTGACTGGGTCCCCCTGTTAGTACATAGGAGCTAGGCTTCTTCCTTTCTCCCATCCGCACAATCAATGGATTCATGGATCAATTGAGTTACTGGCTTCCGCTCTCAGTCCAAGGTGCTATGTATTAGTTAGATTGTATCACAATCCTGCGTTTTGTGCTGTAATATGCCAGCATGCTCTAGGCAATTCGGTAAATGCTTAGCCATAGGCCCTGAAGATTGATGAAATGATCGAAGACCGGGAATTAAAGGAACATCAAGGCATCACGGAGAAATAGGGCAGATGGGATGCCTGAGGCACCGCAGATCGGATTAGCCTTCGATGATCCGTGGGTTGCTTATCGGAATATAAAAATAAAATCAACTATAAAACACTATAAAATACTATAAGTACTCCGTAGGAGTACTAGTAGTCCACCTGGGCATGAATTGCCCTGGTCACATGTGCAATGAAAAGAGAAAATCCTACCGCAAACCGGAGCCGGGGCATGTAAGGAGCAGCGGAATAAATAATGGGCGGGGTCACGGGGTGCCGAAAATATCTACTAGTCGTCGAACCCCTGGATATCGGGTACTTTTGCAGAGATGTCGCGATGCTGGGAGGGAAGGTCAGGCGAGGCTTATGTGATTGCAGATAGATCGCCACATGCGTTTTCTGTGTGCTTTCTTTTTTTTGTGATTCCCTCTGCGTTGGCATTTCAAATGTTGCTTTTTTTTTTCTTTTTTGTAAGCCATCTTTTTTGATCTTTTTTGCGTCGGCACATGATCTACTCGCACGTCCCCGTTCCTGAGATCCCTCCACGTCGCGACAGCCGTTGGAGAGGGTTCTCCATGACCCTTGCAACGTCACAGATAGAGATGATTGGGGATCTGGAGATTTCTTAAAAAGGCTAATTCTAACGCTGCAGGGATCTGGATCCAAAGTCAAGATCCTGTTTAATGCACTCGAATGTTCTTGGGCTCGACTAGAACCCGTCGCCAGAGACATTCTTGGGTCCCCGGCTATAATGCAACAAACCAATAATTCTTCCAGATAGTGAGATTTTCTCCATGAATAGGAATGAATCAGCTAATCTGCAAAGAATGTAGGCTTAAGAAAAGGGGGTTCTAGAACGACTAAGGGACCGCAGGGGAAAATTGGACCGTGTCATGTGTACGATCGACGGGGCTTTGTGGAGTGCCCAGACCTGGAGGGACATTGGGGTTGGAGGAGATTCGGTCGAATTGAGGCCGGGAGAAGCGGTTGTGGTGCGAGGGAGAAGGTCAAGAGCAGGCCATCGTCCAGCAACCTGTTCTCCAGATTCTTTATAGGGGGAGTGAGCAACAGCCGAGAGGGGGAAAATAGTGGGGGAGGTGACGAGGTCTTCTGATCAGAAAAAAACCCCGAACCGGATTTGTGTAGCCCCCCCACCTCAACTCATATAAACCCCCCTTGGGGCGTGAGGTGTTAGTGAAGCTCTTTTTTCGTTTCTTTTAATACCCTCGTCTCTTTTCTGCAAATTACCACGCAAACTTCAATTACGCAAAACCCATACCGAAACGCCTAATTCATACCGCCCTGAAACGATACGTCACGGTCCACTTTTCTGCCGGGAGCTGGTCCCCGTATCCCACCGCCACCTCGTAGTTTCCCCTCTCTTTAAATCTTGAGGGCGTAATTCCGCTTGTTTTCTTCCCCTAATACACACCGTGCTTGTCTTCTCATACATCATGCGGAATCCCTTCGAGTTGGATTATGATAGCGCCGATGGTGACTCAGAGCCCCCTGTCGATTTCGAGGCCCGGGAAGAACACGTTCACCAGCACCAAGAGCAACAGCAGCAACGACAACTCAACCTCGACTTCCGACCAAAGCAGGCCCATGATGGAGATCGATCACTGCTACAGGATGACGAGGGTCATAACGACCGCATGAAGCGTCGTTTTATTGGCACCATTGATCAGGGTACGACAAGTACTCGTTTCATTATCTTCGACTGCACAGGCGTTCCCATCGCCAAATATCAAACCGAGTTCCGTCAGATCCACGAGCATCCAGGGTAGGTTGATCTGCATTCCCCGTTCCCCGTTCCCCGTCGCCGGGCTAATGACGACTCCCACAGATGGCACGAGCAAGACCCATATGAATTGGTCGAGTCAGTCTATATCTGTATTGAAGAGGCGATGAAATCCTTCCTGGCCCTCGGCTACGAGCCATCCGACGTCGAGGCCATTGGTATCACCAGTCAACGAGAAACCGCTTTGGTCTGGGACTGGGAGACCGGTGAGCCCTTGCACAACGCCATCACCTGGACCGACACCCGAACGGTCAACCTGGTCCGCGAACTCAAGGCCAAGCCCGGTGCCGACGACCTGGCCAACATTTGCGGCCTGCCTCTCTCCACATACCCCTCTTCTGTCACCCTCCGATGGATGCTCGACCACCTTCCCGACGTCCGATCAGCATACGATGACGGCCGGGCTGCATTTGGAACCGTGGACAGTTGGCTCATTTACAACCTGAACGGAGGCCCCCAGAACAAGCGTCTGGTCACTGATGTCACTAATGCCTCGCGGACCATGTTCATGAACCTCGAAACCCTGCAATACGACGACCGACTCCTGAAGTTCTTTGGCATCGACAAGACCAAGATTCGCCTACCAGACATTCTTCCCTCGGCCGATCCCGAAGGATTCGGAACAGTGGCTGAGGGGCCTTTGGAGGGATGCCGCATTACCAGCTGTCTGGGCGACCAGGCTTCCGCGTTGGTCGGTCACTGTGCCTTCACCCCGGGCATGGCAAAGAACACCTACGGTACTGGTTGTTTCTTGCTATACAATGTGGGTGACAAGCCCGTGATCTCCAAACACGGCCTGCTCGGCACAGTGGGCTTCCAATTAGGGCGTGAGCGCAAGCCTGTTTATGCCCTGGAGGGCAGTGTTGCCGTGGCTGGTAGTGGTGTCTCCTTCCTTATGAACAACCTGGGCTTCTTCCGTGATTCACGGAAGGTCAGTGATTTGGCCGCCAGTGTGCCTGATAACGGAGGTTGTATCTTCGTCACTGCTTTCAGTGGTCTCTTCGCACCTTACTGGATCGACGATGCCCAGGGAACTATTTGTGAGTGACCCGGTCATCCTTCCAAGACCCCGCACTAACTTTTCTAGGGGGAATCACTGCACACACACAAAAAGGACATATCGCTCGCGCTACGATGGAAGCGGCCTGTTTCCAGACCAAAGCCATCCTCGACGCCATGGCCATGGACAGCGGCAAGAGTCTCACAGAGTTGGCCGTGGACGGTGGTATGAGTAACTCAGACATTTGCATGCAGGTACGTCAATACTCCCAGCCAAACCCCACCTAACACCACTGACATTCGTTTCCGCTCTAGACCCAAGCCGATATCATTCAGATTCCTGTCGAGCGCCCCTCAATGCACGAGACTACCGCTCTTGGCGCCGCCATCGCCGCCGGTTTCGCCATCGACATCTGGAAGGATTTCTCCGAACTGAAGCACATGAACCGCGCAAACCGAGCCTCCTTCTCCCCAGCGATGACCCCCAAAGCCAGCGACAAGATGTATAAAAAGTGGTCCAAGGCCGTTGAAATGTCACGGGGCTGGATGGAGGGCGAGGAAGACGAAGACGACGAATAAATAACCCCCCCAACCTATAAATATTTCATCAACGTGACATCCCCCAAAGTCGGTCTGCCGTCGAACTCCGCGGTCGAATCTATGTCGATACCATGCACGAAGCAACAAAATGGGAGAGAACGAGAATTTGCGGGATCACCAACATATGAGCATCGCACATATTTTCTCTTGCATACCCGCGTTCGCTTGGGGCTTTTGGACATCCTCACTGTTCCGGTTATACATATCTTAGAGAATCTTCGACTAGAAAGTCCGTCCTAATAGGCGTGTCACTGATGCCCGCTGACTGGCCTTCCATGATCTACACTGGAGCTAGATTGTGGATTTACTTTTTTTTTTTTTCCATCTGGCTGCTTCACATGGCCTGGCATTTGTATATACCATTCGAGAAATGAAAAAAATCCAAATCTACAACCGTTTGAAGTCTGTGCTGATCATGTATCCTCATGTGCATGTACCCCGTACCTCTGTAATTCAAGGTTATATCCATCAATATTCCAAGGTTGGTATTACATGTACTTGGAATGGCTGACGTGGACGTGCCAAGATCGCCCCGTACATGCCCATGACATCACGGTATTGAAATGGACTTCCAACTTTTCAAGGCGCGCAAGACGATCTATGAAGTCATGATCCGGCTGGGAGTTTCCGGTTTTCTATATTTGGGTATTTCAGACACGGAGTTACGATACATGTTATGCCAGTAATTTACATAGTTGTACAGGGGATATGTAGAACCCCAAGCCTGTGGACGAGTAAGGGTTAGGACGCAAGAGAATCAAGGAAAAAATGGTATTTTCAATAGACGCCCAAACCCGGGATGCACAGTGCAGGAACGGTGCACATGGTAACAAATACAAAAAAATAAAGAGAAGGTGTGCCCGCTTATTCCTCCGCGTCCTGGCTTTCCCGGGTGGGGTTGAAGCTGACGAGCTGGAGAGGCTCGGGAAGTTTCACTGGTGCACTGGGGAGGATTTCAGGTCTCTTGAGCTTCTCGCCCTTGAGCACCTGCAGCATCTCCTCTTTGGTGAGGGTCTCGTACTCGATTAGAGCCTTGGCTAGAAGCTCAAGCTCGTGACGGTTATCGGTCAGGATGGTGATGGCTTGCTCTGTAGCTTCGATGACGAGACGACGCACTTCGGCTTCGATCAATTGCTTGGTTTCAGATGATAGGGAGTCGTAGTTGCTGTGCAGATCGACGCTGCCAAGTTTCTTGGAGTATCCGAATCGCGTAACCAATGTTTGTGCCGTTTGCGTGGCGCCCTGGATATCCTAGAATAACGTTAGCCTACTGACAGAGAAGCTGATAAAGAAGGGAACTTACAGAGCTGATGCCACTGGTGACATTTTCGGGCCCAAAGACCAACTCTTCCGCAGCCCTGCCACCCATGGAGACGGCAATATCAGCCAGGTATTGAGTGTAGTTGCGGGAGACCGTGTCCATTTCAGGCAAGAAATGAGTGATACCAAGGGCCATACCACGAGGGACGATGGTAATCTTGTGCAGTGGAACGGAAGAAGCAGAATGGTGAGCCACAAGGGCGTGACCGGCCTCGTGGTAAGCAGTGAGAAGCTTGTCCTCGTCGCGGATGAAACGGCTCTTGGCTTCGGCACCCATCATGATCTTGTCCTTGGCCCAGTCAAAGTCAAATGAGCCGACGTTGGTCTTGTGCTCGCGGCTGGCGTGAATGGCAGCCTGGTTGACCAAGTTCTCTAGATCAGCACCAGAGAAGCCGGGGGTACCACGCGCAATCACACCAACGTCAACGTCACCGCCGAATTGAATGGGCTTCATGTGGTGCTTCAGAATATCCATGCGACCGCGAACGTCGGGCAGGTCAACGACAACACGGCGATCGAAGCGGCCGGGACGGGTCAAGGCTTTGTCAAGTGATTGGGGGTAGTTGGTAGCGGCGATGATGATAACACCGCTAGATTTGGAGAAACCATCCAGTTCGGTGAGCAGCTGATTCAGCGTCTGCTTGACATAGGCCGCATCACGCTCGTTTCGCTTGGAACCTATGGCATCCAGCTCGTCGATGAAGATGATGGCGGGTGACTTCTTACGGGCCTGGGCAAACAGTTCGCGAACCCGCTTGGCACCAACGCCGACGTAGACCTCATCGAACTCGGATCCGGACATATAGAAGAAGGGAACACCAGCCTCGCCAGCAACGGCTCGCGCAAGCAAGGTTTTACCAGTACCAGGAGGGCCAACCAGGAGAACACCCTTGGGCAGCTTACCACCGAGAGAATTGAAACGGTCCGGGTTGATGAGGAACTCCACCAACTCTTGCAGTTCGTCCTTGGCTTCATCGCAGCCGTGCACATCGCTGAAACGGGCAGTCTGTTCTTCGGGTTGAGCTTCCTTGTCCTGGGCACCACGCATGTTCTTTAGAACGCCAGTGGATTCCATGAGCAAGGTGAGCATGACCAAAGAAAGGTACGTGATGAAACCGAAGATACACAAGAACCTGACCCAGCGGAACACAGTGCTTCCCACTGACTCGTCCACGACGACATACAGGGGAGCATCCTTGGCACCGGTGCCAATTTGCTTCCCTCCCATTCCAATTTGACCGCCGGTAGCTCGAGCAGCAACCGCTTGACCAACAGCCTGCAGCTGCTCGGCGCTCAGGTTGTTGTTCAAGGGACCTGCGGCAGCGTCACCGCCCAGGTGTGATTGAGCTTGTTGAACCAACACCTCGGTGGTGGTGTCGCTGGCAAAGTGGCCACTGCGGTATCGTTCTACCACAATAGCGGGCATCTTGGCACGCAAAAGCGTTAAGTAAAACGCATTTTGTGCTTCGATATTATTCGGGCTTTTGTTTGCGACCCTCTCTTTTTGAGCAAGCACATGGTGCCAGGAACCTCCGAACAAGGATCGCTGCTGCTGGAAACCCAAGGGGCCATTGAGCTGGGTGACTGGGCGAAGGGACTTCAGGCGATAAGGTGACAAAGTCGAATGGGAACGAACGGCGGGGGCGATGTGAGCGATCGACGTAAAGGATGATTTGGTCCGAAAGGCGCTAGCATTCGCCGCCGGGAGTTGTCCGGTCGGCTTCAAAGGAATGGCCAACGGACTATTGAAAGCCTTCGCTGCGAAACCCTGGAGATTCACCTCACCGTCAGCTTTTGAAGGGTGGGACGACGCGCGACTGTACTTACCAGTCTGGTGAACTGGGCTTGAAAGGCCATGGCTCTGTTTTACAGCGGCGCGGGGCCGCGGGCGGGTAGGGTCCTCTGCTCCTCGTTCAATATACAATAGAAAGGAGAACCGAGTTTGGAAAGCTCAATTCAAGAGAATGACATCGCTAACGCGGATCGGAGATGATGAGGATGATGATAGGTGCTCCGCATTGATGCGGCGGAATGCTATTGCGATCTATGGCGGTGTGGGCGGCCGTACACATCACGTGCTACAAGTGATCGGATAAATGTATAATCCGAGGCAACTGTTGTTTGCTCACTCGGGACGGCAACATTGGAAGCTCGAACACACCTGGACTATACACCTGTGAGCTGGATTTTAGGCTACGCGAATTGTGATCATGATCTTTCCTCAAATATCTTGCGTTGAAGCCCTTCAATCACAGACCTCTATGTCTGCTTCAGCTGAGATTTGACACCACTCAGATATCGATCGATTATTTGGTCATTGGAATGGCATCCAGATGATTTCGTTGTGAATCCTATATTAATCCCCATATACGAAGCAAAAGCACTCCGGCTGCGCTAGGCGCTATACATGTATGCATGTATCTGTGGGTCATCGATTTCTTTCAGGGCTATCAAGACCTCAGCATCGTTGGAACGCGCTTATAGATCAGACGATCGCCCGACCGGAAATTCAATTATTAATTAAGATTCAGATGCTACTTATGTCTTTGTCAACGGGTGGCAAGTTCATTTCACACCATGATGACAAGCAAGCTGAAATACCACGGTTCAAAATACAAGACACCTTCTCAGTATCATGGTGACACTAATATGTCAATTATGGAGCTCAACATATGGTTAGAGACCAACTCACTATATACAAAATTTGCTCTCCACACCACATCTCCAAGGCTCCAAATGCGAATTACTAAAGATTGCTATATAACCAATATACCCGGGGTCTGAATCCGCCCTCAAGACGCAAAGCTGAACAAAGCCGCAAGCTTCTTAGAATCATATCCCGCAGACAGAGCAAGCTGCAACATGATCCGAGCCTTTTGAGGGTTCAAGTCTTGTCCACCGTACATGTTACCAGATCCATCCTCCTGGACAAAGCCTCCCATCGTCCTGCTTGAGACCACCACCTGTGTACCGTGTTCCCTGACCAATTTCTCAATTTCATCTGTTCCCGCCGATGTCCAGCCACCAGCACCCATGCCCGCCAACACGAGGCCCTTCGCTCCACTTTCTACCGCAGAGCGAGCCAGCTTCGGGTTGAGGGCCTGATGTCCGAAAAGAATATCGACTTCAGGCAATTCAGTTGCCCCAGAGACGTTGAAGTACGCATGGCCAACGGGCAAGACTGCGGGATAGTAGAACAGTGGCTTCACATCCAGGAAGTACCCCAGGTAGCCCTGCTCGTATGCCTTGAAAGTGTCAAGGGCATTTGAGTGTGTCTTTGTCATGTAGAAGGCGCTTCCGATGCGATCGTTCAACACAACCATGGTACCACGCCCACGTGCCTCGGGGGTTCCCGCAAGTGTAACCGCTTCCAGGAGATTCATGGGTCCGTCCGCACTGATAGCTGTTGCTGGCCGCATGGCGCCCACCACGACGACAGGCTTGTCGGATTTGATTGTCTGGTCCAGGAAAAATGCCGACTCCTCCAAAGTATCGGTTCCGTGGGTGACAACCGCTCCCTGGCAGTAGGGATCGTCTAGAGCTTTTTGGATCATCGATGTCAAGTTCAGGAGGATCTCGGGGGTGATGGATCCCGAATCGACATTGGCGACCTGAACACCTTTGACATTTGAAATGTTCCAGAGCTCAGGTACAGCGTCAATCAGGATATCGACGCCCAGAGCACCGGCAGTGTATCCCGTGGTCGCAGTATTAGAGGCAGCCGAGCCAGCAATGGTTCCTCCAGTAGCGAAGATGGTGATGTTTGGAAGACTACTGTTGAAATGGGTATCGCGGGTGAATAAGTGATGGGGAATAGTAGGCACAGTCGGAGCAGCCACACTGTATCCAAGGCAGGATAGGAAGAAAGTCCCGGTGGTTAAAGGAGAACGCATCTTGGAAGAAGTGTGTATGGTTTATTCCAGTGTATGGCGAGTGCTGGCTAGAAAAAGTTGTACTTCAGTGGAATTCGCCGTGCCCTTATAGTCACCTCAACGGCACATTCATATCCATGAGCCTCTTGGCGATCTTGGCTTTGCGATAGGCAACAGAGCCCGTTCTTCTTTCTTAGGGCTACTCAGTGGCTCCAAGGTTGATATGGTTCGATATCCAGCAACGTAATGGGCGATAAACCAGCGACATGACGGCTAGATTTCCCAATTGAGATGGAACGTGGAGAAGTCTTATCAATGAGATCGATAGGGACTACTACAGACAAAAACGACCTTAGTCAACACATCAGAGACATGAACAAGTTCAATAGCTCACTTATCGAACATGTTACGTTATACGATCCGAGATCCCGAAGTCGGGGTGTTTTCACGGAAGCGGATAAGGGCGTCAGCCTCCCACGGTTCAGTTGGATTAAACTCTCACCCGAGGTTTACCCCTCAGATGCTGCACGATACCCCGTTACGCTAGAGTTAAAGCGGTCTCATTCTCGCTTCTCATTGGATTGCGGGAATAGGACGATTGATAAATAGGAACAAGGGCCCGGAGACCTCGGAGAGGTGGGGCTCATCCTTCCTTATCTTGCCGGCTTCTCCATACAGTGAAAGATGACAGTAGGTAGAACAGGGATTTTGGATCTTTACAAAAGCTAATACCCAGATTCCATCGCATGATCACAGTACATAGCGTAACTAAACCCCGTTTAAAAAGGAGCTTAGTCCTATCTAACGTGGCATGATGTGAGCTACCCCAAGAGACGTACAAGCAGCAGCGTCAAGTGCCCAGTATTCAAGTGGATGATAAATTAGACTATCTCGATCGGGAAGCTCACATCTGCGCCCAGGCAGCCGGTAATTTGAAAGGAATGTATATACCTAGGTATACAACTTCACAAATGCACCGAGAACGGTGCGGAGGGGCCCCTTGCGCGTGAACCGATATGCTACAATCACAGCCAAGTGCCAATGCACCATATATACCTACCTAGGTACTTGTTTCCTTTTTTCAACTTAGTGGGAGTGGCTTTAAAGTTCATAATATTTGGAATCACTGAAGCGAAGCAACTAGAGACAAACGCTTGATAAATCGCACAAAAAGGTAGTGCAGCGACAGGAACTTTGGAAGCACGATTAATATGTAACTCAGCGCTTCACGTCGTATTCGACGTAGGTGCTACCACGGACATCCGCAGTGGTATCAACCTGCAGAGCATTACCATAATCCCTCTGTCCCGCAAACCCATGCTTTTCATCGGAGCCAGCCGTGTACTGGGGAGCGACATGCCCATCAGACACATGCTTCGGATAAGCAGTGAGCGGCACTTCAGTGAAACCATTCTGATCCTCGGGTGGACCTCCGCGAGGAATAGGGTCCATCATATGGCCCTGGCCACCCTCGCCACGCTGTTTTTCGCGGCCCCAGAATAGCATCATGGCACGGGTGATTCCAATGAGGGCAATGAAGACCCAAAGGAGAAGGATGGCCGTGGCGATAATTGCTTCAATGCGTAAGGCTTCTTGGAGCTTGTTGATGACGCTGATGACGACCTCGGTAATCTTGTTGGATGTTTCATCGCCGGCGTCAGCGAGGAAGCTGTCGGATGGATTGGACGAATCGTCGTTGATGCTGTCAGATGCACCTGCAGAGAAGGTGTCATTTGGGAGCGTGGGAAGAGAAATATGCGCATGTTCGGATATCCAGTTCAATCCCTTCTGGAGAGACTCTGCTTTGAGACCGATCAGACATTCGTATAGTTCATAAACCGGCTCTTGCAAAATGGTCCCCTTGAATGTCTCATTGAGTGCACTGGAGGTGTTGTAGATGAAGAAGTTTAACGTCTCATTGATAGCATGGGTGCTCGTGTTGACCCATCCAAAGACATTCTTGTTGAGATCAGTGTCGAGATTGATGATGGCCTTGTTAGCATCAGTGGCCCAGTCTGTTGAGGCAGTCTCAAGAGCCCCCACCACCTTGTCAGCGAATGCTCCCACTTCAGAGCTCAACGCTGGTACAGTCTTCTTGATCGAGTGAAGAAGAATATACTGGCACAGACAGGAGAAAAGGGCTGCAAGAGCAAGAGCCAAGACAAAGAGGGCTGGTAGAGATGTCGCGTAGGCGATGGCCCACCGAACGAGGATCTGTCGGCGGCTGTTGCTGAAGTGGCTTGCTGCTTTGATACCGGCAGCAGCAGTGTAGGGCCGCGAAACAATGTAGACAACGTCCATCGGGTCGTGTGCTTCTTTTCGAACCAGCTGGGACCGTTCTTTCATAGAGCGCCATCGACGCACCTCTTGCCATGCAATTGGAATGCAAACCAAGATGGCTGCCACGATGAGGACGGCGAGGAAGATCTTGCGGGCGGTTAAGACAAGGCCCGTAACCCCGCTGAAGAAGTCATTGATTCCACTGTTGTCATTGCAAAAGTCCAATTGTTTCTTAGCCGGAACCGGGAGGGCAGATCGGTCAAAGCTGTAGGCTCCCAGAGATTGATTGACTAGGTCTTTGACCTCTTGGAATGGCGTTTGGAAAATAGTCTTGGTGAAGTTCTGGATTTCCTTGAAGTTAGGAAGGACAAGGCTGTCTAACTTCTCGACAGTGCTGTTGACCGATGAAGGAAGAGACAAGTTTTCCAACTTGCTAATTGTGCTGTTCAGGTTGATAGGAGTTGGGTCGTCGGTGAACAAGCTGGCCACTTTGTTGATTGTTTCGAGGAAGGTATCCAGCTCATCCTTATACTTGGTGACGGTACTTTCGATGTCGTCGCCGATTGAGGCCAGTGTCTTGTTGATCCACTCTGTTGCCTCTTTGACCAGCTCGATCCCAGCTCCAACTGTGCCACGTACGGCCATTGTGATAAGACAGGCATATGTCGAATACATCATGTTGAGAACGAACCAAAGGATTTCCCCGACGCCCGTGATGGTCATCAGCAGCATTGATTTCAAAGCAGCAACTGCACTGTCGACAGATGATGCGACAAGTTCATTGGTGCCTCTGGAAAGATAATGAGGCATCGAGGCCATAGCGCTGCCCATGGATTCAACCGATGTGCAGGCGGAGAGCGCCTCGCGCTTGGCGGAGGCCATGTTGGATTGCACATCGCCGACGGCAATCAGTAGTCGAACAAGAACAAGAAGTAGGAGAATCGTCCAGCGATTGATCCATACTTGTGAGAGTCGGGCTCGAAGTCCAAGATATGGAGTAAGACCGTCTGGGTGTAGTGGAATAATTCGTCCGGTGCTAGAGTCATGAGCTCCATAGGGTGGGAGCAACGGGAATACCGATCGCCCGGACCGGGAGAATACCATGTTGATGTGTTTTGTTCGGAGTATGTCGAGGTTTGTAATGTTGATCTCGTCCCGCGAAGATCGGCCACTCGGTCAGTTCGGAGCCAAATTAGATGAGAGTGGATATGCAAGTTCTGGAACCAAAAATTCCGGGGAGTAAGAAAGAGAAATGAACAGTCAGTCTAATGATGACACATGACGCATATAATGTCTTATTGAGGGTGAATGAATGAAAGTTGAATGAATTAGAGCGGGTGGCGAGGAACAATAGAACCAAAATAAGACAACAGGACAATGCATCGTCAATATATAGCAACCAGTAAGCTTTCTCTCGGCCTTTTCAGACACCTGGGCGGCACCAGATGTTACCTGCACTGATGTATTTAAATAAAGAAGCAGTTTGGTGGAGACTTTGGTGGTCCTGAACGGTGGAGGCAGCCACTCAGAGCACAACATGCCCTTGTCGAAACACAAAGGACATAAAAATAAAGACTGAAGAAAAGACATATTTACCAGGGGTTGTTTCATACACCATCGACGCGTACTATTGGTCCGTTGGAGATGTCAAAGCCGCCAGGGTGGACAAACAGCCAAATTTAGTCCCGTGGGCGCTTAGCCGCCCGCATCTTAGAGCCAATGGTCGGCCAGCGCTACATCGAACATTCAAGGGTTAGGCTCCAAGGTCACCAGGATCCAAATGGCATATAGAAAGGCAGCCGCCAATTCTCCTGCTCCTAAGGTCGAGCCCAGGGGAAACAATTCACTGGCTTCATGGCTGGTGTCAACCTTGGAAAGTTTGCCCTTGTGTCAACCAAAGCAGGCGTGCTCCGTAGAAATAGATCGTTCTCCATTTCCTTAATCGGAATATCGAATCGTGAAGTGATGGGACAAGTATACACGGTAAAGTGCCCCAACGAGCCCGCGTTGGTCGTTGGACCTTGGAAGTCGCGGTCGTCAACAATGAAAAGCTCACGCGGCATCAACCGGTCCGTGCATTTAGAATCACCTGATGCACCCACACCCTAACATGGCAACCACATTGGCACATACAGACGATGGGATAGAGTCGGGATGGATGTTGAAGGATTTGATTCGAAAAAAGCCATGGAATCCCGTGAAATTGCCATCAAGTTGAATGTGGACTTAACATGTACTCATGTGAGTTGTGCCCAGGTGCACGATATATAACGCAGCCTCCTGTTACGCCCACCTGGGCATTGGCTCAGTACATCCATGGCTGTCATGCCCACTGCGGGATACCTAGGTACCTAGGTATTGTGAAGGTCTCTCAGACGCAAATCAAGACCAAGGGAACTGCTGAGACCCCATAATGGCCATTGCATTATTTCATGAGAGATAAGCATTGTAATAGATAGATCTGAGATCGGCCAGAGGTATATCCATGGATAGCTCGAGAGAGGTGTCAGCAACGATAGGTCCCGTGTAATTTAGTAAAATTGTTCGCAATCCGAAAATATCACGCAGAAAGACCCCCAAAAGATCACGCATGAAGGGTGTGTCTTCTGAGATTTACGTCAGGGCCTTGAAGGTTTCCTATCGCTTGGCAACTTCAAGTCTTAATCAGGCAAGAAGAGTAGCAGTGAAGGCGTATGCACGGCTAGTGTTCGACCTTGACTCAATCTTTCCCAGATTATCAGGCTCTCCAAGGAAGGGTAGCTGGTAGAACAATACCTTGAGTATTGACGAAATCATGAATTGGGGAAGGTATTGATTGTATTCAATTTTATTCAGCCACTCTGAGAGTGCTCCCCGTGTTATTGTCTCTGAATGCCTCTTCTATCCCCTCACTACTTCTTCTCTTCCTCCTCATCCTCCTCCTCATCCTCCTCATCCTCCTCATCCTCCTCATCCTCCTCATCCTCCTCCTCTTCCTCCTCATCCTCTTCTTCCTCCATCCTCTCTAAACCCGTCCCCATCGGCCTTGCCTTCCTCTGGCCGCTGTATCTCATCAAAAGCACAGCAGTCTCTCCTTCCACAGAAGAGACTGTTTAGGTTAGTTCATCGAGGCAGCCATCCCCGGAAGAAGCAGAGATGCTATGTTTCTGCCAATATGATGTTTTCAGGAGCTGACTGAGGGGCAGAAGCACATCATCGCCTACTCGCGTGTCACGTCTGGAATCCGTGACTGACATCTCAAAGTTACCGTGCTGACTGGGTATAGGCCGACTTGACTTACTGTCGCAGTTTGAAAAGACCTGAGTACGCAAGAGCCCTAACTAATCGAGCCAAAGACCCGGCTTTCTCCAATCAATAACATACCGCTAACCAATATCAGATCCCCCCAACATAACACCACCTCGCCATGGCCCACCACCTTAGCAAGTTCGCCAAGGAAGAAGGGGACCAGAAGCCTTCTGGTTCTACCTTAGACCAGCGCCAGGATATCTCAACATCTCCTCGTCGGTTGAAGCTTTACGGCGGCAGCAGATGCCAGACCCCACAGAGTCCACACAGAAACATCTTTGTCCCCCACAGCGACGCTGAATTCAATTTGAAACTCCTCAATGGTCAAATGCGCCTCAGTATTGCCGACTGGAAGAGCGGAGTGCCCAAGTTCCTCATGAAAAACCACGTTCTTGGTAAGCCAAAGGGTGGCCTCGAGGTTGGATTTCACGATGAAACCATCAATATCGAGTTCCGAATTCCGCCCGGTTTTCCCGATGGCATGATTGGGTTCATGACTATCTTGCAATACATCTTTCTGGAGCCAGAATGTCTGGGAATACTGGATATCAAAATTGGTAGCGATCCTGTCAAGGCAGAGTCCCGCAAAGCCAAAGAGCAGAAGGGTAAAGTCGGTTGGTCCTCCCCATGGGACAGCTCCGGCTGCCGAGTGAGTTGGATCAAGGAGAATGAAGATTCCGTGATGAAGTACAAATTCTCCAATATCAACAAGATTGGAGTTGATGAAGAGATGATTGTGACGATGGATGAATGCAACGAACTTTATGGGAAGATCGGTTCAGCTGATCCGGTAAGTGTCAAGCTTGAAAGTTGCTCATCCAAATTTTCGATTTGTTTGCTAACAAACCAAAGAATACATACGGCAAATGGCTTGCCATGCCAGCAAGAATCTGGCTTCGGACACAGTGGTTCATGCGCAATGTCCAGGATATTGACAACGGTATTTTCAGCAAGTTGACCAAGTCCACGGCACCTGTTGAAGAAATGCAACCTACATCTAAGCGTAAGGGCAAGAAGAAGAAAACGAAGAGCCGAAGGTCATTGGGTCCTGCCAATCCAAGCTCTACGCCTACATCGGATCAGAAACCCCCAACCAATGCTCCATCGAATATGCAAGCAGTCGCCAAAAGCACGCCCAGTCTCACTGTTCAAACCGCAAGTGTCTCAATCGATATGATCGAGAGCAAGCACAGCATTGGTGCACACAAAGAGGGAGAAAAGCCTGAGCACGCGAAGATAGCTTCTCAGAATGGCCAAATTGACATGCGAATGGGCTCGTCTGATGAAGGAACCCCAACTGAGCAGCATTCAGTACAATGCAGTGGGCAATCATCGTCACCAGCCTACTTCCATTCACCTACCTTGACCCCCGCACATCCCGAGTCGCCAGCCGATGCGACCCGAACTTGCATCTCTCCCATCATCTCTCGAAACCCAAGCACGCCATGTAGCTTTTCTACCGCCACCGATATCTGGCCACAAAGCATCCCAGGCGAGATTGATACTGAGGAGATGGAGGAAATCGAAATTGAGCTCGCAACACCCATAGCAGGCGCTGAGGGCTACTCTTCTGGTAAGTTGTTACTTCGAGATCACTTTGTTCAATTTGGAATCAGTTGCTGAAAGTGTATCCAAGACCCCGAATTGTACACCGGCTATCGTATGGATATGCTGGACGGAGATCCCCCGCACATGGACTCTTCAGATGCAGTAAGATTGGGTACGCCATTCATGTAACTTGCTTCACATGATTTCGAATGATGGGCTCACATGTATCTTAGGTCTTTTCGAGGGCCTTCAGAAGGTAGTCTCACCAACGAAGCAAAAGTCGCGCGCCCTTCCCACTCCAGCTACAGAAAATGCCCAGCTGGCAACGGAAGAAGATTGTGCTGGTGCAACTCAATGTTCCGACGAACCCCTTGACGAGTCTAGTCGCATCAGCGAGACCAAGCTAGCCAAGAACAAGAAAGACCGCATACGGCGGAAGAAAAGGGCTGCAGCCACATCAACACGCGGATTTATGGAGTGCTATTCGACCACCTATCCCGGATTCTCGTTAGTACATGGATGGAAGACTAATTCTTCGTCTTCGTCTGAGACTCTTGAAGAAGAATCTCCCACACCCACACAGAAAGGCGAAGATAGCATCAACCTCACGGAAGGCCAATGGAACGTCTTTGAGATTCCTCTTCCCTGTTCGAGAGAGGGCTGTCCGAACCAGTGCAGCTTCATGGATGGATCTACTGTCATCTGTCCAGCATGTGGTCCATTCTCCCTGGTCCGCTACTGCGGCAAACAACATCTGTGGGAAGACGTCCTGGATCATTGGATCAGGTGCCGTTGCTATCCTCTTCTTCACAAGTTTGGTATCAGTTCTATTCCAAAGGAAATCTTCATGGGACCACCAATACTGCACAACTTTCATCAATGGGACAGACCTGAGCGTCATCGCCAGGCCGTGTGGTTCTCTTCTGCTGCTAGTTATGGGGACTACTTTGTCTTCATGAACAACGACTATCCCCCGAATTCCGTGTATCAATCAGTCGGCTCCGAGGGACCCGTGTACCCAATGGGGGCGAACGTCGCCTGTTGGTTTAAGGAGCCCCAAGAGAAAGATCGAATTCGTCGAGTTCTGGCAGTTTGCCTTTTCTGTAAGTTGACCCCCTCCTTTTCTCGCTATTTCTGGCTATCCTTCCCCTCGCTTCTATCGTCTATCCATAATTCTTTTCTTTTTCGACATTGCTTGTTTGTCATTATCCTTTGGACCATACTCATTCATCAACCACGTCCAAATCCTAAGCTAATGAACTTCTTTCTCCTCAGTGGCACCCCAGCATCCAGCCATCGTCGGCTATTTGTATCGCCTAGTCCGGGACTGGTTCATCAGCCATGGCTGGCTCAGTGAAAGCGTGCACGGTGCGCTCGCTCGCCAGATAGGACTCGAAACAGGACTTGATCCAAAATTGTTGATTAATTCGGAGCTTCACGCCTGCGAAGCAGAGTGGTACGGCAAAAATCACCCTTGCTCCAACCCCCGTTGCGCCTCTGATCCTCCTACCATGTTTCCCTATCCCGGGCTGAGTGGGTTCAAGGAGCTCTGCGATATTCTGGAGGGTAACTTCTGGTTATTGCGAGCACACCGAACCACTCATCCCGGGGTGGGGGACATGGTGGATCGGATTCAGGGCGTTGGATTCGATCAGGCCCGAGTGTCGGGGCGGGTTTGGCCCCGCGGGGAGGGATGGGATGGTGTGGGGACGGGCCCTATGTGGGTGGAAGAGGCGTGGCCTCTTTGGCCGAGGTTCGCCGCGATCTAAACAGTTACTGTGGCCATTCTGTTGACTGATATTTGCAGTACAAAGTAGTGACACACTTGTCGAGTTAGAAAGGAGTTTTTGAGATGTTGAGTCAGGGTTTCTATTATTCTGTCAGGGTTTGAATATGAATTTGTCTTGGTGTTGTCAGATGCTTAACAAGTAAATTTTCTTTTACATACCCGAAAATTATCTGAACTAATTCAAGGCCTTTGTCCTGTAGTGTCTGAGTATATGCTCTGATATTCTTAGCGATGCAGATCGCCTGGAGGTATATACAAGCTAATGCAGCAATCCACCTCAGATACAACAACGACCAATCAGCCGGGATCAGCCTTGACTCCAACCCAATCAGATGTTAAATACTGCCGCTCAATGAATGGGGCGCATGGGGCTCTGATTTGTTCGGTTGCAATTGGTCGGCATGTTCAGCTCAGCGCTAAGGGCAACCCGGGGGGCACCCCGCCACCTGGGCGGCTTGAGACCTGCTCTGTACAGTACTAGGCTACAGCCCTGTCAAGCTTGCTCTACGGAGTAATTTCAAGTGATTGACAATAAACCGATACAAAGAATCGCAGCACAAGAGCGTCTGACCTGATGGGGCGGTTCAAGAGGGTGTTGGGCAAACTAGGCCGTCGCGCTGAGAGCCATCAAGATGCCGGTGTTCCTATGACATGCGTCAAGATAGAGCCTTCGAGCTCGGACAGTCATGCGCCCGTGCAATCCTCGCAACCTCAATCAGATGGGGGAACGTCCAGTGCACAAAAAGAGAATCTGTGGTTGGAAGCTCGGGACAAGATCTCACAAGATGACCGCGAAAGTATCAAAGAGTTCAACGCACAGGGGTCTGGCGCGGCTGAGCTCAATGTCAGAGGTATGGTTCTTGACTTGCAACAGAAGGGAGAGGCGTGCAAAGCGAAAAGTTGGAAATTCCGCGTCGGAAATCACACTGCCAACTTCCAAGATGCAGTCAATACAGCGCTGCGTTGGGTCGACAAGGTTAAAGGCCCAATTGATATCGCTGTCAGTGCTGATCCAGTGCATGCCGCGCTACCCTGGGCTGGTATCAAGTTCCTTATTCTGGTACCTTTTTCCGTCTTCCAGTCTGCGACTACTCTAACTTTCAATAGATGGCTGAAGCCAACAGAGATCAAATTGAGTCTTTGCTTTATGGCATGACGCACATTTTCCGCGTGACGAGGCGTTGTCAGCTCTATGAGGCTCTCATCAATGATACCTCGCTGCCACCATCCGACCATTCAACGGAAGCACGCAAAAACGTCAGATCTGCCCTGCTTGAGCTCTACACACTGATTTTGCAGTTCCTTGCTGACGCAGCTCGCACATTTCGTCGCGGCTCTAACTCTAGGGCTTTCACTGCGATATGGTCAACCAGTGTAATCAGCCAGTTCGAGAACGACTGCGAAAAGCGTGAAAGACTTGCGGAGAGAGAGGTAAAGGTTTTTGAAATTCTTGGATCTAGTCACCTGCAAGCACTCATTAAAAATTGCGAGAACGACCTCAAAGACCTTTCCGATGCCATCATCCAGGTAGAAGCGACAACTTCTGCCATATGGGAGTGTCTCCAAGGAGAGAAAAGGGGCAAGATTCTTGAATGGATATCTGAAATTGATACGTCAGATCAGCATCAGATCGCGAGAGGTGACAGAACGATTAATACCGGTACTTGGCTCTTGGAACATCCTACATTCGGTGACTGGGAATCCCGACCTGACTCGGCTATACTTTGGCATAATGGAATTCGTGAGGCCGTATTAACCTTTAAAACTTACAAAATGACTGACAGTAATCACAGCCGGTGCTGGAAAGACAAAATTGGTATCCAAGGTAATCGATTATTTCGAAAGCGATCACCCTGACAAGTCACTCGCCTACTTCTACTGTGACCGCGGAACTCCGCAACTTCGCAGCCCAGTGAACATCCTGCGAAGCTATATCAAGCAACTTTCCACATCTCGAGAGAGGGGATCTATTCGAAGTTCCATCATTGAGCGATACGACGACTTGAGATCTAGGGGGTCATCGACGAAATTGAACTATCAACAGAGTGAAACGCTTCTCTCGGAGCTCATCAACTCCAATTCCACTCAAACCACGGTCCTCATTCTTGATGCGCTCGACGAAGCTGAAAGTCGGCCTCTGGAGGATTTCCTGAAATCCCTGGAGCTGTTGCTTTCCTTGTGCTCGGGGTTGAAAATTTTGATCTCGAGCCGACGCGATGAAGACATCAAGCGACACCTGCAGTATCAGACAGTTCTCGGGATCGAAGCTACACAGAATCAAGAAGATATTCAAAAATTCATTGATTTGGAGCTGGACAAGATGGCAAACGGCAATCGGCCGTACCTGTCTGAGGAGCTTAAACGGATAATCCGTGACGATCTCGTTTCAAGGAACCAGGGAATGTTAGTCGCGAGAGAGTCAATCTTCAGGAGAAAACTCGAATACTGACATATTCTAGGTTTCAGTGGGTGGCTGTCCTTCTCCTCAATCTGCCAAAGATGCCAGAGGACATTCAAGGCTGGTTGACTCGTTTCCCTCCGGACTTGAAAGGAACATATCAGCACATTGTCGATGAGATAGAAGCGCCCAACGATAGCATGTCCAAAATTGCTGCGAGGGCTTTTGACTGGGTTATGGGCTCGTTCGAGCCATTGCACCAGGATGATTTGCTAGATTTTATACGCCGAAGCCCCGAGGGAGATGGGATTGAATACTCCCTATTAACAATAGACCATGTGCTTGATGCCTGCCGCAATCTTCTTGTCTTCGATCCTCCGTCCAGAGGCTCTTTCAGACACAGTCGCTTCATGCATCTATCCGTTCGCGAGTATCTGGAGGATCGCACTCCTGGGAAAGACGGCCATACTGTTCATCGCCAACTTCACAACAGACTTGCCCTTGTCACCCTGGGAATTATACTGGAAAATAATGACACTTCATCGCGCGAGTGGTTCAAACACGAGCGAGCCGAGGGAGTCGAGACAGACACGGAAGTCCCTCGAGTGTATGCAGCAAAATTTTGGCCTCGACATGCCAGCATTGCTTTAACGCCAGAAATCTCTCCCACGGATGAGATCACACAAAAGCTGGTGACTTCGATTGAAAGGCTGTTCAGTCCTGAATTCTCATTTGCTTTCGAAAACTGGGTCATAGACTTCAACCATGACGACGAGGACTCTTTTAAGCAGACTTATTTTATGCGTGTACTTATCCATCCTTCATGTGATGTGTCCAGAATCATGCAAAGATTCATCAAGTCATTACCCGACAGGCTATACTATGCCTCTCTACTGGACTTTGACTTTCTGGTGAGGAAGATGATTAGCCATGGCATAAGAGGGAGTCGCAAGGGTGCGTTTGGAAGTGCAATTGCTGCTGCGGGCACAAGATCCAGCGTGAAAACATTGAGAGTGCTCCTAAGCGACTCCGGAACTGTTCGTCTCAAGGATTATATTACCATTGTGCAAAATATTCGAGCAAGAATCCCTGAGACTATCTCGATTCTTGGCCAGTTTCCAATCCAATCTTCGGATACAGTACTCACTTCGGGCAATTTTGGTCGAGCAAATGGGCTTCATCCTATAGAGTCCGGTCTCACAAAACTTGCTGTTGAAGCGGCGAAGAATCGAAAATGTGGCGATCAAATACTCGCAGCTCTTCTGGATACCAATTCAGGCTTTCCTATCACTGAGCCTGTCATGTTGGCAGTTGCTGGAAACAAGGCCTGTGGAGATAGAATCATGGCCATGCTTTTGGAACGGTCTGAACTGAGAGGGTCGGTTGTGCAGACAGCTTTCAAAAGCGTGCGTTGTGAAAAAGAGCTCACGTTTATCTTCTCTGAGTTTCCCACGGAGCAATCATGGCGAATGGACCTTTTATTGGACACAAAAGTGATTGATGCTGTTTTTGAAAACTGCTGGTCTGGAGACAGGATCATGAAGCTTCTTCTGGATGCAAAGATATGCGATATCTTTGTGACTGCTGCGCGAATGAAACACTATAATACACGACTTTTCGCCCTGCTCTTTCAAATTCAGACCGAAGTACTCGTTGAGTTGAACCTAGAGGCAATCGCGCAGGGGCTGGATTTCATCAGACGGATATTTCACTGGCATGTATTTCCCAACCAACGGGTCGAGCTCACTCCAGAAGATGTGTTGAAGCTCGCTACCATCAATCAACTCGATGATGGCGTCCAAAGGGATGAACATCCACTCAACTTAATTTTAGATGAAGGTGCAGCATCTCTGCAAATTCCAGACATGGTCACCGTTGTTGCTGGGAGTTCTAGAAACGACGACGACGCACACAAAGCTCTCTCAGGACGCAGTATCAACGAATATGCAGTTGCAGAATCCGTTTCCCTTGCCATAAAAGCTGGCGATCGTGGTCTCAGGTTCTTCGAAGCACTGTGTGAATTATGCAGGCTCAGTGCTGGGATTCAGAAAAACTGTGCGCCTAGCTACAAACTTGTGAGCGAGGCATCCAATGAGAATGTTTGGGAGCTTTTGCCCTTAAGCATCAGGGACGAAGCAATAAGTACAATCAAGATCCACGACCTGTCAGTGCCGATCACCAAACCACTGCTTGAGAGAATGGATCAATTTGATCGTATAGAGCTACTCCCACATACGTCCCACGTTACTTCAGGTGCAGTCGTCAAGCTTTTTCAGGATATGTCTACCTGGGAGTTCGTGGATTTTCTCCGAGAGACAAAAGCCGAGATTTCGCTCAGCGAGGATCTCATCCAGGCGGCAGCGGAGGTAGCAGACGGGGACAGACTGATCAGTTCGATCATTAACACCCATGGCTCGCAATTGGCGATCACAGAGTCGATTGTCACCGAAATTGCCGCGCATTTTTCAGCCAGCGTGATGAATGATTTGCTTCAGGAGTGCAAGGAGGTGCCCATAACCCGGCAAGTTTTCGAAGCCGCGAAGGCAAATCCACGAGATGCGGACGAGATGCAGAATTTTCTTGAAAAAAGATTGGCACTGGAATGAGGTAGTTCATAGCCATAGGAAGGATCCCTGGTTTTGGCCACGATTCTTTGTTCATAATACACCGTACTCCCGTAGGTGCCAAGTGGATTGCATGTCTTTCATTTCTATCTAGGCATGATCTGTATGCGCTCTTATTTCTTTACTGGATGTACTTCTTCAGGCCTCTCAGGCGCTCCTTTGCGGTCTCGAGAACATCATCATTCTTGCAGACCGCAAAGCGAAGATAATCCTCCGCGATGTGCGTGTTGGCATCAGTGTAGAATTCCGTGGGAGGAATTGCAGCAACACCGACCTCATGAATGAGGAACCAACAGAGCTTGAAGTCACGGGGGCGATTGGCAACGTGGGGAGGGAAGGGGTAGTCAGCTGGGAGCTTGACAGCAGCCATGTTGACAAGGACGAAGTATCCACCCTCAGGGTCGGAGTACTACAAAAAGTCGGGTTAGCCATGTTCAACTCACACGGCGCCAGATTAAAGAAACAATTGTTACATACCGGAAGACCGAGTTCGTCGAAAACTTCGCAGAAAAGCTTGATCTTGTTCTGCATATCCGTTCGGCTCTCATCCCAGAAGCCCTCCGTCTCGGCCTTCTCAAAGGCAACAGCAGCGGCCTCTTGGAGAGGAGAGACACTGCTGTAGCAGATGCGGGTGTGGGCACCGGCCACGTACTTGACCAGGTGCTCGGGGCCAATGAGATATCCCACACGCCAGCCAGTGGCGTAGAAGGCCTTGCCGGCAGAGCCGACGGTCAAAGTGCGCTCGTATAGCTCGGGAGACAAGGTAGCAATCCGGGTGAATGGAACATAGAACAAACGGTCGTAGACCTCGTCGGACAAGATGATCAAGTTGTACTTCACGCATAGCTCACCAATGCGCTCAAGCTCCTCGCGCGAGAAGACCTTGCCGACAGGGTTGTGACTACAGAAATGCGGTTAGCGGACTTAAATCAGTTCATGACTGGAGATCACTGCTCACGGAGAGTTCAAGACCTAGTATGGTTAGCTTGGGAATTCACTCATGCTTGTCGCTCGAATACTTACAATCATCTTGGTCTTGGAGTTCATGGCATTCTCGAGCTCCTCGAAGTTGATGGTCCACTCGGACGCAGGAGAGGTTCGGGTGGCACCGTCCTTGGGCGGGTGGAGGGGCACATAACGGATAGTACCGCCGGGCATCTCAATATTGCTAATATACCTGTTCACCAAGTTAATAAGCTGGTCTTCTGGCAAGAGTGAAGTTGCATACTGGTCAAAGAACGGTTCAAAGATGATGACTTCATCACCGGGCTCGATGAAGCCCATGAAGGCACTGAGCATGCCTTGGACATCTGGTCAGCATGGAGTTTCACCCGCGGCACCGCCCATCACTCCTCACCTTCATTTGCGCCCGTTGTGATTGAGACCTCGGTCTCAGGGTTCAGCTTCTTGCCGAAGAAGGGCGAGTATGCGTCCGCAATGGCCTGCTTGAGGCGGGGGCGGCCCTGTGTTCTGTGAGCGACTGTCGGGGTATATGCGGGGGTCGTCGGTGGTCCCCTACCTTGGTGGGGGAGTACTGGTTGCATTCGACACGATCCAATGCATCCTTAGCCGCATCGATAGCGAACTTGGGAGGGTTGTAGCCACTGCAACGAACGTCATATGTCAGCGATTGCGGGCTGAAGCGATTGCGGGGAGGGCCGAAGTCACTCACAAGAACCCTTGGCCCATGTTCACGATGGGCTGGACAGGCGATGCAGCTGCCGCCTCATTGACGATTGACCTAGTACCATGTCAGTCTCGCTCCCACTTTGTGTGCTGCCGTCGCCTACCAGACATCCTGGCGCTGTCCTGCTACCCGCTTGGCGGGGCGGAATGGGTCGGGGCGAGCAGCTGTTGCGGACATAGCTCTATAACCGAAGGAAAGGGATACAGGACTCAGTCGTAAAGCGGGTGAACGTAGAAACATGACAGAGAGAGAAGTGCGGAGTACAAAAGTTGCGGGCAATGGCGTGCTCGGTGATTCGTTGGACCTCCGCGGGCAAGTGTTACTTCAGCTACTCACTATTTCGGATTCACCGTTCACGAATATTTGCCGAATGCCCCTTGATTCCGTTTGGGGATTCTTACAGCTTCAGATATTCCAGTCTACAGGTCCATTGCCAAGGTACCTAGGTAGTGCCCAGGCTGCAATTACTAAGGCGCGTTAAAACGCGTCGGGTCCGCATCACCACCGTGTTATGACCACTACACTCACAATGGTTCACTGTCCGATCTGCGAAAAGTCAGTCCCGCAACTGAAGATCAATGATCACATCGACTCCGGCTGTCAGAATTTCATCGAACCATCCTCGCCGGACTCCCAAAAGGCTGTCCCCAGCATCTTCCAACCACCCTCCGCACGCAAATCTTCCCAGTCAACCAAGGAACCACAGGTCACACCGCGACCTTTGAAGGGCAAGAGGTCTTTTGTTCACGATGATGAGCCACAAGCAGCTTCGAAGCCCACAAACGGCGATGTAAAAGAACCACAGGCAAAGCGTCCCAAGGTGAATGCATTCCAAAAGGCAGCACCTCTGGCGGAACGCATGAGACCCAAGACCCTAGAAGAAGTCTGTGGCCAAGAACTGGTCGGACCGGATGGGGTGCTTCGTGGACTCATCGAACAAGATAGGGTACCCAGTATGATTCTGTGGGGAAGTGCAGGCACCGGCAAAACGACGATCGCCCGCGTGATTGCCTCGCTCGTCGGCAGCAGATTCGTGGAGATCAACAGCACTAGCAGTGGCGTGGCGGAATGTAAGAAGATATTCGCCGAAGCTCGCAGTGAACTGGGACTCACCGGAAGAAAAACCATCATCTTCTGCGATGAGATTCACCGCTTCTCAAAATCACAGCAAGACGTGTTCCTGGGCCCGGTCGAAAGTGGCCAGGTCACACTCATCGGTGCCACGACGGAGAATCCTTCGTTCAAAGTCCAGAATGCGTTGCTCTCGCGATGCCGCACCTTCACCCTGTCGAAGCTCACCGATGAGGATGTCACTTCTATTCTCCAACGTGCGCTGCGAGTAGAGGGCCCGAACTATGAACCCTCGGGGCTCGTTGATGATGAGCTGGTGCAGTACCTGGCTCGATTTGCCGATGGTGATGCCCGGACTTCACTGAATTTACTCGAGTTAGCGATGGATCTGTCCAAGAGACCCGGCATGGACAAGGATGTTCTCAAAAAGTCACTGACCAAGACACTGGTCTATGACCGTGCTGGAGACCAGCACTATGATACGATCTCTGCCTTCCACAAGTCGATTCGGGGGAGCGACCCAGATGCGGCGCTCTACTACCTTGCTCGCATGATTCAGTCTGGCGAGGACCCGCTGTACATATCCCGGCGGCTCATCGTCGTCGCTTCAGAGGACATCGGGCTGGCTGACAACACGATGCTCTCGCTTGCTATCGCCACACATTCCGCTGTGGAGAAGATCGGGCTCCCGGAGGCACGAATCAACCTTGCTCACGCGACCGTGGCCATGGCGTTGTCGAAGAAGAGTACGCGGGCGTACCGTGGCTTGAACAACGTGAATGCCGCTTTGAACGAGCCAGGTATCGCAGGCCTCCCTGTTCCTGTGCACCTGAGAAACGCCCCGACCAAGCTCATGAAGGAGCTTGGGTATGGCGCCCAATACAAATACAATCCGAACTACGTCGACGGGAAGGTGCAACAGGATTACCTGCCAGAGCAACTGCTTGGTCGTACTTTCCTGGAGGATTTGGATTTGGGCACCCAAAGAGACCGCGACTTAAACATCTCACGGCGGTGAACTCAACGAAATGAACGCTCGTCTTTCTTCTCCATGTGCTTGATGCCGATGAACTACCCTGTCCTTCGCAGATTGCTACTGCTTCTTGCCTCCTCCATGGGCCTCTGACTACACTCTACGTGCTTGCTCTGCCTGCTCTACTTGATGTTCCTGGCCCATGATGAAGCATCAGGCACAAAAGCCGAGGCTCGAATGCTTATATGATATGACAGCATTGCGTACATGATACAACACGCTATTTCCACTGTCTTTCATAAAGCTTACATACTCGGCCTGATTGGGCATCGGCGTCGTCCTTTCCATTACTACGATTCGGTCAGTCATTTCTGTACCTTATACATCGCTTCGAACATTCGTTTTTTGCGCCACCAACTGTCGTGAAACACCTGGAGATCGCCCTAGCTGAGCCTCCTTGCTATCTTTTGCAGCAGCACAGTCGCTTCTCAAAGTACCTTTAATACCTTTACCATGGCGTCACCTTACAAACGTCGCCCGTTCCGACTCGTTGAAGCGCCTCCAGAGTTCCAGCACTTCACTCTCGAAACCTGCTTTGATCCTGTGAGTCTGATATCTGCCATTTGGTTTCATCTGGTCCCCCCTCCCTCTTCCCACTGGGCGATACATCATTCGTCAGTCGTGATCTGTCAAGTTGCTGACCGTTTCCCACTAGCTGAACCCCGTCATACCGCAAGACTCTTTTACGATTCCAATTTCGAATGACCTAGATCCATGTCTTGAGCCAGCTTTTTCGCCAAATACGCCTGATGTAATAGACTTAACATATTCCGATGACACTTTGGAAAGTCAGCCCAACCAGCATCAGCGGGCCCCTGAAGGGTTTCCCGGTCATGATGTTTCGTCCATGAAAATGCAAACTCGTTTCACTACGCCGTCTCCAATCTCACCCACCCGGCCAGGACTTACTCGAAATTCTTCCTCTTCAGAACAAATCTCTTCCGGTCCGCCAACACCTAATGGGCAGCAAACCATTTCGAGAGTTCCCTGGGGTAAAGACGACAAGGACGAGATGGAGCTGCATTCTTTCGCCCCTTCCATCCAGCATTTTACTAAGATCATAGGAGATGATTTCATCCGGGAATACGACCCATTCAATCCCGAAGAGTCACTGGCCGGCAAAAGACGTCGGGACCAGGCTGAAATCGAGGAACAGAAAGAAAACACTACTCTCCTGAAACTATATGGAGGCTCGTGTCTATGGTGCCTTCGTACGAAGAAGAGATGTGAAGCGAGCGAAATATGTGAGGCATGCAAAAGCCACGGCCGAACGTGCTATCGAAATCAGTGGCGTTTTGCTCGGACGAATTGTTTCAGGCGTCGCGTTTTCCCGTGTCCTGATGCCCAGCATGCATTGCTCACTATGAACAATGAGGCTTTCGAATATACCCAACAATTCGAGCTGGGAATTAATATGCACCCTCACAACGGGAACCAGCCGTGGACATTCACTGTCTGCCGAGAACAAATGGTCTGGCATAATGGATCTTACCTGCAATCACCGCTGAATAAACTTGTCGATGATGTTGTCCGGTCCCTTGCCCCGAGTTTCCCTCAGAACAATGATCAACTCAATCCGATCATCGGGCGTGCCCTGGACATCTGCAAGGTTTTTCTAGTAGTGCAATGGCTTGCGCGGGCGAAGGTCTTCACCACAGCCAAGGATATCAATATCGGGCGGACAGCAATATTCCATCTCCTGGGAGCTTGTTTCTGTAACCTGTTTGAATTGTCCGCCCATTTCTGTGACGAGCTCTTCCTAGCTTTGCGCAAGGGTTCTCCCAAATCCGGGGCTGATCTCGATCCCGCCTGGGTCGCTATGGCTCTTTATTACAAGGTGTCCCGTGGACTGGTGGAGCTTCAAAGCAGTCCAGTGGTCAGAAAACTTGTCGGCACCGGAGTCACTTTCGACGGACAATGTCATAGCGCCCGGGAAGCGCTGGGGTCATGGATGCCTCGACATGGCGCCGCGAATAAGACTGTTAAAGATCAGATTCTCCGCGATGATATCCCAGAGCTGAGACTCGACATTCAGGCCGACGTGGAATTCTGGCAGAACAGGATGGTCGATGAATTCAGTTCCCATGACTTCGCGTTACAACCACCCATCGACATGGCGGATTTCTTGTTCAATCAACCTGCTCAACCTGTGCTCACCCCATTTAATATGGGTGAACTATCCACTGATCTTTCTTTTGGAATGTATAATGGATATGAAGAACTGGAGAAGGATGCCGAGTTTGCTTTGCTTCAGTACATCAATCCCGAAGTCCTCGAGCAGGCCCCCGAGGACGGATATGGCCCATCATCAATCGCCGGCCCATCACCCGTCGTCGCCCCGGAGGCAGACGATGACATCGTGTTTTCCGTGCCTCTTGCTGATCCTTTCTTTCGCACTTAGAGTGGCATCCATGGATGGATGAATGTTTTGCTTGTTCGACCAAAGTACCTATAATTGCTGGGCCCTGGAGGTACAATGTATTATTATCTTAGATAGAACGCAAGAATTGAATTCTGAATGATCTTGAATAGAATCGTATCATAATTCGAATGATACTCTTAAATCCCAATTCTACTGAATCCTCCACTCGTGTATACTCCACCGACTCCAAACACGATTCTGCCCGCGTCGCGTCTTTCCGCCCCAGAACAACACTCTTCACCCATCAACCCGATAAGCTGGAAATCATGGCCTCCGGGCAACCATTTGCGTCGCGCTCCTACGCCGGCACCAAGCTCCCCGAGCGCTCCGTCAACAATGCCATGCCCTTCAGCGCCTCCTCATTCTCACGACACCGCCTGAACGCCCCTCAAGACTTCCCCGAAAAACAACAACCACCAGCAAACGCCCAGTCCCACGGCCCAGCGCAGGACGCAAACCCTCTAAACAGGCTTACAGAGGAACAGCGCGAGGAAATCAACGAAGCCGTTCGTCCCCCTCTCCCAACCCCTCCAATCCAACCAAACTAACAAGTACCAGTTCACACTCTTCGACCTCGATCGCGACCGCCACCTAGATTACCATGAGCTCCGCGTGGCATTCCGCGCTCTAGGCTTCACACTTAGTAAACAAGAGCTCATCTCCTTGCTTACGACCTACGGAGTCCCAAGACCCCAAGTCCAACAAGCGAATGGTGCACCAGCATCGAACAAGGGACCTGTTTCGAACCCGCAACACCCGTCCAATCTGCTTATGCCGCTTTCGTCCTTCCAGGCCGTGACTGCGTTGAAGATTCTGGAGCGGGATCCGAGGGATGAGATCCTCCGCGCTTTTGAGCTCTTCGATGAGGGCGCCAAGGGATATATTGATTTAGAGGATTTGAGGCGCGTTGCCCGTGAGTTGGGCGAGACAGGGCTCGAGGAGGAGGAGCTTAGGGCTATGATTGAGGAGTTTGATTTGGAGGGTGCGGGTGGTGTTACTCGTGAGGCGTTTGTGGGAATTTGTTGGCAATGAGGTTTTTGTCTTGTGATGGGTTTGGAGTTCGTGAGTTTTTGTTTTGGATTGGAGTCTTTTCGTTTTCTGGGAACAGTTACAGTACCTAGGTACAATTGATATTTTTACCAATGAGGGTTAGACGTTTATTGGGTTTACATGGTAGATGAGGTATTGTTCATAGCCAAAAGGCTTCGCGGTATTCTAACCACGGATACATAATTTCAAACCCAATATAGCCGAAAGAAAGAAAGTCCAGGTCGAGGGATCGGGCGCAATGACGCGCCCATGGAATGAATGAAAAAAGTCCAATGTAATAGCCGGGACGCCGAAACCCAGCGGGAGGAAAGCCCCCAAAACATGCAAATGAGAATTAAAATCTTTAAACACAGTGAAATACAAGCGCAATCATGAGTATCGTGGCGGTGGGCCAGGTGGTGGCACATTTTGATACCCAGCATTTGGATATCCATGCCACTGGTGCATCTGCGGCGGACGAGCCGTGGGCTGAGGCCCATTATAGCGGCGGTAAGTTCCAGGGGGCATGGCCTTGCGGGCCTTGCGCAACTGCGAGCTACGTCGGCAGCGGCTGTAGATGCAGAAGAACAGGGCAAGAAGGATCAGAGTGCCACCACCGACACAGACGCCAATCACCAGTTTCTTGTGCTCGCGGATCCAGCCCATCGCCGATGAGCCCTTGCACTGACCGGCGCTGCAGCGACCGCCAGAATCACAGGGTGTACCGTCGAGGTAGTTCTGGTTCATGCGGATGCAGGGCGTTGTGCCGTACGAGTGGGCGATGGAAGGCGCGCCGCAAACCAGAGTGCAGGATGGGTCTTGGGTGTTTTCGCAGGCCCAGGTATCGTTGCTGTTGAGGAGCGAGCCCACGACTGTTCGACACTGGTAGTTACGACTGGTACATTGGCCGCTGGCACAGCTGAGGCCTTGGTCTTTGTCGCCGCACGAGGATCCGTCATCTTCATATTTGTCCTCTGGGCAGGCGCCGGAGTTTCCAGGGCATTTCTCGGCAATGTCGCAGGTGCCGGTGCTGGCGCGGCAGACGGTATCGGATGATGCGAACTGGCACTTGTCGCAGCAGCTGTCGTTGGAATCATCGCACACGGCTCCGGACTTGTACTTGCAGGTCGAGGCGTCACAGCAGGCGTTGTCGCTGCAACCCTCGTCGCCACCACAGTCGCAGTCCTCGCCGGCCTCGACGATACCGTTTCCGCACTGGCTGCCGCTGATCGTCACGACGCCCTTGTTCTCGGAGAGGCAGGAGGATTTGATGCTGTTCTTGCCTATGGCGGAACAGATATTTCCAATCGTGCATGGCGAGAACTTGGTCATGGAATTACTGGCATATGGGTTCATGATGTATTTCGAATCGGCATCGCAAGTCGACGAACTCAGCGGGCAGCACTGGGATGAATCGTCCAGTTTCTGCCCACAGGTTTGGCTCGTGCAATCATGAACGGCGCCAAACGTGTGCCCGGTTTCGTGGGCGAACACTTGCCAGGACGAACCGGAATTACGAACAACCACGTTCGCTCCGGTCACAGAGCTATCTCCTGAGCTGACCAGGTCGGACGAGCACAGCCGTCCCATCCAGGATACACCGACCTCACTGTCGGTCGGGCAGTTGGTCATGAGGGTCCAGTACGCATTGTCATCGGAGTACTTCGCACGCCACTTGGAGAACTCGTTCAGACGCCAGGTCACATTGCCATTGGTGCAATCCACGTTCCAGGGAGTGGAAGAGGCACTGGTGCTGGAGCATCCGGGTTCGGAAATGGAGAGATTGCGCAGACCGATGGACACGTTGAAAGAGTCCTCATAGAGACTGGAGGCCGTGTTCACCACGTTGATGATCCAGTCCTTCGCAGCCTCCTTGGGCGTCGAGTTAGAGGACTTGAACGAGTCGGTGAACTCGCAATCCGTTGCAATTCCAATCAAAGCCACCTTCTTGGTCTTGGGACAGCCGCTGGTATCGCCGATGGTGGATTTCAGATTGACACCGCCGGTATTACCCGATACGCCGCCATCGTCTGACTGTCGCTTGGCCAGTCCAAACAGCGAATCCAACGATGTCATTCCCCAGCGGGGGTCCGCCGGGGTGACACCGTACGGGAAGATGGAGTTAGACAGGTCGGCATTGTAGTCGAGCTGGTCCGCGCCACAGCCGGTGGTTGCCGGCAGCGACCGCTTGAGCTCGGAGTGCGTGTAATGGAACATGTCTGAATCACGGTAGAGGAGCATGTACTCCCCCTGGCGAAGCTGAACGTCGGCATCGATCGGGCGCTTCTTGTCAATGTAATTCGACATCAACTCGATGTGATGTTTATCCTCGTTGATGCTGAAAGCACCCTCAAAGAGAGGATCCAGGCCATCTCTCTTGACGGTGATTCTGGCCCAGCCAACGGGCGTCCACCGCCCCTTACCCGATCCCTCCAAGGCGCGCCCTCGGAACACTTTGTGCTCATGACGCTGGATGGGTTCGGCGTGCGTTAATGATCCATCGGGGGCGACGTACTGGACGAAGGCATCGTCGGCTAGGATATCATGGTTGGGTTCGAGTTCTAGTTTGATCCGCTTGCCGCCGTGGATCTCAAAGGTCACATCGAACTGTGATAGGTGGTCTATTTGATGTGAAGGAGTCCGAATGATCGCATTATCGATGGGTGTCACTTGTCGAATGGCCTCGGAGGCTTGGGATCGTGCTAGTTACCGTTAGCGCGCTGACCACCAGTGTCCACATTTTCTCTTACCTGCTGATTGTTGAAAGAGTGAAAAAGCACCGATCAGGGGCAGAAAGCTGGAGAACCTCATCGCAGGGACCCCAAGCGCGGACAGATAGAGTTTCAGGGTCTGCGATCGTGGAGTTCAGGGTTCAAGGGTTCAGGGTCCACTTGGGCACTCCCAGAGATGTCGAGAGAGTGAGAATGAGAACCTCGCAAAGCAATAACGAAAGACGGAGGGAATCAGAGAGTGAGAGAGAGACAATCCGGGCGCCAAGGTCTGAGGAATCCAGCAATGAAGTGGCTTGGCATCGGCTGAAACATCAATTAGTGATCACTATATATACATAGAACTATTATTATCAGAGTAACTACTCCGTAGGTATAACTACATAGCAGACTATGGATGGATTGCCATGCTAGTAGATCCCCTCCTGACTCTCTGTATCCTGTCTGCTGAATGTCAACCCAGGCTGTCTACGCGTAGCCAAGAACATCCTGATGCTTGGCATTTAAGGCTGCCGAATAACAGTCTCACTGGGCGTGGTACATTTGATGTGCCTCGATGGCAAAAAGTGGAATGGGATATCCACAGAGGACACAGTCCAGACTCGCCAACGGTTCATCATCCCATTCATCTGAGACATCAACCTCGGCTTCCACCTGTTGCTGAAACATCTTCCCAATATCCCGACTCTGTTGTTCCCCCGCACTCTCCACCAGATTGGTCACGGCGAGATTTAACAGGCTGAGATTCCACGATTTATCCGGATGCAGGCGCCGAAACATCGACAAAACACTCTCCTGGACCAATCGTTCCGCCAGCGCATCGACATGTTCCTCCAGGTGGAAAACAAACCCGGGGAGAGGCACAGAGCGTGAAATCCGGTTCGACTGGTATGTGCGGCCCGTCTCGGAACCTGGCGGAGGTCGTGGTCGTGTCGAGAGCCGCAGGGTACGAGGGTGCGCTCGCCACCGAGAGGTTTCATCGACGAGATCGGTTCTCATGCGCCGGATTAGGCTTCGTGATAATACTACGAGTTCCCGTCGCACTGCCTCCAGGGTATCGAGACGGCCGTAGGAATCTTCAATACTGATTTGAGTTGGCAGGTCTCGCCCCTCGAGGATCTCGGAGGTGTCCACGCCATGGAGCACATTCCACATTTTGCTTCCGATTCCTTTCGCGGAGCCTGGTCCGCCGAGGATCTTCTCTAGTGAGGCTGGTCCCATGCCGGGAAAGAGTCGCACATCTCGGACGGTGACTTTCTCGTCGGAGTCTTCTTTTCCGGTCAGGTGCGTTTTGAGCTTCTGGGCCATTCGGGACCCGATTCCAGGGATTTTGCGAATCTCGTGTTCGTCTAGGAATTTCAGGACATTGCTGTCCTCCTCTGGGGTAGATTCGTATGGCGGTAATAAGGTCGTTTGGCCGTTGGGCTTGTGAACACTGCCGACCAGCTTGGCCAGTAGTTTCGACGTCGAAATCCCACCCGTGGCCGTAAATCCAATCTGGTGCTCGAGCTTGCTTCGGATATGACCTTGAAGATGCGAAGCAACCAGCAATCTCATCCCCAGCGATGAGAGGTCCGGGGTAGCGAGTGCGACCTCCGTTACGGGGAAAGTAGAGCCACAGAAGTGGCTGGCATCGTAGATGAACCCCTCGGTGGGATCTTGACGATCGAGATGAAAAAAGGAATGAGCCAAATCATTAGGATTCAGCATCTCGACATTATAGTCGATCATCTCCGTAACGTCCAAAAACAGCTCATCAAACCCCAGCTTCTCGACTCGGCCACCCCAGACCAAGGCCCGGACCAGAAGATACAGCTCCTTGGAGGCATTGCGGAACTTGGTCAGGTCTTCCCCCAGCACGATGACCACGTCCGGACAGATGCGCTTGGCATCCTTGATGAGTTGCAGCTTGTGCAGGCCTCGTCGACGGGCCTCGTAGTTGCAGGTCACCACGATCTGCTTTTGCTGGACGGCGAGGGGCAGGGACCTCAAGGCGGGCTGTTCGACCTCGAAGACCGAGGCGTAGAAACAGTCATAGTCCTGGTGGGGGTTAGTGAGATTGCGGACACTGGGGAGCACGTACCAGGTGGAGAATGATGTTCTGAGCCATCGCAGGTGTGTTGGGGGAAGATCGGGTGCCGATAAAAATAGAAGTTCTACCTAGTACAGTGGAGAATTGAGAATCAATATCCATTTACTCCTACTCCGTACACGATATTAATATGGATCAGTGAGGCTCCTGCATTCCGTGATATCTATGTAACAACATTAATATCATTGACTTTGGAAAATTATCTGTCGCCCGGAACACGTATGGGATATATATTTTGTATTGTATATCCATGCCTAGGATGTTGATGTTTGTTTAACCTTGGAGTACCTAGTAGGTCTGTTATGGGTGGATGCTCGACCTTTCAATTCCAGGTGCATTCTCTTTTCCAGAAAATTATCAGAAACCAGCGTCGTCGAACTAAACCTCGTTCAGACACCTTATGTACTAGGTACTAGTATAGTACAGTCAAAGACCCATCGTTAGTCCCACCTGGGCAGCACCTCATTTTATGTTGTTTTCAGCGTGGCGGGATAGAACAGCGTGGTATCCGTTGCTCTCGGTGTTATTCATGACAGCATGTGGAATGGACTTGCCGTCAAGAGATCGACGCTTATATCTGTGCAGATTGTCATCAAACTCCCCACCACCCCAACATGGTGCGATCCACCTGGGCACTGATTCAGTAGCCTATCAGCTAGGCAAGGATGCCAGCTGGTCTTTCAGGGCTCTCCTATATCCAGTGCCCAGGAGCTCCAAATGCGGCTCAGCAAACCCGCATACTGAAGGGAGCTGTGATTGGTCCTTGATCCCAGATCGAGTTCTCAACAGATCTCTGGTAGAGTATGAAATATACTACACTGTTGACACCGAACAGGCATAGAATACTAGTAGAAGTAGTAGTAGAAGTAGAACACACTGTGTACAGTGTGACCCACATGTCACATGCGGGCTATGTCATGGATGCCTGGGTTCCCAGGCATCCTTGCCACTCTTATTATAGAACAGACAGTCAGTATACGAGATCTGAGATCGATTTCACTTGCATATGTATACATACATTCTACTAGTAAATAAATAGACTAGAGTATGCTAGTAGAAAGCAGCAGTAGCAGTTAATTTATCCAAGTGAATGATTAAATTAGAGCGGCAAAGACAGTGGCGTTCAATAGTCACCTCCACTTAGGCCCAGGCCTCGAAATCTCTACCAAAACACTGTGTAGTCGATGCATGTAGATCAGTGGCTGCATCGCCCGTCACATCCAAGCGCCAACCTCCTTCTTTTCTTCCTTTCAAATTTTCCTTTCTTTTTCTCTCGGTGGACTTTCTCTGCGGTCTTCTTTGCATTTGCATCGCCATGTCGTGCCTTTCCCCAGATGCCACCACAACCATAACCTCCCGCCCCAAACTCACCCTCCAAACCACGGCCCTCCCACGCACCTTCGGGAGTTCAACAACAGGCCTCTCGTTCTCCTTCGCAGCTGCGCCAGCCGCCTCTCCCACAGTCCGCAACACCTTCAAAAATGCCTACGAAGTCCCCTCCCCATCCTCAGCGACCACGTCACCCTCCAAATCCGCCCGCTTCCACTCCAAGCCCACATCACCATACATCCACACCAACACCCTCTCCCGCCCATACCAACAACCCCTCGGCGTGCGCAGCATCCTCCGCAACTCTCCCCTCGAACCCCGCCGCTCCGGCTCCATCTCAGCCGGCACCAGCGCCCGCCGGGTCTTTTTCCCCGCCAAGAAACAAGTCAGCTACAAATACCCTCTGGAAGAAGAAATCCACACAGAGCGCTACACAGCGCAGCACCTTGATCTCGTGAGCGAGGCAGTGCCCAAGGCAGAGCCCGCACCCGGTGGACCCCACCGGTCCAGCCCGGACCAAACCAAAGACAAAGAAGACTCCGACTCCGCCCCCGAGGCATCGGACGATACTGAAACCAGCGATGAAAATCAAAAACCCCACTCGCTCACAAAGACTGAACGCAAGAAGCGTCGCACTATGCAGGTGGAGCGCCAGGTCCGCGCTGTAGCTTTGCTAGATGGCTTCGAGGCTGATGGCTCATCCACGCCGCAGACACCGCGCCAGCCGAGGGCGAAGCGTCGTCGGGAGTGGAAGTGGACGCTTGGTCCGCTGGAGGGCCGGAATGTCGAGAGCGAGTCCGGGGAGTCGGAAGCGCGGTGATCGCTTGGTTTTGCGACGCTTTTGGTCGTCTCGTTCATGTTTAATGGCTGCATATATCATTACGAATCATGTTATTATCATATAGAGGCGCAGGTTCCGGGGACCTGTGGCTTTGAGGCGCAATTTTTGTTTGGTGGTTTTTTTTACATTTTATATCCTTGATGAATATATTGAGATTTTTCGTCTGCGCACGCAAAATGAAAGGTGATGGTATTTGAGATCTGATGCTTCTATTGTCACTGAGTCTGGTGCATGTGGTGTCTTCACTTTGGACGCTCACGTCGATCACGGTTCGTTCGGGCTATGCTGAGCCCTGTCTGCACCCGCCAATTGACTACGGACGGAGTCCTCGGTGTCGGGACAGCTTATGATCACTTCAATGCAGACATGGTGTCTATTGTGTATAAGAATAATCATGATGACATTATATGCAAGACTAACTCCAAAAGCCCGAAATCAACTCCGATCATACAGCATCAAGTCTCCGTTTCAACATCCGGCTCGCGACCAGTGAGATCACCAGCGCCCACCTTTTTCTTCAATTTGCGGAACGCGAACTTCGCCTCATCCTTGGCAAAAGCAGCATTGCGAGCAGGCCTCCACTGCATCGGACCCCGGTGCTGTCGCTGCTCACTCCGCTTATTAGCCTTGTTCATCTGGCTGGTACTAACGCTAGCCTGAGACGAAGAAGCACCACCGGCCGTATCGCCAATAGTCGAAGGACCAGTGGACAGGGAGGAATTCTCCTCCTCCTCCTCAGACTCGGAGCTCTCATGTTCTTCCGGGTTCTGGAAGGTAGGCTGAGACGCAGGCTGACCCTTCAGTGGGGGCGGAGTGTATGGGTCGTGTCGGGGGCCATCGCGACCAGGCTCGGCGATCTTGCGCCCAACGGAGTCCGTGTAAGCACGCGGATCATGACCGAAGGCTCCACTCCAGTCGTGGCCGTCGTAATCGATCCACCGTCGTCGTTCGGAGGGTGAGGCTTGTTTCAATACATCCCGACCGTCGATCAGGGACTGTTCGTGCTTTTCGCGCACTTCATCGGGGACTTCAATTTCCACCGTGCGGGTCCGGACTCCCTGCGCCATGCAGGCTTCCCAGGTTTCGAATGTCTCGCGCGAATCGTTGTCCACGACGAATCTTTCGTGGGATTCGTCGATGCCGGGGGAGAACTTGCCTCGGAATTGGAGGCGTCCGATCTCAGTGAGATCCTCTAGCCCAGGCACCTGCTTCGCTTTCCAATTCTCTTCCGTGATGTAGTTCTGGGTCAGACGCTCGCCCATTTTGGTCGTCCAGATGGGGACGTTGATGTCGGTTTCTTCGTTGTCAACGAGATGCTGCAGCCAGTAGACGGCGTAGGCCACTGCGCTGCGCTTGCCCTGGACGTGGAACTCGAACACAATCGGGGAGCGATAGCGGTGCTTCACTGGCATTCGCAACGAGTCCCGGAATGTCTCGTCCGAGGTATCGAATACAGCATCGCTGCCTTCGACGTGACACTTGTGGCGAGTGATCTTGCCCACGCTACCGCCAGTGCGGAGCTTGATCTTGGTCTGACGACCGAAGTTCTGCGCGATGATCTTCTCACCGGCGAATTCAAAGGTGCCTACGTCCCAACCAAGCATAGCGGGCGGAAGCTTGGTCTCGACGTGGCGCAGAAGAACGGAAATACGGATGCGTCCAAATCCGATTCCGCCATCGAGGGGATACCAGCGCGTTACCTGGGAGCTGGTCTGGAGAATATCAGACAGCTTGATCGGGACAACACCCAGGATGGGATCGTGCTCGCGGTAGCGCTGATCGCGAACGGTGACCGTCACCACCGCCGAGCGCCAGTCGCGGACGAAACGCTCGGTTCCGGCGTTGAAGATGGGCTTGGAGCTCACGGCCTTTGCACGAGTGCGGTATACCTATGTTGGGTTAGCATGTGCAGTGTGATGTTGAGGAGATTGCAAAACGCACCAGTTGATCGTTCAACAGGACCTTGCAGTAACTAGTGGGCAAGTCCTCTCCCTGCTCCTCTGTGTTCTCACCGTAGGGCTTTGCTGGTTCGTATTCCTTGCCCTTGCGGTTTCCATCACTTCCTTTGATATTGGCAATCTGCAGATTGACAATTTGATGCACAACAATGTGCACAATACCGCTCGGCCAGATGGGGTCGGGTGGTGTATGCATGACAGCATCTTCTTCGTCATTGTTGATGGTACCCTTCTCATCCTCGAATGTAGGGTCACCCTTGAGGTTTTCTGGAAGATCCTTCTTCTTGCCATCACTTCGCAACTCTGGGCGGAGCTTAGGCTTGCCGAAGTAACCGACCTCCCAGTGCAATTGACCGGGCATTTCACTGCCCTCATCCATGCCTTGGAGCTTCGAGACTTGAGGGTACATTCTGCTTGGGTGCTGCAGCATCTCACGGATAGGCAGTTCGACCTTTCCGACGATGTCATCGGCAGTATTCCTGTCCGAATCCCAAAGCTCGATACTCAGATTCTCGTCGGCCTTGATCAGTTCAGGCGTCACCAGCAGAGCAGCAGTCTCCTCCCACATCGGGTTGAGATCGTCTGTGATGACCCGAGTGCAATACATTGGCTTGCCATACTTGGAGAACGAGAGGTTGATGTATGGGTCACTGCCGCCACCCTCGCTTCCACGGGTATCCTGTTTGCTCAGACCAACCGCGCGGTGGATGCGAATCCACATCACACCCAAAGCCAGGGTGTCCTTGTGGATATCGTCACCAGTAAGCATCATGCCCAGGTCCATGGTCATGGACTTGGGAGCCGCGAACATTCCACAAGCGGTGCCGATGGCAGAGTTGACGAAATTCGAAATCAATGGTAAGTTCAGCACATTGACTCCTTTCCGCAACATAGGCATGCATCCTGCCCTGACGTGGGGGATGCCAACCAAGGTGAATGTCACATCTTTCATGAATGGCGCTTCGGGCATCATCTGGAAGCGCATGCGCACGGTTCCAACTAATTCAATCAACTCCACAAACACCGGGAACGGAACACCGAACAAGCCCCGGATACCAAGGTAGAAGACCAGTTGCATATGCATGTTGCGAGCTTTGGACGATGCCGTCTGGCTGCTGGGTTTCGCGTGGTAGGCGAAGGACGCCTCCATGTTATAATAGCTGCCTCCTTCTTCGGCTGCAGCGGCCTCTTGGGGATCTTTGTTCTTCTTATTCTCTTCGTGAATGTTGTTCTTCAGATCTTGCACGTGCTCATCCGGAAGAGCTCGCATGCTGAGAATTCGCAACGGGTTATTGCCCTGATCGATCTCCGCAATGCGCACGTTCTCCACCACCTTGGGCGCCGAGACCTGCATAATGTCTTCGATGGTGTCTGCCATGGGCGTCAACATTTCCGGGTTGACAAGTCCCCATACAACTCCTAGGAAACTGTTCATCCATTCGACGGACTCTGGGAGCAGATTGGCAGTGGCCTGACAACCGTCAGCTTTGCAGCAAACTAACAAAATAGGAAATACTCACCATTTGGCCACGGAGTTGCTCACTGCTCCATTCCATCTCTCGACCACTGCGGATGACTTCCTGCATCCAAAGCCACACCCCGGACGAGATGCACACTGCCAATGGAATCAGACCCCAGAATGAACCTCCGAAGATACGTCCAATGACAATGATCGCGGCAGGGATACCAATGCAGAGCCCCGTAGCACGCTTCTGCAAGACCTCAAACATGGGCTGGTATGACACGGTCGGCGTAGGGTGGAACAGCACATTGGTCTTTTCTCCCCGAATGGGGACATCGGACGTCGTGCCTTCGGCGATGGGGTCGGGGGGTGCGGTGATATCTTGATTTTCCTTGTACTCTGCAAGGTCCTGGTCGGCGCTGGTTTGAACCTCCTAATCGGAATCAGCATTGCACTCCGTATAAACATGGTAATCACGTACCGTTTCCCGCCCCAAATTGGCGTTGGGAACCGTCAACTAAGCTTGCATTAGCTCCAGCACGTAGAATTGACCATCATCCCACCCACCATTGGGTTCTTGACAGCTTCCATTGAAGTCTCATCTTGATCCTCCACCCCAATATCCTTGCCGGTAGTTGGATCCGTCACAGTTCGCATCTTGGCCTGCGAGACCTCGCGTGCCTTGTGAGCGACCGCATCTCCTTCCTCCTCGGGCTTTTCGCCCGCTTTCTCCTGTGCCTTGGAGCGAGCAGCTTGCTCTTTCTTGATTCTGTTCTCTTCATCAATCCGTTGATCGCGTTCTTTCTTTTCGGCATCGATATGCTCCATGAAATGGCGAATCGTTGGAATGGGATTGGCACCACTCCAGTGCTCCCCGACTCGATGAGTCTGGGGGGTTTGAGAATGCCCACCTGTCGCCATTGTGAGAGTCGATGTGGTGCAAGAAGACCAAGGTGCGCGGGAAAAGGGTAGAGATGTCGGCTACGTCATCAGATCCGGAATTGATGACGATAGACCTCCCTGTCACTGTACATACAACATACAGTATCGTATCTGCAACTTGGCATCTGCTCCTCCACAATAGATTGCCTGCCAATAATGCCCCACGCTCATGCCAATCACTGAGCTGCTGGCCTTGGCGGTGTTTCGAGATGACGTCACAGGTCGATGTAGATCGTGTACAGATCGCTTGCGTGGCCTGGGTATTCCTGGGTTTCTTTGATCTGCAGCTAGCTGATCTCCAGGGATTCAGCTTGAGATCGTCTTAGGCCAAATCAGGAATGGATGTATGTGCAGTTGCCTGAGCCTTACTGTATTGACATATCTAGACCCCACACCAGCACTTGAGGCACGAAGATACATACAGTACGGTGTGTACATACGGATACTACTACTAGTAGTGCACATAAGCCGCGTCTAGAACAGATTCGACAGCCAGAGGATCCACACTGCTCTCAAAATCCGGCCGAGTGGCATGTCAGCCCTCCAGGGCTGGAGACGAACACGCACGTGACACTACACGAAGAGCATCTTTGCAGTTGATCTTCCATTGTGTCCAGTCACTGTCACAATGACCATTGCCAACTCTTGTGATGGCACGCCTCTCTCATCAAGATCACCAGTCCACGTGGAAATCTCATCGCTCACGACCTGCCAGGTGTCGTTCGTGATGTTGACATTTCCGGCCGGCTCACCATCTATAGAGACATCGATGGATTTCAATCCAAGACAGTCATCTGCGTCAAAAGATCCGCTTATCACGGCAGTCAATCCACCAGGCTGTCGCACTCCATGCACAGTGAGCTTTGGCGCGACACGGCCCATGGGAGAGGAAGCGTCGGACGGAATCAAATCGGTAGGCAGAGCTGCCGAAAGCTGTGGTGCCCGGCGACAACGAGAAGCGCTTTCGTAGGCAAAGGCATATCTAAAGAGATTGCTATCGTCATAGGCCCTCGAGGCAAAAGTTAGGTTGACAGGCATGCCTGTATCGCTCATCATGCCCATCGGGATGTTGACGGTAGGAACACCAAGTTGGCGAATGGCGCAGTTTCCATTAGAATAGAGAACGCCGTTGCGCCAGGCCTCTTTGGCAGATTGCGGATTGACGTCGGCATCTGATTTCCCCACGTCCCCGGCACATGGCCAGACGACGACGTCAAGGCCGAGCTTGTCTAGCCAATTTTCGAAAGTGCGTTTGCGTCGAGCTTCGAGATCTTTGAGAGCTTCTCCGAGTCCAGGAATCTGGTAGATCGGAACACGGTCGCGTTGAACATGTGCGACTGCTTCATTGTGGCGAACAAGGGGATCATCATTGTCATACTTATCTGGCAATGCTCCTTTGGGAGTGGGGAAAATGGCTGTCGACGCAACGGTGGCGAGGGTAGTGGCGCAAGCCGGGTCGTTGTTATTGATCAAAAAGTCATCCCAGCCATATGCCATCAGCTTGCCCATGTCGACATTGTCCCGATGGACCGGGACAGTCTCGGCCCAATCTTCCTCGCCAGGGCTGTATGGCCCTTCATATTCTTTGACAAGAGGGAAGTCGACTTCTTCAACCGTAGCACCAAGGGACTCCAAGCAGGTCCTGGCACGCTTCCAAAGATCAATCACAGACTGAGATGTATGAACTGGATATGCATCTGCATCCTGGCCCCCAATATACATCTTGGGCACACCAATTCTCTTCCCTGCGAGGGCATCCCGATCAGCCAAATCATGATATGTCTTTGGACGAACAGAATCTACAGCAGGGAGCGGAACGAACGGTTGACCTCGCCAGAAATCGCCAACTGTAGTGTCATCTCGAGCAACAATGACATCAAGGAGACAAAACATATCTTCCAAAGTACGAGTATGTGGCACGACCGTATCACAAATTGGAAACAAAGGCCAATTCCCTCGAATGGAGATCAGTCCTCGCGATGGGGTATAAGCCACCAAGGCATTATTTGACGCCGGCGACCGACCAGAAGAGATGGTTTCCTCTCCCATTCCAAAAACACCAAAGCTAGCAGCGGTAGCAGTAGCAGATCCATTGGATGACCCGGATGCAAACGCAGCAGTCAGGTAATCTTTATTATAGGGGCTTTCAGCCCGGCCATAAACACCCCTTTGCATCCCACCCGCCGCCATCGGGGGCATATTTGTTCGGCCGAGGATGATTCCACCCGCATCACGAATTCTGTGAACTGCGAATGCATCCTCGTTGGCAATGAGGTTCTTGAAAGCCGGCGAGCCTGACGCCACAGTCATTCCCTTGATCTTGTAACTGTCCTTTACCGTACAAGGGATTCCGTCGAGCGGGCCTTTGGCTACCCCTGCCGCTCGCCTGTCATCTGATAGTTGGGCGTCGTCGAACGCCCTTTCATTGATGACAGGGACAGAGTTCAGGTTCGTTCGTCGTCGGTCGTAATATGCGATTCGCTTGAGATGCTGGGCTGTGAGCTGCACGCTGTTGACTTGTCCTTGCGACAGGGCAAGCTGCAGCTCGGAGATTTTGCCTTCGAAGATGCTCTGTGTTAAATTGTGAGTACAGAATACATAATATGTTAGCGAGCTTCCATTACTGACCATTCCGACGAAATCAAAGATCGTATTCAGTATCGATCGAAATGCTACCAGCTCTTTGAGGGAGAAAGCATAAAAGACTCAAACGATATGTGCATTGAGAGAAGGAGGGGCAAGGCGACAGTTCATCATGCAGCTAGAATGTCACTGACAGATATGAAGATCCGAGATCCGAGAGCACCCTAAGGTATCCGTGAGCTGCATAGCAAGCCCTAAGACCCTTATTCTTATGCGTCTGCTGAAAATGGGATATATGTCATATCTCAGGGCCCAGTGTATCCTGACGAGCAGCCATTCGGAACATTCTGTATCCTTCGACCGTAACCGCCAGCGTGATTTCACACATGCGTGGCCATATTATCTGCATGAGATTTGGATCCCATTCAACCCGCCATTCACCAGCTCATAATAGGCAAACCGAATGAAAACAAACCTACTCTGCTCACATGGCGTCGAAGTAATCAAGACATCGAAGTTGACCGAACCCGGAGCCGACGCAAGAAGCGGGGCAAGAACGTGAAGAATTGACGATTCGCCTGTCCTGGAGACAATTCCCGAGACTAAACTTTGTCAATGGCGCCCAGCCAATGGCAAGTGTTCGAAGTGTTCAAACGGCCAAGATATTCGTATGTTGACTCACATCTCCACTAACCCAATTGGGAGCCCGAACTATACACACCTTTGACATATACTTGAGAAGACTCGATCCTCTCAATTCATCCTCAGATTACTATTTGAACACTCTGAAACCTTGATCAATATGAATTATATACAAAACCCACCTTCATACTGCGACGACCCGCCGATTTACAGTCCCACAACATGCCAACCCTCACCAACCCCCGTCATTTACCACATCAACCGACACAATCCAAGTGAATATACCATTCAGTCCGAAAATGGTGCACTGGAATTCTCCGTCGAAGTGGGCAGTCGAAGTCTAAGCAAACCCGACATGACAATCTACCGAGGAGGAAGAGAGTGCGGCCAAAAAGTCGTGGAATGCACATACGGCGAAAGTCGCAGCTCAAGCCGATGCGATACAGGCTACCTGAAGCGCAAAGAACCATCACATCATCTTGGGGGCAGAATGAATGTCGCGTGGTGGACGCGGTCAATTCAAGATAATGCGGCGCGGTATCGATTCGCCGCAATGGTTCAGTCGAACGAGAGCTCCGCGAAGAGTCCTAGGACATTTTCATGGATGAAGTCGTCGAGTCTTATGCTGGTGGATGAAGAGACGAGTTCGGTCGTTGCTGTGGTTTCTCCGAGTCGACATGGGGATGATAGCTTGGAGGTTATTGCGTCTCTTGGTGATGACTTTCCATTGATTGTTCTGAGCACATATCTGGTGCTTTCTGAGAAAGAGGGATGTTCCAGGTGGGCTGAGAGCCTGCAAGTAAGCTCGGGCGGGAAAGTCGGGGATTTTCTTCGAGTGTTGAAGCGGAGGTCGGCGTGAGTGCATTGGGATTGCCAGGAGTTACGAGATGTACATAAATGATACCCGGCTGGGCACAGCCAATGATATCCGCATTCTGCACATTGCAAATTTGTATATACTAAATCGAGCAAAAGCATCAGGTCCATGGACGAGCAGCGTTCATGAGTGAAGTTGTTGTTAGTGCTTGAGACTCAGAACTCGACATGAATATCAGCGAGCCTGTCAATCAAACTGAATGCCGAGCACAAATCCAGAATCCCAATCAATTCAATCCAAAATCACAAGAAGTCCAATCAATATTGAAATCAGCAAGAAACGGCGGCTGGAACGTGAACTCAGTTTCCACAGCCCAAAACTCAGCCGGCCAGTCCAAAGCCGAGGCCGGGTGCGGAACTCTGAGAGGAACATATTCATCAGAAGCCAAACTTGAATTCAAATCTGTGTTCGTCCAAGCGTCTGAAGGTAAAGTATTTGCGATGGGTGTTGGGTATCTCTTTGCCTGACATCTCAGCGAGCGACGCTTGAGAAAGACTGTTCCGAAATACGGAAGGTCCAGCTTAATGCGGCTGGGTCGGTCTTGGCCCTCTTCGTTGGGAAGACATGGTGGATCATCACTTCCCAGATAGACTGCTTGGAGAGTGGACAGGACATGCGAGCCCCGACTTACGACATCGTCTGCCGAGGCCGTCTTGGATATAAGCTCTAGTGTATTGGTGACATTGCGTACGGCTTCGATGTCTTCTTCGTTATAGTCTTGAGTTCCGAATGGGCCAACGGCATTAATGAAAATGGTCATGGCTGCTGTGAATGCGAGGAAATCAAAGACCTTGCTGGCACATTCGGTCCCGGCAACTTTTCGAACAGTGAGGTAACAAGTGATCAGATTGCGAGAGGCGTCGAGACAAGCCCTGCGATGATAGTCATGTCGAGTCCCTGCATTGGCTTCGAGTAGTAGAGGCAAGTGAAGCCAGATATGAAGTTGGTAATACCATAATTGGGCATTCAGCGACATGAAGCTCTCAACGCGTTGGCGGGCCTCGCCCGTGCCCAAGGAATCATAATCCCCTACATCATGAAAGGGGTGGTTAGGCAGGGGCATCTTTTTGAACTCCGCGACAATCCTCATAGTCATCTCGATCATAGCTGGGGACGTTTTTGTGAAAGTTTGGTTCCGCTCGATGATTAACCCGGCTATCCTGGCCATGGGGTTGAGGGCGAACATGCTTTGAGCGGGTATTTCGCCCAATTGTTCTGGGTTTGATTGGAAAGAGTCAATGGCGGCATTTGAGACTGTGCAATGAACCCCGAGAATGAGAGAATAGATCCTATCGAAGAAGAGCACGAGTCTCCAAAGGAACGTAGCTCGACTTTTATAATAAGTATTTTCGGCTGCGACAGGGATGTCACGGTGGAATCCAATGAGTTGTGCGACGTTCGAAGCCCGTCGAACAGACAGCCAGGCACTCCGGATTTTCCCATTATTGCCAAGTAATAAGGCCTGCACGACTAAGCATTCCAGCCCATCCATACAGGCCACTATGGAGTCGTCGGAGCAGACCAGAGTCGTGACCGTGGCAAGAATCTTCTCTACTAGAAAGGCCGGTGTGCAAGGAAGGCGAAGTCGATCAATATCGAGCTCTGGCGGCAGCTGCTGGAGACAAGAGGCAATCCACAGGACGGCCTTGGCGATGAACGCCGGGTGGCATTCCCCAAGAGCCTCCAGTGGGACTGGAAGTAATTTCGGCTCGTGGTCTTCAAATAGCCATTCACGGAGAAGCCACCAACCGCTGTTAGCCGCTGAGATGATGTCCAAGGTCTCCAGCGAAGGGATCAAAGCTATCAGCTCGTGGCGAACTTGCCCGAAGTCAGGATTGATCGTGCTGTATGCGGAATTGGGAGCCTCCCTCTCTGGCTCTTGGGCAAAGAACTGTTAATTGCGTTTAGCTTCAATTCCGGAAACTCCATGCGGATGGCACTTGGACAGCACCGACCATTTTGTCCTTGAACAGCCCCAGGACAGGGGCATTATCCTGGGTGCTCTCCAGACTGCTCGTGCTCTCAGGACTCGGGCGAGAGTTCTTGAGCCTAATCGACAGCGGAGGGTGACTCCCATTTGTTCCGAGTCTGTCCAGGCGTTGTAGGATCTCGTTAATCAAGGGGCTGATCGTCTCCAAGTGGGACTCAACGCGGGCCAGCCGTTCATTCAGGCCCACACGGTCGGTCTCGCGAGGGTTCTCCGGCTCCGGTAAATCCTGACTTCGACAGGGAATCCCGCGCGCGAGACATTCCCTGCAGCTGCGGTCTTTCTCGGAGGCGAAGTTGCAGCGAACTTTGCGATGTTTGCCTGCCACGGATCAGTCGCCAAGCCGGAGTGTGAATAGAGGACATCCTACATTCCCAGCAACTGCGGGTCCCTTTTCGGATCTTCTTCCGAGGCTGATCGGCCGAGTTCAAGTCCATTCTTGCGATTCATTGTAAAAGAGCGAGGGGTGTTCGATCGGAAAAGAGGGATGGGGATCTTGAAAACGGAGACTAACCGCTCTCGGCGCTCTCTGGGCCATTTTCTTTGTTCGGATGTGATGAGATGATTGGCTTGCGGTATGGGCGTCAATGCAATACGAGATTAACGCGACTTGATTTGCCGTGAGCCGAGCCATTGGGATTGATTCCTGGGCTTGGGGCCAATTCGATGTATCGCACTTTCTGCGGGGTCGTGCTGGAACTGCTTGCCCAGGTGCCCTGTGGAAGGGATAGTGCTTGCCTGTCAGGACTGATCTTTCAAACCAATTTGAGGATTGCTCTCCAAGTCTGAGAGGCGACACAGTTGGACCCGACCGATCGGGTCGGTGTGTGGCGGGGTTGTGGTGTGGGTTCTCGTGCATCCTCACTCGAGTACTAGACGTCTGTTTGTACGGAGTACACGGACCATATTGAGCTCGGGTGGAATGCTGAATGTGTATTGCGAAAAATATGGCGCTGGAGTACACCGCATCGCAGTGTGAAGCGCTGCCGCGACCGCCAAGGCGTCAGCAATACGCGTGAAGCAAAACACGCCACATTAAATTGCACGTTCAAAAATAGTGAGGTGTCATGAAGTAAGGAGAAAAATATCTGGGACAGGGGAAGAGTAAGTAATGTTCCCCCCGCCGACTCGGGGGACTGGGAAACAAAGAGAAGCGATGGACATGGGTGCAGACCCTGGTCAATTGAGACATTTAGGACGTTCAAAGAAAAAAGTGGAATCAAAGTAGAGAGATCTGGAAAAATACTCCAGACTACTCCGTGCCTGAGATTGGCTTGGGAACGCAATGGCCTGTTTCCACTGCATAGATCTCCCATTGCTACTCCGTACTCCGCACTGACAGACCAGAAATGGATCTACACAAACACCTGGGCACAATGTCAACCACAGTATCGAGACAACTCCTGAAATAAGGTCACTGTCTACGATGTTCGATCGGCAATGCTGACCCTCCAAGCCCCTCTTGTCACTTCCCAACAATCCGGTAGGACTGGGAGTATAGAGTACTCGAGATTTTTCTTTGGACATAACCAAGACGTCTATCGGGTCCCATTCCAAGTTTCACCGGGTGTCTCTTTGGAAGTTGGAGAAATATTTACATGGCAGTCCGAAATATATCCGGCTCAAAGCCCCTGCCAATGCTGCTTATTTCTCGGATCTATACTTCGGCTCGAAATCACAATTCCCGTCCAAGCGACCCTCGCCTAAAGTGGCACGATACATTAATACCCCCGTCCTGCAAATGCACCATGTTTCCCACACGTGCTGCGCCGTGATTCCTTGGCAGACCGTCGGAGGCTGTCTGGGCAGGCTTGGCCCGCCCCCTCAGCTTGGCACTAAGCCTCAAGCTTTCCACAGAGATGCCAACCTCCCCGCACGTGCAGACACTGCATGCGTCTGATTCGCCTCCACAAGTGAGCTCATGGACTGTCGTGGTTCCGACGATGCCAAGATAGCAACCATGTCACTGCGGCTGTGTTACCCTCCAATTGATACCTAGGTAGGGTCGAGCCAGCTATTTAAGTGGCAATGTCGCCTCTGAGCTGATATCCCTAAGTCAACCTTGGAACCATGCGGCCCTCAATCTCTGTGATCGCGTGTCTGGTCTCGTCTGCGCTAGCCCAGACGTTCCAGCGGCTGGGTGGATGCCCGGATTTGGGATGTGTTTTCCCTCCGGATCAGTGAGTATTCTCGGTCTGAGCTTGGGCATGGGTTGGGGTTCTGACGGTGATTTCATTCTAGGGCCGATTTCCTGGCCGGTCAATACTTTGATATCCGCTTGGAGGTGCACTCGCCAGTTAATGGATCGGAAGCACGGACTGGCGAGCCAGATCAAGATTTCAAATTCACAATCACCAAAAAGGATGGTAGTCCTGTTCCAGCCACCAAGTACTTCAAAGTGGACGAACCAGAGCTCGAGAGTTGGAACTTCACGTGGTATGAAGGTGAGTGCAGTATAAGACCTTAGAAGACACGAATTTAGAAAGATATTAAGGAATCCAGACCTCTTCGCGCAAGACGCAGACAAGCCCTCCCTAGTCAATGTCACCTCCAAAATCTACCGAAGAGTGGCCCTCTACGAGCCAGGAGAATACGAAGCAACACTAACCTACTACGGAAACGAAAAGACAGTAGCAAACTGGCTTGTCCGCGACCTGCCCAGCAAGCGACGGGCCAAGAACGTCGTCATGTTCATCGGAGACGGCATGACCACGAACATGATAACTGCTGCACGTCTGATCGCACACCGCAGCATCAACGGCAAGTACATGACGAAGATGGCATTGGACAAATTCCCCGTCCTGGGCCACCAGATGACGCACTCGATGGATTCCTTCATTACCGATTCTGCCAACTCAGCCACAGCCCTCTACACAGGCCACAAGACCACAGTCAATGCATTGAACGTGTACGTGGATTCATCAAGTGATCCATTCGATGATCCCAAGTTCGAGACTATCTCTGAGATCTTTCGTCGTCGCTACCCGGATGGCGGAGTGGGTATTGTGTCGACTGCTTTCCTGGCTGATGCAACTCCTGCCGGGTTGGCGGCGCATACAAGCGACCGTGGCGAATATGACCATGTCATCAGCGCCTACTATGAGGGTCTGACGAAGTACGAGTGGACGAATTGGGACGGGCCCGACGTCCTCCTTGGTGCTGGCGCGGAGGATTTCCTGAAAACCGACGAAACAAGAGATTACTATAATCTCTTCTCGGAGAAAGGGTACAGTCTGGCTTGGAACAAGACTGCTCTCCATGACGCACCCACCGATGAGAAGTTACTGGGCGTATTCCAGAAATCCAATCTCGCAACCTGGCTCGACCGCAACGTTTACCAGGCCAACCTTCTCAACCAAAGCAATTACCCCGACGGATCTGACCGTGATGCCGAAGACCTCCCAGGCCTAAAGGACATGACCCTCAAAGCGATCGATGTACTCCACGACCGCCACAGCGAAGACGGATGGTTCCTTATGTCCGAAGCAGCCAGCATCGACAAGCAAATGCATTCACTAGACTACGACCGCTCACTAGGCGAACTCCTCGAGCTAGACGACACTGTGCGCGCAACAATCGAAAAGCTCAAAGACCTCGGCGAACTAGACGACACCCTGATCATCGTCACAGCCGATCACGGCCACGGCTTTGACGTCACCGGCTCCGTAGACACCGAGTACCTGAATGCCCAGGAAGACGACCGCAGCAAACGCAACGCAGTGGGATACTACGAGAACTCGGGTTTGTCGCAGTACACCGTTGCAGGACCGAATTCCTTGCGATACTCTGAAGGTGTGCATTTCCCTTCTCGGTGGGACCCGCGGTATACGCTGCACTCGGGCGTTGTGGCTTTCCCTGATCATCGGGAGAATTACCAGGTGCATAGTGAGGGTCCGCGCACACCTGCTACAGAGGATAAGAAGAATGGGTTTTATGCTGCTTATAAGGATGCTGTTACTGGGTTCGTGGTGAATGGGACATTGCCGCTTGATGCGGGCCAGGGGGTCCACTCTTTGACTGATGTGCCCGTGTTTGCGCAGGGGCCGTGTCAGGAGCTGTTTGGGGGCGTGTACAACTCCATTGATATTTTCTTCAATATGGCGGAATGTCTGGGGTTGTCGGAGGTCAAGGAGTGATTGAGGGAGGGTGTGGTTGTATTCTACTAGTTATAGATTGATAAAGCAGAGAAAAGAGTTCGGAAACTACTTTAGCCTAAACGCCTAATCGCGATTTTTATCGAACCCCTTTTCGCCGATCAGTAGATGAAGATGGAAATGGTAACACGGGAATATTGACTTCATCAATTTATGTACAATGACCAGATATTCTTGGCCGGGTGATGCTAGTCAACCCCAAGCGATCTATAGAGCAAAATTTCATATATAACAGTCGCGACATGATGCAGAATAAACAACCCCCATTTAGGTGGCGTTGTTGGCGCATGTCCAGCTGGACTTGGAGGAGCTCTCGTTGATCGCAACGCCAGAGACGTACAGACCCAAGCCACACTGATATGATTAGCAGGAGTTCAAAGGAAGGTATTTCGGGAAAACATACAATAGCGCAAGCAATTCCAAGAATGATCAGGTTGACAATGGTCAAAGCGATCTTGCTGGGGCTGGAGAACCACTGGCCCTTGTTCATGCTCAGCCAGAAAATAGCGGGCATACCATCTGCATTTGGTTAGTATGGTTATTGCACAAGGGAATTGAATTAGAAGACATACAGCTGAACCAACTTCCGAATAGAGAACTGATCAAACTCAGCAGCTCGTTGAACACAGGGATCGACTCGGCGATGACCCAGGCAACGGTCCAAGTGGTCAATCCGATGGCAACCCAAGTACCGGTGGCCAGAAGACTCTTCTGGTGCATGTGGTGCGAGCGCTCACCACGGAAGATGCGAACGTAGATATACTTGCACGCGACGTGACCGAAGACGACACCGGCCACGATGACCGTTGGGATGGCCAGACCGTAAGCGACCTTCTTCATTATGGGACCGGCGGATGACAGAGCCGGGGAAGCCACGTCGGGACCGGCGTAGCAGTAGATGACCATGGCAGTGACGATGTACATGGTAGTGTCGACGACCTGGAGCATGGCCAGGGCCTTGGGGAACTCCTTGGGGTCTTGCATCTCCGACATGATGCCGAAGAAGGAGACGTGAGCGATGAAGGCGAAGACGATGTTGGTGACGGCCAGGAAACCTTCCTGGAAAGTGGGAGCGGTGGTGATGTCGTTTTGGACGTCATCGGGGGCCTGCACGGCGATCGCAATCATGGTGACCAGGGTGGCGATCAAGATACTGAGGGCGGAGATGGTGGACATGTAGAAGACCTTCTCGGCTGTTCGGGGAAGGGCTGCAATGCAGCTGACGATCAATCCCACGACACCGAAGACGATGGTGCAGGTTCCGTGGTTGGTGATGGTGTTGAACAACACGGAGAAAGTGAGGATGTGACTGGCCATCAAGAAAATAATGAACAAAAGCTGGCCAACGTAGAAGATTTCTCGCCCAATGGGACCCATGAGCAGTTCTCCGGCATCACCCATGCTGTGCACCTGGGGGTACCGTTGCTTGAACTGACCCATCACGATACCTGTGTACCATGAAATACCGGACAAGCCCAAAATCAGGATGAGTGCGCTAATGGCTGATGAGTGATGTTTCTTGCCATTGATGATTCAAACTTACGGAACAATTCCCAGCGTGGCCACTGCCGATGGAAGAGACAGGATACCCAGTGAGATATTTTCAGCGACCATGACTAGAGAGATAGGGTTAGCGAGTGAAATTCCGACGAACTCGGATGCTGCTCACGCATTCCCGCTTGCCTAGATGCATGTTAGTTATTGATCCCTCACACGACACTGGGCACACTTACCACCAGGGCATAATCCGGTACTTCACTTCCCCAGATTCCTCATTTCCAAAAGGGTCGTCCACGGGGTCCTCCTGGTATGGCTTTTTCTCCATATCCGCGGATTGATCGTAGACATAGTCAACAGGGTGAGGAGCTTCGGCACTCATGATGTCGAATGTATCCAGGTGAGAGGGAGGAAGAGAGAGGAAGAGAGAAGTCGAGAAATAAAAGACCAAAATTGGCTGCGGTGGCCAACCGGACCCAGATTTTTTTTTTCCTTGGCGCCGGACACATTAGAGTTGATAAGAAGTGACTCCACGTCTCCATCTCCGTGGCCTCCGCCGACTCCATTTCGACGTTTCTACTTATGCAATTGCTGATCCGATTATCTTCGGTCCTTATGCCAATCAGAAATTCAAGAAACCGCGCACTTTGATCATCCACGCGCAGTGGGAGGCGATGACATAAGCCGATTATCTTCACCGGCGAATTGTGGGGTATTCGGGCTCGGGCGAAGAGCCAACCCCATACTCGAGGGCCGTGGGACAGTCGGGCAAACAGCCACTTCCTGACAGCAACCGGCCCGGCCACCCCGGCCCGGCGCAACCCCCCGGGGTAGTCTCTCGATAACAAGATACTTTAGTCAGGGATTCGATATCTGTTACTGAAATCTGATTCCGGCTCCACGTTGACGGAAAGGACTGCCCACTCTGGACTTCCTAATGCGGCTCTCGTGAAGTCGATATGGTATACGCTCTCGTGCGGCTGATTGGTCCAACATCATCTCGACTAGGTTTGGACTTTAATCCGGTGTCTGCCACTAGAATTTTCTGGAAAGGCCAGTGACCGGCTTGACCCCGGCCACCCCATAAGTTCCGTGTTACCTAACACCCCGGTCTTGGCGGATATCGATTGGGGTTGGTGACTGCAATCCCGCATTTGGGTCCCGATCTATTCTCGCGAGGGACGCGGGGATGTCTCTCACTGCCCCAGAATCCCCGTGTGGGGGTGCTCCTTCGACCACCGTATGATCCGATTCCCAGGTGGTACTAGTATACAATGTGCCGGGCATGCCGCATACGAGGTGGCGAGGAAGAGGACATGGTAGCGAAGATGAGAGGGTCACCTGTGATCAACACTTTCAGTACAGTACCTACATAGGTAGTCAGACTGTGTTCAAGTGCTTCGTATCCCCAGGGCCACACTCCGTGTATGATGTCTTTGCCACATCACTATGTCGTCACTTGAGCATACCGGACTTACAATCTTCCTGCGCGTATCTGAGCTTGTTTCTACACCTGCGCAGTATGTATGTAGTTAGCCATTACACCACAGATCTCCAAGTTGTACGAACTGATGCAGATCAACCAGAGCAGCAATTGGCCAGTCGCGCCGCGAAACACCCCCTGCTTCAAGCAACCCCAACATCCCCATACCCTCCATACTCCGCACTCGGACTTCTAGGCAATCAAATATGCCCTCAGGTTTATATCCCTCACCGTGAGGCTGTCACTGCTGTGGGGGCTGTTCCATGTTCATGCCCGTGGCCCAATCACATCCCATGCTAGGTCTCAAATTCCGGTCATTTGCCGCTGTCTCCACACACCTGGCTCACCTTCCTAGGTGAGGATGGCTTACGTCGATGCTGTACGAGTTGCAGCAGGTTGAGCAAGAGCCTTCGATATTTGAAATCGTCGAACCCGAGCGTCGTCACTCGAGAACGCCCAGTCGTCTACGGATGATGTTGACGGTCATCTGACCTGCAGGGGTATGACACTAAACCTTAGTGAGCCGCGTTCTGTTTGTTTGTCTTGGCTCACGAGCTAATTCGGGCCAAGCCGTTCTTAGCCAACGCAGCTAAAGCTCTGGGCAACAGATGGGAGAATTCGGCTATATCGCAGTACCCCGTACGCGAAATCCGCACTTTGCGATCGTGGTCCGTGCTACTATACAACGTTGGAAAGCTGGACTCCGTACTCCGTGCTAGGTGTCGAGACCTCGATCCACAAAGGTTTGTGATGTTTGATCTGTATCACGTGCTCACTTTATCACGTGCTTTCAAACACATCCAAAACCAGTTGGGCACTGCCAAAGTACGGGTCTCCAAAAGGTCTAATTTGACTACCAGAGCACTTTCTGTCCTCACACAACAGTGCTTTCCAAGTTTCTAAGCCACCCATTACATATTGATCACAGTCCACCCCAGCGCGGTAAATATGGATACGACACCCACACCCCCACTCCCCATCAATGAGCTCTGCTAAAGAGTGTCGCTCATCGGAATGATCAGGATTATTGGTGTGCCCGAGCAAAAGAACAAGCCCGGTCCTCCCAGACCTCGATCTGGGCGTGGTGCAACCCCAATACCCCAGATGACCAAGTCCCCGCAGACAAGGCCAGGCCTCCGCCACCGAACTTGCCAGGCTACGAGTCACCATATCTCGATCGCTGGATACTATGTATGAAAGCGTCTGACTATAGGCTCGCTGCATATGATGAATGGGCTACAGCAACCGGAACTCACAACTGATATCTTGGTTTGCAGAGAATTCTTCCACTTTCATTGGGCTCCTTCCACCACATGGAAGAATACGTCACCATGGTTAAACCCCTATTGGGTGATCTGAGAAGGTCACCTGGGCAGGACGATATCCTTTCTTTTTAGATCATCCAATAGGGTTTTAAACATTGTAACGTATTCTTCCATATGGTGGAAGGATCCCAACGAGAGTGAAACAAACCAAGAATTTAGTTGCAAAACCCTTAGGGTTATAGCAATTTTCCAATTTTCCCCTTGCTTTCTGTGCTTCATAAATATCTTTTATATGGATGATTTCCCCTTCACCTGGGCAGCACTGTGCCCGTCACCTTTCATTGCGTTATTCTAGACCAAAAAAGACTCCAAACTTTGGAATGAGATTCAGGGCCTTGAGGCAAATGTTCGGGAATCGAAAAGCCTATATGCAAGATCTGTGGGCACACAGGACGTTGAATGCAAATAATTTGGGTCAATCATTCTCCGACCTTGAATCTCTTTTCGACAGTCATGATGATTAGGCAACAATAAGTTGGTGAACTGACTTGAGAGTTCCAAATCCGGCATTGTGTTTTGAACCTTGAAGCAAGAATAAAGAATTTAGGATTCTAGAAAAAAAAAAACATCATATCATCCCCACGAAATCAGGAAGGCCGACCAGATCTTGGAACCTTGGAATGGGATGACATCGAGCAGCCTGGGGAAACCTTTAGCCAGCCCCGGAGACGAAGTATTCAGTCTCACCGTTGACCATGGGAACATTTACTGCAAAGCGTCCATGGAAATATATCCTATGAAGCAAGTCACGGAGATCGGATATCAAGTGGACTTCGGGACATGTTAGTTGGAAGTTTCACAGCATATGCAATCTGTTGCAAAATATATAGCAGGCACTGGCAGTTGAAGCGGGGGTGCGAAACCTCCAAGGTCTGAAAGACTACTAGGCAATGGATATAGAAATCTTCTAGATTTAGAAGGAAATTAATGGGGGGAGTTGATTGCAGCAGACATCATTGGCAAGAGAACAGGGCGCTGAACGGAGAAGAAGGGAAAAGAAAGGGTGTTGTCGATGGGAGTCGTTCCTGGTGGGACTACCACTCCCTGGTATTTTGAAAGCACCTAGAAATCAGCATGAGCACGCGAGAGTTTCTAATATGGAGGTGGCTCTCGGGCAATGCGAAGGAAAGAGAAAGAGAAAGATTTGAATTTTGAGACAGGTGAAATTCACCGTCCGTGTAGATTATCACCATTTGGATTCGATGGTCTTTTAATCCTCAGATCTTTGAGAAACTGGAACCTCAGCTCTCTCAGCAGAGCTGTCTACTTTCTTCGCAGTCTCCCTCTTACGCCCCATTCCACAAAGCAACAACAGGAAAGGAATCGTGGACAACAAGATGAAAGCCACCAGTGTGAAAGCCCATCCGCGACCCATGGCCGTCAGCATGGGGTCGATAGCAGCCGACGCGGCAGCCGAAAAGAACGACCGAACCATATTGTTCGCCGCGGTCGCGGCGGCAGGGTTAGCAGTGTGCAGGTCCACTAGCAGGGTAGAGGTGGAAATAAAGCCACCGGTCTGTCCTACGCCGACGAAGAACAAGAGAACTTCAGGGGCGGGAAGAGGTTCACCGTACTTGAGGACCCAACCAAAGGCTAGCACAGTCACACTTCCCAGAATCACTAGGGGGATGGTGATCATGCTCCGGGACTTCTCGACGGGCACAGAGTTTGCTGTGCCGACGTGCTCGGAGGTGGGATCGCTGGCTAGCTTCGCGGCCATGCGCTTGTAATTCCAATCTAGTAGACGGCCTGTGATCACGGATGCGACAATGGAGCCGGTTCCTAGTGTGATGTAGCAAAGACCTATTTCAAGTTCGTCGAGGCCGTATTGAGCTGTGTAAATCTCCGTGATGGAGGAGAGCACAGTCATGTTACCGCCCATGATGACGCCAGTCACCAGAAGAATGATGATAGAGTTGGGGTGCCACACCAGGATAAGAGGCTTGAGTGGATTGGGGAATCGCAACTTGTGCTCAATCTTCTTGGGAGAGTCATGGCTATCTTGCCGGTCGACGCTTTCCATAGAAGAAGCAGTATCCTTAGCCTGGGGTCTAAGGTATTGGACGAAAGGTCGGTTCCAGACTTGCGCAGGCGACGCGCCATCTCCGACGACATTGCGAGCAGTCTCGGGGAGGAAGAATAGCAGAGGCAGCAGGAAGACACCGGAGGCGATCGTGAGGAACCAGAAAATGGACCTCCAGCCCAAATATTGGGCTAAGAGACCACCGATGATTGGTCCAATAGCAGGGCCCATGAAGTTACCTGCCATCACGAAGCCCATCATGGAGCCTCGTTCCTGTTTGGTGCTGACATCGGCGACCGTGGCTGCGGACAGAGCGACGCTACTGCTGATTCCGGAGCTCTGAAGACATCGCAGGACAATGAGAGCTGCGTAGCTATCTTGCAAGGCGAGTCCAATGTTGGATGCAATATAAATCACAAAACAGATGATATATGCCGGTCGACGGCCTGTTCTATCAGCGAAATCGCCAATAAACATGGGCGCAATGCCCTGGAAGATCTGGTTGGAGTTAGCATCAAGTCGAGGATTCAATCTGATTATAGTATGCTCACCATGTAACTCGTCACAGTCAAGTTGATCAAAGATGTTGACACATTGAGATCATCGGCAATAGTACCCAAGGCCGGAAAATAAATCTGTGCAGACAAAGAAGAAAATAGACCTGCGCCCGCCGCCGTCGCCACGATGTACCTTTTTTTGGCAACGCTGAAGGCACTGTAGGGCGGCACGGCCTCTGAAAGAGTGACTTCCGAGCCCATTCTCGACGTTCAAAGAGTGACTGGAGTTAATTGAATCGGAAAATTAATGGACTGTCAGGTTCTCGTGGCCCCTTTTCCGATATATTTGTCTCCGGAGCATTTCGAAGGAATCCTGTTCGAAAAAGCAATCAACTGAGCTGACGTACATGAGAAGGAGAAGGTGCAGAAAGGTCCACGGGGGTCCACTGGCGAATTGAATGATGTGATGTCAAGTCTCGACCCGATCTACATTCACGCGATGGTGAAAAAGTGCACATCATGGCAGATCATTACCTCGTCGGAAGGCGAAGCGCTGGCGACTCGGCAACTACGCCTCGGGCGCGTGTTTCGGGAACGGAGGGCCTCGAGATCCCCTTTTCTCTTATGGAGAACGATGATGGAGGAGTCTGGATCTGTTTGGAGCAGGGGATGGGGACCTTTGGACAAGCTCACGGCCCTGAGGATCAGTGGGTAGCGATCTCCCCTGATTTACCCACTAACGATGTTAGTATCCCGTGTTAGTACAATATCAGATTGATAATATTGCTTCCACCTGCGATATCGGAGTGTACTGTAGTAGATGCATGTACTAATTGAAATATTCACTCCGAAATATCCTGTTGGGTACCACTGAGGACCATGTGCCTGACGTGAAGCCCTAACTCGTTGCGTCGAAACTCACCCAAAAAGTCAATGTATCGAAACACGCGTCTTTGATCGTCTTCGAAAATCGTAGACTCAATTTCATGATCTGCGATTTCTGTTAAGTAATAGCTCCTGGTATACGATCCCCTTGGCTTAGAGTCTTGAGGCTGGACCCTATACTGTCGGCCCCAGCGTCTACTGTACCTGGAACGACTCAGCGTTGATCCTAGAATCACACCATGGTTGATCACAGCTTCAATAGTTTTCATAGGTCCGCGCAAAGCGAGGTACGAATGTTTCAGGGGAGCATCTCAGGATGGGCATGACGAAAGCTGAAGGTTTCGGGACATCGACAGAAATAGATGGTGAGCATCGGACGAGCAAATCTTGCCATGTTGAGAAGAGTCGTGATCCATCTCGAGCCAGGATAGCAGTATTTAAGAGCAGACAGTTTCCGATGTTCGTATCCCAAAAACGAAAACATTATCACTCTATCCTTCACAGTTTATCTCAAAGTTGAAGCGAATATGAACACTCAAAACTTCGATTCCGTGCCTGCCGTGACCATCATCGGTGCTGGTCCCTGTGGATGTGCCTTTGCAGCAGACCTCGCCAGTCGGGGGAAGGATGTAATGCTATACGCCCATCCTGACCACCGAGGTGGAACTGCCATGATCGAGAAGAACGATGGCTGGTTAAACGCCGATGGCGAGATCAGTGGCAGATACAAGATCAAAACTACCAGCGACATGTATCTCGCTATCCGTCACTCTCACTTCCTCGTCACCACAGTTCCTTCCTACGGACAGGATACCATCCTGACCTTGCTCAGCCAATTCGACCTCCGACAACACACCCTCGTCATCAACGTGGGCAACTTCTTCTACCTCTCCGCTCGTCAAAAGGTCAATGCCCACTGCATTCTCGAAACCGACATCTCCCCCTACGCTGTCCGCATCACCGGTGACACCGTCTTCGTGAAGGGCTGCAAGAAGAGTCTGGCCATCTGGGCCGAGCCCCCAACAACTCAGGTCGAGCGTCTCGACCCACAGGCCGAACTCGGACTCCGTCGCCAGGTCGAGTCGATCTTTTCCCAGAAGCTGAACTGGTGCACCAATCTGCTAGAGGTCGGCCTCAACAATGTCAACCCGGTCGTGCATTGCCCCGCTGCCCTGATGAACGCTGGCTGGATCGAAGCTACTAAGGGTGACTTCTTCTTCTATGCACAGGGCATGTCCCCTTCCGTGTCCCGCGTGACCGAGAAACTTGATCTAGAGCGTCTTGCCATCGCCCACGCATACGGCCTCGAGATCACCCCAATCACCACATACATGAACCAGAACTACAGCAACCCCCGACAATACGCCGACTACCATGACTTTGCCTCGGGGTCAGTCGTCCACAACAAGACCAAGAGCTCTCCAAGCTCCTTGAACCACCGCTACCTCCTAGAGGACATCCTCTACGGCCTGGTCCCCTGGTACGAGCTCGGCACAAAGGTTGGTCTGACCTCGCCGACTATCAGGGCCCTCATCGAAATGGCCCAGGTCGTCAGTGGATTCGACTACTTCGAAAACGGTAGGACTCTGCAGGCCGCCGGCCTGGGTGATGCCACCAAGGAGCAAGTGCTCAATGCGCTGGGTGGGCCTGTGGAGACAACTCCTGTCCACGCTCCTTTCCCTGACTCTCCCATTGGGAACAGCATTGAGTCGCATGCTCCACTCCAGACGGCTCAAGTTGTTGGCTGAGCTTAAGCTTTGCTTGCCCCGTCTCCTTTTGAGTTTTGATTATACCACCTGTCGTTTTTGCTGTTTGTATTTGCCATTCGAGGTTAAACAAAAGATTTAGAGTATATAGAGGATTAGAAAATAAACCAAGACATGCTCTCAAGAATAGGCCGATCTCCATTGTTCTTATGTCACCCTTTAGATGGTGCTGTAAATTAACCATGTCGCATTGATTATAGTGTTGATCATTGAGAAAATCCCCTTGCATCCTGTCGCTTCGTCATGTTGATGAAGTTGGGACCTCGGGGGCGATGACCCACTTGATCCCGAGAGTCGACTTCACATGCAGAGAAGATTCTAAGTTAGAGCACGCAACTCACCACGATCGTTGCAAAAAGTCTTACGTGCATCATGCGTGTCGATCTTGGACAAATTCCCAAGGTTAGTTTGAGCTATGTAGAAAAATGGTATATTGCATCGCTGAAAATCAAAGGCCCAGTGACTATAGTACATATTCAACATCGTGGCTTCAAGAACCACGAGATTTAAGACAACTTGTATAAACAACAACTTTGGCGCGTTTGACAAAATTAGCCCAACCCGGAAACTGGGCCATGGCGGTCATAAGGAGTCGCTCGCCAGGATTGATCTCCAAGATCCATTTGACCGGCTCGGGCCTCGGGTTCCTATGATCGGACTGGACCGTCGTCACAGCCTCCTCGATCTCTTCATTCGTTTCGTCATCGGTACGCACGCGTACTGTTCGTGAGCCAGTTACACAGCACCATGTTATACGATGAGTGTGCCAGTTGCTCCGGGCATGGACGTTCCGTGATATTATCGGCCCCAAAATTCGGCTAGCCGAGCCCTGGAAGGGGCCGGGGCTACACTCGCGACTAGCGTCAAACCATGTGTGAGAGCATTCGTATGTCCCATGCACGTGGTAGTCGCCACTGTATCCCTGATCGTGGCTGACGATCTCATACTCGATTCGCCTGACGGGGTGGTGGAGGTTTCCTTGGATTGGGGGACTTCGTAGGTAGACCAATGTGTCACCGTCGAAATTGGTGGCTTGTTTTGCCTCGTAGCGCTCGGTTTTGTTGACCATCCAGTACTGGGCGAGATCGAGGATGTTCGAGATCAGGGGCTGGGGGAGCTTATCCCCTGAGGCCCGCTTGAGATAAAAGTATGCTCGGAATTGGTCAATTGGCTTCTCCGGGGAGTAATGTCCCACTGTTTCGGAAGTGTCAGACATGTCCACATCCTCGGGAATGCTCGCTCCCATCGCTTTCAGGAGCTTGATCGCCTCTGTTACTCCGGCATCGATCGCAAGCGCAAGGGCGGTCTTCCCTTCTGATGTTTTTGCTTCGATGTCAATGCCAGACCCGTTTCGGAGGAGTATCTCCACCACTTGGTCAAGATTTCTTTCACAGGAGACATGCAGTGCAGTCATTTCCTTATCATCTTTAGCATTGACATCAGCACCCTTCTGGATGAGGTATTCCACGGTCTCTGCCTGTCCCCGCCAGGCAGCTCCTACAAGAGGCGTTCTTCCGAACTTGTCCCGCGCCTCCAAGGTTGTAATCCCGGCAGGGTAACTGAGAATGACCTTCACCGTCTCAACCGAGCCACTGTAGGCCGCATGATGGAGAGGGGTGAAATTCTGGAAATCCGAAGCACAAGCTTCCGGGTGGCGGGCTAGCAGCATATCTGCAACCATAGGCTGTCCGAAATGCGCGGCCATAGTCAAAGCCGCTGCAACAGTACCGGGCTCACTGGCAAGCAACTTGCGGTCGTCCCAGTTCAGGAAAAGCTCGGTCAGCTCGACGTGACCGTGCAACAGTGCTAACTCCATTGGAATCATCGACCACCCGTCTTCAGCTGTCGCAAGCTGCACACCATACTTGGACTGAAGAAGAACTTCGCAAATACTCAAATGACCTCCTTCCGCTGCTTGGTGCATGGGATTTCTCCAAAAGTCATCTCTCAGCTCGCGCAAATCTTCACTGATCTCACAGCCTTCCGAGGCTCGGAGTAACTCAACCATCACATCCTTGTGTCCCCACATGGCAGCCGCGCGGAATGGAGTGGTTGATCCATGTCCTTGCATTAGTAGGGTTTTCTTATTTTTGTCTGCCGCGAGAAGCTTGGGAATAATGCCACTGTTTCCGGTGAGAGCCGCGATCAATAAGGCTGTATGTTCGAAATGAGCCGTCGCCTGGACATCAGGCCCATAATCCAGGATTATCTCGGCGGAGAGGTCTCGTCTTTGAACTAGAGCCAGATGAAGCGGCGTAAACTGATTGAACCCCTTTTGATTCAACACATCGCCAGCGGAGGCATGGCCTAGAAGGAGTCTCAATGTTGTGGCGTGCTGGCCCAGGGCTGCCCAATGGAGAACATTGCCGACGAAATCGTCGAATGATTCCTTGATAGCTTCTGGTCTATCGGAGATCAGCTCGGCGACAAAAAAGTCTAGCCCAAAGTAGGCCATCATGTTGAGGAGTTTGACCGATCGGTCGTGTCGAGCCAGACTGTCTCCCATCTCAGCGCCATCAACTCCTGCTACACTGCACAGCAGGGTGCGAACTGCAAACGCAGACTGCAACCGGAGGTTGAAGAAATTTCTGACAGATTTCTGAATTAAGGATCTGGCCGTCGCACTATCAGCGTGCCCTGCGTGAATCCCCCAAAACAGTGCCGCATACTCGAGGAACGGGTACCGAGCAACAGTCTTTGCGAAAGAGGTCGTGTGGATCTCTTTGGTTTCTCTGCAGAACACTGGCAATGAGAGGTATTGTATGCAGGAATTTGTTATCGTCAAATCCGCACCTGGGAACCTCGTTGATTTGGTGGAATCCACAAACTCCTGTGTGGTCGAGTGCACGAATCCAATTCTCCCCGAGATGTTTTCAACTCTGACAAGACCAGCGCAAGTGGAAATCAGAAGCTCCTCGGGTATCAGATCATCAAAATCCAATTCCGTGTCTTCTTCCTGCAAAGTCAAGATGGATTGTAAGTCTTTGACTGTCAGCGGTCGTTGCGCATGGGAGATCCACATGATGATCTTCTCTCCAAGTTCGCGATCTTCGCGTGATTGATCTCCAATGCGGGAAAAAGCCGCAACGTACGTATCAGAGATGGCATGTTCTCCTTCTGGCAAGTTCTTCAAATCGGCTCTGATTTCCTTGGCTGTAAACTTGGATGCCAAAGAATTCAGATGGAGTGTGACAAGCAGGAACCTGGAGCAACGAGTCAGCGAAAGCAGATACCAAGAGATCAGTTGCTACTCACATTCCGTCGGCTTTCTTCGTGATGGTGTTCCTGATCTCTTCTCTGAGCTTAGAGTTATGCTCCACCTGAGAGCGCAATTTCGACACAGACTGTAGACGACCGTTGATATAGTCCTTGATATCTTGATCTCTTGCGCGGATTTCAAGCTGAGGGACATTTCGGAACTCCAAGGAGGTTTCTTTCGGTACCCGCGACGTGACGAGCAAGTTGACATTCGTTGGTAATTGTCGAAGAAGATACTGTAGCGAGTCACGGCTTTCGGTACGGAGCTCATCGAGGGCATCCAGAAGGACAAAGACACGTGAATACTTGCTGAGTTCATCAGATAGCAACTTGACCAACGCGTCGGTCGTAGGGTAAACCCCTCTTTTCGAATAGGTAGTTTCGAGATACTCGCACTCGAGCTCACCAAGCACACGCTTTTGCATCAGCTGCCTCCAGAGCGAAAGCATGATATTTTCAGCACTTTGGTTCTCTCGGTCTCTGTGGTCACAGAACGCGAAAAGAACCACCTCATCGGGTTTGAAGAACCGTTCCTGGAGGTGATTGATTGCAATTGCGAGCAGGACCGTTTTGCCTGCTCCTGGAATTCCAGAACACCAAAGGCGCTTTCCTTTGCCTTCCACCCAGGTCTTGAACTTCTCAGCTTCCAAAAACCATTGACCTGTCGATTTGTGTCGAACGGAGAACACATCGCGGAATCGTGCTGAGAAATCGAACTTGGCCAGGAATTGCACGATCTTCTCGTGTCGCTCCTTGGTTTCCATCACTTTTCTCTGTGCGCCAGGACGATTTGATCCTGCCTTCCGACTTTCGATCAGCGGCTTCCAATTCGTGAACATCTCATTCATCTGAGAGGAGACCGTGAGAAAAGATCTGTCCTGAGGCCCGGAGAACTTGTTGATTTTGAAATGATCCGTGTTCAGATGGAATTTGTGTGGCCCTAAGGCTCCGGCGGACTCTTCATCCACGACCTGAAAGAAAAGGTAAGCATCAGAGCATCCTCAAAGGCTGCATAACATACCAATTCCTTCCAAATGCCCGTCAGTCCTATCTTCTTCCCGTAGTCCGTCTCTTTACGCTCAATGAAGGCACGGACTGGAATCGTGTTTCTCTCCAGTATGCGCTGGAACACATCAATCTTATCCAACAGAACAGGATCTCCATAGCGGAGATCTCTGATGATTCCGCTGTCAGCTCCAGCCACCTGCAGGAAGCTGGTCACCACAGAAGCCATCTCCTGGATCTTGGACCCTTTGAACGGGCAGCCCAAGAAAATCAGACCAACTGTGATCTCGACCAGGTATTGAAACTTAGGTTCCGAGTCCGAGTACATAAGACCCTACGGTACACGAAGTCAAAAGCCGCCCAGGAGACTGCTGGAAGAAGAATTCAGGGTTTCACTCACATGCTGAATGACATTTCCACCCAGACTGTGTCCGATGAAAATAATCGGTCGGTCTTGATTGCCTTTACGAAAATCGTGAACAGCGTTGACCAGTTCCTCGCCGCAGATTTGCAGTCGCGTTTTCGCGGCATTCGCGTGCCATCGGGACTCATAGTTGTACGACAGTATGCGTGTCTTTGGCAGCACACCAGGCAGCATGTCACTGTCCTTTAACCAGTTCACCAGCCGCGGCTTACCATTGGCCTGGGTTTCATCTTTCCAGGTCCATGACCAATCTGCCTGAGAGCCCAGACCGTGCACGGCAATAATACTGGCGATGTATCAGTACCTATTTGCCCTATGCTCTACGATCATACTTACTCGACTTCCGCTTCGTCTGCCCCCGCGGAACCAGGGGTAGGATACAATACATCGATCGGGGGGCGGCTTTCAGATTTCTGTATGCTCGTCAGCTATGCGAGGTCGCGCACATCGAAGGCGTCACCGACATCTTCCTTTCCGTTCACCTTTGATGATGTCTCATCATCTCGTCGTCGCGAGGAAGGGCGAGTGTAGGAATACCAGACGCAGAAAAGAACGACAATTCCAGCTAGAGAGACGCGCTCGCGAACTCCGAGTTCCATCGCAGCGGGACAAACAACAGAGGTCACCCAACCCGACAAGCAACTGGAGATGATATCCTTGGCGACAAGAATAACACCCAGCGGAACATATAATAACAGGGGAGAAAAGGGATGAGAGGTCTTACATGCTGAATTCTGAGGCTGACATTTTGCCTAATAAGTACTCTGCGTCCGTTCGCACCCGTGCTAAATTAGGGTGGGCACTGCATTGGGGGCGCAGAGATGTGATTGGCACCTCAAACAACCCTCTCTGACCATGCAGCAATCTAGATCCAATCAGCGACGATATCCCAGACGCGGCTTGCATATTCACGAGGTCAGCAGCCAATCCGCGCCGTGTGGCGCCAAGACACGGGTTGAAGATCTTGGTCTTTTTGGGATGAAGTCTCCAAGGCTGTCCACACTGATACGAAGACGGAAAAGCCAAGTCAACTGCCAAAACAACCTTAATTGTGCGGTTCGGGCCGGATCATGGGTGCCTTGGTTGAATCATGATGCCTGGCACAGCCCTCTCTGGCTTATATTTAGATTTTGCAGAGGCTCAAGCGATTGAGTCAGTTGTGGCTCAGCTGGTGATCGACATTCCACTCCGCTCCTTGAGCTGATTCAACCCAACGATACCAGTTGATGTCTCCGTCCATGTCGATGTTGGTATCAACTGTTTCTGCGACCGCATTTGTAGGATGCGTGTGTATTTCTTCGTCGGTCCACGTCCAAGGAACACTCCATTGGCCACTGGATTCCGCATACTGTAGCTCCTGCGCTTGGTTGTCCGGTAGGGATACGGCCTCACTTACCCCCAGGGTGATCGTTGCGTCACATGGCAAGATTGACATGGCATCGCCTCCCCGCTCACTGGCAGCGTTTTGTGGCTCATTGTGAGATTGTGTGCTCATACCAGATACAAATGAGGTGGTTGGTTGAGCAAGTGGCTGGGCGATTGAAAGGCCGATCGGCGGTTGAACAGAACATGCACTGTCAAACCCAAACAACGCAGATTTCTGAGTCTCGTCGCTGCGAGGCCTGATCAAGTCTTGCCATCTCTCTAAAAACAGGGTCGCAGAATCAGAGCCTGGTGAAAAGGGTCCTGAGCTTGATGGGGTTGGCGAAGTTCGGTACTCCTGTTCTAGAAGCTGTGCGCCCCTAGGGTCACTCTTGAGACGGATCAACTCTAGTTGACGATGCCTCCGGGCATTGTTCATCAATTTGCGCAATGGAATCCATATGCGAAGGTCTTTGTCCATGTGGGATCTGGTCGGGATCAACCAAGCACTATGCAGGGCCACCCACGCTCTCTCTGCAATCGGCGACCACGGACGCCGAGTGATCTCCAGCATCATGTAAACAATCGCGTACCAATGGGTATAGGTCTGAAAAGCCCAGCGCCATTGCCGACATGCCCGTTCATTGTTGAGGGCGTGGTTGTACTCTGCTACCTCAATACCAGAGACCAGCAGTCGGGTTCTGAGCTCCTCTGAAAACTCCTCCGTCGGACTACCGAATAAAAGGGGCAGGTAGACCAGTAAAGACATCTTGGCCATCACGAGCCGTGTGACTATGACGATCGCCCAATATGTGACATTTCCCGATTCGGTCGAATAACGGAGATATTCTTGCTCAACCCCTTGAAACATCTCGTTCAGCAAGATGCTTTGTTTCTCTGAAGTTGGGGCTTGTTCTTGAAACCCGTGGGCCATCATCTGCCTTGTCACTTTGCATATGCCGAAGGAGACGCGTGCAACAGACACGTCAGTCAAGCTGTCATGTTCTCGGGGTGTCTCATTCGACTCGGGGTCTAGATCACTGTCGTTGAGGTTCAAAGGTATCCGTGTGTCAAAGCTAGCAGTTGGGATAGTGTAGTCGGCACCTTGATCTTCTGATGCCCTCACGTCCAATATGCACAGCACCCACCACACGCGGCGTCGCATCTCAACCTCATATGAACTCAAGTGATCAAAGTGTGAGCCATCACGGTGGAGTCCCAGAGCCTGGCCCATTCGTATTGCCAGTCCCGTCATCATCCACACAAATCCTGGCCTCTCATGTCGACGTAGCAAGGCGAGGAAAATGGCGAACGCCTGCACCAACATCAAATCAGGTGCCCCCAGGAAGTCGGCTCTCGCCAGGGCATGCTCCAAGCCTTGACGATATCTCAGACTCAGATCGGCTTTCGTAGTGCCAAAATTCCGGATTGTCTGGGGAATTCATCGCGAAGGTTAGTTCTATGAAGCTAACTCAATCTCATCCCACGCAAGAGAGACTCACGTCTTCATTCTCCATCGAAGTAATCGCCGCATAGTAAATAGCGAACATCAAAGCCTCTTGGGCTGGCGTGAGTCCCTGCATGTCGCGGCCGCGCCAATCACGAACCATCTTCCGCACAGTGGGGAGGTGTACAACTTGAAGTATCATGTTGACATTCTCGGAAAATAGATCCAGAAGAAAAGGAATCTGAGAGGGCAGTGGATGTAGATTGTTAAGATCGGGGGAAGAAGAAGTCAGATTGTGGCCAAATAGGAACCCATGGCGCGCTGCAGGTGTTTGGTCAAACTCCCGCGCATAAGGTGTCTCATCTGGTAGCGAATCGTCATCTGAAGTCGCATGTCCCTCTGCCAAAAGGTCATGGGCGTCTAGTTTCAAGCTATCAAGCTGCGACTCTTGTCAGTTACCATGCATTCAATGCAGCATCCAAAGCCCACCTCGTCATTCACCCGGGACCAAAAGCCGCTACTGACATAGCGACTTCTGTTCGAGTCCTGTATCACAAGTCTTCCAAACTGGGTCTGCATAGACTGGTCGCCCTCGGAAAGGGTCGGGCGTCGATCTTGAGCGGAGCTCTCGGGAGAGCCAACCCCAGAGGAACCACCGACCGAAGTAGCTGTCGACTTGGACTGTTCCAACCGACTACTGAGGTCTTTGACCAGACTCTCGAGGTGATGTAGTCTATCCATGACCCCGTCGGCCACTACATCTACTCGGTCGGAAGACGCGCCCCGGTCCAGGCGTCGAGCCCACCTTGGTGGGCGGTCCGTTGAAGGAAACACACATGCGATGTTGGCGCGACGGCAATTCGAGCAAGGCGCTCGCTTGTCGCAGCGAACTTTCCGGCTTCGGCATACGACACAGCTCCGGAGCTTGGGGGCTTTGTCCCTGCTCGCGTCGGACCTCGCGTGTTTCTCGGCCTCAAACGCCGAGGGCGCGCCCGTCGGGTCTGCTCGCTCTGACATGCGAGCGTTTCCGCTTTGAGATAAGGGCTGAGGAGGCTTGGATCGATCCAATAGTTTCAAAGCGATTCAAAGAACTGGGTGGTTGGGGCAGTGATGGTGCTGACGAGAAAAGCGCGAAAGGCCACTGTCGGGATCCTTTCGCGCCTCTCGACTTCCCATATAAGGGACATCACCCCAACACGACCTTCATTATTCTCTCCAATATCGTGTCCTTTGCTGTTTGAAATCACACCATGTCTAAAACCATCGCTTTTTTGGGTGCCAGCACCGGTGTTGGCCAGGCTGCCCTTGCGCACACCCTCGCCGCCGGCCATCAATGCATCGCACTTTGTCGCGATCCCTCCAAACTCCAGAAAGCCTTCGCGTCATATCCAACCCCGAATCTTAAAATCGTGGAAGGTAATGCACACGATGTTGCTGCAGTCGCACAATGCCTTCAAGTCGAAGATCGCCTCGTCGACATGATCGTGACTACGATCGGGGCCAAGCCCATTCCCCTCAAGATGACCGTTGATGACCCAGATGTGTGCAAGAAGGGTGCAACGACTCTACTAGAGGCACTCTCTCAACTACGAAACATTGGAGTCACCGGCAGCCCACATATCATTGCCTGCAGTACCGCTGGCTTCTCACGCTTTGGCCGCGATATCCCTCTCGCGATGATCCCTGTCTATGCATTGTTTGTTCGAACCCCGGGAGCGGATAAGGTAGTGATGGAAGATCGCCTTGTCGCGAGCGGCGAGAAGTTCACGATCGTTCGTCCTAGTCATCTCACCGACGGCGCGTCGGACAAGACTATCCGGGTAGGCATTGAGGATCCTACAAACGGGCCTGTGTCGGATGTGGTGGGTTACAGTATCTCTCGGGAAGATGCAGGCAAGTGGCTGGCAGATAATCTCGTGTTGCATACAGACTCGCGGTATTTGAACAAGAACGTGCTCATCACATATTGATTGTGATGTTCGCACGAAGTGGGTATCCGCCAACATTCAACTGCTACATGAAGCAGGCTTTCACGAATCTCCTTTATTGTTACAATCACAATTCTCTCTCGACTTGCTTTCATCAGTACATCGAGTGAGCGCAAACCGCCCGCAAGAGAAGAGAACCTCCCGGCAATCGAATCTCAGCCTCCTATTGAATCACTTTTTTGTTTTGAGTACCGAGCCTCGTCATTGCATTTGAAATTCCTACACAATCGATTTAGCCCTGTACCGAGTCATTATGAAATGAGATGAATACTGACCCATTTTCCTCCTATGCGGCTCTAGAGGCCAGTTTATTCGTCGGGACCCTCGATGTCAGAGTCACTAGCGTCTGAATTGCATTCGCAGTTGATCATCTTGCAGTAGGGACAAGGCATACTGTCCAGGGTAGTACGGGGTATTGATGCGGAAGCGCGCTATGTATAGTTCCGGCATCGCGTCTGCAGAACCCCGCTCCCATGTGATGCCCGTATTCGTGCCCAGGTGAGTTGGCGACATTCACGTACATTCCAAGTTGATTTGGCCGACTGGCATGGCACCGAAGGTTTAAATGCGTGACGCGGTCCTTTTTTGACTCTTTATTCCAAGCTTGCCGATTGGCACACGCTCTTAACTACCTAAATGAAGTATGCAGGGCTCACCAATGAACCTTTGACACTTCATCATTTCAACGTCGGTCCATTCACAGGTCTGTCGAACAAGTACTAGGTAGGTGGATTGCCGATTTCGGCACAGAGCAATTCAGAGTGATTCATGTATATGCATTATATTCTGGAGTCAACCAGTGTACTCCGTGATGATCATTATGCGAAATATGTACAATGCATAATTGACCAAGATGCAGAAGAAAATTGAGAAACAGAAAGACAAAATGCAATTCAACCATCAGTGTTGGCACAGGTGAAGCTGTTGCTGTTGCTGTCGTTGTGGATAGCCATGCCTGAAGCATACATTCCTAGAACACACAGTGCCAGACCCAAAAGGGCGATGCCGACATTGATGACGAAGAGGCAGATCTTGCGGGGACCGGCAAACCATTGGCCATAATTCAGATGAAGCCAATAAACACCGGAAAGGCCATAGCTGAACCACGAAGCGAACAGGGCACTAATCATACTGTTCAGATCACTGAATACAGGAATGGCTTCGCAGATAATCCAAGCGACGATCCAGCAAATGAGGCCGAGACCGATCCACAGACCGATGGCGCGTGCGTTGGTCTGATGCATCAAGCCAGACTTGGCACAGAGACGGAAGTAAAGGTATTTCAATCCGATGTGGCCATTGACGACACCAGCGCCAACAATGGTGGGGATGGCGATTCCGTAGGCGATCTTGCTCATGAGGGGACCGGCGGAGGTGAGAGCGGGGGATCGGACGTCGGTGCCGACATAGTAGTAGATGACCACGGCACTGGTCAGATAGAGGGAGATTTCAAAGGTCTGGAGCATGAAAAGCGACTTCTTAAAGTCCTTGGGGTTCTCCATCTCGGCGATGAGGCCGAAGAATGCGACATGGGCGCAGTATGCAAAGACGATGTTAGACACCGCCTGGAACGCCGTGTACAGGTTGCTCTCGACAGTAGCCTGAATGACACGGCCTGGGTGGCTTTCAACACCCACGGCGATCATGGTAATGACGACAGCGCTCAGGATACTGACGAACGAGGCGAGAGAGATCCAAGTCATGCCCTTCATGGTTCGGGGAATGGACAGAACCATAGAAAGAACCAGACCGACGACACTAAACACGATAGAGCAGGTGCCGTGATCGGTTAGGGAGTTCATCATAACACGGAAGGTGAGGAGGTGGCTCGCCATGACAAAGACGAAGAACAGGAACTGTCCAATGCCGAACAGCTCACGTCCGAAGCTTCCGAGAAGAATCTCGCCCGCGTCACCGAGATTTTGAATGTGAGGGTACCGTTCGCGAAACAGGCCGATGTTATATCCCGTATATAATGCGAGAAGGCCGAAGCCCAGAATGAGGATAATGCCTGGGACAAAGCCCAGGGTCGCGATAGCCGAGGGTAGTGACAAAACACCCAGCGAGACCGATTCACAGATCATGAGCAGACCGCATTGCCTAAGAAAACCCTCGTTAGCACTCTGGAGATCCCGGACCATTCCAATAATACATACCACCACTGCAAGGTTTTATACTTGATTTCGGCGTATTCCTCGTTTCCAAAGGCATCGTGAACCTCACCGGACTTGGCTAGTCCGTCCTCTTCATGTTTGGGGTCATTGGGAACAATCTTGTCCTGTTCGTACACGGGAGGAGCAGGGTTGACCTCCATGGCTTGTTGAATAGCAGAGGGATGGAACACACAGGAAGGCAGCAGGGACAAGGCCCATCTTAAACACCCACGAGTCACCGATTGCCCCACGAACAGAGGTCAATGGAAGCTCCATCGAAAATTCGACACACCCAATGGCCGTTTCGGTTCGGTCTGAATCCGGCCAAAGGGCCAATTGGAGGGCGGGAACGTCGGGGAGAGATGCTGACTCATGATTCTATGTGGTGATGGAAACTCCGCTCGCTGGATTCGTCTTTTGCAACAGTCGGCAATTCACCTTGGTTGTTGACGTCAAGGCTTGTTGCACTCATATCCTCTGGTGATGGCCCTTATCTGTAGCAAGATACTGTTCCCCTCCATTAATCGCCATTTTGTCGAGAAAGACGGTCATTGGCAGACTTTTCAAGTTCTGCAGGGCTCCGGCCACTTACTTTAACCTTTCACCGGATAGGCTTCGGTGGCAACTCAATCCCCGACCCGCAATCCGGAGTTGACCCAACACCTCCGGGTCATTCGAGAGCTCCTTGACATGGCATCTACTACCCCGGTGGTAGGCTGAAGATGATCCTTTAAGGCCCCTTGCTTTGCGGGGATTATGATTATCCCCGTTCGGATTCGTCAGGTCTCGCACGAATTAAGCTTAATTCGGGAACCTTGGACTGGTCGCTTGAGCCTCACGATACCGCGCTGCTAGTTACTCCGTACCCTTCGGCCGTAACATTCATGACCGTGTCCCAGCATTCGTGTATTCCACATATGAAATGGCCAGTTTGGCAACTTAGTGCACTGTCAACTATTCATGTTAGCCTCGTAGACTCAACACCAGTACGAAGTACTATATTGTAGACTAGCGACATGGACATGCGATCTCCCGAACCCGTGGACACGAACAGGAAGCAAAGGCCGTATTGCTTACCGTACTGTATGCAACACAGACGCTAGTCCCAATGCAGCAGAGTGACTCAGCACATCGACAGGCTTGGATCTAATCCGGATCTGGGTTAGCGTCTGGTCAACATCCCAAGTGTACGGAGTAGTCAGACGAAGCTGTTCAGGTGATCCTCCACCTCTATCCCCGCAACGACAGTGCGCTCGCACTGTCCAGCGTGTTGGTCTCCACATAACACACAAATTTGCACCGTTATAAGGCATGAACTCGCAGCCACCGCCTAACATGTGGCAAATGCCACCGTCTCTCCTAGACATGGAGCTAGAGGGAATGGCAGATCCAAATGGACCAACGACCTGGCCACAGCATGATGTCTTGGATGTCAATCCTCTTCACGACCCTAGCTCATATGAGTCGGACCCTATTGACTTGGACTGGTCTCAGTGGATGAATACGGAGCCAAACCAAGTACATTCATCCCATGTCCAAGCGGAACTTGAATATCCACAACCTCAGGGCCCAGGCATTGTACATGATCCTGGCCCTTCATTGATTAAAAGAGGTGTGGAGTCCCTCCCACAGCAACCCAACCTCACCAATGTCTCACAGTGGCTGGATGGAGCATATCGCCCTCCAGTCCGCTGCACCCATTGCCGCAGACATCGTCTGCAATGTTTGATCCTCCGAACTACATCGGCAAACCCCAATCCGAGAACATCCTGCTCAAGCTGCGTGGCTCTTTTCCGGGAATGCAGCTTGGCAAAGGGCGAGAAACGCCACCCATCAGGCTTCGAGACCCTCTCTCCCGTCCTGGGCCATTTGCATGGCGTGCCAGAAGATGAAACTGCCATAGGACTCAATTCGCAGACAGGCGATGAGCGCAAAGAGCCCAAGCAGTTCGTCAGGAAAGGAGCTAGGGTGCTGCGGGAGTGGTTCTATCATAACCAGGAGTACCCATATCCCACAGAGGCGCAGAAGAATCAACTCTCGCTAGACACCGGATTCTCGCAGAAGCGAATCTCGACGTGGTTTGCCAACGCTCGCCGTCGCCAGAAGCAAAAAATCCAGTCTTCTGGTATTGCTTCTACCTCTCGTGCCCGAGCCGGATCCCCTATGATCAAAGGTACATTGGCTTCCCTGACTCCCATGGAGCGGTGGCAATCGTCTCCCCCGGAGGATGAATCTGTTTCAGAAACGGCGATTCAAAATGCAATCTCTTCATACCCACTGGAGACGGATGACTCTTTTGATCCATTCCAATTCGACCCTTCTGGCATGGATTTCTTCGATTTCGACGAAAGCTCGTCGCATTTGGCATCCTCAGTGTCCAGCATTGGAAGCAAAGCATCAGAGACCTCAGACAGTGGCTCCTCGGCGTGGAGCTATAACTCCTCTGGAGAGCCAGGGCTGTCATCCCAACTCCCCAAATCGTCCAAACCGAGACGAATCCGTGGAAGACAGAGAACAACAGGAGACTATCATTACCAGTGCACATTCTGCGCGCAGTCTTTCAAGAAAAAGCACGACTGGTCCCGCCATGAAAAAAGTGTTCATCTCACCCTGGACTCGTGGATATGCACACCGGATCTTGGCAACGTTCAGCAGGCCTTCGACCTCCAATCATCCGAATGTGCATTCTGTGACACCTTGTTCCCAACACCTGCCCACTGGGATGAACATGACTTCAACGTCTGCGTCGACAAGCCGGTCACAGAACGATCGTTCAGCCGCAAGGACTATCTCTGGCAGCACTTGCGCAAATTCCACGGCTGCACCAAGCCACCCGTGTCTGATCTCGACGCGTGGCGTGGATCGGGTGCAAATGTGGAAAGCCGCTGTGGTTTCTGCGGGTGCTCCCTATCGACCTGGGCAGCGCGAGCTGAGCACTTAGCCAATCACTTCAAGAATGGAACTCGCATGGACGAGTGGGAAGGTGATTGGGGGTTCGATGCCTGCACGATGAACTCTCTACGAAATGCAGTCCTCCCATCTGAGCGCCGGGCTTTAGCTGCCCCGGAATAATTACATAAATCCATAATGAAGACATGAAAGACATGATTGAAATGCTCATGTGATCGTAACCAGTATACTCTATTATTCCACATTCTGCCATTCCCGATGATACCAAGTCCCCATACCCAAAATAAAGAGCACAATGCTACCATCCCTCACAACATCTCGGAACAACTGCACCGCCATCCCCATCCCAGACTTGCCACCAAACAACACCTTCCCGCCCGTCAGAATCAGTTCTCCAGTAGCGAAGAGAGCAAAGGGACTTTGCGCAGTAGCCGGCGGAGGCGGCGCACTACCAAACAACGCAACCGAAGACCCAATAATAAACAACAGATACCCAGCAACTGCCAACGCAAAGATGGTATGCAGCGACTTCCACACGGTCGCGCGCTTCTGCTCCGCTTCCGTGGGAGCCGCTCCACCAAGTCCACCAAGCATATTCGCCAGGAAGGGCGGCACACCGAGCATTGTCGCGATGGCCGGGAGCGAGGAGCCAAGACCGGGGGCGCCAGCGCCAGGACCTGGAGGTGCACCCGCTCCTGCGGCACTGGGGTCACCACCTGGCATGGCACCCATGAGAGAATTCAGGAGCTTGATCGTGGGGTCTTCCTCGTCAGGACCAGCGCCTGCTCCGGGTCCTTGCTCGGGTGCGGACTGTCTCAGCATGGCTCGGAACATGTCCTGCTGGGCTTGGAGAGAATTCGGGGCTTGAGGGTCTGGGTGGACGCCTTGGCTTTGGTCGGGCGCGGAATGTCGGAGCATCGAGAAGAACGCTTCTTGCTGGGCGCGAATGGCTTCTGGGTCCATGTCCGGCTGCGGGGCGGGTGAGGCGCGAACCTGGGGTTGTGGTGTTGGTGGTTGGGGTGAAGGGGAGCCTTCTTCGCGCTCTGTTGGGTGTTGTTAGCGTTTGGCAGAGAGTTTTTTTGATGGAAGCCAGTGGTTTCGGTGACCATGGTGTCCTCGAATCCATACCTGATTGTGGTGTGCGTCCACTCAAACTGGTGATCTTGTCCAAACGCGCTGAGCCTCCCTCTTTGATTTTGGCCTCGCGGCGTTCGCGGCGCAGGCGAGCAGATCGTTGAGCCGGTGATTCATCAGCCATTTTGTGTGAGCTCGTGGAAAGGAAGTTGGTAAGTCGCAGAGATGACAACCTTGGCTCCAGGGCTGGAAGGCCAGATCCCGTGGTGATAAGCGCACTGGCCACCTGTGGAAATGGATCGTTCGACTTCAACCTTGAACAATTGACACTTGTACCTGAGCACATATCTCAAACTTGAAATTGGAGGGAAATACTATAGCATATGGACTAGCAATGGTTATTTGTTATCCGCTGATGACACGTCAGATGGCTACTATCCTCAAATCCTGTAGGCTATTCCAAGGTTGGGTTCACTGCAGAAAGATATATATGCGCCCCGACAGATACCTAGGTATCTAACAAGTTCCATGACTGTGATATCCCCAGAGTAAGACCTCGGGACCCTTGACAGTGATATTACCATTGAAACATTATTATTTGTTTATAGTATTAATATATATCAACACTGGGCATTCCAACCTTGGAAGGTTGGACTTCGGGATCAGCCCAAGGGCCCTGCATACCTAGTAGGTGACTACAACCCCATATCAAGGTTGTTAGTTGAGCTCATGCTAGCCTTGGAAGTGAATAACAGCTTCAGTGCTATCTTCCTGACCAGGTGGGGAATTGAATGAGGCCGAATGAAGTTCTACTCCAGGACTGTTATACTGCCCAGGTGGACGAACCAGTGGACTCCCCTCGGTAGTGTTGCGAATCCACGATATGGTATCCATCCACTCTGGTGGAACCTCGTGCAACGTTTCCAAAATCGCCACTACCAGCTGGTGGCCCCAGTAATCGCGGACATACCATCGATCGCGCATGAGGCGCATAGCCGTGCCGTAATGCAAGAACAATACCCGGGCAGTCCAGTCGCCACTGCGCAGCAGTGCGAAGAATTCATCGGAGATGAACAACGGCCACGAAAGAAGGCCACCTTCCGGACCAATTTTTGGCCACTGCTTGAGAGCTCTATGGAGCTGCTGCCAGGAAATTTGGTAGGTAGCGTGATTTGGCCCTTTCTTCTGGTTGATGATTGTGTTTGTTCGATCTAGCGATGTGATTATGTTTCTGGCACAACGGTGAGTTTCCTGTACCCTTGGAAGACCCGAAACAACGCCGAGTTTAACGTACGCATGCAAGTGCATTGGCTTATCAACGTCATCTTCTAGAACGGTGGGGGTATTCCACCTAGATTTCCATTTAGATTAGCACGCCGTCCAAGGGTTATAAATTAGCCAAGAGGAGGCTAGACGCTCACTGAATTGGTGTTTCATCAGGTGCTGTTCTTTCAGTATCCTGAACTTCTACCCAATTTTCTAAGTCAGGCATTAAGCCGTCTTTGACTGCCCTGTTGAACAGCAAAGCGGGGCCCGATACCAACGTGCGCATCTCAACAACTAATGTAATCGGGTCGCGAGGTCTATCAGACGATGTGACTCGATAGCCCATCGCAAATACCATAATGAAGATAGATGCGAAGAAGGCCGGCGGATACCCCTGGACCGTGATTCCGGCAAGTGCCTTGACGAGTCCTGAACATGCTTGGCTTTGGTATCGCAAGCTGACATCTAGCCAGTACCCTCGATTTTCCTCAATCGAGGCAAGGTGAAGAGCGGACATTGCGTATAAGCCATCGAGGAGGTAAATATATTCGGCCGCTAGGCCAGGGACGTTCACGGAGAGGTGATCCGCCGAGAGCCCATCTTGTGATATGGTGTGAACGGTTGATGTCATATACTGGTGAAATAGTCTGGCCTCGAGCATCCGCGTAGCCCGGGACGACTCAGCAGATGCTGTCTGAGTTTCAAGCTCAGGGTCGTCGAGTGACTCGGGGCTTTTTGGTTCTTCGGGAGGATAGCTGCATTCGAATCCCCGCTTTCTGCACAAAGTGCACTTCGGGAGTCTCTCGTCGCACTAGGTCGATATATTAACCCGATGTCCGAGCTTCGTCACTGGCAGATCGGGACCTACCTTGACATGTCTTCCTTTGCACACCGTGCATCCTTTCTTCGATTTTTTATGACTGCGACGGCGTTGCATTGAGGGTATCCCAAGGGGGAACAAGTCAGGTGCAGATGGGGTCCAAACCTTTGAGTCTGAATGAATCATGTCCGTCACCGACCTCGGCAATTGGCCCGCATCCGCATCCGGCGCAGACAACACTCGGCCTCATCGGCAGATGGAAACAAGACACTCGATGGAAAGAAGATACTCAATGGAAATACCCCGCCCCACCGCGGAAGCCTACCTACTTGGTCTTAGTGAGGACCGAGGAGTGCGCCGAGAGTTCGTCGTATACAAGTCGTGTTTCACCGGAGAGCCGTTTAGGGTCTTCATGATCCACTCCCTAGCAACTCACAGGTCAGGTTTCTACCCCATGACACCCAAGGGGAGAACCATAATTCGGCGTTGCTGGTGATCAACGGAAAAATCCAGGCTCTAACGGTTCAGTTTCGTTTTCAGGGCGCCGATCTGAGGGACCCAAGATCGACGATGAGATCAAGCCCAGGTGCCCTCCTCTCGGATTACCGCTACTTTGGGTTGAGACCGAACCAAAGTAAACAAGATCACTGTCTAGGAATGAAGAACAGCGGTCCACCCAGAAGTCCAAAAATCAAGCATCCGGAGAGTAGTCCGGCTACGTTCCCAAGGGTTGTGGGTGAGATTCGGAGAGATGCCCAGTGGGGCATCACTCTATCTCACTTTAAGATCGGGAACTGGATTCCGGGCATCGCATTGGTTCCTGACCTGCGCCAAGCGGAAATTATACATATATCCAAAGGCTTTCATTGGATCCGCGCCAAGCCATGTGCTAGGCCACGAGGTGATCGTCGGACCCGCTTCGATGATGTCCCTCTTCATGCCGATCCCGCTGGCCAACGCCGCAGGCACGACACGAGAGGAAAGTGGGACGGTGCATGGGAATAGGAGAAACTATGTAGGCATCTCAACCATGGAAGTCTGTCGTATTCAGAAGTCGTGTTTCCGATCTACTTGACTATATGATATATTTACTGCTCCTTTCTACCTCCCATCTCAAGAGTTTGGACCCGATTCAATATACTGAAGATTCCTCTCGGTCACTGCCTCTTGGTTTCTGTTTCAACTACTACACGACGACTCCAAATACCTCAACTCTACAGCTTCCCCTATGAAGAGCCCAATCTCCCCACACCAGTGGGAGGACAACAAGGCCTTCATCTGCAGATTGTACATGGAGGATGATTGGCCATTGAAGCATGTCATCAGACGAATTCGATCTGCTGATTTTAATCCAACGTAAGGGTCTTATCGTTCTGCTCTCACGCCGGAATGTGTCTAACCGATTCAACCAGTGAAAGCCAGCTACGAAGCAAGCTTAAGAAGTGGCGTATCAGAAAGCCCAGTCGCCAAGCCAAAAGGAAGATCAATGACACAAGCAACAACTGTGAAGGGACTCGGCGCAGGCACTCAGCTCAAATGCTTCTACCAGAAAATGTGCACTACAACTTTTCCGAACCAAATACGAACCGGTTTCCAGAAGAGCGAAGATGGTCCTCATCAATGGTCCCGCTAGTTGGCCCTGATCTACTAGGCGAGCACTTCCTCGCCTCAGCCCGTAATCCAGACACGAGCAGATCGCCATCCTTGAATCCGCACACTTTCCTCGCCAACGGGACACCAATTTTGAACCCTACAGTTCCTTGGTACTGTGATGGCTACCCTAGTGATTGCTACCCCGCGCTAGGATCACACCTCCCTAGCTGTGGGAGCACAACGCCGGCTGCATTGTGGTCTACTCATCCAGTGTCAGGGGCCTATGGACCCGACCAGGCCTACTGGTACTCCCTGTCGATGGCAGGGGTTTATCCCTCTCTAGGTCCACATCCTACTACTACGGGCACTCCAAGTCACAGCCATATACCCCTCGGCCACAGCCAGCCTCCACACTAGCCTGAGAAGGTGTATGTATCACGAGAACTGGCAGAGATCTTTGTCAAACTGTGGGAGATGGGGGCATCAGCCAGCACTCTGAAACCGAGCCAGCCAGGCTGAAGAGAACACGCTTCAGGCTGGAGTCACAAGCAAGAAGAATGACCATGTGTATCTATTTCATAATTTTAAGAGAAATCTAAGAATACAGATGAACCTATGTACAAGACCCTGCGGAAGGTGACTCAGTCGATCTTCTAATAACAAAAATCACGCACAAGTTGAGTAAACACTTTCTCAAACTGTCGCAGACTTTCCACTTCAACCCATTCCTCCTTTCCATGTAGTCCATCTCCCGCAGGTCCCCACACGATCGAAGGGACACCAACAGCACCGAATAATGACGCATCAGTCCAGAAAGGACCAGTCGTCACAGTGGGTGCATTGCCCAAGACTGCCTCTGACGACGAAACCGCACTTTGCACGAACGGATGATCAGCCGAGACCTTTTGCGTAGGGCGCACCATGGTAATGTGAGGCTCCGCGTATTTGAACTGTGGCTTTCTTTGCGCAATGCCTTCCAGCAGGGCTTTCATATCAGCCAGCAGAGTCTCTTGGGTCTGGACAGGGACAGTGCGGAATTCAACGGTGATGGTGCAGCTACTGGGGTAAGAGGAAGGCTCTTCACCACCGCGAATGAGACCGCAGTGCAACGACCCCTGACCCAAGAGATCATCAACAGGTAAGCGGGATTGGTACTCTTCCAGAGCTTGCAGGAAATACCCAGCATAGAGGATGGCGTCTTGGCCAGATGAAGGGTCAGATCCATGAGCAGCTACTCCCAGGATATCGATATCAATCCAAACAAACCCTTTGTGAGCAGTCATGATGGTGCCCTGAGTGGGTTCAGGGAAAACTGCACCATCAGCACGCCAGCCGGCTTCGATGACGTCCTGCGATCCTTGGGATTTGTCTTCCTCGTCTGAAACAGCTGCCACGATCACGTCGCCTCGGGGAACGCGTCCTGTGGCCTTTGTTGCCGCCAGAGCTGCCAATCCGGCCGCCAAACCACCCTTCATGTCCAGGCAGCCTCGACCAAAGATGACTTCTTTGCCATCTTTGTGTCCAATGGACCCGGACAGTGGGTCGGACTCGTAAGTGCTTAGACTGACAGTGTCCGTGTGGCCGTTGAACATGAGAGACTTTCCACCTCCACTGCCGCGCAGCACTCCAACAAGAGATGGCCGTCCTGCGACTTTCTCAATCCATTGATACTCGATGTCTCGATGGGCAAACCACGCAGCAAGGTAGTTGGCGATCTCATTCTCGCCAACTCCATCTGTGACAGACAGTGTCGGGTTGGAGGAGTTGATTTGCGTCAGAGCTTGCGTCAAGCCGACCGCATCGTCAACGGAGACATCCCTGGGTGTGGTGTATTCACGGGCCCCTTCAGTACTAAGCAGTACCACAACAGAGTCCGCATTCAAAGTGGAGTTTTCGGAAGTAGCCAGGTGTCGCAGAGCCGCTAGGGATGCACCACCGCATGGTCCGGCATTGACAGCATTGGCTTGGAGATATTTGACTGCACAGTGGCTTTCGTAGGATGAAACCGTGACGCAGGCGTCGACTGACCGCTGGAGATCAGGCCAAGCGGAAGAAGATACAGTGCCACAATCCATTCCATCCATGATTGTCTCAGAGCCTTGGACAGTAACAGACTTTCCAGCCTTGAGACTAGATGATAGGCAAGCCGCGGTATCAGGTTCAACAGCGACAACGGAAATGGGCGTGCTCTGCGATTTGCAATGCTTGGCAACCGCATGGGCAAGACTGCCCACACCGACAGGAGTGATCATCACACTGCTCGCAAGTCCCAGATGGGCAAGCTCCTCCTGAATCTCGTTCATCATAGAGGAATACCCATCCACAATCCACGCAGGCACATGCTCATATCCTTCAAAAGCAGTATCCTGAATAAGAAGCACATTCTGCACCCGACTTTCTTCCAAAGCAGCCTGCACAGCCTGATCGTAATCACCCTGCACGACAACTATTCTCGCGCCCTCACCAGCAATCAAGCCGCGAGTGCCCTCATTCAAAGACCGGGGAACAAAGACACGGGCCTCAATGCCGAGCAATCGTGCCATGAACGCGACCGCTCGCCCATGATTACCCATCGATGCAGTGGTCAAGACGATCGAGGCATTTTGGGCTTGACGCGATAACTCCTCCAGCGACACAGTCGCTGGCAAACCGAGTTGAGCTGCGACGGCCCGGAAACATCCCCACGAGGCACCTAGGACTTTGAAAGAAGGCAGGCCGAATCGGTTACTCTCATCTTTGACGAGGATGTTGCGGACGCCTAGTTCTTTGGCTAGCTCAGGTAGATTGATGAGGGGTGTTGGTGCATAATTGGGGAATGATCGGTGGAATTGGGTGAGGCCTTCGATGGGCGGGGAGACAATGCGCTCCTGCGCGGCTGCGGGGTTGAAGTAGATTGAGCGACGCGATGACATTTTCACTTTTTGGACATTTGAACGTGTGAATCTGTCATGTCTAGGTAGTTTATAGTAAGTCGAGTCGGAAGCCTTCCGGGGACATCGCGCCTTCTGAGTACACGGGCGCCATTAGCAATTTAGGCGACCGCGCCTTCTGGAGACACTTTCGTGTATTTTACAGTCCACTTCTTGGGAGAAATTGGGTCTAACGAGATAGTCAGGTTCATTCAGGGTTTTTGTATTAATGGTTTGGCATTGTTTAGCTGAAGCTCATTCCCAACGTCCTACAGGCTCCTACAATATGCCCTCAAAGGTTACTACTATGTAGGTATGGACTTACCTAAGTACCTATTGTGTAGGTTGTATTTTCGAGTCAATTTAGCTTATTCGTCTTTTCAATGCTGTTTTACACGTTGCGATAAATATGAATCTTCGTGGCGAGAACTAAGAGTAACAAAAATAAAGATTCAACGCCTATGGATACTAGTCTATTTTTCCTTCTCAGCTCGGGACTGATCGTAGTGAACAACCGCTTCGAGCAGGGCTTGGGTACCGAGAGCACTGCTTTTGTTAGAATAAATTCAAAAACCTAGGGAAAGAATAAACTTACCAATCCTGTGGACTGCAGTATTCAGTCGGGTGGTGACTGACTCCATCTCGGCAAGGGACAAAAATCATCGCCGAGGGACAGTGTTGACTGGTATAAACTGTGTCGTGACCTGCGCCACTAGTCATGAGCATCGACTGCTCCCGACCGACAAGCTTATCCGCAGCGGCCTGGATAGATGCCACGCAGTCGTCGTCGAACTTGACAGCTGGAGAGTCCGTATCCAAAGTCCAGTCGAAGGAGACACCCTTGCCATCCTGGGATGCAATAGCCTCAAACGCCTTGAGACACTCATCTTGCACCGCATGGACTACACTATCCTGCGGATGCCGGATGTCAAGGGTGAACGTCACCTGGGACGAGACAGTGTTCGTGGAAGCATTGGAGGGAACCTTGATGATACCCGTAGAAGCCAAGGCGTCGTGCTTCTTGGCGATATCATGAGAAGCCGCAATCATTCTTGAGGATGCCAATAAGGGATCCTGGCGGGCGCTGAAGGGCGTGGTGCCTGTGTGAGCATCCTTCCCGTGAACAGTCATAGTCAACCACCGGTATCCCTGGGCCCCGCGGACGACACCAATCGAGCGATTCTTCTCTGGGAGAATCGGGCCTTGCTCAATGTGCAACTCGAAATGAGCGCCCAGAGGATATCCAGTGGCTGGGTCACTGGAGCAAGCGATGTCACCCAGATATCCGTGTCTTTCGAGCTCCGAACGGAGGGTGACACTTGAGTCATGAATATCACGCAGATCCCAAGCTTTTTGAATGGGAATCGCTCCAGCCCAAACACCAGACGAACACATCGATTTTGGGAATCGTGCACCTTCCTCACTGTAGACTCGATTAGTGACATTGTAAGAATGTTCCTAGAATCCTCCCTTACTTAGTCCAGTTCACCACTCCAACATCGAAGTTCGTTTGGAACCCATTTTCCTTCATCGTCCGCAGAACCTCCAGAGCAGCCATCACGCCCAGAATACCATCATAGCGCCCACCCCGAGGTTGAGTATCAAGATGACTTCCCATTGCGATCATAGGAGCCGGCGAACCAAGCCGACCAGCCTGCTTCGCAAACATATTCCCCATCTGATCAATGGACAAGGAGCAGCCTAGCTTTTGGACTTCTCCCGCGAACCACCGGCGCACACGAGCGTCGTCGTCATTGAGAGTCAAACGCGCCATGCCCGTCTCGGTCGGATTTCTGCTCATGCATTAGAGTCTATCCCTGGGATGGAACAGGTCTTTTCACATACTCGCCATATCGATGCGTAGCACCCCATTCACAGGTCTGGTGTAATGTGTTCCACAACCTCTCGGAATTAATCTGAAGGCCTGATGATGCCGAGACTCGGGATGTAGAGAAGCGCCGGGTGCTGGCGCGAAGGGCGCCTAATTTGTTGGTGTACATTTTGTGGTAATTCGAGGGATGTCGAAGATCAACGTATCCCAACGTCCTGCAGCTATATAAAGTGAAGCTCGGGTCTGGATCCCGTTGAAAACCGACCTATCAGAGTGGGTTTGATTTTTGCTTTTTGGCGCCTTCTCGCGACAGGCGAACTAGTGACCCCAATTAAAGTCTGGAGAAGGCGTCGGCGGAGTCGATAAAATACTGGGTCTGTTAACTCGGGACGCCTTCCCGCGACATCTGCCCCACGAGATCATGGATTCACTGTCAAACTGTCACAAATCAAATTGAATTCACTAGTTCAGGAACTAGTGAAACTGAGTTGTTCCCAGCATATCAGTAGTGCTGGTAAGGAATGTTGGTATAATACAAATACAAAACAAAACTCATGGAATGCCCGATATACCTCGCATCCCGAAGTCTCCCATCCGAAATCCCAGTACCAACAACTGTGCATATCTTAACGAGAATACCCCTTCCCGCGACAACAAGAACCAAAGCACTGATCTCCTGCTGGTGGTCAATATCTCGGGAACATCAAAGTAACAGGCTAGAGGATACCGTTATAAGGAGCAGGAGTATAGCAAATCACCCTGGAGGTACTGCGACCGGGTCAGAAACAATCGCACACATATGAAAACACCTTACGGATATGTTCTCTGATATCTGGGTCGGTCGTCACTAGACAGGATTGACCGGACTTTGGTCTTGAGACTGCTGCTAATCTCTTTGCCTGTCATTTTGATTCTTGGCTTTGGTTTGAGAGTGGATATTTCAGACTTGATCTGAAATCTTGATTCCTGTAGTGATTTCTTGGAGGGAATCAGTGAGGAAATCAAATGTATTTATATGTGCTTTTATTCTGCTAATCCTCGTGAGATCTTGTGCCATGGCGCATCGGAAATGCTTCATCGGCGGTCGCCGAAATCCATGCCCTACGCCGTAACCCGGGGAAGATCGGCATCATCGGGACAGAGATAATCACGATATGTGTCAAGATAGATTGAATGATGAAGATCACTTGCTGCACTGACTGGGCTTGGGGGATCGGGGCTTGATGGTTGGCTATAGGTTGTCTACATACTGTCGGGTAGTGTGAAACTTCCTAATTGGGAATGGCGACGATGATATTGCAACGCCATCTACCTACCTACCTATGTATGTAGGTATGAGCGGGCGAACTGATATGAATTTCTACTATTCCAACACCAAGATGTGAACGGGATCTCATTCCATATTCTATGCTTCTATTGTTCTATCCATCAGCAATCAAATTCTATACAGTCCACTCAAAACTTCGCCTGCAAAGACCAACCAGCGCAAATCCCTCGAGCAACAACAAACGCCACCGTAGCGGTCAAATACAGCACACCACCAAACACAATAAGACCTCCATATTCCCCACCATCCCGCTCCTGAATCGCCCCCGCAATCGGGATGCCCACCAACGTGCCAACACTGACAATCGTGAAAGTCGTTCCAGTCCGCTTCCCATAATCCTCCGTCGCACAGACCTGGGAGATACACACCGGAGTCAGGCTGATGGCTGCACCGCTCCAAAATCCAAAAAGAACGGCATAGCAGATGATAGCTGCGCGGTTGTTTCCAGCCTCCAGCCATAACGCAAGTGTCAAGAGCGAGCAGATCAACGATGTCAGCACCATCACGTTGAAGCGACCGATTCGATCGGCAACAAGTCCCGGAAGAAAGCGCCCGGGTATCGCGCCAACATTCAATATGGGGGTGAGGAGGTAGGCCAGGGTATCGTCGAGGCCTTGATACACTCCATACGAAGCGATGTACGTCATAGGTATGAAAACCGCGAATTCAACCAAAAAGATGGCGATGGTTGTCGATGCATACTTGATATCTTTCAGTGCACGGAAATCGACAGATGCGCCCGCTTTCGTATTGGAAGGGAGTCTGGTCTTCAGCAGGAGACAGGCGATGATGCACAAGACCGCACTGAGAAGCGCAATGATCCGTATTGACCATCCGAAGCCAATTTTGGGAGCAGCAAAGAGGATAATTAGAGGAAATATCACACCTCCAATACCCCCAGCAGTGCATGCGACGCCCGTTGCCCAGCCGCGGCGAATATCAAACCAATGGCCAATGACCGATATCGCCGGCGTAAAGAGGGTGCACGCAGAAAGGCCCCCGAGAACACTGAAGGAGAGAAATATCTGGTAATATTCTGATATGATGAGTGGCTATCCACTGTCTATCTGGGGAGACACACCTTCACTAAAGCTCAAGCACACCAGAGAAGCCACAATGCCAATAGATCCCGGAATGATCACGTATCGCGGACCCCAGGCATCGAATATAGGACCTGCATTGATCAGCAATTGCAATGTGGGATATTTCTATCATGATCGTGCTCACCTGTTTGAGCCCCTGCAAGATACAGAAAGAAGCCATAAGCACCGAATATCCACCCGATGCTTGACTCGGAATAGTCTTTGAGTTGGTGGGCGCTTGTCCAGGCATGCAGAATACCCAGGCTATTCAATAGTCCCATCGAGGGGATCATGGCACACCATGCTCCGAAGACGACTGACCAGGCTTGCAGCCCTCCCTCTGGGTATTCGTCATCTTTTCGAGACTGCTCGGGTGCAAGATCAATGTCGAGTGCTTCTTGTGTTAGAAACATATCGATGACTTCCGAGTTCAGGGTGGAAGAGCTTACACACTTGGGGTGTTTATATGTCTACTGTAGTCCAACGCAGAGACGACTCCTTCAAAATCTCTTATCTCGAGTCTTGCGTTCGGGGAAATGGTGAGGTTTCGGTCAATTCCTGCGTTGATTGGCCTATTTCGTCCCACCCGCAGATCCTCGGTCAAGTCGGCTTCTGATTGGCTGGCGGGTCATGACATTCGGCGAAAAGGCGACCACCGTCTGCGATCTGTATACTCCCGACTCCCCAGCCCGATATTTTGCAGAGCTCGCCGCGACTTGAACAAAATTACGGGTAGAAAGCAGCCCCATCTCACCAGATTCCAAGGCGAAGGGCCCGAGTCCATGCCGGGATTGCGGTGATTAAATATCTTCGCCGCAGAGTGCATCTGATCGCCGATCTCTGGCAACGATTTGTTTTTGAGCATATGATATCATGGAGCCTTCTCCAAAATCTTCCAATAGTCGCCAGATTGGGCGTCCCTACCGCTCTAAGCGTCATCCACCATGCGATCAATGTCGGCGCAAAAAGCTGCGATGTGAGCCCGGTACAGGAAGAAGCTGCCAACGGTGCGAGGGAAGGTCCTCGCCCTGTAGCTTCAATACTTCGCATGCCTCACCCCTGCCAAGCATCGAGTCCCTGGAAGTCCAGCAGGCTCATGGAGATAGCGGGATAACTTCCCCGGCCGGTGTGGATCTCCATTCACCCCATACGCCGGCGGGGCCAGGATCGGCCATAAATTATGATTCCAGCTTCTTCAACGACCCCGAAGGCACCTTTCTGTTTCCCCTGCAGCCGGAATTCCATCTGCCGGAGAGACCGACGCCTCAGGCTATTCAAACTCTGGATGGCCTCAGGGGTGTCTCGGCACAGTTGATTGGGGCATCTGGGGAATCGGATCCGTGGCTGTTGAGGCATTGCAAGTTCGATGCGAATGGGCTTCTCCTGTTTCACCAGGTTCACTTTCGCAATGCAGGTGGTGTTCCGCGGGATGAGAAAATACCTGTGCATTTCCTTGTTACGACTGATGAGCTGTATGACTCGGCTAAGGAGACGACGAAGTATCACAACATTGCTTCACGCCGAGACGAGGTGAACTCCTTGGTGTCTCCGGGGTGTGGAAGGCGATTGGTTTTATTGTATGTACTGCGACCTCACTTCTACTAGGTAGTATCTGCCAGTTGGGAATGATGCTCTTGCTGAACCCTGCTCATACTTGCATGGTCTATTATAAAATCTTGAGATCAACGGCTGATGCAATGCAGGTTCATGAAATTCGTGTTTCCCACTCTGCCTATTATATCACGATCCAGACTCGGACTCACCTATTCGTGTCATCTTCCCACCGCAGACACTCTGCAGAATATTCCTGTGCATTTATTAGCTGCCATCTACGCCTCAGCTCAGCCGTTCACCAAATTCGACGAGCATCTCAGCGTTCTCAATGCGTACACCAAACCACCGACAGACCGACTGTGGCGGATCGTCTTCGAGATCGTCATGGAAGAGATCCACACCCCCCATCTGGCTGTCATGCAAGCAGGTCTCCTGTATCTTCACAAGCAGCCAGGGAGTCAAAGCGCTGTCGCTGACAGCCCATTTATATGGTCCTTCGTTGGCATGTTAGTTGGGCTGGCAACTTCTCTAGGTCTGCAATTGGAATGCCGACCAATGGGCTTACCCTCGTGGGAACGCCGTCTACGCCGGCGGATCTGGTGGGCACTCTATGCCGAAGACACCTGGCGCAGTCTTCTGATGGGCCGACCACCGTACATCCGACATGATGAATGGGACGTGACCGAGCTCGACGATGACGACTTTCGGCTTGACGGGCACTCAACGGTTGACGAACATCTCCGGGAGACTGCATGCGCCCTTCAATTCCAAAGCTTCGCCCGGTTGTCATGCCTGGCCAACGAAGTCCAGCAATGCCTGTTGTGAGTACCCCAACCCATCCGATAGCAGCATACTAATCGACAGCTCCCTCCGAGCCGCCCAACGCCTATCCTCCAATTTCCCCGAATCGCTCCAAACAGCACGCACCCTCCTATCCAAACTCAAAGAATGGTACTCGCACCTCCCTCTCACCCTGCGTCACGATCACGACAAATCCTCCCTCCCACCCAACCAATCCAACAGCCTGCACTTCACCTACATTTTCCTCGAAGTCTTCATCTTCCGCAGCCTCCTACGACCCATGGTCCGCTCAGCAGCCCCACCCCGGCTCTTCGAAGAGCCGCAATCCAGCCTCGAAACAATGGTAGACGACTACATCGCCGAGATCCTCTCAGCAGAAGACCTCGACCCCATAGCCATCGACAACAACACCGGCAACGCAGTCCTCAAAGCAGCCGAGAACTGCGCCGCAACCATGCTCCGCTCTGTCCTGCGCATGCCCGCCGACGCCTCCTTCTGGTTCTCCTGGTCCCGGATCGGTTTTGCGACTGTCTCTAGCTTTTTGATGCTGCTTGTTGTGCAGGCTCCGTCACGGGATCATGCTGTGAGGGCGCGCGGGCTCGTTGATCTCTGGCGACAGGCGCTGGTGAGGAATTCGGGGCCGATGATGGATCTGGCGCTTGTGAGACTTAATGGGCCGTATTGGATGGGGTTGGATCGGAATTTTTTCCTGGCGGGTCATGTCCGAGAGGCTATTGAGGACCGTTGAGCCGGGACATCCGTGAGGATGTTTATGTACTAGTACTCCGTACTGTGCTTCGTACCCCTATACGAAGGAGATTGTTGGGTGGAATTAATGCGGCTTTTTCTCGGGAATCACCCGCGGTGCGGTTCGTGGGTGGATGTGCGTCCCACAATTCCCTTGTCAAATGTGGTGGTGGGACACTGAAAAAGTGCCAATATTTCTGCGAATCTGTTGGGACGCAAAGTGGGATAATAAGTGGATCTTAAGCAACCTTTTTCTTTAGCTGCAGGCGAAGTGCAGCGAGTTCGCGCTATGCCTGGGATCTTCGGGGGCCAGTTACAGTTACAACGATGATCGCGGGAATATTACCACCACGGGCTGCCACGTAGCATTGACAGACGCGGACTGCAGGTACTATATTTGAGATCTGGACTACTGTAGATGGAGATACTAAATACTAAATGCTGTTAGTATCCCCGGAGGACATGCTAGCATGCTAGCACAGTATAGTACCAGGAATTTCCGAGACACAATTTAACCTGGCAGAATCCCCCCACACACAAGACATAAGCTAAAGCATAGTACTTACTAGTAGTAGTTGTAAGGTCAGTACTGTCGTATTAGCCGTTTTCGGTGCTGACTCATTCCCCCGCAATCCCGACCTCGGGAGGCTTGGTCTTGTGAGGCGAGAGAGAGAGAGTGTGTGTGTGTGTGAGAGAGTGGATAGGCCAAGACCAAGACCAATGTTGACATCAGAGCAAAGTCAGAAATCAAGTCAGAAGTGAGAAAGTCCGAGGACAACCGGAGAACACTGAGCTCCTATGGCCTCCCCTGGCCCGTGATGACCCCGGGCCTTGGCTAAGCCCAGTTAGCGGGGTTGAATTCGGACAAAGGGTTCGCCATCCGAGAACACCTTGCACACCAATTAGAGAGGGACCTTAGTCAAGGTCCCTCTGGGCTTGCCCGGGGCAACGGAAGGCATTTGGCATGCCTTCCAAAGATTGGGGTTTCCCCGATACGGAGTGCAATGGTAGAGGGATGAAGTAGAAATTGATAAAGTACTAGTAGAGAGTGATGAGAGTACTAGTAAATTGTTCATTGAGTAGTACTAGTATTCCGAGAACAGCACCAAGAGGCTGCAAAGGGCGAGAGAGTGGTACAGTATTGTAAGGGCACGGGCCACACCGGAGAGGTAAGAGGAATTGAAGTGGCATCGCCTCCACTTGGACTCCCCTTTCACTTTGCTCTCAGTTCGGTTATTGCACGGAGCACTGGAGCCTCTGTCGCTCTATAAAATGTTAGACTCCCCCTCTTCCCGCTCATCCCACCTTTACCCTCCCCACTTGACATTTTACACTTCGCCCGCACATACTCACCGATCGCAGCCCGACTGTCCATATTCATTCCTGGCGCATCGTACACACACACATCCTCGAAAACATGTCGGACGGCCCCGTTAAGCCTCCCAAGCCCGCCGTGGTAAGCAATGCCGCCAATGGCACAATCCCAATGGCAAGTGCCCCGCTGACCCCTCCACAGGTGCACGAGGCCCACGAAGTCGACACATTCCATGTCCCCCAGGCATTCCACGATAAGCATCCCACCGGCACTCACCTCAAGGATCTAGACGAGTACAAGAAGCTCTACGATGAATCAATCCGCAGCCCCGATACCTTCTGGGCCCGCATGGCCCGCGAGCTCCTCACATTCGACAAAGACTTCCAAACCACACACCACGGCTCATTCGAGAATGGCGACAACGCCTGGTTCGTCGAGGGTCGGCTGAACGCTTCGTTCAACTGCGTGGATCGCCACGCCCTGAAGAACCCAGACAAGGTCGCCATTATCTACGAAGCCGACGAGCCCAACGAGGGTCGCCAGATTACCTACGGAGAGCTGATGCGCGAGGTGTCGCGCGTGGCCTGGACGCTCAAGGAGCGTGGTGTCAAGAAGGGTGACACCGTCGGAATCTACCTGCCCATGATTCCCGAGGCTGTGATCGCCTTCCTGGCCTGCTCCCGCATTGGCGCTGTCCACTCCGTCGTCTTCGCCGGTTTCTCCTCCGACTCCCTCCGGGACCGTGTCCTAGACGCCTCCACCAAGGTGGTCATCACATCCGACGAGGGCAAGCGTGGCGGCAAGGTCATTGGAACCAAGAAGATCGTCGACGAGGCCATGAAGCAGTGCCCCGACGTCCACACCGTGCTGGTGTACAAGCGCACCGGCGCCGAGGTCCCCTGGACCGCCGGCCGTGATATCTGGTGGCACGAGGAGGTCGAGAAGTACCCCAACTACATTGCCCCGGAGCCCGTCAGCTCCGAGGACCCCCTGTTCTTGCTGTACACCTCCGGCTCGACGGGCAAGCCCAAGGGTGTGATGCACACCACTGCCGGATATCTGCTGGGAGCCGCCATGACCGGTAAATACGTGTTCGACATCCATGACGACGATCGCTACTTCTGCGGAGGCGATGTCGGCTGGATCACCGGTCACACCTATGTGGTGTACGCGCCCTTGTTGCTGGGTGCTGCCACCGTTGTGTTCGAAAGTACCCCCGCCTACCCCAACTTCTCCCGCTACTGGGATGTGATCGACAAGTACGATGTCACCCAGTTCTACGTCGCCCCCACCGCCCTGCGACTGCTGAAGCGCGCTGGTGACGAGCATATCCACCACAAGATGCACAGTCTTCGTATTCTTGGTTCCGTTGGAGAGCCCATTGCGGCCGAGGTGTGGAAGTGGTACTTCGAATCCGTTGGCAAGGAAGAGGCTCACATTTGCGACGTTCGTTTCCCCACAATGAAGTAACTTGCATTCACTAACTGTCCTGCAGACATATTGGCAAACCGAGACTGGCTCTAACGTCATCACACCCCTTGGCGGTATCACCCCCACCAAGCCCGGCAGTGCCTCGCTTCCTTTCTTCGGTATCGAGCCCGCGATCATCGACCCTGTCTCCGGAGAGGAGATCCTCGGCAACGATGTTGAGGGTGTTTTGGCCTTCAAGCAGCCCTGGCCTTCCATGGCGCGCACCGTCTGGGGTGCCCACAAGCGCTACATGGACACATACTTGAATGTGTACAAGGGTTACTACGTGAGTATCCTGCCATGACTTGAAGTCCGCAACTAACTGGTACAGTTCACCGGAGATGGTGCCGGCCGTGACCACGATGGTTACTACTGGATCCGTGGCCGTGTTGACGATGTCGTCAATGTCTCGGGTCACCGTCTGTCCACTGCCGAGATTGAGGCTGCTCTCCTCGAGCACTGTAAGTCGCCCTCCACTAGTCCAATTGCACAGGAACTCATCATTTCTAGCTTCCGTCGCCGAGGCTGCCGTCGTCGGTATCTCCGACGAGCTCACCGGCCAAGCCGTGAACGCCTTCGTTGCTCTGAAGGAGGGCAACGAGACTACCGAACAGATTCGCAAGGACCTGACTATGCAAGTCCGCAAGTCCATCGGTCCCTTCGCTGCCCCCAAGGCGGTCTTTGTCGTCGAGGATCTTCCTAAGACCCGCAGTGGCAAGATCATGCGCCGCATTTTGCGGAAGATTCTCAGCGGCGAGGAAGACAGCCTTGGTGATACTTCAACGGTAAGCACGAGTCCTCCAGTCCCTGGTTATATTCCGCGACATTCTTTCTAACAATTTCCAGCTTTCCGACCCCAGTGTTGTGGACAAGATCATTGAGACGGTCCACGCCGCTCGCAAGTGAAGGACACCCAATTGATGATAATGACATGGTAGCAAAATTTTCGACGAGGTCCGATGGCCCGGATGGCTATGATTTGTCTGGGCGAAGGCCTTTTTTCGTTTCTTTCATTCTGCGATTTTTGAATCACCTTTGTACTTGAGATTCCCTCGGCTCGCTTTTGGCGACATGAATAGTAAATTTTTTGGTTTAGAATCATATTGTTCAAGATATCTATCATGGCGGATTGAGTATTGATTGGATGCATTGGTGTAATCAATCACTGACTCCAGGGCGTTGCGACCTCACCTGATCATGCCGTTCAGCACTTGAGAATCCCCACGAATTGATCTCCATGCGCCCGAGATCGGCACATTTGTAATCACTCGACACCTGAGGCACCCACAGACAGTGGCGAGATCTCCAGATCGTGGACCCTTTCCATCCCACACCTTAGCGCTGACACAATGACTGAACCAACTGAATCTATCGCCGAAGTGGAGGCTGACACCTGGTCTGGACTGACAGACCCGGCTGAGCGTCGACGACGCCAAAATCGCATCAATCAGAGAGCTTATCGTAGGCATGCAACCTCCGCACATGGATTCACATTAACGTCTTCCAGGCAAGCGCAAGCGCATCAATTCGTCCAGAGACGTCCATCCCAAGAGTCTCGTCCTCGCACAATCGACATCTCCAGAATCACAATCTACAACACTCGACCTCAAACACAATATCTGCAACAGTCCACTGGACATACAAGGCCTACTTGATCGATTCGCAAAATCTGCTATAGAAAGCTATGCGCGCGGAGATCCTACTGCAGATCATCTCATGACACTCACGAAAGTGAATGTCTTCAGAGCCTTCGCCCAGAACATCAAACTAGTCGGCTGGTCTGAGTTCTCGATGCCTGACGACGCAATCTCAAAATTCAATACTGCACTACCACACGATCCTCGGACGTCCGATGAATTCAGTCGAATTCCTCCGAATCTCCAACCGACCCGGATCCAAAAATCAAAGCCACATCACCCATGGCTGGATTTCTTCCCGCTCCCTAAAATGCGCGATAACCTCATCGAAGCTGGTGATGACTGGGACGACGAACAGCTTTGTCATGATATTATGGGTTTCTGGGGTGAGCCTGCTATGGATGCTGGGTTATTGGTGTGGGGGGAGCCGTGGGATGTGCGGAATTGGGAGGTGACGGAGCCGTTTCTCAAGAAATGGCAGTGGGTCGTGAGAGGGTGTCCGGAGTTAATGAATGCGACGAATAGTTGGCGAGCGAAGCGCGGAGAAAAGCTGATTTTCCGGTATATTTGATTCGGCAATGCATTTATTGTCACGCAGTTATTGCACTTCTCTTTCACTTCTGGTGCTTTTCTTTTTCTTTTGCTGCTTGAGATGATCCTCGTGGATTTTCCATTCAGCCGCTAATGCACCCTGCTGACAGCGCTAAGTGAGCCTAAATCTTAACTCCGGAGCTCTGGGCCAATCAAATGCAGAGGACCCACCGCTGATCCTTTTTTTCGTTTCTTTGTGGTGTTGCCTGGCGATGCGGATTGATGGCCAGTATGAGTACATGCCCTAGAGGACAGGTTCTCCTTCCGCGGGACTGTCTCCCGCAAGTTGCCCTTTCATGACTCGCTGGGAGAATGGACTGTGATTTCGAATCCATTGTCCATATCGGATGAAGACAAATAGAATCACGGCCAGCAGAATGGCCACGAACGCCAGAAGAGAGCTGGCCCAGTTGATCCCTAGGTTACCATAGAGCGAGTTCGTGGCCAAGGGCAGGCAGACTGCGAAGCAGGAGCGCAAAGTGCTGGCAGCGGCTTGTGCTGAAGCAGAATATTGCTTATAAGCATCGGTCAAGTAATTGATCATGGCCATGAAAATGAGGATATATCCAATGCCGAAAGAGAAACCGGACATTATTGGAACGGCTGGATGGATGGATGCTTTGGATGTCCATCCCAGCCAGAAGAGGGCAATTGGGAGTCTGCGCGCGTCAGCGACTATATCAAAAAATACACGCGGTTGGGCTGATATCGTGATGAATTGGCTTTCTCGCAGGGCGGGCAAACTTACAATGGTGCTCCAAGTGCTGCAAGTGGGAGACGCCGGTACTCCTCTTGCATTGCCCATTCCTTGCCTTGTTCCACGGCTTTTGAATGCCATGATCCATATAATAAAAACAGTGAGAATGATACCAATGCTCCCACACTGACTGGAGGGCTAATGTCAGCAAAAAACTCAGTGTATACCAAGGAGATAACGTACCGGGCAAAAATGCGAGCCCAGCCATTCCAGGGGACAAGCCATACAAATCTAGAATCAGGTGTTATCATTCGGCCCATCTGCAGCAGCCAGAGCCAGGGATCACACACCTTGGAAAATGAGTGGATATGCCTGGAAATAGAGGTAAAACAGGGCATACGTGAAGCCCATGAACAGCGACGCAAACAACAAAATCGGCTCTCTCACAATCATTTTAAACGGTCGCATGAATATACTCAGGATGCCATCGGTATCATGGCCTCGTTCCGTGTCATTCACACATTCATCCGTCCTGTCCATCTCATCCCCCAACCGACCCATCTTCCGAGCATATCTCTTCTTCAAAACAGGCACATATGTCTCAGGAATGAACAAAATAAACGGATATCCCACACCCCCAGCAGCCAACCCAACCCAAAAAGCCCACCGCCACGAAACCACAGAAATGAACCCCGAAACAAGCGGCGCCAGCTGTGGTCCAAAAGCCGTAACAACCATGAACAGCGCCATCGCAATCCCCCTCGTATGCGGATCATCCAGAATATCCGCATACAGCCCCCCAAGAACGGCATTGGGCGATGCAGCATTCAACCCAGACAATAATCTGAAGACAAGAAGAGCAGGGAAATTGGGTGCCAGTGCGCAGGCCAGTGTGAAAATAAGGTATCCGCTGAATGTGCCGACGAGAACGGGCTTCCGGCCGACGTGTTCACTCAATGGTCCGAAGATTAGTGGTCCAATTGCGAATCCGATTAGGTAGAGGGAGTTCAGGAGAACCATTTTTGTGTCGGTGCGGGAGATGTGGAAGTAGTCTGCTATGGCATCGTGGGCTCCTGATGGGAGGGAGGAACCAAATGCGCTGTTGAAGATGAATAATATGCCTGCTAGGACGATGTGGACTTTTCGGATCTTATAATTCTATCTGTTAGTTGGGCGTTTCATTTCGAATTGGAAGTAGAAGTAGAAGCAGGCTTGAGTCGATACTCACAGGGGAGAGAGTGACTGGATCGCGATATCCGGATGATTTTGAAGGCATTGCTTGGATATTCGTTGCTCGAGGTGCGAGCACAACGTCCACTTGCACGATATCTGCTGTAGTGCAACAAAAAGCGTCTCACTTTTCAATTTCCGTGGTCATTCCTTCGCCTATCAATACTGAAATCCCCACCTCACGCCCTACGGCCCCACCGCGCCTTGTAGAAGACACGCCCTGTCTGTCACTGCATCGTCGGACCGAATGCCGATTCAAATCTACCACTGAAGTCGGGAAGTTGTCCGAGTTTGGCTTATGATCCCGAGGACTGCATGATACTCTACTCTATACAAAGCAAACAATTCCGGGATGAGTTGGCTGAATTCATTCTCTGAAAGTCTAAATACAGAAAAGCCATGAACCTAATCAGATCTACAGCAAGTCTGGTGAAGTTGCGCAGCAAAGTCTAAGAACATGAAGCAAATCAGGTAACATGCTCTTTCTCCTCCTCCTTGGGAATTCGGACCCAAATCAAGGTAATCAATGCCGCGACCACTTCACACGCAAGTGCAAACCACCAAATGGCATGAATGCCCGTGAGCCCAATATTTCCATCCGGCCCTTGATCAACCTTCGTTCCGATGGCATCAGCCACGGCCGTCATCACAGCCGAGCTCAAATTTTGCATAGTCACCAACAAGCTACCCGCGCTACCTTGGTAAGAGCGAGGCACATTGCTAGTGATGTAGATTGATGCAGCCGCGAATGAGAGATCAGGTCCGAAAGTGACGAGTGCCACGCCTGGGAAGGAAAGGGGCCAGTAGGATGTGTTGGGGGTCTGTGGGAGGAAGAATGCAGGCCCTGTTGCGAAAGCGATCATGGCTGCGAGGTAGATGTAATGGCCTGGGACGATGTGGAGAGTTCGACTGACGACCCAGGTGGCCAGTACTCCGACGATGGCATTGGGGAGAAGGTACAGGGCCACTGTTAGTGGGCTGTTTTGTTGAATCCGGAGCCAGAATTGAACGGCGTAGAATTGCCAGCCGCCCTGGAATCCCCCGTATCCGATGAAGTAGGCGATCATCAATGGGGTGAAGCCTTTGATCTTCCATAAACCGTTTGGGATAAGCGGTCGCTTCACTAAGCGCTCGATGAAGAAGAATGCAATCACCAGAAGCACACCCACGATGACCAGAGCGTATGTATATGGGATCCACTTAACCACCGAGCCCTGGGTGAGACCGAAGAGCACCAAGATACATCCAGTAGCAACAAAGCCTGCTCCAATGAAGTCGAACTCGCGAATAGTCGGCACATCGCCGCCGACAACGTCCGCGACCGGTCGAAGCGAGGGCATCGCATACCAAGCGGCCACTAGGCAAAGTGCGCAGATGATAGCATTCGAGCCGAAGATCCAATTGAGATGGGATTTCAGCGCACCACCCTGAATACCGCCCAGCCAGAACCCAAATGGAGCTGTCGCCGACATCGCTGAAAAGACCCGATTCTTGCGTAAGCCTGGATTGTATACTCTGCCGAGAACACTCATTGACCCAGAGACTAGAACGCCTACGGCAAGGCCTTGCATTGCGCGAACAATGTAGAAGAGGATCGCTCGGCTGGGCGTCACGGAAAAGACGCCGATCACATTCCAAATGGTCAACCAGGTAAAGGCTCCGATCATTAGTGTCCGTGGGGGACTCAAGTCATTTAAAGAGCCTGATACCACAACTGACAGACTGAGTGGTAGTGTGAATGAGCCCAGTAACCAAGGGAGCTCGCTGTTGCTGATCCCGAGCGCTCGTTTGCACTCCTCCTGGTTAACGGTGATGTCGCCCAGGAAGAAGGAATACAGCAACAGACCGGCTGAACAGACCAGAATGAAAATCACCTCTGCGGTGAAACTGCCCAGCTCTGGTGGGATGCCTTGAGACTTGAAAGCCGGACTGCCAGCTTCTTCATCGAGATCGGGCATTCGAGTTTGCGAGGGATGTCTGGCCGAGCGACGTGTCGCAGTGCGCTCCATACGAGAGTGTTCCTTTTCCAATCCATCCTCCGCATCCCCATTCTGATTGATTGAGAGAGTTCGCGACAGATGCTCAAGGGCTTCACCCATGTGCGAGTCACGACGACTTCTTGCCGTTGGGAGTTTGTGCAACTCCGCGACAGTCTCCGACTTCTCTAATTGTGAGGAAGTGCTGGTTTCATGGCTGATGGCTGGTGTTAAGACCGAGTCGGGTGTTCCCACTTCCTGCTCCTCCACATCATAACTTTTTTTGTGGTCTGGTTGTGCCATCTTTCACGGTGGGATGTGTAGGTCGCCAACCTGTGTCAAATTGAAATCACACAATGAAACAACCATCTTCCACACAAAAAAAATTCTCTGAAGAATTGTTCAACAGTGGAGACCGGGACGTCACTAGCAGCGACTTTAAGCAAATTATCGATTGTCTTCGCCGTGGACGTCGGGAACCAGAATCCGTGATGAGTCAGCGTCGCCAGTTGACGGATCGATCTCGATCAGCTGTTTAGATGAGAAGTGCATCATCTCCCTTCATGCACACAGTTTCCAAGATCTCGCATCAATTGAGAAAGCATCTGCACCAGGGCTGGTGTTTTCTCCGGTGAATCAGGCTGAAGTGTTGCTTGCGCCAAGCTCATGATCGCCGCAGGGTCCACGAGGTAAACTGCCCCCTCGGGGCCGTGCAAAGCCGGCAGGCCACAGTTTAGCGTGACGAATTTCGAAACTTCCCCTCCCTGCTCACCATCAAGAAATACCGTTGATCCGGTACCCGGGTTCTGGGATTCCGGACGCCCTGCAAGTCTCCCCGTGTAAGCCTTGGAAACTACACTGTAGGACCAAAATGCCAAACTGGCATAGTATACCCCAATGGCTGGGAATCCAGCCAGAGCACTAGGCGACATGCTTCGAGCGGCTCGGATGATCTGACCAGCGTGCCAAATTGCTTGTCGGGAATCGGAACTTGCAATCCACTCCAGTGCGGAATGATACACTCGGCGTGCTTCTTGTTTGTCTTCTCTGCCGGCGAATAATTGCAATTCTTCCAGGGACATGTACAGGAGCATGGAGACAACCTCGCCAATCAAAATGGTCTCGGGGCGACACTGTGTCTTTAATTCCGAGCAAACCATTCGGAAATGCTGGAGTGCTTGGTCGAGTTCTTGCTGCCGGGAGTTCGTCACGAGGGCATGCCAGTGTTTGGAACCACTGGTGGAAATGAATTTCAAGCGATGGTATTCATTCACCAGTGCTGAGAGACCATGGACTAACACCGACGCCGCCAACTGGGTATCAATCACGTCTTCAAAGATCGTTAATTGCGACATGTCCCGTAGTAGATCAGCCAACGAAGGCAGACGCTCCGAGGCCGCGGGTTTTCTGTGGAAAATTGCTTTCCACTCAGCCGCGGACTTGGCCTCCCATAGCTGGCGCGACGCGGGAAGCGGAAGTTCCATGTCCGCGTAGGATATTATTGGGTTGACGTTGAGGGCAATAGCCGTCTGCGCGTCGTGAAGGAAAACAAAATGCACGAGGCTATGTGCGCAAATGTCAGTGTGCATAATCTTTCAGATTCAAGATGACCTACCGCTTGAAAGACTCCTGTTCAACCCAACCACGCCACTTGGACTCGAGGGTATTTCCGACATCCTCAGCCAGTGGAGTGATATTGGGATAGATCGACCGACGAAACCGCAGAGCACGGCGCAGCATCGTAATCAAAGGTTGCGAGAAGCTTTCCGCTATCTCTGTCTTTCGTCGATTACCACTCCAGATCCCAATATCAATGGTTAGTGCGTAGGTCTGCGACGTTCGCAAGTCACGAATGAAAGTGTTATCCCGTTCATACTGGGGGGCGTCAGCATCTCCCCTATAGGTATAACACAGCACAAGCAACGCATACCTTGGTCGGAAGATGCATACGCACGCCCTCATTCAGTGCATATCCCAACTTTCGAATGGTAGGATTAGAAGAGCGAACAGCACCAGCGGCAGCCAAACCAGCAAGAATACCCGGGTCTTCACTATTAGTCCGAAAGGTCGACGTATGAATGAACGTCCCGATTGTATGCGTCTGATGCTCAAAGTACTGTTGAATCAGAGCATCGAGCAAATCGGTCCCAGGGAATGATTTGACAATCCGACTCAAGGTGGCTTCTCGACTAACCTCCAGTACCAAACTCAGGACCAAGTCCCGACTAGTGGGTAACAGACGGTCGCAGAGAGTTGCCTCGGTGGAGGAGACGCTACTCTCGGGTGTATTCATCATTTGCGGTACGGACAAATTCTCATGGTCGTCAAAGGCATGATCTTCGCGTGCGGGCTTGTATGCCGAAAGCGACGATCGATGATATGCCTCTGCTCCGATGCCGATACCACTGTCAATCCCACAAGCGGGGTCCGCGCGAGATTCGGGTACACTTGTAGGAATGCTGTGAGAGTTGTAGAAGTCGATGAGGCTGAAATCACCCTCTGTGAGAGTAAGGTCGAAGTGGAAATTGTCCAATGAGCCGTATTGAGTATAATCGGGGCCCGCGGGGAAATGACAATCATTGTATCGTGATAGAGACGGAATGAGAGAGTCTGGGATGAAGTTTGGAAAGAAAGTGCCATCAATGCTGAAAATTGCGCTCTCTTGATCGGTCGGCGAAACTGTCCCGCTGTTAGCTCCGATGAACTCGAAAAATCAATCATGAAATTACCCCCGTTGTCCAAAGAGATAGGCTGGTGGCTCATGTTATCAGCCGGGGATATAACACTATCTTGCAAAGTAACCCCAGATGTCATCAAGGCACTGGCGGACGAGAAATCTTCCACAGGGTCTGAGATGGGCGACAGTACAGCCGAGGGAGAGAGCATCGAGTCCAAAAGCATATTATCCGCCGGAGTTTCCAACTGCGTGTCCTGCTGTAACTCCGGGGGTGTTTGGTGAGGAACATCCTGCCAATCGCAAGCTAGATGGCGTTCGCGACAACGCCGACAAGGCTTTTCCTCATCGCACTTCAATTTCGAAGACGCACAAGCCTTGCATGCTTGCGACACTCTACTTTGCTTGTTAATCGACGAGCTTCGCTTTCGTTTGCGATCACGGTCGTTGGCATGGCCTGCTGCGTGACGCTTCAACAGATCTCTGGGGATACATCAGCCCTGCCGGGGAACGAGACTGGAGACTCACGGCCGGGCGAACCCCTTGTCGCACACGTCACAGACGTATGGCTTTTCGCGGGTATGCGAGCGAACATGTCGGATGAGATGATCTGCTCGGTTATAGTGTCGTTTGCAGAATCCACATTGGAAATAGCCGTCCGGGTTCTTCGAAGGAGTGGTAGGGCAGTCCAGCTTGGGTGATTCCATGATTTCATGCCATCGCAACGCAGATATCTTTCAGGGTGAAACAGAAAGAGGAGAAGAGAGGGGAGGATCGACGCCACCGGGAAATGCGCATTGGCAATGTTCAAGATGTCCCCGGAACAGCTGGGCAACATCTACCGAAATGACTAGCCCCTTTTGATCGAAGGCTACTCCGCAATGTACCCCGGATTAATCAACCCGAATTCGACGCGTTCTGACAGGTTCTGCCAGGTGCAGACAGGGGGCGTCGAGGAAAGTGACTAGGTCAAGTTGGGCGTCGGGAAGTGGGGGAACATACCCGACGCGCCGATGAGGTTGTATTAAAGGGTGTATCGCCACTATTCAAAATCCCCAAATCAGTCGCAATCATGGGTAATAAGGACTGAATCTGCAAATCACTTCATGGCTAATGAAAAACAGGCCTCACACCAGTGCATTTCTTTTCTCATGGCTCCACGATGATGCTCGGCGAGGAGTCCGAGAGTGCCGATTACTGGAAGAAGTGCGGAGATGAGGCACTGGCACAGAATATCCAAGGCGTGGTCATTATGGTAGGTGGCCCTTGACAAAGCCCTGGGGGGTGTTCCGTTAACATAACAACAGGGAGCCCACTGGGATTGCATGGGAGACAAGATCGAACTGGCAACCAATCCCAACCCGGACAAGAGCCCTGTCGCCTACGTGCATCCCGACAAATACCAGAACTACAAGCTCAACCCCGACCTGGAGACTACAGAGCGATGCATTACGATGCTGGCCGCCGAGGGCTTCAACGTCAGTGGCAATCCGAACTTCGACTGGATCCATGATGTGTATCTGATTCTAATTCGCATGTTTCCGGGAGGATGTCCACCCACGACGCTGGTCTCAGCGAATGCGCGCTACGATCCGCATTTCCACATGAAGATTGGCGACACGTTGCGTCCCCTGAGACGTGAAAACTACATGATCATCGGAACGGGCGGAGCAGTGCACAACCTGTACAGAAACAGATGGGCCCCGATGATGCGGTTCCGGGACAATTTTGCAATGGAGACGGCCCCTGAGGATTGGGCGATGGAGTTCCGTCAGGCGTTCGAGGATGTGGTGACCAAGACGTCTGGGGTGAACTTGCGCCGGGCGATGACAAGACTGATGAAGCACCCACGCTTCCGGGATGCACATGCGACCGACGACCATTTCATGGCTGCGTTGTTTGTGGCCGGCGCGGCCGGGCATGAGGAGGACGCCAATGCACCCGCGGTGCTGGGTGCGGAGAGTTGGGAATTGACCAACATGTGTAACTCGCAGTTCACGTTTGGGCGTTGGCCGAAGCAGATAGCTGCATAAAGTACCAATCCACATTTCTTTGTTGATGTTTGACCAGCTTTTGGAGATACGTCAATTCTGTAGAGCGATGCTAGTATCGCACTTGGCATCATATCACCAACGTAGGGGCCAGTCGGACGAGATCATCCGTCCATTTGCCGGAGCTCTGCTCTGACCAGATCGCAGGCAGCGATCGCATACCGGCAGCAATATTTTCAAACTTTGTTTTGGCATAGATCTGGCTCATTCGATCGACGAAGAATCTTCGGTGAGTCGGGTCTACACTATCAGCCGCCCCGATGAAGCAGACCCAGACCAGAGCATGTGACCCTGTTTGGTTAGGATCGATACGATGAACGAGGTTTTTGAGACTTTCGAGTAATTCCCACTGATCGTCATTGGTGTTTTTGCGTCCAGTGTAGATCTCAAACGCCTTGTTAAAGGCCAATCGAGACAAATGAAGGAAGTCGAAGTACTCGGAGTGACAAGGGACATCGTAATGTGTCCAATCCAGATAGTGATCAACTGGGAAACTCAATGAAGAACCACCAGAAGTCCCGAGCAGGGGCTGCCCAAGAAGTTGGAACCTAGTGTCCTTGGTCAGTAGATTCTCTCGTCATTGTCGATCAAAACTTACATGTGCGTCTGCTGCTGCAAGAACCAAGTTAACTGCGACGATTCTGCTTGGGGTATATTACCGGCGAGTGAGATCAGAGTCTGCAGCATGTACCCGCACTCTGAGCTCCCTGTGATAGTCTCTCCAACCAAGAGCACGATCAAGGTAGCCCACGTGGACACACTGAAGACCCGATCAGGGGACGATTGCAAAGAATCCCGGCGGAGACGTGAGATCACGGCTGCTCGATCCTGGTCTGCGGCATTCTTGTGGCTGGTATTGTGCAATGCCAGGTGCTGGGTCGCAACGACGCAGATCGCACGTTGCAAGAGAGGGTCTTCACAGGCCAATGGCAAGAGGACATCGCGATAGCCGTTGGAGATGCCGTCTAGGATGACCATCACAGGTGCGACTTGTTGTGCGACTGAATGCGATGGTAAGTTGGGAACAAGATCAATGCCTGGTGCAGTAGAAGTGGCTTACAGTGGGAGAACAGCATGCGAATGTCTGCGCTCAATGGTGGAACCCAGGGGACAATTCGATGAGCAGCGGTTGAAGCCATGCCGCGGCTGGTGGCTCCCAGGATGTTATTGAAGGCCTGACGGAAACCTTGGCCCCCTGAAGGGAGCAAGCGGTTAACCGACTTGCATTCATTGGTATTTCCTACCAGATCTGTGGGTGACTTGAGTGTCTCCTGCTGTTCGTTCTGAGATGACTCCAGTCCGTCACCCAGTCCAGCAGGTGTGGCCACAGTTGCTCGGCGCTTGTTGCTTTTCCGTTTCGCGCGCACCTTCTGATCGTCCTTCCATCTGATTGGCTTTGGTGGTATCACTGCTTCTGGCTGGGACTGCGGGACAATCCCCGAGTCCGCGGTATCGCGCACAGGGACGGGACATCCCTTCAACCTCCCGCGCAGTGCCACAGCATTCGAGAAGCGGATTCTCTCCGGACCGGAACATTCAATTCCTTTCTTCTGGCATTTCGCGCAGGTCGGCTGCGCGCCATCGCATATGATTCGTCGCTTGGAGCATTGGAAACACCCTAGACGTAATAGGTCAGATAGGGTTCTGGTACTGGAGAGGCAGGCCCACTAACCCCGACTTTTCTTGCCAGGGGGCGACATCTAGACAATTGGGTTGCACATGTATTCGAGGTTCTCGAGATGATATCAGTGGACTCGTCGATCAGCAGTCAGGAAAGCGTCGGGAAGATGTGGGGAGGACAAACAAGGCAAACGAGACAAACATCAGAGACAAACAAGATGACGTCTTGCCCTCAGAGTAAATCCCCACAGTACGAGATAATCCCGTGAGGATTTGAATATTCCTGAAGCCCCGGAGTCCCAAAAGACGCCGTTGAATCAAATCTAGGTTAGATGCGTTTCACCAGCACCATCCATATCGATGAAATTATGATTACCTAGGTAGTTGTCGTGGAGAGCTTCCCACTTGGGTCCCGCGGCTGCAATGCTATGTGCAAAAGAGCCACCCTCGTCCAAACAAGACGTGTAAGTGGAGAGCTGTAGCAGCAATTCGAGTGAGGCTTGAAATGTAACTCATCTATGCGGATATCTTGAATGAGATGTGTGTATACTCCACTATCCCCAAGGTAGTAAGTTTCCCCGGTCGCGAGACCCACACCTCCCGCAGAGAGCACGCTGATTGGTTCAGTGACCATACAACAGAGCGCAGAGTAGTAGATAACAAAGAGAAGGTCTATACCAGAATGTAAATCCCCCGTGGCCTAGTCGTTTAGACAGCTGTCGGAAAGACCGGCGTTACCGTAATGATCCCAATATGGGACTCCAGACGGTAACGCAGGTCTGCCACAGTGGGTAGCGGGGGAGCTGGGAGCCAGGGGTTCGAATCCGCCGACCGGAAGGTCTGGCGGGATCGGCCCTAGAGTTCCCAGCCATAATGTTTTTTTTTTTTTTTTTGCTTTCGTTTTTGCCCTTTTTCCCCCATGATATTGAGCGCAACGGAGAATCTATCCGGAGTGGGCTATGTGGGTCTGCGGGAGATCTGCACCCGCCATGCAAGTTGCGGCGAAAAGTGCTCTTTCGGGATCCGAGGACGACCATACCATTTGCGCAGAATATCCACTTCCCCGCTCTAAGAGCCCTGGACGGGGTTCAAATCTAGGTCGGTGTTCATGGATGTAGGATCTCCAAGTTGCAGGAAATATATTTCCTGTATGAGACTCAAATCTACAATCTATTCTACCAGTTGCATATTCTAACTCGGTACGGAGTACTTAGCTCAAAGGTCTTAAAATTTTCAAGGTCAAGTTCTCAACAGCTCTACCTAGTAGAATTATCTTCCATGATAGTTCCAAGGTTCCATTGTTGTGATACTAGGTACCTAATTCCCGACATTTAATGTTGTAAAATCCCTTCACAACTACTAGGTACCTAGAGCTAGTTTCGGTCTCGTCCCGAGACATCATTGAGCAAGCCACAACCTTGGAACTTATATTTCCGATCAGGTCCCGAGTCCAACCTTGGAACATTCCAAGGTTGGAAATCGACTGCTTCTGAAGTGGAATAGTATATTTAAATTGAAACATTGATATCTATCAGAAAAGCAAGGGCCAAGGCAGCTCAGAATCCACCATTAGGGTGGATGATCACTTTTGTATAGCCATCCTCTCTCTTGTCAAATTTCTCATACGCTGTCTCAGCATCTGCGAGCCCAATCTCGTGTGAAATGACAAAGCTGGGCTTGGCCTTGCCTGCAATAATCATGTCGCGGAGGTATCGGTTGTAGGCTTTGACATTACACTGTCCGGTGCCAAGCGAGAGACCCTGCAGTCAAGTTAGCGCAAACCGAGAAGGCGATGTTAGTCTTGGAGAGCATGATTACCTTTTCAAACAGCTTGCCAAAGCTGAGACTGATCATTCCGTTGGCAGTGGCGGCGTCAGCTGCACCGGGGTCACTGGAAGAGAGGTGTTAATTTCATGGCAAATCACCAGAAGCTGGGGGATTGCATACCTCGGAACGTAGAGTCCTGGAATTCCCATACCGCCACACGCCCGCGTCACCCGAATCATATTCTCCAGGACAATGTTCGCCTTTTCAGCAGAGCCGTTCGAGTCCACAGCCTGGTATCCCACAGCATCCACAGAGCGGTCCACCATATCTCCATTGTGAGCGATGATCTGGTCAACGGCATCTCCCTTCGTGAAGTCGATGGGAATGGCTCCAATATTCTTCGCGGCCTCCAGTCGCTCAGGAACACGGTCGACGACATAGATATTGGACGCTCCTCGCAATGCGGCGGAGTAGGCAGCCATCAGTCCGACAGGACCTGCGCCGAATACTGCAATACTTTCTCCTGACTGGAAGCCGGAAATCTCCACACCGTGCCAGCCTATCGAGTTTATCAGCATGACCGAAACGAGTTAAAGATGTGACCTGGCGCAAGCATACCGGTTGGGAAGATATCTGGAATGCAGTGTTAGTATTTGCGACCGCAAACCGATAAAATTGAATCACGATAAACTTACCAGCAAGAAGCACAAAGTCGGCCTCATGTTCCTTTCCAGGAGGCAGTTTCAAAGCATTGAAGTCTGCGTATGGAACGCGAATATATTGTGCTTGACCTAAAGCCACTCATTAGACGACCTTTCTCTGCTTGGACTGTGCGATGTCTCACCTCCCCGGTAGGGACCCATTGCGACATAGCCTGTGCATCGCACGTTAACAGAGAGCAATCAAGCACAAGTCCAACAGAAAGCATACCATAAGCGCCTCCAGCAAACCCAGGGTTCACACCAGTACAAAAGGCAGTTCTGCCTTCTTCACAGTTCCGGCAGCGACCGTCTGCTACGTTGAATGGCATCACCACGCGATCTCCCTTTTTCAGCAATGTGACTCCTTCACCCAGTTCCTCCACAATGCCCATGTTCTCGTGACCTGGATATCGATTAACACACCCTATTGTCCCCACGACCGAGTAAACGATTAGACTGTACCAAAAGTAATGCCAGGTTCCGCAGCCGTTCTCCCTTCATACATGCTGTGTCCCTGTCAGTCGGGCCGGGCCGAGATATGGCATTCGTGTTGGGAGCTCACTGCAAGTCAGAGCCACAGATCGCAGCCTATACAACTTGTCAGACGAGCACAGGGAGTAGCTAAGAGCCAATTGCAGTGGGATCACTCACCGTGGTAACTTTCACAATGACATCGTCGGGGTGCTCCATGCGGGGCTTCTCGACATCTTCGACTCGGACTTGGTAAGGCCCAAGGTAGTTGAGCGCCTTCATAGTTGCTGATGCCATCTTGTGTGTTTTGAGCGATAATTGGTCCTCTGCGAAGGAAATGGCCTGATATAAGTATTGACTGCTGGACCTACTTGGTCTTGGCGAATGAGGGGAATGTCCCCCGCACGGGAATCGCGGGGAAAATTCCCCGTTCTGGTCGTCGCCGAGGTTGCCAGAAACATCATTTCAGATCGGCGAGTTATCCTGTTTCCACTGAGGCGCTAAAGACATAGTGATCCGATGTAAGGAAACCCAATTCCTGAAAATTCCCTCGGTCGGATTTACTTCATCTTCACTCCCCCGGGACCGCAGTCTTTTCAAACCTCGACAGTCAACATGGCTCTGGGGATAGTGTTCAAGGATTTTACCCACGAACGTTGACCTGGAGGTGAAAATAGCACTGAATACCTCGAATAAACATGTCTACACCTCTCCCTGCTGAGAGTTCTGTTGTTTGGGTGTGCACAGTCACTCAATTGGCTGTGAATACGAGCCTCTCAGCTGATTAGGCCCCCGACTTCCACACTGACCGCATTCGCTGGCCCCCTATCGACCCTCTCTATTTGTGTGACCTATTTCACACCATCTTGATTCGAACTTTCCTCCACGCCTCAATGTATGCTCTCCAGCGACTTCTCTACGGATTTCCCGAGCCATCCCCGCACAAACGTAGCAAGCCCGTCGAGGTGCTCTGTCTGGGTTTACCAAGGACCGGAACCGAATCTTTAAGCGTGGCCTTAAGAGCTCTGGGTCTGCCAACATACCATGGCTGGGATCTAGTCTTCGAGCCAGACGGCAGCAAGCTGCAACACTGCAACGAGCTCGCGCGGCGCAAATACCACGGTGCGCGCGACGGCGACGTACAGATCACCACTGCGGAATTCGACATTCTCATCGGGGATAATCAGGCAGTCGTTGACTCCTTGTGTGCCTTTTTTGCACCGGAGCTGCTAGCCGCTTACCCAGACGCGAAAGTGATTCTCAATGTCCGTCCTGATATGGATGCGTGGCACCGCAGTATCGACAAAACGATTGTGCAAGAGGTCGATAGATCGTGGACGATGTGGGTGATGCAGTGGTTCTCTGCGGAGTTTCATTGGCTATACAGTCTGTACATGAGATATGGATATCCGGGCGTATTTCACAGCGTCAACACGACAGATGGTGTTCAGCGGAACGCTAAGTGGGTCTACCGCGACCACTGCAATATGGTTCGGGGGATGGTGCCTGCGGATAGGCTGCTTGAGTGGTCTGTTGAGGATGGCTGGGAACCACTTTGCGAGGTATGATCGAGATGAATCACGGACTTCTGTAAACCCGCGAGGGTGGGAAACCATGGCTGATGGAAAGGATACTAGTTCCTCGACAAACCTTGTCCCGATGAGCCCTTTCCTCGAACAAATACCCCAGGCAATTTCTCCGAGCGTGCAGATGAACTCATCAAAATACGCTTCGTTCGATGCCTGCGCAATGTGACTCTAACTGTCGTGATTCTAGGCGGGATTTCCACCGCCGCTGTGATGTGGTGGCAGGGACGAATTCCAGACCTCGCCAATTTACGAGGCTGGTACAAGGAATTATGAGCTGCGAAGCTCCAGGGGTTTTGAATTGATTGAGCGTCGGGAATTTTGGGCGTATAGAGAAGCCTAGCTTCAACGTTGGTGGTATGAATATCAATATCAGCAACACCAACTTTTTGGCCATGGGTTTAAACCACTACGGAATCTATAATGCGACAGCAAGAGTGACCGCTGCAAATCTTCCTTGTCGCTGCACATGAAGCTATACTAGGGCGCATATCCATGAGACAGAACCGGGTGGCCGTGGTCGTCCATAGACTTCGGCAGCCCGGAATGCCCAGAGCTCAACCCGGCCTACCCCAGTAATAGGCCGGGTTTTGGGCTGGTCCGGGGGCCCAATAGGCCCCAAACATCATAAACATGCCAAGGTTATGTATCTCTCTCTCGAAATTGAATTCATTCCATCTAAGGATTATGGTACTACACTACCTTACCTTGCTTGGAAAAAGGTCGAATAACAGAAGACAACTGCTCAGTCAACTTCACCACCTTGGTCGCTCCATACTGGAATTGCGGGGAATATGCAAGCTGAGACCATGGAATTGATTGCCTAGGAATTCTGTCTGCATACGAATTAAACAAAGAACCGTGTAGCCCGTCGTAAAAATTTCTAAAGATCAATGTTGCTCGCTGGTCGAGCAAGATTCAACCGCCAATGGTGCCGATTGACTGGATCCTTCTGATATAAATTGACTTCGAAGAACTTGTTGTGCGTTGTACACTTGAAGTTCTTGTACCTGTGTCTGATCAGCTTGCTGAGATATCCAATAAATCTTCGAGATCATACGAATTGAGCTTTTGAAAGTTTCCCGCGATCAAATCTTGCTCGGTCACCTCAACATAACCAGTCTGGGCACCACTTGCTTCTTTGCGAGGGATAAAATAACGTTTGGCTTCGATTGCGCCAAAGTTGACTTGGCGAACGAATTGAACCGCGTATGGTGGCAATCCGTTAGGATCCTCGAAGAACGAAGCCGACATGGCAGAGGGGGAGGAATCAGATATTTTAGCCCATGCAACGAAGGGCTCAAACTTTGTTTCGTGACTCAGATGGGCTGGTCGGTAAGGCTGTGGAGAAGGGCAGCAGAAAATAGAAGACATGACTAGAGGGCTTCTTGATCGTTTTCTCAGTCGTTGAATTATTGAATGGTTTCTTCCTCTTCTACGGAAACTGTCGACTTTATGTACTTTTGGATCTGGACGTATACATGTCACCAAAACCACAACATTACGCTCAATGAGTGCCATATGCATACAACCCGGTGAGGGGTCAACAGATATCGTATTTCACAAATGCATCGCTCAATCAGAGTCTTCCATTTTGAGGCCCCCTTCTGATCATAGCTGGTGTCTGAACCCAGATTACCTTGACCAGCCTTGGAAGGTTTAGCTCCACAACCGGCCCGCCCGAGTGCATGTATATCCAGGCCAATTAGAGTAAGAGATTTTGAGGCCCCCCTCGCACGGTCCCTGTCCTTGGGCTGAGTTTAACGTAGAGGCGTCGTTACGGGCCACTAGAGCCAACTGGTAGACGTACTGATGACGAACCAATCATGTTCAATCTGCCTTTCGAGAAGCTTAAAAAGCTCTCACTTTCGGTGTTGTCTACCTTCTCTTCTTTTCTTCCCATGGGCAGTGGGCCTGCCATCCTCACTCTTTATTCCAACTGTAACTGCCATTCCTTTGAGTTTGTGATATTTCCATTTGTCCATTGAAAAGAATACTCTTCATTGTTGACGTGCCAACTGAGAGTCTTGAATTGCACCGTATTCGCTCTTTTCCTTCAATTTTGGTCACTCTGCGTACCGAGGCCGTAAAGTGAAATTGTTCGTTTCTCCGTTCTCCGCGCGGAGCACACATACCAGAGCCACCATCAAAGGTCACAGAACGACAGCCCAATTCTCTTGAACATCAACATCATAATCTTCTCGATTCTGGGCTTGTCGATCCAGCGTGGCTACACTTGTCGGACATCTCTGGTCCTCGTGCCTCACAGGAACACACATCTCAACCTCGGTATTTTACAACTGCCACCCATGAAACAGAGCAACATCAGCAAGACAAATCACAACAAGCAGCGAGTTATTCTCAAGATGGACACTTGAACGAAGAAGATTTTGTCTTAGACGAAGACTTTGCCGCATCAAAAGCTGACCAACATGCCCCTTCCTCTGTGGGGACCAGCGTCTCTTTGCTGCAGTGCAATCACTGCGAGAAGGGGTATCAATATCCTGGGCAGCTCAAGTATGTTTCGTTCCACTGAAATCCCTACTTCAAGTCTCTAATGCCCCGATCTAATAACAGCAAACACATGAAGACACACACACGACCATGCGAATGTCATGTCAATGGATGCACTATGAGGTTTGCAACCACAAGGGACCTCAGGCGACATGAGCAGTCAGTGCACAAGGCCGGTGATCAAAGCTTGACCTTTTGTCCCCATTCCGGTTGCAACTATTTTGCAAAGGGGAGAGGAGATAATCTTGACCGCCATATTAGAAAAAGGCATCGACTTGAGCTTGGGTTCAGGCACTCGGTTTAGTCTAGACATCGAGTTCTGTGAGTATAGAGCACCTAGATCAGTTTTTGGCCTAGCGAATCTAAGTCAAACATTATCTTCAGAAAATAATTCTGCAACCATCCATCATCCTCCTACCGTTAATTCCCTTGTGGATAACTGATTAAGTTGAAAAATTCTCCTTCCAAAGCTTCCCCCCCCCCCTCCTGTCTCCCCTTTCTCTTTTCGTCCCTCTCTCCCTCCTCTCTCTGCTCTCTTTCCTTTCGTTCCTCTTTCTACTTTCTCTGTTCTTTATTCTCATCGTTGACCAGTGGTGATGTTCTCTATACTCTCATCCGTGACCGCAAATCCAAAAAAATCGACAAAAATTCAAATCTAAATTGTACTGAAAGCCGCATCAAATGACTAGTGATCTGTTCAAGGCTTTATTATATCCAAGTAGAGCTGTTGGTTTCGATTGTAGAAATCGGATATGGTAGTGAGTTTTCTTAGTCGCCCTCATTCGTAATCGATATAGCCTTCGCCAGACCCAGGGACGTAAAAGGTGTCTCGGTCATACGGAGTCAGATCCAAGCCTTGTCGAATCTTGAATGGCAGATCGGGATTAGACATAAAATGGCGTCCGAAGGCAATCATCACATCCCGATCCCGGAATTCCTTGTCCACGGCAACTCTCGCCGAATCGGGGGTGAATCCTCCCGCCAGAATCACAGGCTTTGAGTCTCCCCATGCACGAACAAAGGGATCAATCTTGTCACGATCTTCGCTGTCGACATTGCCGCAAACACGCGCTTCGATGAGGTGAAGATAAGCCAGATCGAGATTCTTCAAATGCTCGATAACATAGGTGAATTGTGGAACTGGGTCCTCCATCCTCATTCCCTGGTATCTTTGCCATGGTGACAAGCGAATTTCAACTCGTTGCGGGCCCACGGCTTTTGACACGGCGCTGGCGACTTCGAGGATAAAACGAGCTCGGTTCTCGATACTACCGCCATACTCGTCGTCTCGGCTGTTGCAATTGTCTTGGGTGAACTGGTCAATCAGATAGCCGCCAGCGCCGTGGATTTCCACCCCATCAAATCCGGCATCGATTGCATTCCGAGCAGCTTGCACGTAGTCGGCGATGAATAGTCGGATCTCTTCTGTGCTCAAGGCTTTTGGTGCGGGCATGCCAGACTCGAGAGGAGTAGCGCTAGAGCTGACCACATCGAAGCCTTCGGCTGCTGCAATTTCAGAGACAGCGACACGTCCAAGAGCCCAAAGCTGAAGGAAGATGACACTGCCCTTCTTGTGGACAGCATTGGTGACTTCCTTCCACGCAGCAACTTGTTCTGGGTTCCAGATCCCGAGCACGTTAGGATAGCCGCCAGCGCGTGGGGAGATGAAAGTTACTTCACTGATGATGAATGTACCTTGTACAGAGGCTCGCTGACCGTAATAGGTTGGAACGATGGGGAGTGGGACATGGGACTCGCTGGCCCTGAATCGGGTCAGAGGGGCCATAACCACCCGGTGGTTTAATTCAAGGCTGCCAACCTTCAGTGGCTCAAAGAGGCGACTTTCAGACATTCCGCCAGGCGATGTGAATGGAAGTAGGAAGAGAGTGAGAGTTGCGGGAGGTGATGAAGAGGTGCATATCTTTCAAGCTCAGTGACAAGAAAGGATTATTTATGACTCTTGAATTTTCCATAGCTGTGTTCTTCCCCAAATTTTCTCTATTTCTCCATCTCCGCGGAGGATAGCTGGCAAACATTCTTTGATATCGCGATGATGCTCGGTATTAACTCGGCCAAACACCCGAGCCGGGAAGACAGCGGACTTTGAATTCGGTCGGTAGACAGTTAGTCCGTACGGCTCATGGTTGCGCCGATTCCACTTCATTGCAGCTGGTTGGTAAGATGCAGGGGAAATGAAGAAGGACAACGCAATTTCTGGAAGCTTAATGGTGATGAAGATCTGACTGATGATGAGAAATGCATTCAGATGTGATGCGATATGGATGGCGTCACATAATCCAAACCATTGAGCCCACGTCGATATCTGGGATAACATTGCTATATAACCAGAGCGGTTGAACAACAGTATTTCAAACTACAAGTGTTTTTCCTCTATCATTATGGCTCCTGTGATCAAAGTCGCCCTTGTGGGAGCAAGTGGCGAGACTGGACAGTCCATTGTTAACGGACTGCTAGGTGCTTCTCACGCAAAGTTTGTATGTGACGGCGCTACGCTCCTCCGCAGTTGAGATTGCTTACATTCAACAGGAGATCAGGGCCCTTACTCGACCAGAGTCTTTGAACAAACCCATCAACGCAGAGCTGAAAAGCCGGGGGGTAGACATCGTCCCGGTCAATTTGAGTGGACCTCTGGAAACACTCATAGAGGTCCTCTCCGGCATCGATGTCGTTATCTCTGCCATCTTCTTCGGCAGTCTAAGTGACGAGATTCCTCTCGCGAATGCCGCGAAAGCAGCCGGCGTGAAGCGGTTTGTCCAGTCCGCCTTCATGGTCGTTGTGCCCCCGAGAGGCGTTGTGGATTTCCGTGAGAAGGTAATATGCTCTCATGATCCTTTGATACTTTCTATATGACCTCACTGATGTTCGTGATAGAAAGAAGACAACTTCAACCACATCCAGAAAATCCGTCTGCCGTACACGTACATAGACGTTGGCTGGTGGTATCAAATCACTCTTCCCCGTCTTCCTTCGGGACGGCTTGATTATCTCCTCCCAGCTTCCCAGCCTGACCAGCCCATTGGCCTGGATGGGAATGTACCGAGTGCGTTGGCAGATATCAGAGATGTTGGGCGCTACGTGGCAAAGATCATCTCTGATCCACGAACCTTGAACAAGAAGGTGCATGTATTCAATGAGGTTCAAACGCGAAACCAGGTGTACGACTTGCTGGATAGTGTCAGCGGAGAAAAGCTCGACCGCCAATACGTCAGTCTACAACTTCCCATATCAGTTTCTCGGTTGAAGAAACCGAGTTCGATGAAGATGCTAACATGTTTGCTGAGCACAGATATCAGAAGCAGACGCAAAGGAACGCCTTGGCAAGGCGCATCTTGCACTTTTACAAAGCCCGACAGATCCTGCGGCATTGGGCATGCTGACAGTTTCTCAACTATTTTTCTCTTGGGGAATTCGTGGTGATAATACCCCCGATAATGCTGCATATCTGGGTTATCTGAGTGGTAAAGACTTGTATCCTGACATGGAATTTACTACGCTTAGGGAGTATATGATAGAGGCACTTGGGGGAAAAGGCAAGGGGGTTTATCAAGGGAGGTAGATGTTGACAGAAAATGGCCCTTCCAAGGTTTCCGTGAAAGATGTAGCTACCTAGGTAGGTACCTTTAGTTGCGGCGTGCACCGTGAAAACTATACACAATACACAGATCCTGACTGAGGACACACAGTTTTAGACTTCCGCACCAGCCCAGTACTAGGTAAGCCCGTACTGGGTGGGGTTTTGGGCTCGGCCCTCCCGAGTCGGGCCCAGGGTCAGGTAATGGGCCCCAAACATTACCAACATAGCAAGATTCAGCCTTTTCATAAATAATAGGAACAGATATCAGCGGTATTCTTGAGTATTGATATACTATACTTTTGGAAAAAAGAACCTTGGACTATTGTAAAAAAAGGTTATTTATACCCGTGGACCTAGTGATAAACGTGATAATAATGAGACTCGGGAGGGGGAAACCTTCCAAGGTTGGAGCCTTGGAAGAGAGAGATTAAAACTTGGAATTTCTAATCTCTACTAGGTAGAGCTTGATGGTGCTCAGGTGTCTAGGTGAGGCCGTGAGGCCTGTTGCTCAGTTGGGTGAATAAATTGTGCCCCGGAGTCGAATATATATATTTGTAGCGATACTTCTAACATTTTATTCCAGTCTGAAACGATCAAAGCACCGCCTATGAGAGCTCATGGAAACCATCAGCTTGGGTTATTTACCCCGAATACCATGTTTCCAAGTTGATTCGAGCACCATCAAGTTTGCATGTTGCATTGATGTTCCAACCTTGCCCAGGTGGAAGGCTGTGAACACTCGGTCAGGTGACCATGGCCGTGTCTCCCTAGGTCACCTGGGCAGACAGCTCGCTCTCTACCTCTCTTTCCAAGTTGCTTTTTCCTTCCTCGTATCTCTCGATCTCCGTCGCTCGCGCTAGGAGGATCCCTATCTAATCCTGGTGGAAGTTCCCTTCAGTGGATTCATCAATCTATTTTCACGATCGGGCGTTCTGAGCTGGCAAATCAGAACCTTGGAAAGCAGAGCTAAAGCGCTTCATGAAACGAGCATGCACCATCATTCTTGGCAGCGCGATCTTTCAGCCTCATGGGTGTTTAGAAAAATGCCCAAAGTCCTGTGTAAATATGGTGCAAAGTCAGAGTTTGCTGGAACAACTCTGGCCCCGTTCCCAACAGGCACTGGCAGATAATGCTCACATACATTTCTTTCATCACCATTTTGGCTACCCTCCCAGTGGTTCACGCAGGAGGGTGGGATGACTTCTCAAACAATCTCGCGACCGACCTCGCCCCATTTCTATCCCTCTTCGGTGAACAGATCACAAAGCAGTACCTCAGTGAGAGCGTCAATGCAATCGATTACTTCATTTTCGCCATGGCCCCGATGGGCATCTTGACAGCGGTCGTCTCCGCGATTCGAGTCTGTGGAACCCCGTCACTACGCGCCTTCATCGGCAGAGCCCAAGAAGGAGCGGGCAACGCGGAGGCAGAGCTATGCACCTCGACAAGTCGGGATGTATGTGAGCTCTATAACAGTGGTGGTATCGCGCGCGTCTTTGGTCGTCCAAAAATCCTCGAGGTCATCCACGACCCGGATCATGATTTCAGCAATCCACAAGACGACACCGCTGGTATATACACATTTCAGCAATACATTGAGCACGACAAAGGCCAGGCCCTGTGGCAAAAACAAACATCCAACAGCACCGTCACACTATGGAAAAAGAAAGTCATGGCGCTTTGGAGAACGAGCACAGCAGTGGGGGACACCGAGTCAGCCCCTAAATCGTCTGGGCCTGATATCTCGCAGACGCCCTCAACGATATTTGCTCCGAATCTCTCCCTCAACATTGGTATCAAGAAAAAATCAAAGTATGTCTTCTACGCAATTGCTTTGCTGGGCCTATGTCTGCAAATTGGCGTTTTGGTTTTCGCCGGCTTTGCAACGTATCGCCTGAAATGGGGCAACGATGACAAGCCCCCTGAGTCTTATGCATGCCCGCTTGTGATAATCGGGACTGTTCTTGTCTGTGGAGGAATGTTTCATTGCGCACTTCTCATTGGCCAGAGCACCGAGGAAGATATCTGGCGCCGCCAAGAAATTGTCACCGACAAATCGTCAATGTATTGGATACAGCCTGGTGGTCAAATCATCGGCGATCAAACATTTGACGCCTTCTCACACACAGACTCTGACCAGAAGCTCCAAAAGTACATCACTTCGAAGAGAAAGGATGTGTCCCAAGAATCAAAGGTTGGAATTTGGGCAGCCATTGGGATCACGATCTCTGGCTTTGTGTTACAATTCACTGGGCTGAGAGGTATACATTCGGCGGTCTCCGTCGCTCAGTTAGGAGTCATCTTGGTCATGAGCACAGCTCGAGCGATGCTTCGCATGCAGCGGCTGGAGCCTAAGGATAATTGCTTCGCCGAATTTCCGGACGAGGTCCTTGGCCACGAACTCGACTGGCTCGCCTTGCGCATTGGCCGTAATGCTTTTGAAGAAGAAATCAACAACTCGTATCCAGCGTCATCAGGATCATCGGCTTCCACTTCGGTCACCAAAGAGTCATCATCCACGCTGTCAGGACCCGGTGATCAAAACCACCACTTCTGGAGGTTCTCAGGTGCATCTAAGACTGAAAGAATGAGCATCGAGAATCCGTCTCCTGGCAATCGTTCGACCGCCGCTGCTATATTCTTGGCATATCGAACTCGACTTGCGTCGCTCACGGATTTATCTACGCGTTCTATCGCCCCTGCCATGGAATTCAAAAGCGAGATGGTGGAGACTCGGAATGAGAGTCGACAGATAGCTGCGCTGATCGAGGCTACCATCAAGACGATTTTCTCGAAGGCGACTAAGGTTAAGAAAGAGTGGGAAACAGCCCCCTCGATGTTCTGGGGCATCGATTGTGTTCTTGGCCAACAAGCCAGCCAAACTTTGGAACCCAAGCAGTACACGATTTACCTGGAATTCACCCAAGATTCCTCTGCTCCAGGAAATCCCTGGGTACTCAAAAATCAACGAGAGCTAGAAGGTATTCTCGGTCTATGGGTCTGGTCGTTGAAATCCGATCCGAGGATAGAGACCGAGGACCAATGGACTAAATTGAGACGATCCACGGCCAGTGATATCAAAGCACGACGTATCCTTCCAACCGACCAGGCCGTGAAACCGGACCTAGGGATGTGGCTTGGCGATGACATGAGCGCCGTCACGAAATCCACTCTGCGCTCTATCTCCACTGACCTACAAAATGAGAGTACCGTCTGGACAATGTCGACAGAACCGGGAGCAACGAAAACCGTTCAGCATGTACCAAATGTCAACGTACCGAATGCGAAGATCCTTCCACTACTTCGTTTTTTTGGTTGGAAAACCGCGGGTTTGTCGCAGACACAAGACCGCGAGGGTTTGAGCCTTTGGTCAACCCCGATGACAGGGTCGCTTAAGAAATCCTGTGCCCAGGAAATTTTTGCAGCATTTCTCACAAGCGTTCTTGACATTGTGGACAATCTTGGACCTGTGCGTGTCGAGGAAGATACATCGATCAGGCTTGAGAACGACTTGGTGTCTGACATTGTTGCACTATTTACAGAGATGCAACTGGGCTCAAGACTGGAAGCTCTGCTTTGTGTAATGCCGATAGTGCTACCTCGGCTCGACATACCTTCCGCAGCAAGCGCCTTGGCAGCAGCAAAGAAAAGCGCCAATCAGCATCGACAACGCAAAGATTGGAAAAAGGCAGAAAGGGTGCTCCAATGGGCGTGGAATATCTGCCGGCAACACCAGGATTCTGATCAAAACGTGATTGATGGAGTTGAAGATCATACACCGAGCTCGGAAGAGACACTCGATAAGCAAGCGACAGTCGCTTTATGCGAGCTATACCGGTGGGCCTTGATGGAAGAAACTTCGTTTGGCAAGAATGGAATCTCCAGGCTCGAGGAGAAGAAGCATGACCAATCGATATCATCGCGCGAAGTTATTGATCGATACTTTCTTCTTGCGAATGAGATTGCACAAAATCAGGCTAGCGACGCTGAATTCGCGAAAATGGACACTGACTGCCTGAAAACTGCGCTGCTATTTGTTACACTCCCAGCGTCCGACACAGGAAGTGAACAAAAAGGACAGGCCCTTCATTCCGCCGCGAAACATGGATGGGTGGAGGTGGCACTTGCTTTGCTCGAATTAGGTGGCGAGCCGGACTTCCGAGACAAAGAGGGCAGAACACCGCTGTCACATGCGGCAGAAAGTGGCAATATCACTGTCGTCGATGACTTGATGAGATGGGGAAGCTTTCCAAACTTGGAGGATCGTCATCACAGGACACCCTTGTCATACGCTTCAGGAGCAGGTTGCTATGAAGTAGTTAAGTTGTTGCTCAGAGATGCTCGTGTTCCACCAGACCAGAGAGATGCCGAGCAACGAGCGCCGTTATCATGGGCGGCAGAGAATGGGCATGACGCTGTTGTTCGATGGCTTCTTCAGACCGGCAAGGCGCAGCCAGATCTCAAGGATACAAGTGGAAAACCAGCACTGTCTTTTGCTGTAGCGAATGGCCATGACGCTGTTGTCAAACGGCTTCTCGAGACTGGTAAAGTTGATCCAGATCCGAAGAATAGTGGACTGACACCGCTATATTCTGCCGCATCAGATGGCCATGACGCTGTGGTCAAACGGCTTCTCGAGACTGGCAAAGTTGATCCAGATGCAAAGGACAATTCTGGATGGACACCGCTGTTTGTTGCTGCATCAAATGGCCATGACGCTGTGGTCAAACGGCTTCTCGAGACTGGCAAAGTTGATCCAGATGCGAAGGATAATGATCGAGAGACACCGCTGCATTTTGCTGCACAGCGTGGCCATGACGCTGTGGTCAAACGGCTTCTCGAGACTGGCAAAGTTGATCCAGATACGAAGGATAATAATGGAGGGATACCGCTGCATTTTGCTGCAAGGTATGGGCATGACCCCGTGGTCAAACGGCTTCTCAAGACTGGCAAAGTTGATCCAGATGCAAAGGACAATTCTGGATGGACACCGCTGCATTTTGCTGCAATGTATGGGCAAGACCCCGTGGTCAAACGGCTTCTCGAGACTAGCAAAGTTGATCCAGATGCGAAGGATAATGATCGAGAGACACCGCTGCATTTTGCTGCATCAAATGGCCATGACGCTGTGGTCAAACGGCTTCTCGAGACTGGCAAAGTTGATCCAGATGCGAAGGATC